ACAATAGTGGGCCGAACTTTTATATGAGGAAGTTGATCTCCATCTCTTACTATCCCTCTTCCAAGGCTTGAGCAGCCTCGGCTTTAAGTGATTACGTTACATCTAGCTTGTAAGCGCTACGACGGTTATGGGTTACTAAATGAAAAGCTAGCATCCACGCTAAGATCCATATAAAGCTCTATTTAAGTATAATGCTGTCTCAGGACTGGAACGTCTGTTGTCTGTAGCGCAAGCAAAAACAAGCTTTTAGGCTCGCATATTAGCTACAGCACAAATAACTAGACAAGAAAGGCTACAGGCTTGGTATTCTAAGCTACGGGTAGATCAGATGAAACCGGAGGAAAATTCCCCTCAAAAGAAGTCTGCTTTAGTAATGGAGTAGGAATTTCTAATATCAAATGACAACTGTATACCTGTGTACAAAAGGAGAGTAATAAGCAACGTGCTTTACGTTACACATTACGGATAATTATATTTAGCTAGGATGTAATGTAAAACTCTATTTGTCATTTCCTTGTTCTTGAGCCCAGGCCCACAGGTTTATAACAGTTGTTTATAAAAGAATGCTACATACGAGTGACAGCTTCTTTGATAAGGAAATGCAGGGCGGCGTTAGCTAATTTCGGCAGATCATTTCCGTTTAGCTACACGATTTGCCGCATCGTGGGTGGCATACCACATTCCATAGCACTGTTCTAGCCCCCGATCCACCTGCCTCTCCTCTGTATAGCGCTGACTGCACGGCGTTGTTAGCGCCTGAGGGCTGAATCTCCCCGCTGTCTACATGTTGTGGGGGCTTATGGAAGTGCGCTGCTGCCCCTGCGGGTGGCGCCGTGCCGGGTACTAGCAAGATACTAACAGGGGATTAAAGAGATTTGAGGGCACATGTACTACAAGATCTAGATGGATGCTACGAAGGTGCAGAAGTGCCGTGTCCTCAGTCCATACTACCTTCCTGATAGTTCTTCGCCAGGTATACCGTAGGTATTCTCTATGGCACCCACCGGGATATCTTCAGCTGCTGTTACAATTCTGGCGCGTTATGGCACCTTTTTGAGGCAGACACGTGCCGTTGATCCAGCTCCTACAGCCTCATGTTGTCAGTATACAGCATGCCGAGAGTAGTAAAGATCTGCCACAGAGCTGAATCGTCATCAGCAGCAGAGTGTGCTGTGCTAAGCTAAGCACCTATCTCTCAACTAAATCGGCAACAGAATATTCGCCTTGATCGGAAAGGAACCTAAAAGGCCAACGTAACATTCTCTTACATAACGGCATGCCTCCCTCATTGTGCCGTGCTGACACCAGACCGTAGCACCGCCCTTAAAATTTCATATGGGCGTAGTGCTTGGAAGCTGTAATAAATCAGATTCAAACCTGAAATATCTCAATTTGTTACAGTGATTTTATTACGCCATGATATTATTATATTCTTAGGATAACTTTCAGGCAACGTTAATCGATGCAACCAATTGCAATTTGGATACAATTCCGGTTATTTGAACATAAGACAGTTGAATGACTCAACGTCATCGTAGAAAAGTATTGAATACGCATGTATATATGTATACAGATTTATCTCCTACTAAGCATCTAGAATCAACAACTATTTCTCATGACTCGAGGGTTTGTTCCCAGCCTAGCGGTAAAACTATTAGCCTTATTAGCCATGTTTTCCCTGCCGTGTATTATGAATACTATCCGCAAATACATGTATAGTTTACTGAGCAAACATTGCATTACAGAAGTACCGAAGCAAAGTCCTTATTCAGCAACCCTGCTGATGCACTGTTGACGGTCGCTTTAGCCTGATGTGTTTTTCCAAGAAGCCGTATTCAACATAGCGTGTGGCATGTGCGCTGGACTCAGATTAAACCGCCAATCACAAGCTACATGTCATCGCAAACTCTTAACGTGCACATAAAGCTGGTTCAACAATAGGGCTTACCTGCACTCGTAAAGCTTTGGGGCTGCTCGGAAATCTTTCGTAAGAAATCCTCGAGTTAGGTCGATATTCCCGGAATTTTTGAAAAGTTCTCCTTTTTCCCTTACTAGGCAACTGCTGGGTATATTCACATATACCTTCCGCTTTAACAGCTAGGATCTATGTGGGTGGATCTCTGGTATGTACCCCACGCTCTCCGCCTTATTTTGACATCGCTTGGCATGTAAGACGTGGAGAAATCTTTTGGTCATCAATTAGTATCAGGAAACCTCCTGCCGAGGACCACGAGACTCTTAACCTCCCGCTCTCTCTAGGGCAGCAAAGCAGGAATAGTGAGGCGTATCAGCGGCAAGAAGGAGAAAAATGATGGAATCTGTCGACGAAAAGAAAATTGAGGCCATACCAAATTCTGAATCAGCCTCTGAATCCTTATCGTCCCCTTCGTCGCCTACCACTCTTTCGCCATGGACTGGCTATCTTCAAATCTTATCCGGCCACTTGATGATCTTTGACACCTTTGGCTACATTGGCTCATGGGGTTTGTTCCAATCCTATTACATTTCCACCCTGGGCCGTTCACAATCAGACATCTCGTGGATTGGGAGCCTCCAAATCTTTCTCATTTATTTTGTCGGAACTTTTTCAGGGCGAGTCCTTGATGCCGGCTACCTACGCACAACCCTGGCTGTTGGCTGCAGCCTCCAGATCATTGGCATCTTCACCACTGCGTCTGCTACTGCCTACTGGCAGATCCTGCTCTCGCAGGGCATCTGCGTCGGCCTCGGCGATGGCCTCATTTTCTGTCCGATGATCTCCCTGATCAGCACTTACTATGAAAAAAATCGAGCCCTAGCGGTATCATTTGCCGCAGCCGGTGCGGCTACCGGAGGAATGGTGTTTCCCTCCATTGCTCGACAACTCATCCCAACACTTGGCGAACCTTGGGCAGTGCGAGTCATGGGCTTTGTGTTCACCTTCAACTCTGTCATTGCTCTGATCGTTGTGCGACCCAAGGTAGCACCACGCAAGTCAGGTGCTTTTATTGAATGGGAGGCTTTTAAAGAGCTGCCTTATCTCTTGTACGCCATCGGCATATTCTTGAGTCTTTGGGGTCTCTACTTTGCCTACTTCTATGCAAGTTTCTCTTATTCCATCGATATGTTGTTTTTCTAACTTGTAATACTAATGCAGATCTCGATATTTGGCTCCAAAATCCTTCATGTCCCATCTGCACCGTCATTTTATCTCATCATAGCCATCAATGGCATCGGCTTACCTGGCCGTATCTTCCCAGCATATCTTGCCACGCACGTTGTGGGAAACGCATTATACGTCCTCATTCCCCTCACATTTAGTGCCGGCGTGTTGCTCTACTTGTGGAAGTATATCACTTCATACAATGGTTTTCTTGCCTGGATCATCGTCTACGGCTTCTTTGCAAATGCTGTGCAAAGTCTCTTTGTCGGCAGCGTCGGTAGCCTGACCAAAGACCCCCAGAAGATGGGCGTCCGGGTAGGAATGATCTTTTCCATCATCAGCTTTGCCTGCCTTACTGGGCCACCTATTGCGGGTGCCCTGATTGACCTTGATAAAGGAAATTTTCTCTATGCCCAAATCTTTGGGATTACTTCAGTAGTCTGCGGCTCTGCCGTGCTCGTTGCCGCTGCTATTGCAAGTAAGAGGTAGAAAGAGATGGTCAAATTTTGTCAAAGAATTGGTCGTAGCAACGTTTCAACTGGAAGGATTTCATATGCTGGATTTCATATTAATATACAAAAGATCTTTGCGGCGTTTTACGTATAAGAAAGACGAATACAATATAGAAATAGAAGTTTCAAGAAGAAAATGAAAGTTATGCAATCATCAAGCGTCTAAACTTGAATAATTTCCGCTACCGATGCAAGGAAAGTATTGTACTTCACACTTGATGAAGATGAAGCGAAAATTCTTAAGGCACAAAAAAAAGACCAAAATCAGGTCCTACTATAGCAGCACAGGGTTAATGCTCCGCGTGTTCTTCAAAATAGCGCTCCATATCGCCCTCCAGAATGTCTTAGCATCCCATATTAACCTTTTTTGCTCCATCTTGTGACAAATGGATATTCAAATTTCTGAGGCCAATAAGGTAATTAACAAAGTCAGCGTAGCATTCATCTTTACCCTGGTGATATTTCAAATGCCAGACTATTTATAAAATACGAAGTGAGTGGCTTTGATTATTATTATTCGGCCTCGGGGAATTATCTGTTTCTCCTAGCCTGCTACATAAGCCTCCGTGAGGATTACTCATATTTGCGTTTAACTGATGCTAGATAGCAACTGGGTTATTTCCGCATAGTTTCCGTCAATGTAAACAAAAGGTCGTCTTAAGAAGGTAGCCACAATCGTGAATACGATGGGACTAACGTAAATGTAAAGCCATATTACTGGAACAACCCCTACAACGAATGCAATGTATGCGGTCAGACTAATCAATCAATCAATCAATATACAGCATTTTGCTTGTTATCTTCTTGTCGTATCTGTATAGCACTAGGTATTTCCTCCACATGAATCCTTACTAGGCGAATTTGCGGAGCTTCTTGATGAAACTCTCGGCCCGCAATAAAACGGGAATTCGCGACGAAGTGTAAGGGTCACAAACTTCTAACATACATATATCCTGACAATCCTAACCTTCAGAAATTGCGCTGGGTCAAGATTCATGTTTTCTATGATTCCTATGGCATCAATTTCTCAGTCCTTTCTTGTACTGTAGATCGTCCGTGAACTATGTAGTGAGCCAGTTACATGCACTTAAGCTTTTAGCCGGATATAACCCTGGTTTTGGCGATTGGCCGATCTCGGGTAACAAACTCGCTGCATTCCATCTATCACAATACAAGATAAGCGTGAGGGGAAAACGCGCTGTGATAACAGAGACAATCTGTTAGATCGGCGGTTGAACTAGGGTAACTCATATATACCTATTCTGTACCTGCATTCGATGAACCGCCAACATGATCGCTCATCCGACGAGACTGAGCCGTTGCTGTGTCGCATGGCTGACAACGACATGACTTCTTCAGCACTAGAGTCGTCTCCTCTCGAGACGGGCGCTGATGCTGCCCTTGCGCGTCGCGTGGTGAAGAAAATTGATCGAGTCATTATACCTCTGCTGTTTGTTACTTACATGCTCAACTTTATGGACAAAGTTATTTTGTCGAGCGCTGCTGTGTTTGGATTGCGCGAAGATACTGTAAGAAATCACGACCCTCTACGGCGACAGCCGCATAATAAGAGAATTCGTAAACTCATCTATATATAGCATCTTGTAGGACAGCAATACAGCTGGGTGAGCAGCATCTTCTACTTTGGTTATCTCATATGGGAGTATCCAACCACGCTGCTTATCGCCCGTCTACCGACTGCCAAGTATCTCACCTTCAACACTCTTGTGTGGGGTGCTGTCGTGGCGCTGACGGCGGCATGTACCAACTTTGGGGGCCTCATGGCCGTGAGATTCCTGTTGGGAATGGCAGAAGCAACCATCACGCCGGCTTTTATGTTTCTGACGTCAACATGGTACACTCGAGACGAGATGCCGACGCGGGTAGGCATTTGGTTTGCGGGCAACTCCATCGGTGGCATCATTTCTAGTCTGATTGCATTTGGGCTTGGACACGTCCATGACAATGTGCATCCATGGCGATGGATGTATATCCTTCTCGGGGTTGTGACATTTCTCTGGAGTATCCCAATGTTTTTCCTTCTCCCAGACAGCATCTCAAAGGCGAAATTCCTCACGGCTGAAGAGCGGGAGATTGCAGCGAACCGCACAATTGTTGCGGGCACAGGAACTACTGAAAATACGCGCTGGAGATGGGATCAATTTGTGGAATGTCTGATGGACCCAAAGACTTGGCTCATCTTTCTTATCGAGCTCATTGGTCAAATGCCCAATAGCGGCACGCAAAGCTTCTCCAACATCATCATCGCGTCCTTCAACTTCACCTCCTTACAATCTACTCTCATCAATATCCCTTATTCCGTTCTCTCTGCAAGTATCATTGCAGGAACCGGGTGGCTTGCTGGCCGCTACCGTACTTTAAACTGCATCCTCATCGTTCTTGTCCTTATCCCATGTGTCGTTGGCTCTGCTGTCATCTACCGCCGCGATTCAGTGCCCCATGGCGTTCAGTTATTTGCGTATTTTCTCCTATCCCCTGGTCCTGCCGCGATGCCTCTCACCATGGCCCTCGTGCAGTCCAACTATCGCGGTGTTACGAAGAAGATGACGGTCACAGCCATGCTCTTTCTTGCATATTGTACAGGTAATATCGCTGGCCCTCAGTTCTTCCGCGCATCTGAAGCGCCAACCTATAAGACGGCTTTCAAGACAATTATGATTTGCTACTGCCTCGTCATATTTCTGGCTGTTGTTTTGAGATTTTATTTGCAGTGGATGAATGCGAAGCGCATGAAGGAAGAGGGCTTTGTTGGAAATGCGGGAGCAGCTGGCGTAGTGGCTGCGGGAAAGGTATCGGATGTTTTAGATGGAAAAGATGTTGCGGAAACAGTTACAGGTATTCAATTACGACCAGAGGATTACGAAGATGTGACAGACTGGAAAACGGTGGGATTTAGATATCGACTGTAGGTAATGATTTACAGTATTGTGCTAATCTGCACAACCTTCTAAATAACACCCATTCATCTCTGCATTATACAAGCGACACGCCTATTTTGAACGTATTCTAGAAAGTTTGTGAGCATAGGGATTTAGGCCAAGTCCATTTACCAACTAAAAGCTACCCGTAAATAAACAGTAAATAAAAACATCAGTCTATTATCGGTTCACTTCACTTCTCATGTACTAATTCTAACAAACGAACCACTTATTTTGTTTCCGATAGCTCAGCTGCCTTGCTATACTCAATAAGAGGTTCGCCACCAGCGACAATGCTATGAAAATGGCCAAGAGTAACTGTTGCTACTTCTTTGCTCTTATCGAGAAAGTTATCTTCATCTGGGGCAATAACGTTCAAGTAGTATGGGTCGTTAAAAGCGTTTAAAAAGTGCTCCAAGCTTGTGATTTCCCATATAACAGCGCCGTCAAAGTCCATAACAGCCAGGGGAAGCGGCGTTGCTGTTAATGGCTGGCGTAGAGCGCTAGATGTGTGGATCTAGTAACACAAGAGAGTTGATTTAGTTAAGCATAGAGAGACGTTCGAAGAATAGTTATGGTTACCTGTGTGTATCCGATTAAGCCATGCTTCTTGGACCAATACGCAATCTTGGGGGCGTGAACATTCCTCCAGTAGTCATAAAACTGCTCCTCTGTGAGGTCAGGTCGGCGTCTGATAAAGCATATTTTGTATAGCGAGGAACTCATGATGAGAAAGTTGAGGTAAATGATGAAAAATTGATGCCAGTATTATTAGACAAGAGATTTAAAAGTCAAAGTCAAATGAATTCATTATGATTGCCTTGATGCGCCACTCGCTGCTGTCGAGATATATATTTATATAGTCTCTACATATACAAACTTCATAAAGCACGCACTCGCCCGTCCTTCGGTCGAACAACCAATCTATTTGAGATCAACACTTAAATTGCGACGTCATTTATACGAGAGAATATGACTTGAACAGCAAAGAATCGGTCAATCGCACTGCCAACTAGGGGTACGCTAAGTGTGGAGAACTTCAACAGCGGCATCTTTCGTCCGCCGAGCTCGGCCGAATGAAATAACGTATGAAAGCCGGCAGCATAAAAATATCATGAAGTGAAGAGGAAGAGGGAGCATCTGGAAAATTCATTGAGGATATGGATCAATAAAATTCTATGTGCCATCATACGTATTTTTCACCATGAGCGAAATTACAAAAGTTATAGTGGTTGGGGTATGTTGGTTTCCACCACAAAACGTCAGTCACATATTCTAACCACGAATAGGCTGGAGGCTACTTGAACCCCATTGTAATTTCGTCCCTGCAGTCGCACGGATTCTCAGTCTCTGTTCTGGTTAGAAACACTTCGAACGTTGTGCCTCCCGCCGGAATCACGGTTTATCGCACCGATTATTCGGACTCTTCTCTTTTGCTTGCATTCAAGGACCAAGATGCTGTTGTTAATACAATTACAATGCCGGACTTTGCAGCGCAAAAGAAAATGATTGATATCGCAGTCCTGGCTAGGGTGAAGCGATTTATACCAGCGGAGTTTGGGATCGATACCTCGAAGGAGGAAACGGTCGAGATCATGACCTTTTTAAAGATGAAGCCACAGATTATACAGTACCTTCGATCTATCCAAGACAAAATAACTTGGACGGGAATCATAACCGGGCCCTTTTTCGACTGGTACGTAATCCACTGTCTTGTACATTATTTTCGTTCAACACATTGCACTATGGCGTTCTTCGAGCAGAGTTGTGCTGACGCAGGATTTTCGAACAGGAGTCTACGTCAGGGATTCTTCTCATTTGATGTCCCATCTCGCACAGCTTACATCCACCAGCCTGGGCACCATATGCACCGCTTCAGTTGGTCGAACTTAGCAAATGTTGCAGAGGCTGTGGCGCATGTCCTTTTGTCCAAAAATTTCCCAATCGTGGACAACCGATACGTGCATGTGAGATCATTCAATGCAAGCCAAGATGAAATTTTGCAGTCGCTTATATCGGCTACGAAACGAGTGGATATCTCAAGGGGCCGGGACCACACTGAGTGGAAGATCATTGATGTTGACCTCGAAGAGAAAGTCTTGGAGGCGCGGAATAAGTTGGCACAGGGCGACTCTGGCAGCCTGGGCTATATTCTTAGTAAAGCAATCTACCGGACTGGAGGCAATTACGATTTGGAGGGCGTCGTGATGAATGAAAAGCTAGGCATGAAGTTGGAAGAAAGCTTAGATGCCACTGTCGAACGAGAAGTGACGATGCTTTCATCTTGATTCAGGCATTTAATTAGGGGCTAGATACAGTCATTTATTATACCGGCTATTGTGGCCCATATGACTGCATTTATAAATATCCTCTCCATCAAGGTATTCATTGTCATTGGATACTTTGAGCTAGGGGCAAATACTTTGCTAAATATCGGCGCAACAATAAGTGGCCAAAAGCCTCCGAATACAAACGATATATTTTACACTAAAACTTGTTCTAATATTAAAGCTGAGTAATAAAAAATTAGAGAACTATTGTATTTTAAAAAACATTAGTAACAAATACTTAATTTTATCCTTCTTTTTATTCTTTTTTATATTAATTTATAGAGATTACCAGATTTTAAATTATATCATTCATATACAATTTACTTATACAGGGTTATGCTTGCAGGTATCGTGTTATTGGCCTTCATTGTTGGTTTAACTGTAAGCTATTACCTATATTTACACCATAATCTTGGAGCAAAGAGTATTAATAAATTCTGAATGATCAAAAGTCTATATATATCCTTCTATTAGACTACTATATTATGTATTTTTTTTTCTCTCTCTATCTCTCTAATTTTCTTCAACATGAAATGATGAAATCCTATAAGTATTTTGTAGGGTGACTTTTGGTGTTCTGAGGTGATGCACCGTCATATTCTTGGACGCTTTTGACTGCATGCATGCAGACCTAGGTATTATATAAGCTGAGGCATGTTCCCATATCTAGTGCTGTTTGCTGTGTCGTATTACATGAAAACATTTGCTGCTGTTCAATATACTAGTTTCTGACGAGACAACTGGAAACGTTCGATAATGACACAATCGATAAAAGTTTCGTAGGATTTATGGCTCGGACGATTAGCAATGAGTTAAATTCAGAGCTGCTTAAACAGTCCTTAGGCTTAAGAAACATTATTTCCAGAACTGGGAAAAGCTAATTTGCCCAGAGTCGTTCACCCCTGCACCATTAGGCAATCGAAACGGCCGACTTCCGCGCTTGGGACAAGCACAAAGGACCATGTATATTAAACGCCTTTGAGCTTTTTGTTTGCTATTGGCTGGCTCTACGCTGTTACTGGTAGTATTGCCCGTTGGACTTTTACTTGCGCCCATTGCCACGTACGCCAAAGGTGTACCAGCATCAGATCAGAGTAGCACTCAAAGTTGCTGAAAGACAAAGCCTTGTAGTTTCGACCAAACCCGGTCATGGTTCACCTGACTACGGGGTACATGTAAGAGATCATCCCCCGTGCTGGCGACCAGGTCGTCGGGACGCCATCGCGATGTAAGGTAAGCCTTAAAGCCTCATAGCTCGAGAACTTCAGCGAGAATCTCGTCATCACTAAGAACACCCCTCCGGCATGGCCAATGATAGGCCTGGACTTACAACCTCCCAAACCGTCTGCTTGCATTAGCAAGGGTGCCGGAGCCCGCCAAGCTAGCTGTTAGGTCCACTTTCGGCTACCAATACCACCATCACTACTGATTCTGGAGTCTGATAAATGGTGGTTAGTTGTGGGAAGGTTCCTGCGCCCTGGGGGCAGACCACCCTGCTGTGCTGTGGGCGAATTTCTCCAAGTCGGCATCCTGTGCTAGAATGCCCCGCCGAACACAAGGCCAATAGGTAGCACCCAACAATATTTCTGCCGTGGAATGATTTGTTTCTTAAAGCATGGCGCATTCGTATACACATAGTCTCCTGGCATGGCGCTGCGGATAGTGCTAGTGAGGGGTTAATAACACAAGTCACCGACTCCATGGAGTGTGAGCGGCCCCTAATAAGTAATCGGGCCAAGTACGAATAGAACGTGGAGATTCCATTTATTTGTACCCACGACCCTCGATCGTTTCACCATCACTTGAGAAACACCAAATCAACCTCGAGATACCTACAGAATGGCTCCATCGTCTGTTCAGCATCGCCCGGGCCACTCGCTGCCGCATCTCAAGGTCCGAAAGGTCCGCAAGGGCACGCGGAGCTGTTGGGAATGTAGGTTTTTTTTTTTCAGGCCGCCAGCATATTCCTGCAATCAGCTTCCACTGGCTATTACCATCCAACTGTTAATCATGATGGATTTCTAGGCAAACGTCGCAAGATCAGATGTACATTCGCTGACGGAGACTCGACCAAATGCGTGTGGTGTCTTTCCCACGGTTCAGCCTGTGTCAGCCAGCAATACCAAGATGACAGCAGCGATCATTCGCGCTCTCAAAACATGGAAGAGCGGGTGCTTCGTGTAGAGAGTTTATTAGAACGAGTACTTGAAAAGCTGGAGGCTGGAGCCCAGCATACGCAGCAGACCACGGAGTCCTCGGAACACGCGACAACTACCGAGGATAGCACCGGAATCGACGTTATTAACACGGATTCGATATCAGCACCCTCTTCAACATCTAACGTGGTTTCTGTCTTTCACAACGCTTCTGTAGGCTGCTTTCCCCCCCCCCTTCCATACTAGCATGAAATATTCGCTAAATCCCTCTCTTCACTCCTTCTAGTTTATGTTGGAAATTGGTGGTGAAGGGATATCTTCCACAGATGCATCAGCCTCAACACTAGATGGCAACCGAGCCCTGGTGCCCGGCAGCACGAGAATGTGGCCGAAACTAGGGAGAATATCTCGCATGCTGCTAGAGCTTACACCGCCTCGTGCAGTTGTTGAACTCATCGATAGCGAAAGCTCACCCTGGATCGGTCAATTGCTGCGGCCCCTACCTTCTCTTCGTCAATCCCTCAAATTTTCGCTAATCAGAATGCTGCCGATCGAACCGACACCTGCTAGGCATCCGACAGTTATTGCAAGAGCTTTAATGGTCATTGTTATATGTCTACAACAGCTTCCAAAGAGTACAGATATGAAGAAGTACCGATTACCATCTTCGCGAAACGAATACATGGAACAGGTTACGACAGCTATAATCTCCTTGGTGACATCTGATGACGAGATTATTGCCACAAACGAGGGCCTGGAATGCCTACTTCTCATCTCCATCTTCTTTGTCAACTCAGGCAGACCGCGGCGGGCATGGCTTAACAATCGAAGAGCTTTAGCAGTCGCGCAACTAATGGATCTCCACAGGGCCTCTGTGCACGATACCGAGGAGGACGGCAGCATAGTGGGTATCTGGCCTCATCTTCTGCACCACGACCGTCATCTCTCTCAGATTCTCGGATTCCCCTGCGGAATTATAGATTCGTACGAGCCTTTCGTGTTAGACGACCTCGCATTTATGCAACACTTGAGTGAAAGCCAGCAAGATATGCTTTACCAAAGGCAGCTTGACAGGATCACCGCCCTTTTGATCGAGAGAGATCAACGCTCTCCAACACTAGCAGTCCCCATCATGATGTCCATCGATAGTGCACTGGGTAGTTTGGCAAAAGCCATGCCGTATTCATGGTGGCATCCGTTTGACCGGGTCTCAGGAAGCCAAGCAGGAGCAATGGGCATGCTCTACAGTCGATATAACGTTCAACTATGGCACCATCACCTCGACATGTCGAATCACCTACCGTTTATGCTCGATGTTACAGACGAACGGCGAGGCGAGTACAGCAGGATTCAGTGTCTCAGGGCCGCACGAGAGCTCATCAAAGTCTATATCCCACTGCGAACGACATTTGGCATGTTCTCCTGCTGCATGACAAATTTCCAAGCATTCACAGCCGCAGTGGCTATCATCTTCAACATGTTTCTACAGACACCAACAGCCGAATTCGAAGTTTTGTCTGGCCAGAGAGCCGGAGACTGGGCCCTGATTGCGGCTATTATCGACGTCTTGGATGCGGCAATTGAGCGATTCGACGACCGCGTGGCGCTACAAGCGCGCGATGTTCTAAAGCTGCTCCAAGCAATAGAGAATGACCCCAAAAGCCTGAAGGGCGACAAGTTTCACTTTACGATACCCTATTTCGGGGTCATCTCCATTGCTCGGAAGATGCCTGCCGGCGAGCCAAGCGATGCGACGGTAATGCAGACCGACAACACCAATGGCGACCACATGACCGATCCTTCACTAGGCCTGGATTATTCGCCGTCGTTTATGACCACAATCGACTTTATGGGGCCTAATACTGCGGTTGACGTTGACGAGCTGATGAAGCAGTGGTTGGCCGAGGAGGTGTAGTCGGTTCTCTCGAAACAGCAAATACCACTAGGTCTTCGGAGAACAAGGATCTAGTTCCTTTATAGTGAAGGCATTCACGTCAGCAGACTAATTTTGACATATTAATTTCTTGCTGGCAGTTTCCCCATGCGGGATAAAGGTCAAAGCTCGGCGTTCAAGGGAGTAGGCCGATTATATAGGCAAAAGCGGCAGTGGCTTCATGCAATACTACGGCATGGTAGTATCGATACCCTCATATACAGCAATTGAATTCAAGGATCATTTAGGTTCTTATATGTCTGCTACGTGCGCAGTCCCAGTTCGTGCTAGGTTGAGGCTATCGCTTCGCGGATGCGGAAATAAGCTACGCAAGACGCGTGAGATTCGGAAATCGGGATTAGAGATGCTAACCCAGAGCGCGTATTGAGCACATTACTGTATCACCAACTCTTCTGGCATGGACAGGGATTTGTAAGCTGCTCGGAACTAGCCGAGGTAAGCAGCGCACATGTCTATGGTCTTTGAGTAATGGCAGAGACAGGAACTCGTTGCCTTGACAAGCGAAGCCATAGTATCGCGTATTTCAACATCATGGATAGCACGATTAGATATAATAGGATAGAAAAAAAATCCTCAATGTTTAAGGGCAATTTTGCATTTAGGGCAAAGTTTATTGCTTTACTGCGGAAACAACACAAACAAGCCAGATCAATATACTGCACTTAGTTTGTTGTTTTAAGCTTTGCATTACGTTTAAAACTATATAGGGAGTATATACAATACCAATAGTATGATACACGTAATACCTAATATACTCTCTTTTCCTCTAGTTTCTTTGGTGTTCCATTCATGCAACTTACTCTATAGGCTTACTCATGCATGATAAGCCTATCCTTTTTCGCATTTTATAAAGAAACCCCTCGTAAGCATGCAGATGGGTGCTAACCATGAGATATCCTACAATTTGTTGAATTATGAGTTCCCGAGACGCAAGCGGTAGTAGTGCTATGTTTGAGCTTCCTCCTCTGGTATTCCCCGTGTATCCCCGAGCTTATTCACCGTTATTCCGTACTCCATAGTGTAGCTTCTGCTTTCCCAAACCCCGGCTTTATATTAACATTATGCATTATTATGTAATTCGCTGCATTTATGCTTACTTTCGGAAAACATGATTGACTGCCCCGTATTCCCTTCTTTTGTAGCTCTGCTATGAGTTTTGCCTGTGAATAGGAAACAACGAACTTCATCTCCGGGAAACCAATCTTTCAGATCATAGTTACGAGGTGCATTGTGGCATCCCTCCTGATATATCACTCTACTACATAGTATAAGATCCTTGATCCTTGAAGATACTGCCTATCTACTATACTATTTCACACAGTCGAGGAGATAAGAAGGCTTATGAGGTATGCAGTGCGTCTCTAGGGCGTGAGCCAAAATGAAGGGACCCCTGTCTATGGCGTGTCTTTAATAGTTTCTATCATTCTCTGGCATGACGTATCGGGAGCACTCCTCGCACACCAAGATTTAAAGTATGGCTCTTATAAAGCACCCCAAGTATTTCGTATGTATTTCACACTACCCGTAGGTATACAAGCCATTGGCAGACATCAATGTCAACGCCACTGTAGGGCTGAACCGTTTCCCCAGATCGGTTACGACCAGGGCCTTTCTTTCCTTGTAGCATTCGAATCCTCTCCAACATAATGTCCTGTTCTTGATTTCATGGAAGATATTATGCTAAGACTACCAATACCAATGTTGTTTGTGAATGTGGCTGCCAAGCTTAAGAGGAGCCAAGAGGCTAGGGTGAACACAATACAAATAAATAAAGACTGCCAATTAACCATAACTACAATTTGACAGGGCCTAACATATGTATCTACTGGGTCAACAGCGCTCGATACGTAAAGGTGGAAATACTATTTATTTATATCTTTCATTTATAGTCCAATGTAATTCATGATTCCACAGCTAGAACAAAGAAGGTTACTATTTTGCTAGCCTTTTTAGGCCAAATCGTTTCCCACGGCAGCTATTTTACTTACAGACAAAGGGACCCACGATTTAACTCAATGAGAGGGGGCGCAGCCACATAGTGATGGATGTAATCTTGCCAAAAATATGACAGATTGGATATGGCCAATCCTCGCATCATGTCAGTGCCGCAATCGTGTCAAGATAGCTAGGCCTGCTTATAGCTTCATCGGCTAACTGATGGTTTAGTATTGCAAGTAAGGACGAAAAAGAGACTGGCGGCTAAGATAAGATCCATCAACACAAGTGGTCTATTATTGTCTCTTCCCCTCTATGTTTATCTTTTGGTAAGCTAAAGATGCTATAAGACCCAAGGCTATGGATCACCCTGGAAAGACAGGACCCGCATCAGCTACGAGAATTTTTCAGTGCGTTTCGAATCGTCAACAGAGTGTTGCGATTTCAGTCACGCGAGGTGATTTCTTTTTATGGCCGTTACAGAGGCTATGAGTTTGCCCATGTAGCCAAAACCGATTCTGTCATACCCCTTTTATTGAAATACAGCAAACATATCATGTGTAGGTGGATAGTAAATATATCTTGATTATCTCATCATCACCTTGGAGGTCCCCTAAAGCCCCACGTCGATGGGATCGTACCCACGCGGTATTAGTCTCAGCCTCACGCTTGGGCCCGTGTCAGCATTTAACAAGGAGTAAAGCGATTTCAACTCTACAATATGCTCCGTACTCGACACAGCCCGAATGTCTATTCGGTCAAGCCGCCGGGGAGCGCCGCTCGCCCCTGTATCATAATTTTAGCAGTGCTTACTAGCTTCTTGGTGTTCCCTAAGAATAGCTGCTTAATGTGGACTACTCACTGCCGATCGTCGTGAAACGCAGTGGGGGACGGTTTCTAACCAATGAATCTGAACCATCTTTTATGAACAGGACCACTGAGTGAAGGCCACAGTAAGACGCAGCGCCCCATTTATCACGGACGTGACCATTTCCACCATTGTGAGCTCAACCGTCTCGGAGAGCTTACCTAGTTGTTCGAGATCGGCGGAGAGGTCCTGAAGTGATCTGCGTTGCGATTTTGACGGGCTTCCTGATAGGCTTGTGGATGTCTAGTATAGGCAGGACACAATGGACAGCCTGCAACATTATGAGCCCCGGGCCGATGGGCATGAAGACCCGGTCCGAGGAGTAATTGCAGCAGCGAGACAAGCGAAATTCTTTATATAGCTTTCGATGATTTCCGGGGTGTCTGTCATGTTTTTAATCACGCGGCACTCGTGGGTGTAGCCAACCACCAGGATACTGCTTCTTTTATTACGAGCACCGTCTCGTTTTTCATTCCTTTATACTGCCTTTTGTGTTCTAACACTCTAGCTTCAGTCTCTCCTTCACCATGTTGAAGTCCCTCACCGCTGCGGTGGCCTTCCTGGGCGCCGTTACAGCCTCGCCAGCAGTTCTCCGCCATCATGGCCGCTCTGCACTTCAGCCTCGAGCAAATAGCTCCTTTTGGTATGCTTCTATGGACCACACTGGTCAGTTCAAGGGCTCTGCGCCTTATGTATCAGATCCCGATTCGTACAACGTGTTTGTTGCCGTCAACCCTGGTGACGCCGGTTCTCTTCAGAATGCCATCGACTCAGCTGGTAGCGGCAACCGACAGAACGAATGGCTGGCATCGCAGCCTCGTGTCGTGTACATCCCATCTGGAACATACGAGCTCCAGAACACTCTCAACATGCGGACTGACACCATTCTATTCGGTGATGCTACCAACCCTCCCGTCATCAAGGCCGCGGCAGGATTCAGCGATAAGTACCTCGTCAACGGCCAGGACCCCTCGACAGGTGAAGCCGGCGAACTTTCCTTTGCTGTTGGACTGAAGAATGTTATTTTGGACACTACTGCTGTGGATGGAAGCTCTGGTATCTCTGCTCTTTACTGGGGTGTTGCTCAAGCTTGTCAGCTACAGAACGTCAAGATCACCCTTGCGCCCTCAGTCAACGGCAAGGGCCACACCGGTGTTCAGCTGGGTCGTGGATCTACTCTTGCACTTGCTGATATCCGAATTGAGAATGGCCAGACTGGTATTTGGCACAACGGCCACCAACAGGCTCTCTACAAGAGCATCTACTTCTACAAGAACACTGTTGGCATGCTCATCAGCGGCGGCAACACCATCAGTCTCTTGAGCCCTACCTTTGATTCCGTTGGTACTGGTGTTTCCAATACTGGTGGCAGCCCCTTCATCGGAATTGTCGATGCCACATCTATCAACTCAGGCGTTACTTTCACAACCTCCGTTTATCCTTCCATTGTCATCGACAACTTGACCAAGGATTCCGACTCCGATGTTGCTGTTATCCGCGGCACAACAACTGTCGGCGCATCAAAGAACGTCATCAACTACAGCTACGGAAACACTGTTGGAGGTAACCCTGTTTACGGCGGCGTTAACGGCAACACGACTCGCCCTAGCGGTGTTGCCCCTGGCGGTCGTATTCCAGCTGTCGTCGTGCCCAACTACGCTAATAGCCCTGTGAGCGACTTCATCAATGTTAAGGATCCCAGCCAGAATGGAGGCCAGACCGTCAAGGGTGATGGCAGCACCGATGACTCTGCTGCCCTTAACAAGGTCCTCCAGTTCGCCGCCACTAACAACAAGATTGCTTACTTCCCCTTTGGCGACTACCGTGTTGAGTCTACTCTCCTGGTCCCGGTTGGCTCCCAGCTTGTTGGAGAGGCCTGGGCAACTATTTCTGGCGGTGGTGACTTTTTCAAGGACTCATCCAACCCCAAGCCTGTTGTCCAAGTCGGCAACGAAGGCGATGTTGGTGTCGCCCAACTCCAGGACTTCCGCTTCACTGTCTCCGACGTTCTGCCTGGTGCCATCATTGTCCAGTTCAACGCAGCCGGTGACAAGCCTGGTGATGTCGCGCTTTTCAACTCTCTCGTAACCGTCGGCGGAACTCACGGTGCCAGTGCCTTGACCAACGCGTGCACCGACGCCAGCAACGAATGCCAGGCAGCTTTCATTGGCCTGCACTTCACCGAAAACTCTTCGGTCTACGTTGAGAACACTTGGAACTGGGTTGCTGACCACATCACCGAGGGCTTCAACGGAGGATCTAACATTGCCGCAAAGGGCGGTGCTTTGGTCGAGTCCACCAAGGGCACTTGGCTCAACGGTCTCGGTAGCGAGCACTGGTGGCTGTACCAGCTCAACCTCAAGTCTGCCAGCAACGTTGCCGTCACTCTCCTGCAGAGTGAAACCAACTACGACCAGGGCGACAACACTCAGCAAGTCCCTCCTGCGCCGTGGACTGCCGATGTCAAGGGCTGGGGTGACCCTGATTTCTCTTGGTGTGATGATACTGCGCGTTGCCACATGGGCCTTGCCAACTTTGTCCAGGGGGGCTCTGACATTTACTACTACGGCTCTGCTTCTTGGGCCTTCTTCAGCGGCCCCGGATACCAGGGCTGCTCTGGTTCCTATCAGTGCCAAGGTACGTTCATGATAAACTATTTCAAAGTCACTATTTACTAACATGAAACAGATTACATGCACTTCATCTCATCGACTCCCACAAACCTTCAGATGTACGGAATGTGCTCCAAGGACACTTCAGTTGCTCTCCGCCTGGGCGACGGTACCAAGATCAATGCCCAGCCTGACTTCACTGGAGGCTGGAGCCCTGGTGCCGACATTGGTCGCTACACTTCTTAAACGTTTTGAGATGATGAAAGCTTTTGATTATAAAGAGTAAATGTAATATGCCTGTATATTAAGTGGTCTTTGCATATAATTTGTGCTTCTCTGTCTATAGAACGTTTTCTTTATTGAAGCAAAATAGATATCCTTTCTGATTTGTGATTGAAACCATGGACAAGTTTCGAAATTTTGAAGCTGCAAGTCTTCTCACATATTCTGTCTTTGTCAAATTTTGTTCATTTGTGAGTGAGCTTATACGTGAATACGTGAATACGTTCTAGCAGTTGGCAGCTGGAAAGCAGCAAACATACATGCTCCAGACAAAGTCAAAAACACCATGGCATAACTGAAGAGATTTAGTTAAATTTTCAGTGCCATATCTTGAGAGAGAATCAGCTGGTTACATGTACATGTCGCTGTTACTCGCACTGGTGAGTGTCTAGTCTGGAGGTCTGCTCCCGCAACGAATCAATCTTTGGCTCTCCAGCTTGTTCTAGCTTTGTGTAGCTAGCGCCCGGCGCAAATGATGCAACATCAGTAGATTGTCTTGAGTACTGAACACATCTCATGACTGCGACTGCTGACAGATGCGCCCAAAGTTTTGGCACGTGAATTTGTCAGCAGGTGCATTCTGGCAGTTGAAGCTACATAGATAAGTGACACAAGCGAATCGCTTACATAAAATGTGCCTAGAGTTTCTCTTCTTTTGCTTTTTTTTTCTTCTATTAATTATTTCGCTCTTGACAAAGTAAGCAATAATTGAACTAACCAGCGCAGTCTTTGGTTGTAACGGAAAACCTGTCAAGCAATAACAACAATGGATCAAACAACGGGAATAATCGAGCGAGAGTTTCCCAACGCCGTCACATATGATGTCTCGCAGCCGGATAAAGTTACAGTTACACTCCCCCCAAAATCAACATGGTCAAGCGGCCTTCACTGGCACGAAACACACACAGAATACCTCAAGGTGATCAAGGGCAGCATCAAAGTGCGCCTGGGGGATACCGAGCAAATCATCACAGCTACTCAAGAGAACCAGCCAGAACTCAAAGTTGAGCGCTATGCGTGGCATGAATGGCAGCGGGCGGAGCTGGAGGGCGATGAAGTTGTAGTGGTTGAGAGGACGGACCCAGCGGATGGTGAAAAGGCCATATTCTTCTGGAATCTCAATGGGGTCATCTTGAATGCTGGAAGGGTCCTCAACACAAACGTGCCTGGATTTTCCTTCTTTCCGGCGTCAATAAAAGACTTGATCATCGACTTTTGGATCAGACTCAATCTGTTTATCATCTTTCACTCTTTGGACAATATTCCCGTCATTTTGAGTACGACGAAGTATTGGAACGGAAAGGCATCGCGGGCAAAGACTGGCTTGTCGGCAGACTGGTTTGTGTCTCACTTGCTGCTGTCGCTCGCTTCTTTAATCGGTCGTCTTTTTGGACTGCAGGCTGTGAGGGCAGAATATACACCTCTATCGAGCTACCAGCGCTGGCAGGAACATCACAATTTTGATAAGTCGAAGTAATATTTTGGAGCGTTGTATTTTATTGAACCGTTAAAGCGTCTGCAAGTGTTGATATATATATATACATATATATACATATTTATGCCTGGGTCTCTCATGTGAAACTCAATTTTCTCGGCAGTGGCCAGGTCTCATACATGCCGTGTTAAATAATGGTTATTAGATAATTTCCTCAAACGCCACCACCACATCGGCATGCTTGGACCACCCGTTCTTCAGCCTTGATTTAAGCTTACCGGCTTATGTTAATCTCTATGCGCCGAATGGTGGCTTCGGTTGGTACCTGCGTCTCTCTGAAACAGGAGCAATCTCAGATGCAGCATAGTGGTGTAGCTTTTTTGCTGATCCCTATTGTCCTCTCATCATATTTTTAGACGACATCCGACTCTTATTATTCTCTTTGCAAGCGTATAGGTCGATGCCCCGTTCGACGTCGCAGCCCGACCAAATTGCCCATCTTTCATTGCGTTTTCCGATTATTAATTCGCTGGCTAGTTGGCTTCTCCTCTTTTCAAATTCCTGCAACAACACCCGATCCAACGTGTTCGCCATGGGTATGAAGGAGTTTATGACACATAGACGTAGTATGCAGCATGCTGTGTCGTAATCGCCATCGGAAAAGCAGTTAATATGGAGCTTCAGCGTTGCACTCGGATGCGTAGCTTCAATTTGCTCTCCCCGCACTTTAACTTTTCTTGATCTTCGGTCGAGCAAGTTCCGTAGACGTCCCTTGCATCACACTAGCAGGATTACCACTTGTAATTGTCTCTCTTGATTCACCATCATCTGATTAGAAGATCAATTGCCCGGAGTTTTCATTTACAGAAGCATCGGCATCAGTATTCCCGATCCGATTCCCAGTCGGAGCACATCATTCTGATGGTCTAGCTTTACAAGGGAACTGGTGCTTTCCGCAATGGGGCCTCGCATGTATGAATTATATCCGCCTCCCGCTCGAATGTGATCGCGATTGGTGACACCATAATCGTAGGGAACCATCTGCCGGCGGTTACCGGTTGTGGCGGCATTTGGGGCCCCGGCCCGGCCATGGTCTTCTCTCCCCAATGAAGTCATTCACACATACGGCTTTGTCCCTCGTCTCGCCGCATTGTTGGGCGATCGACGCGACCATGGCTCCATTCGACATCATGCAGAAAGCGCGTTGTGCAACAATGGCCGAGCATTCTTCCGGACCCCTCATTGATGTCTCACTCCAGGCAGGTATGGTTGAGAACTAGTCTAGGAGACATAAAAGCTGCAAGGGGCGGCAGCAAAAGAGGATGGCTCTGCCTACAAGTCGACAGCCTGGAAACTGCTTGGCAGTGTCTGAGTTTAATTTGCAGCCTCCGCGCTTTCTGCGTGTGGCCACTACCACAATCCAAAACTCTGTCTCGAGAGAGGTAGGAAAGCTATTTTCTTCCTGGGAAAGGAAACGTCATATCCCAGAGATGGGGTTTACGAGGCCTCTTTTCGCCGCGCTCGGCATCTTCGCCGGCACAGCAGTGGCAACTACCGAAAGCTCCAGCGCAGCAGCTATTCATGATCTGAGCCTTCTCAAATGGACAGTCACGAATGAATATGGCAATATCACTGTTCCTGGCAAATTTCCATCGCAAGCTCACCTAGATCTCCACGCAGCTGGAGTGATTGGTAAGTCAAGGAAACACAGTAATTCAACGCATATGATGCTGTTCACCATGCTAACCAGTAAACCACAGATGAACCGTGAGGACCACTCTTTGATGATCATAACAGTGTCAATTCAAGGGGCAAGACTAATGCGAATAATAACAGAAACTCCGGCCTGAATGACTTTGACCTACGATGGATTGCAGCCCAAAATTGGACATATACCAGCAAGCCTATTAACGGACTGTAGGTGAACACTAGAAGTGGCCAGCGTTTTTACTCACCTCATAGATAAGCATAATAACTAACAGCAGCTCTAGGAGCAAACAATCGAGCACGGCTACTTGGCTGGTATTTGACGGCTTGGATACATACGCAACCGTCAAGTTCTGTGATCACATTGTTGGCACACCAGACAACCAGTTCCGACAATGGTTTTACGACGTCTCTTCTGTTCTTGCTAGCTGCAAGGGCGATCCCGTTCTAAGCATCAATTTTGGAAGCGTGCCTCGCATCATCAATGCTATTAATGCAAGCAGCGAAGTGCAGCGTGAGTGGCGGATCTTCTTCCCAGATATCTCGTCTTATACATCTGTGCAGGAAAACTAATATGTCACTAGATTGGCCGGCTTCGGTGGTTTATCCTTTTGAATATCCCAATCGCCAATGGGTTCGCAAGGAACAAAATGACTTCGGCTGGGATTGGGGCCCAGCGTTCTCTCCTGTGGGCCCTTGGCTGCCTGGACGCATTGTTCAGCTCAGCAAGGGCGGCGAGGTGTACTCTCTAAACACGGATATCGACATCTTCCGAAAGGGTCAGTTCAATAACTTTGCGCCAGATCAGTCCGCGCCATGGGTTGTCAATGCAAGTCTCGACTTTGTGGGAACGCTGCCAAAGCATGCTTCTATGTCAGTGGTCATCACAGATGCAAAGGATAGCCGTTCAGTGTTGTATTCCGGCATTTTGCAGGGCGTGACACAGTCCGATATGACCATCACTGGCTCTGTGACCATCGATGCCAGCAAGCCGAAGTTGTGGTGGCCTCGAGACATGGGTAGCCAACAACTATACAACATAACAGTCTCTGTCAGCAGCGCAGGGTCTAAGACGCCTCTTCTTGTCTCCCAGCGGCGTGTGGGTTTCCGAACCATTTTATTCAGCTCAGGAAACGTCACAGAAGCCCAAATTGCCAGTGGCATCACGCCGGGAAATAACTGGCACTTTGAGATCAACGGCCACGAATTTTACGCCAAGGGAGCCAATTTGATCCCTCCTGACGCCTTTTGGCCAAGAGTCACCTCTGATAGAATGAACCGCTTATTCGATTCCGTTGAGTCACAAAACTTCAACATGCTTCGTGTTTGGTCCTCTGGTGCATACTTGCCAGACTGGATCTACGATATTGCCGATGAGCGCGGGCTGCTACTCTGGAGCGAGTTTCAGTTCAGTGATACTTTATACCCCGACAGTCCAGAGTTTAAAGAAAATGTTATTGGTGAAGTTACCTACAACGTTCGCCGCCTGAATCACCACGCCTCCTTGGCATGTTGGATGGGTGGCAATGAATTTGAGAACCTCATGTTGCCAATTGCCCAGGGCGCCGATCCAGCAACCTACCCATATGTTTTGGGACAATATGAAGATCTTTTCATCGTTACGATATTCAATATTCTGGCGGCCAACAGCCACTCCATTTCGTACAGCCCCTGCAGTGCAAACAATGGCTGGCTGGATATTGACCTTAGTCTACCTATTCCTATTGTTGAGAGATACTATAACACGACTTCTGGACATATCTATGGCGATACTGACTTTTACAACTACGACACATCAGTGTCTTTTGACACTTCTGCGTACCCAGTGGGTCGTTTCGCCAATGAATTCGGCTTCATCAGCATGCCTAGTATCCAAACGTGGCAGCAGGCCGTCGAGCCTCAAGACCTCCACTTCAACTCGACCACGGTCATTCTACGAAATCATCACTACCCCGCCGGTGGATTGACAAGAAATATTCGCAACAGCACCCTGGGCCAAGTCGAGATGACTCTTGCGGTGGAGCGGTACTATCCTACACCCGATAAAACTGATTCCGTCGCCAACTTCAGCGCCTGGTGCCACGCTACTCAGCTGTTCCAAGCTGACATGTACAAATCCGAGATTCAGTTTTACAGACGAGGCAGCGGCATGCCAGAGAGACAACTTGGCTCACTATACTGGCAGCTCAACGATATCTGGCAGGCTCCAACTTGGGCAGGCCTGGAGTATGACGGACGATGGAAAGTTTTACCGTATGTTGCTCGCCGGACTTACGACCATGTTATTGCGTCGGCTTTCTGGAACTACACTGCCAACCAGCTCGAAATCTGGGTTACATCGGATCTCTGGGAGTCTGCATCTGGTGAAGTATCTTTGACTTGGGTTGATCTAAAAGGCAAAGCTATTGCAAACAACGCGGGTATGCCGAAATCGATCAAGTTCGAAGTTGGTGCCATCAACACTACGCAAATCATCTCCACAAACGTGGTGTCAGATCTCAAGATTCCAGACACTAGTAATGCTGTCTTGATCATTGAACTCACTGCCAATGGCAAACTTCCCAATTCAGCCAGCAGTAAGGCGACAACTTTTACTCACCACAACCACTTCCTTCCTGTCTGGCCAAACCAAGCGAAAGTATCTGATCCCAAGCTGCAACTATCATATAACAAATCCAAGAAGACCTTCACGGTGGAATCCACGGCTGGTGTATCTTTGTATACATGGTTGACGCATCCGGCTGGAGTTTTGGGATTCTTCGACGACAATGCATTCGTGTTGGCTCCCGGACAGAAGAAGGAGGTCGGCTTTACTCTCCAGCAAGATACTACTGGAGGAAAGTGGACTGAGCAGGTAACTGTGGAGAGCTTGTGGGATTTGACTACGCAGTAGCGATAGTACAGTTGAGAATAATAAATAAAAAGAGGCTATATTCACTCTCACAACGCAAGCTTTGATGCTAAACGTCAATTAAAATAATGGCATATTTATCATCTAATTAAGCTGTTGTGTAAACTGATATCATATCCCCAGTCTAACAGTCTGATGCCCCCGTGAAGCGTACACCGTCTCGGAATTTCCCGATTCAGATTTCGTTGTAATAGTACCATATTCGTTGATGAAAATCTCCATCGCTTTACCCGCATCTTCCTCTCGAGATGCGTCGACGCCTACTCTCTATTCACCAGTATTGCCATTTCAGTGCCATCATGTAGCCGCCAACGTAGCATATGAGAAAGTGAAATTTGGAAGTCTGTTAGGTAACTATGGATGGATCAGTCCTAGGTCATAAGAATAAGGTCTCTCCTACAGGATCATAGAATGCGTAACAGTAAACCACTATTATACTTGAATGTTTTGTCCAGCAATGTCTGTTCCCTTGTGGTTACTTCGGGCGTAATAGACCTGCTCTAGTATTTAGATGTATTGTTGCATAACCTAATGCAACAACTCCACGATTACAGCCAACCTCACTAGTCTCGAGACTCTACAAGGGGAAATAACTGGGCCCTGGGCTAAGTTTAGAGCAACTGAGAAGCGTTGTGCCCGACTCTTTTTCAACAAAGAGACGTCGAATGAACGGGTACAAGTTCCAATGGAATAGTAAGCCGGATTGACGGCTAAATACAATATCATGAGTCACGGTAATTCAACACACAAATCAGCACTTTTGCTAGCTGCAACTAGTACTAAGCGACGACGTATACAAATGACGATTTAGTGGGGATGACGAAGCGACCTACGAATCAACATGCGTGGCCTATGAGGTTAGAACTCTAGAGCTTCATAGGTCTAGCACTTATAAATAAGCACAACTAACTAACAAAGAGGACTCTCATGGTCAAATACTACGTGCTTAGAGTTGGCTTCCCCTCTTCAAAGCATTCGAAACATATTTCTCTTCTGCCTTGACGTATCAGAATCGCTTCATATATCGAAGCCTGACTATTTCTGCTTTATATTACCACTATTACTCATACTTAAACGTTTCTCGCACACATCATGTCAACCCTATTTAGTCAGTTAGAGGACCTCATTCGCTCTGGGCATGAGGGACATGCTAGCGCTGCCTCTGTATTAGCCCAGCTAGGCACTCCTTGCGCCTCAGTCGCCATCATGGAAGATGGTGTAATATCATCTCACTGTTTTTCGACTGGCAAGGATGACACAGAGACAATCTTCCAAGCTTGTAGCATATCGAAGCCAACGTTTGCGGTCGCTTTGATGAAACTCGTTGACCAAGGCAAGCTTAGCCTTGATGGCTGCATCGGCGATTTATTGCCACAGGATGTTTTGGATATATTGACAAAAGATGCATCTTCTGCTCGGATATCTGCCATCAAGAGCATCACCGTCTCCCAGCTTCTAAGCCATACCTCTGGGCTCTCCCAAGGTGGCTTCCCCGGCTACTCTGTCTTGGACGATGCTCGGATTCCAACACCGCGTGAGGTGTTAGCTGGCGCATATCCTGTCAATACTAAAGACGTGCACTTGCAAGGATTTCCGGGCCAGTCGCTATCCTACTCCGGCGGTGGATTCACAGTCCTTCAGTTTGTCTTTGAAAGCATTACGAAAAAGGACTTGCCCACAGCAATGCAGGATATAGTACTTGGACCTCTAGGCATGACAAGATCTTTCTACAATGAACTACCACCCGAGGAGAAAAACTCAGCAAAAGCACACTATACCGGCTACACTCCCTGCGAGGATGCTCAGCGTGTCAACCCTGAACAAGGTGCTGCGAGCTTATGGACTACACCCAGCGACATCTTGAAACTGGTCAGAGCCGTACAGCAATCTCTCCAGAGCTCTGATAATAGCGGATTCCTTCGACAGGAAACAGCCAAGACCATGTTGACGGTCGTAGATCTAGACATTGCCCATTCATGGTTTATACCCGGAGATTCACGAACAGTCTTTTCGCACGGCGGCAGCAACTGGCCCGGCTTCAGAACGTATGTTGCGGGGTATGCGAATCTTCCTGGTGGAAGCAAAGTCGAAGTGCCAAAGAATTGCGGCATCTCTATCATGACGAATTCGGCAGAGGGAGACTTTACCATATGGAAACTCTTGCAAGCCATACCTTTCCTTAAGAAGTGGCCAGAGATTCCTTATCCAATAGGCTATCCAACAATCGTGCCATTGGGAGCGCCCAAAGCAGAAGTTGATGCCGGATGGAAGCGTTGGCTGGGCAATTGGACTTGCGGCAAGAAGAGTTGGAGTATTCAGGCCGACGAGACTGGCCGACCAGCTATTCGGTATGATCAGCTGCTGCCTTTCCCGCTCGTGGAGGCAGCGATGGCAGACGCAAAGGTCGACAGCGGAGCAGAAGTGATGAACTTGGTGGTGGATGGTCTGGAAGTGTTGATACGGTTGCGCGATGATGATACAGTAGAAGTGATCAATGGGAAGAGCTCAAAAACAGTCAAGTTAGCTAGGGCTTGATTATAGGCAGCCATCACAATACATCGAAGTATGCTTGAATTGCTACAAGGTGCAACGAATATGGCTAGAATCTTATCGCATTGCAAAGCTTTAATCTCTGTAAATTATAAAACATGTAGTTTGCATATATTTACACGTACGCAGGGGTTGTCGTTTACAGCGGGAGCAAACCAATTCATCGACTTACACGACGTCTGAGAAGCCTTGAGCAGCGGCGGCTTCCATTTGATCGAATTCACCGCCAAACACCAACCCCGGATGCCTCTCTATTTGCACTCACTTCTGCTAGAACCAACCGTCTTCATCTAAATAGGCAACGCGCTCCAGCCACCAACGGCACTTGATTCAGCTACGTCCAGCCTTGCATGGAGACTCAGCACCAGACATTGAACACTGAACCTATAAATGCCATGTTTGCACAGCAGTGCTCAGTGCTCTCCACCGTCTTACAGCGACCGTCGCCAAGATTTATAGCGCCAATGCAGCCCGTCTCACCGCGCATTTCTAGCGGCCTTAGCGCTCTGCAGTGTCCATTGACATACGGCAATCCGGCACTTGATGGCCGCATCGTCGCCCCGCCGCAAGTCCGTCTCAGCTCCCTCAAGCACCCAAAGCCCAATCCAGCTTTCACTACCGCAACATCTTTCACTTCTTTTTTTCCTCTTCTCTCTTCTCTCCTCTCCCTTCTTCCATCACGGCAGCATAAATGTATACGCAGGAACCATGCCCGTCGTCCGAAGGAGAAGCATCGCCTGGATTGCCCTCATCGCCACCCTGACTCTGTTCTACTTCTGGAACGCCTCAACACGCTCTCCGCCGCCATCTTATACAGACGCGAATAGCCGAGCAGCTCAAGGCGGCGCCGACTTCTGGAAGCTCATCCCTGTCCATTACCCGCCGCAGTCAATCCGTCCATTGCCCACCAAAGCACCCGTGAAATACCCCAATGTCCAGACATCCTTCGGCAAGGAGCCCGCAGAGGCGCGAGCCATTCGCGAGCACCGCCAGCGTGCCGTAAAGCTAGTCTTCACCAAATGCTGGACATCCTACAGAGAATATGCCTGGAAATCAGACGAGCTGGCGCCAGTGTCCGGCGGCAAGAAGAATCCCTTCGGCGGCTGGGCGGCCACCCTGGTCGACGCCCTCGACACGCTCTGGATCATGGACATGAAGCCCGAATTCGACGAGGCCGTCCAGGCCGCCGCCACCATTGACTTCTCCAAGACAGACCTGGACCAAGTCAATGTCTTTGAAACCAACATCCGCTACTTGGGGGGCTTCATCTCTGCCTTTGACCTCAGCGGCGATGAGCGCCTGCTCCACAAGGCCGTCGAGGTCGGCGAGATGCTCTACAAGGCATTCGACACGCCGAACCGGATGCCCATCACCAGGTGGGCCATCCACGCCGCCGTCAGCGGTAAAAGGCAGACCGCGCCGCCGAGCCTGCTGATCGCTGAGATTGGCAGCCTGACCATGGAGTTTACGCGGCTCTCAATCATCACGGAAGACGCAAAGTGGTTCGACGCCGTGCAGCGCATCATGGACGCCATGGCGGATCAGCAAGATTCAACGGCGCTGCCTGGGCTCTGGCCGCTCGTCGTCAGTGCAAAGGATCAAATCTTTAATATCGGCAACATGTTTACCTTGGGCGCCATGGCCGACAGCGCATACGAATATCTGCCAAAGATGTCAGCCCTGATGGGGGGCCAGCTCCCCATCTATCAAAAAATGTATGAAAAAGCCGCCACAGCAGCCATCAAGCACGCCTTATACCGGCCAATGACGCCCCAAAACGAGGATATCCTCGTTTCAGGCGCGGTAAAGTCAGAAAACGGCGAGGTTACCCTCGACGCTCAGGGACAGCACCTCGTGTGCTTCCTAGGCGGCCTATTAACGGTTGGAGGCAGATTGTTCAACAGAGCCCAGGATATATCTGCCGCCACCAAGCTGGTCGACGGCTGCATTTGGACATACAAAGCTTTACCGCACGGCATCATGCCCGAAACATTCCACATGGTGCCCTGTCACTCTCTCGACGGCTGCGAGTGGGACGAGAAGGCATGGAAGAAGGAGGTCCTCCGCCTTGCCAAGGACAAACAAGCCACCAGCGTCGACGACATCATCAAGCGAGATCGCCTCCCGCCAGGCTTCGCTTCCATCCCAGACCGTCGATACATTCTCCGTCCAGAAGCCATCGAGAGCGTCTTCATCCTCTACCGAGCCACAGGCCGGGCCGACCTCCTCGACTCCGCATGGACCATGTTCGAATCCATCAACAGGACGACGAGCACCAAGCTCGCCAACTCGGCCGTGTGGGATGTCACTGCGCCTCAGGACCAGCAACCCGAACGGGCGAATTCTATGGAATCGTTTTGGCTCGGCGAGACGCTCAAGTACTTTTACTTGATCTTTAGCGAGACTGATGTGATAAGTCTGGACGAATATGTGTTTAACACAGAGGCACATCCGTTTAAGAGACTTGTTCCATGAAAGCAAAGAAGAAGAGGAGAAAAAAAGAACGGTGCCATTTTAACATAATCATTTTTTTTAACGTCATGAAACTTTGTTGACTTTTGGGTATTACTACTTTTCGAAGGGTTTCTAGATTTTAACAGGACAAGCTGGGAGTTTGCATGCATGGGAACGGAGTAGATGTAGCTTGCTTCAGGATGGGGCATTACATGTGTAAGTTTTTGCATGACCAAGGTCTAGAATGAACGTGATTACCAGTGTAACCAGTGCTTGCATCATCACTCCAGTGATGTATTTATATCTAAGCTGTGAAAGCGTCAAAGATGCTACTACAATTGACCAAGCAATGTAGCTTCCGTCAACAAGCATCTAATCACAGCATCGTCATATGCCTCAACAAACATCAAACATTAACCAGATACGCACACTAGCGTCACGATAGTAAAACTCGCATCGAATGTTAAGACATCTAATCTTTTTCATATTCGTCTACTATAAAAAAAAGAAGCAGCTTGTAAACCAGCAGTAGACACTAACGAGACTACCACGCCTCAGAAAACAAAATCCAACAAGGATAAAAAACTGTCTCACAACAAGTAAGAATTTCTTCCGATATCAAAGAGGAGAAAAGTCCATCTGCAAATTAAAACTCCCGCATCCCATCTCGAATCAGAAAAAAAAAATATCCACCTTCCCGAGAGCAAAACGGAAAGGGCATTAGAACGCCATATCCCCCAGCAAGATGATAATAATGATAAAAAACGAAACCCGTTTTTTCCTCTCAATGCGCTATAGCAAGACCCATCCAAAAAAAGCGAAAGACGTAACATCCCAGTTATTTTTTAATGTTCGGTAATCATCATCGTATGTTTGATCCTGTATGTCAAGGAATCAAAAGCTTCGACAAAGGAAAAAAGGGGAGCTTAGTAAAAAGTAGGTTATGTGATAAGAAGAAGTAGAATGAGAAAATACACGTGCTCGTTAGAAGCCGAAGAGTAAAGGTTGATTATGCGAAGTAGGTTTCGAAGCATCTTGAAACTACCGCAGTGAGTTGAAATTGATCTCCCCGGTCATCGCATTCATACTGTGAAAGTGCTGGGGCTGGCCAGGCATGGCAAAACTGTCTTGTCTTTGTGGCGATTGTCGGACATTCATCATGCCGTTCATGTGGTGAGTAGGTTGCATCCCGCCTGGCCGCATGTTCTGTGGTGTCATGCCCATGTGCGGTTGGCCCATTGCGTCGTGGATATGATTAGGCGATTGTTGGTTCATGTGTTGGTGATGCTGTTGGGGTGGAGGCGGGTGGGTTCCCATTGGGCTCATAACCATTTCAGACATTGGCGTAACAGAGAAGCCGTTGATGCCGTGAGGATACTCCATAGTAGGAGACATCATTGGTGGAGAGCTGACAAAAGAGTTTGCAATCTCAGAAGACTGGCGAGCGCCAGGCGGAGTGTTGCCAGAGTTTGAGGTGGCATGAGAGTCTGGAGTGCCTCCCGTCATTTCCATGGTGTACTTCTTCTCGTACTCTTCAACGGAAAACTTGCGGTCGTATTCGGCGTCCATCATCTGCATCTGGGGAGGCTGGGCCATGCCAGCGCTGCCAAATCCGTCAAAGATGTCGACATTGGCCATAGCCGCCGTCTCGGGGACGTTCTGGAGCATTGGGTTCGCAAGGCGTGGGAGCACTTCGCTAACCTTGCTCATGAGAAGGGGAAGGAAACGGTAGTCGCCGTTTCTGGAGGCGGCAACAATAGTGATGATTTGGCTGAGGTGCTCTTGAGGCCCAATTGCGAAGGGATCGCGAGACGCGGGCTGCATAGCCAGATACTCAGTCATAGAATACGTGCCTTCGACGAGCTTCTCAAGCAGTCCAGAGTTCAATAGCTCCATACCCTGGCCAGGGAACTGCGAGGCCATGTTCATGAGCATCTCTCTGGATACGTTCATGGGGAACTGGAAGGACATGGATCCCTCAGTGGCGACGGCTCCGCCGTTGCTCAGCTGCCATACAGTGTTCTTGAGCCACTGCTGGTTAGTGTTGAGGTCGTTCCATGCTGGGTCATGGCAGGCCAGTGTCTGAACGGCATCATTAAGCTGCTTCTGCAGGCCACTGATGTACTGAGGGGAGAGGTGGCTCCGGGTCTTGTTCCAGGTGTTTGTAAAGGCATCATCAAAAGGTCTAAAGAGGTTGATAAGCAGAATGAAGCCGTTCAGCTGATGGGAGAGAGGATCGGTAGGATCATCTCCAAGAGTGGGGAGCTTGATTGTCGCCTGGAGAGTCAAGGGGCGCTGGCGCTGGATGGCATACGCTCTGTTTGGTTACATTGTCAGTAAATTTTGGCCATGAGTTGTGGAATGGAAAAAAAAAAAAATGACACGTCAAATGTCACTGCAAAACGCACCTCTCAATAACATAAAACAACCAGTAAAGCCGGCGGAGACGGGAGGCTTCAGAGATATCAAATTGCAGGTAGTAGTCTTCCTTATCCATGCCAATCATCTGGATCATGGTGGTAGCCTCGCGGAGGTAGTACCATGCCTTCTCATGCGCCTCCTGGCCGTAGTAGCATCCAAAGAGGAAGAAGTTGGTGGCCAATGCATTGACTGTGATCTGTTCTAGGTACTCGTATCCTTTCCGAACTCTAAGGGTCTCTTCCAAAAGAAGCTGGCTGGAGATGATGTTGGCTCCGGGAACCATGTCGAGGTTGTACGGGTCACCGGCAGGCATGGTCATGCCAGGCTGCAGCATGACAAAGGCGCACATGGAAGTCATCAAACAATAGGCATCTCGGTTCTGCTCCATGTAGAGAATCTGCTGCTCTACCTGTCTCCGGTCCAGAATAGGGGCCTGTGCGTTCATGTGGTCGAAGAAAAACTGAGAGCACTCCTTGACCATGTCGCTGGTCAACATGCCCGGCGTAGGGGCGAGGCTCTGGGCTGCGGGCGGACATGGAATGCCGTTCATGCGGTTCTGCACCTTGGCGGAAAGGCTCGTCTGTCGCTGGGTCTCTCGCAGCTCGCTGATAACCTTGGCTCGCGAGCCCTTGGGACCCTTCTTCTGGGGGATGGCATTGTAGGTGCAGGACAGCTGGGCGGAAGAGCAGTTGCGGCACGGGTTGATGCCGTCGCACTTGACCTTTCGGCGATGGCAGGCATCGCAGGCCCTCTTAACGGCCTGAGTCATGATGGGCAGCTGAGGCGACGAGATGCGTCCAAGTCGTCCTGGGGGAAAGCGGATAGCAGAAGACGGCGGCGCACGCAATCTGGGGAACGCTCAGACTTATCGCCGCAGCTGAAGGACGAATCGATTGGGGCCCCGGGTTTCGGTGATGGACAATGCTTCCCTCTGCTGGATGGCGGGGAAAGGAGCGATTTGACAGGCGCTCTGCAGCGACCAGTGCGTGGTTAGGGTGGTTTTTGGTATGGCTGAGGATGTGGCAGATCGAGCTTGGGATGTAGGCGTATGTATGTTATTCGGCCCTTTCGAATGCGGGCCAGCGAAAACGCGGGGAGAGTCGCTTATTAGGCGGAGTCTGGGGGCCCAAACGCCTGGGACTGGGAGGCCGGGACGCTCGCAAAACAGCGATGGCGGATGTGCGCAGAAAGGAGAGGAGCGAGGCCGTGGAAACAGCCGTCGAGATGCTTTTGCCCACGCGGCCAGCGTTGAACACGACACGATGGCGAAGTTGAACGGCGAGGGAAGGGAAAAGAACTGGGCCTGGATAGTCAGCAGCGAGAAGGCGAGGACTTATTGGGGGGAGGCGGACCCAGAGTACGTAAAAACAACTTGGCTGCTGGAATGAGGCCTTGGCTTGGGGCCGCCGGAGCACCAGCCCAGAACAGGGAAGGCCTGGAGACCGCGGGCTGGGGCCAGGGCTGAGGCAGCGCCAGAGGATTGTCGGACTGGCGGGGTGGAGCGGCGAGAGATGTGGATGAGGAGATGATGCGGGATGGGGACTGGAGGCTGCTGAAATGAGCCCACGGGGGAGCGGCGCGCCGCACTGTGCGCTAACGGCGCTGGCCTAACGCGACAGGGCCCTAGCAGCGTCGCTAGCCCGGCTAGCCGGCTGCGCGCAGTGGCGACCGCCCTGGACGCTCAGTGGGCGTGCGCTGGGCGGCAGCCTTAGCCGCGCTGCTGGCGAGGGCCTCGCACTGTAGCCACCGTGCAGGCATCGGGGAAGGGAGGACGAAATTTGCCAGCAGCCGGCAGGGCGCTGTTAGCGGGGCGCCGTGCGCGCGACGAGCCGGCACTGGACGAGCGCGAGCGAAACAGGACGGCTCATACAGTGCCGCTGTCCACCGCTCGCACTCCCTCCTAACAGCGTCCGGCAAAAAGCAGCGCCCCAAAGAGACTCCAGGCTATATACAAGTTCGCAACTCTCGGCCACGCCGCGGCGTCCTAAACGAGCCGTCCGTCCAGAGCAGGTCGCACAGTTGGGAGCTAAGTACAAGTACTAGACACCAATCAGTACAGGCACGACAGCGCATTAACCCGCTAATAAGGGCTGTCGAGCCATTTGCGCCGTCTCCTGCGCTGTGCCAGAGGAGAGTCGTCGACCCGGCCGTATAAGTGCGCTGAGGCTGCCTGGGCCGGTGCTCGTCGTGCGACTGGTGCGGCGGTGCCTGTATTACAGCACAGAATACAGTAATAGTGTTCCGTAATCGTAGCACGGCTGTGCGAGGGCGTACAGGTACCGGGGGCTTTGGAACAGGGCGAGGGTTGAGAGTATCACGAGACAGTGGCCTGCACAGGCACGAGTAACGCGACAACTTTGTTTTGTCTTGTACTTGTACCTGCGCTTGCGCCCAGCACGGTTCTGTTAGATCGAATCAAACGCTAGGTCCTACTGCTGCTTCTAGTCAAGAGCCAGAAAAATCAAAGCCAGGTTCGCTGCTCGCTCGTACGTCTGTGGCGAGAGGTCCGAGTCTCGAGTGGTCACGCTCGTATGTATAGGCGCAGGTACCGGTACACTGTTTGGAATCTGACTCGCCCTGGCTCACACGAGATTCCCATCAAGCGATGTCTTGCTGTCAGCACATTTGCAAGGGACCCACGAAGCCGCTATACTGTAGATTGGCTGTTCTACTGCCTGTATTGAGGAATGCAAACAGCTGCAGGTAAAACTGGAGTTCCCTTTAACCGCTCAGCAGAAGAAACGACGACGGCATGCCAGTTTCCCCGATCCAAATAGCCAATATTGGCCATCGGATTATCGACAGGGTATCAGTACATGCAGAGCGGACAAATGCCCTTGTCAAAAAAGGGCTGCGTTGAAAACTCATTATACGCCCAGAAGCCTTCTTCTCGCACCATTGAACGCCCAATTCTAAACCAGGCATGAGGCTAAAAAAAAAAGGAAGAAAAGAAAAAGAAAAGAAAAAAAGAAAAGAAAATTAAGAATAGAATTCAAACCACACCCGCAATTCAAAGCTGAACAAACACTCCGTCGACAGAGTGTCAACGGCGTGCTCTTTTCGCGTTGCTGCAAAGAACGAAAAGAACATGGTGAGAAACGACCTCTCATCTGCAGCAAGGCTGCTGCAAAACGTACGACAGCGAGGAGCTCAGGCCATCACGCAGCCCAGCCCAGCCCAGCCCAGCCCAGTTTCCCTCGTACCCCAGATTTGAATAAAAGAACTGGGAGCGCACAAGGGAGCCATGGCTGCGGATTGTTGGTGTGGCGGTGGGTGGGCACCCTCCACCAGCCAACCGCCTACAGTACGAAGACCAAGAAAAAGTCATGCCTCTGCTGAGCAAGTTCTAGTTAAGCTTTTCAGCCAATCGTCTTGTTTCGTTGAGCTGGCTTGGATGGGGAACCCGAAAGGGCGCAGAAGAGAAACAAGCCACCATCGCGTATTACTGTATGGAGCACGATCCGTAGCACCTACTGCTGCTGCCTCTCTGCCCGTACCACTTTGAAACAGGGGATTTGAAATACTCGTCGTCATCTGCTACGCACACAGCTTGTGCGGCTGAGAAATGAAAGTAGCGGCATCGTCTTGGCATCGGCAGCCGCGGAGACTCGCGCCTCTGTGACGATTGAGATTGACAGCGGCGATCCGTTAATCTCGGGCCCGATTGATGGCCCTGCTTCACATTGAGCACAGCTCGCTCTACAACTCGTCAGTCTTGGTCGGCCACAGCACCCAATTCAGCACAAGGGGGGCGCGCCCATTGCTCTCGTGAGAGTTTTGGCTAGAAGACGGCACTAATAAAGAAGCCCTCAGCCACTAACCTCGGCAAAGCCAAGCGTGACGGACAAGCTAGAAGTCCGGAGAGGAGACTTTCTGCTGACTGAGATCGATTTAGCACGACTTCTGGAAACACTGAAAAAAAAAAAACTGAAAAAAAACTGGCTCACCATCGCTGACTATGCCGATCCGGGTCGAGATGGAGAAGCCCCGTCTCGGCACCCACGCAGGTGGTGGCCGTGATCCAGACTCACGTGTCTGGACCAACTCTCAAAATGTGGGCAAATTTTTGGCTTCTTGCTCTATTGTTTGAGTTTGGACATATACAAAGCATCTCGAGCTCATCGTCTATAGACTTTTGTGCTCTCGCTCTCTTAACTTCAATGTTCTCTGCCCGCCGCCAGTGTCTGCGGTATGCCAGGACGAGCAGGTACGGAATACAAAATGCGGAGAAGCATCGCTGCTGCGACCATCGGACCGAAGAGGCCATTCCTCTTCTGCAAGGCTGAGGGCCAGAGACAACGTTGCATAAAGGGGGTGCCGCACAGAAAGGGGGGGATGGGGGCAGAACCTACAGATTTGCCTGACAGCACACAGATTCAATCTTCTTACACCGACGACGACGACGACGGAGAGTCCGCCTTTTTGGCTGTCTTGACAACAAACTGACAACTCTGGTCTGATGATGATCATGGCATGGCGATCTAATGCAGCTTTTTGCGTTTGTTCATGCACCACGTATTCGTACATGTAGTTATTAGGAGTAGTCGCGGTCAACAACCAATAGGTACTGTGGTGCTGATAGCGTGTGCTTCGACAGTCTCGGTTCGACGCGAAGCACAGCCCACGGCATACTGCAGAAAGTTTGAAACCGATGCCCATACTGAACGCATGCACGTACAAGTAAGTATGCTGCTGAATCCATTCCTTTCTACACTACGGTAGTGGGCCAGACATCGGCATCTCATCATCACGTGAGAATCACCGCTCCATCTCTCGTCTCTCATGACGATCCATATAACTGGAAGCCGTCTTCTCTCCCCTCTCATCTGCCCATACACATGTACATTAGTAGGTCCTTTGTATCGGTACATCAGCATCTGTACATCACCAGACAAAGGCAGATCCAAACATGCCACGCTTGCTGGTCTGTGCTCCTCTCCCAACTGCGTCATGATGCACAAACAGCATGTCTGTGGCTTCACCGACTGGAGGCACTAACACAAAACCCCCCGTCAAGTTCTTCATGCTGTACAACTGCCTCACTACTAGCAGCTCCTTTTTCTCTACGCTAAGCAAAAAAGTGCCCCAAGCTGTATGTACAAGCCAGGCGGTCACGACGAGCGTCTTGCGCCATCGTCATCATCACCATCTCTAGCCGAGCTGGTCAAAGCGACAGAGAGATGCGCAGTCCTACATACATGTATGTACTTCTTGCTGGCCTCAACTGGCAAGCACATGCACATGGCAGGGTGGTAATCTCAGGGGCTGGAGATCTAAATGGCCATGATTTCATCACTGACCCTGCAACGCCCGCCTAGAGCGCTTCCGCCTTCCAATGCACACACTTTACACGTAATAGGCCAGTGCCATCGCTTTCTATCTCGCTTACAAGGACGGTTAAGCATAGCCCTTGAATCATCTCAGATCATGGTGGCGCCCAGGATATGGATGTGGGATGCTGGACGGCCATGATGGGATGTGAGAAGTGTCTTATGTAGGACCCTTGATCATCCTGAGGAATTCCGATTCCGCCAGTCTCCGTGATTGTCTGTTTGCTTCAATTTCATTGCTGCGTATTTGCAAAAAGCTCGCACCGCCCAAAGTTCCGTGCGTCTTCAAAACGCAAAGTTTGCTGTAGTTTTACGACATCTTATTACATAGTCGGCCTACGTGCTGCTAAACAACGCGGCATCCATCAGCTTGAAAACCACACTCAGCTTTGCATGCCAAGGACCAAGAAAACTCTTCATTCTCACTATTCACCTCATCCGGCACATGCGGATCCTACACAGACAGGCACGCCGGCACTCGCTGGGCGGCTACTCGCACCCGTCTTACTGCTTAGCACTAGCTCTACGGGGTATTATGCGCTGCTCATCATCTTCGCAATTGCTGCATTGGGCTCTGGGCACAGCAGATGAGGATCCAGTAGCGCACACCAATATAACTTGTACGGTATACGGCACTGTAATCCATGCTCGTCTTGCCAGCCAGCAAGTGCTTACGGGACAGCATTTCCTCCCTCCATGCACCGGCAGAAGCGCTCGAATCGATAATGAAAGGGTCCGTGGTGTAAGATCACACAAGACTAGGCAGCTCGATATGCGCAGGGAAGATGAATTACTGCCAGTAGTATTCCTAGCGGGTGCTGCGGGTTAAAGTGCTGTGCATGCCCAGGCAACGTTTCAGATGCCGGACATTGCTAAAAAAGGCGTCTTTTCTCGCTTTGGCGAAGGAGGCGATGCTCGTAATCGTAAGCAGGCTTGCCACTTGTTGCTATTATTACTGCGGCTGTATGACTACTCCACGCCAACTTTTGAATGCTTCTTTGCCTCTTCTCGTCCGGGTAGGTCGGGCTCAGTAGTTGAAACACGAAGAGTGCCGGAGCAATAGCACCTTGCAAAATTTGGAAATAGGCGCTCGCGATAGACGGACAGTCTTGTGCTTAGGAAACAGCTGAATTCTACAGGGCTGTAAAAAAAAAAAAAAGTGAAGAGACATGCATGCATACTCGCGTAAACGCGTATGCTCTGTAAATAACGCTTGCTCATGTGCAATCTCGCCCTTGCCAACGCGCGCCTCCGCCCGCATTTCTTATTGGACTCCAGCTAAGAAACAGGTCCAAGACTTGAAGAATTCCAGTTGCATCGTTATTGTGGACGTGTTTGTCTGGGGTAAGTGGGTCGAGGCTGCGGCAGAACTCTGGAGCTGGCTTCATGGCTGTTATGATGCCGGCCTCTGAAAAGGTTTTATATAAAGTTAGAGTTAATATATAAAATTATATGTCCAAGAGGATCTTGTTGATTGAGGTTAATTTGATTAAACCTTGTGTTCATTTCAACTACGTAAACAGCGCTCTCTAACAACAAGCATGTAGAATACGAGACTGATAAGCCGGCAACAAACAGTACAAATTATTGATGTCACTACAACTAAATCGCAGTAGACGCGCAGCGACTCTATTGGATATTTAGTGTCAAATTCGTCTCTCTAAATATAGATTGTGAGATTGAAGCACATGTCCACATGTGTCTTTAATATAGTCCGTTACTTCTAGTCAAGTTCAGGGTAGGTTGATATCATAACATTGCTTCTTTAGACATCGCGGTCTGATAACACTGCTGAATGTCTTTTGTACGCCTTAATATGATTTTTCAGTGTGGCTCAAATGCATTCGATCAAACTTCAAGGGCTATAGTGTCCGTTTGATCTCAGGTGGAGGCAGCTAGGAGAATGATATGCTACATAATTTCTTCATACACACATGTATAAGATATCACAGAAACATAATCACACGCAGTGCCATTACTGTGATCACATGCACCTAGAAGCTAGCAAATAAGCATAGTTGGCAATATCTCTGTATTACCTGTGATTTAAGTAACAGGGGCTTCGGCTTTGAATGACTGCGTCTGAGCTCTAGCTGGCGCAGCTCACTGACCTACTCCCGCTTGCTCATCCCAAGACTGCTTCTGATTGGAAAAGCAACCGAGATTTCGCTTAGCGTATCTATCTCTTGTTGATGGCAAAGAATAAAACGTTACACCTTGAGAAACCTCGGCAGCAGCCCAATTTAGATGTCTCCGATATAGATAGATGTAACGTGAAGCCGTGTATCACCGCGTATGAGGTAAGAAAACCTCAACTGTAGTGTGACACAAGCGAGAATCTATTGACAAGAGTGATCTTTCAGGACCTTTTGCAGGGTTCTTCTTGAATTCGACGCAGATTTCGCTTACGCAGGGTGCAATGACCCAGATTCTTCGCCATAATAAGAGTCAGATTTGAGATCTTTATCGTCTGAAGCGCGGTGGCATTCGCTTCGTAAGCTTAATATGGCTTATATGTAAGACCATGATCACGTAGATAGAAGAAAAAAAAAGTGTACGAGGTCTTTTGGACAAAAACAAAAGGGGTACCTGTGTGAGATGGAACTTGTTGTAACTAGGTCGAAGGTTTATGCTACTCTCGGTTGAGAAAAGCAAAAGGAGTTATGCTTAAGCATTATGGTGATCCCTAAATTTGGAGTCTATTACAATTACTATACCATCCGAAATATATATCTCGTTGCCGCAAATTACTTGTAGCTAAGCCACTCTTGCAAGGCTTCAAGTTTTTAGCATTATGCTACTCTCTTTGTGAAGAATAAGAGTAAAATACATTTAACACTTATGATATATATAAGAATAACTTAAATGCGATAAATACGTGATCCACTACCACAGCTGTTTGTGAGCTTGCATAACATCGATTCTGTGTCTATTCATTCACATGGCGTGTCTAGCATAGTTGGTCATGAGGATCATCTGAGTGGTGGCAAACACCAAAGAATTTCGCAAATCTCTCACGTTTATGATCATGGTTACTTATTATTCGTATATATGGTCACAAAGCAAATGACTGCCTAACATTAGCTAAGCTTGTGGTCTAACGGCAAAAAAATAGTGATGAGATAGAAACCATTGTCCCAAAGCCAAATTCCCATCTATCTCATATGTCCTCAAAGCTTACTAAAAATGGAATAATACTTATTTTCTATGCAGTCTTCTAATATCTTGCACTAGGACCTATATATCGACTAGAATCATGCATTTCAAACCGTCATCCCTTCATCACTCCCAAGATCACCACAGAACAACTCCCTTCACATCCCTTCACATCATCTCGTCGTACGCCCCAAAATAGATCCTTTAATCACATCTCCCAGTATCCCTTTACCAAGACCTTGTTGTCACAAGTGTCGGCAAACTACTCTGGTCTGTCACTCCAAAGATTGCTCACATTGTGAGGAATTCACATATAAAACCTGATCACACACTCGTACGGTGACATCACACGGCCAATAGCACGTATACGCAAAAGAGAGACGGCACCTGTGTTTGCGACAGTGATGCTGTGACGCGTGATGGACTACTTGAAGCTGGGGCTGGCCCGTCGTGCCGTTTTTAACTTCATGATGGATACATCTCGGGAGCTAAACTGCTGAATCTAACGTTTCCTATCATCCATTGACATTACCCCTTCTTCTTCTTCTTTTTTCCCCCAAGAAGATAGGATAGCTATCAGATCGTCATCTATAATATACAGCATGATGGAATTAATTCCAAGACTTCTTCTCGTTGGGCTTGTCCTAGCATGCTTTGCCAACGCAATCGACAATGGCATCGTAGAAAGGTAACAAGAAACTACATTTGCAGATGAGAGACTTTGAAACTATTGGTAGCAGCATATGCCCCTGCCAATTTTCCTTGATAAGAGAAACTATCAAAACGATCCCCTCTTTTAATCGTTCTAGTCGAAGCTAATCCGTAGATAAACCGACTGCAGACCAACCATTGCTTCACCACCGCCATGGCGAGGTTCAGGAGTACTATCCTACGTCTCCTCTTCAGACGCCTACGAGACCCCAATCCCATCCGCAGACGAATACGCCTCTCTGGAACCATATTCATTCCACGACACAGCGTATCCTGTCCCAGGCGTCTCCCACTCATCTTATACGCCTCATCCCCAATATTCAGCCATTGTAACCGTCAGAACCACCACATGGGTGCTCTCTCGCTCGACGACAATCACAAGTATAATCCGAGAGACTTATTACTCGACTCTAACCGACATCGAAAGCTCGGTCGAAGCAGGAACCGTGACGGTGACGAAGACCGAGACGACAAATTCGCCATCCCCGGCTGACTGTACAACCGCGTCCGACTATGTTTCGGTGTATGGAGGTGGATGCTCGTCGTCGTCGTCTTCATCGTCTTCGTCGTCGTTTTCGAGTACCATAGCCACGATGACATGGTCGCCAGAAGTCACTGCCTATCCTCCGCCATCGAGCTCAGACGACGAACGCGCAAGCCCAGCTTCGACATCAACAACTTCATCAGCATCGACCACAACGACAGCAACACCATCCAGCGGCAATGAAACTCCACCTGTGGTTACAGGAGGAGGACGCCCAGCCCCCCAGGCAGCCGAAGTCCGCACTCTCGGTGTCGTGGCGGCGCTCCTCGCCGTGCTTCTCTAAGTCCTATAGCAGTTGTTAGTTTTATCAGAGGGGTTCATTTTCGTCTTACTTGCATCCAATAACAAGATTCAGCTTTTGTTTCTGAGCCAGGTAGTTTATGTCGTTCATTTTCGTCCCCACCCCACGTCCGGGTAGAGTGTTCGTTTCTCCCTAAAAACGATCTTGAACGCTTCGGTTATGCCGTCAAGCCCAGCAAATGGGTCTCGGTTCGCTACATCTTTGCTTTGGTACCGACGGGCTTCGGATCTATCGTCCATATCGTACGTCGACTCCGCTCGGAAAAGAAAACGAGAACAGTCAGACGAAACAAATTTCCCGGCGCCGGGGGGAACTTTCCCCGTTAGACTGATCGCGGCCTGATCGGCAAAGTATTCGAATGTACCTTGTATGTGTTAAAGCTCATGGTTGTAGGTGTGAATGTTTCTCTCTCTCTCTCTCTCCCTTGCTTCCCCCCCTTTTGTCCTCGATTTTCTCGAGAAGAGGCGTAATGATGTGGACTCGTGCCGGGGTAGTTTGTGGATGGAAAATGGCATGCAGTAGGCAGAGAGGGACAAGGGAGATGTGTGTGCTCTGATATGATACTACAAAAATGTGTACCGCATGGGGGTGAGACAACCGGGGAGATTAATTTGTTGGGGAGATTATCGTTTAGCGGCTTCCTCTCAATTTGATACTTTCTTAGGCAATTGTTAATGTATAATTTCTCTTCCTTCTGGGCATACACGAGCCAGAATGCACTCCTTATTCGCCAAGGAATATCTATTATTTATCAAACCTCTCTCCAAGGGCTTTTCGGCAAGCACCAATACGTATTCTTGGCAGGCTAGCATCGATACGATATCCAATAGAACGTCCCAGTTAATATCTGATTGCACAACCCCACGCAAGACACCGGCATCTTGCCAGTGGAGTCGTTTAACGTGTTTTGAGGGGGGGCGTGGACGTGGACATGGACTTTCCATGCCATTCGCTCTCCTTTCATGCACGCGTTTACACGATCTTCCCATGAACATGGGTGGTTAGTTTTATGCTTCCAGGCAGTAATAATGCTACTCACACGCACGTAAAAAGAAGCAAGTAATGCAAGTAAATGTCCACTTGACTTCGCTTTTAGGCACGAATCGCGCCATAATGTTTTCTCCTCTTTGCACTTGCAGATAGCAGATGCAAGACGAGGTGGCAATGCATGCTGCTTTCTCAATAGCGCTTCTCGATGTAATGAAGCCGATTCTCCCTGTTTTCGTGCAGTATTGTACAGCTATTTAGTGGCAGTAAAACCAAGACACTCGTCACGACCTTAAACAGCCTTGTCAGTGAGGATGGCAGCCCAAAGAGCTATTCCAACTTCCTAATTCTTCTGCATGCCTGGACTAGAAAATGAATTTAATATAGAGTTCTCGTAAAAATGGGCCATATGAGCTAAATCGTATTCCCAAAGTTTCCGATTGGTCTTTTTTTTTTTTTTTTTGGGGGGGGGGGGGGGGGGGGACCGTGGTTTGATACTTCTCCCGAGCCTCTCTTACGTCTGAAAAGTTGTTTCTTTGCTGTCATATGCTCGATTCTGGCTCCCTTCTCCCTCCCAACATAGTATCTAGAATATCTTAAAAGAAGGTCCAAGGATGAGATAGCGGAACTGTAGGATCATGCAAGAAAGTGACTCGCTTAGGAAATTGGGGAACTTTGCATTCTTACCCGGATATCCAACTGTCTAAAGTGCCACTTGTCACATCATCGCAGGTCTCAAAGGTTCTTGGTTGTTTTTCTTCCACTTTATTGGCATCAAAAAGCACCTATCAGCAAAGAAAGCGTGGTCTCAGGTCTCTTCGTCCCCCCTATCTCAGCAAAACTATTATTTCCTTTTATCCTAAATCGTTAGGAGAATGCAGATTAATGAAAGCGCGCGGTTACGTTATCGGTCCCGAGCCGGCGATATGAGAACTAGTGTTTGTTGGGCACTCGGGGGAGCGATGAGAGAGTCATGTAATGTTTATGCACTATTGCATCTGTCTTGCAGCGTAACATTACATATATTACATAGCAGAAACTAGGGACATGCTCGCTAAGCGAATATCATACATATATATCCATTAGTCTAATGTGCTCCAGAGACATCCGATTCGTTGATGCCGGTAGAAACGCAGAGTGGCGTATGTCAATATAAAGCGATGGAAAACGAAAAATAATCGGCCAACCCTCCTTACATGGCACATATTCCGGCTCACACTTCCTGCAAAAAGGCCCGAGACAGCTACGCAGACCCCATTATGCATACCATTGCCACACATGCCGATATCTAGGTTCTCGGAACACTCACCGATGGCTATTTCCTCCTCTCTTGGCTATTGGAACAGCACAAGCTTGACCCGTTTTACTGCATGCTTTGCCATTTTCCCCCCTTAAGAAGGGCAGCAAAGCGGGCACTTGGGCTGAATGGCGGCCCACGATAGTCGACAACAACGTGGCAGTAGTCTACTGACTCTGCCGGTCAGGGCCACCTACCAGTCAGAATCGATCTAACGCCCTAGTTCGCCCAATAGAATCTAAGTTTATTTTTGTGCATTAAAAAAAGGCGATTTGCCTGGGCATCCAGCAATAAGATTACCATGGCAAAAGCGGGAATAACCACGTCACCTGCGTATTCAAACTCTTGGGGGGGAAGAGATATTGGAGCATGTGATAGTTGACAAGGAGCATATGGTTCATTTAAACAAACGAGTCAATCCTTCCTGCAAGTCGTTCTGTTTAGGGAAGCTACATGGCGTATCGTGCGGCCTTAGACGTCGGTTGGATTGATAAAGCGCGAAATACGGCGATAGAGAGTTTGAGGGTGTTTGCGTATTGACCAACCTTTGTTAGTTCCTCAACAACCAGCGCCTATTTGAACCGGAAGCCGGAAAAGCTTCCTATTTGAACCTGCTGTTGCTTAACCGCCGCACTTCCCAGGCTAAAACCTCGTTGGCGGCAGTTGTGGATAGTAATTTGATGCGCGTGCCGGAGCGAACTCAGTAGCATAGAGCACTGTGGGGACCCTGAGCTGGCTAGGCACGAAATTTGTTTCACCGTGTGGCGCCTCGCAAGAGCAAAATGGCAGTGAAGCTTCAGCTTGGCGAACATATTGGTCACTTGAAGAGGAGGTAGAGCACTAGGCCGAGTCATTGAGTTGGGTCAGAATCAAGTTTGGGTGCGTGGCAAACCAAAAACATAGCGAGCGTATGTATCAATGAAACGTATAAGCTGTGAAAAGAACAGTTGGAATGTATCATCGCCTCCCCTTCCATCGCCCCAGTAAGGTATCATAGACATCCTCCATGCCACCCATGGCTTATCCTTTGAAATGAGCTACTCGGAATCAGAAAGATCGCTGTCCTCAATCACAAATGCTGCGGAGCCCGCAGAATATTTGGGCAGTTTGTATTCTGGTGATGGAACCAAGGGGTAGAGCCTGTCTCGAACTCCATTTTCTCCATAAGCAGCAAACCATGGCTGCAGTAAGGAGTCTGGAACTGACCAGCCTAGCTCCGAATTTCGTAGCCAAAGTCTGACCATGTGGCGGGAGGTATCATCACTGTCTCTATAAGCATCGCGTCGATGGAGCAAGGCCCAGTTGTTGAAGAATAGGATATCTCCTGTTTTAAGATCAAGCCGTAGCTCTGTGCGATAGGCGGCATTTGATATTTTTTCAAGAGCCAATAGCTGTGACGCCGTTAAACTTGGCACGTTGGATGATCCGTACGATGGATGAGGTCCGAATCGATTTGGATCCATGCTTGCCATCAATCTGCCGTCATGGATCGTGAGAGCAGGCGCCAAGTAATAATTTGGTTCACGGCCTGAACTATTAGACAACACCAATTTAGTGAATGCACAAATGCTAATAAGTAAAAGGTCGATAGAGTAGTGTACTTACATTTGCACAGGCCATTCTGGAGTTAATAAAGTCGATGCCGCTGAGGGAGCTTCAGAGAGCAATTCATTGAAAGCTCTGCTGACTGAGCTTAGGTACGTATACCCCCCTTTTTCTGCGCTGTGCCGAACTTGAAGAGCTAGGATATCACATCCCATGTCATTGTGATAAGGCTGTTTTTCAATCCAAAAAAGGTCAGTTCAAGTGTATATAAATAGATACGGAGAAGACGATGCCTTTTCCCTCTTACCAGAGCTTGATTGGAATGAATTCCGTGGCGCCTTTCAATCGGAACTGTCCATGATTTCGAATTGGTGACGTGTGCTATTGTGATGTATCAGAGGCTGTCTTTACCCCAACACATGAGAGATTTGGAAGTGGAAAATGTCTTACTGAGCACGGTTCCTTTCTTATCCTGTAGTCCTCTTTTATCAGCAACATAGCTGGCTATGCCCAAGTAGATGACAGTGCTATCTTCGACAGGGTATCTTAATTCATCAAGACCTCTAACAACGAAGAATCCGTGCCCTTCGTGAATATCTTTGGCACACTGGGCAAGTTGCGGTGCAAGCATAGGCAAAGGAAAGTTATGCTTGTCTACTTCATCCCCGTCAAGACCAAGGGCTGTATTTCAAAGGTTAGTGATGTCCATTTGTTAGCTTCAACGAAGCTTGTTTCAATGTAACTCTTACATTTGAAGTTTTGAAGAGCCGCATCAACTTCTTGGAGTTCCTCTTTGTGAAGTTGCAAGGTGTATGCTTCTTCATCTTTGAAATCATCTCCTGACCAAGCAAGCGAGCCATTGATCACGTTTGTGAGCTCTGACATTGTTTCCTTGGTTCTTGCAGCGGCTGCGTCAATGATGCTCATAGCTTCAGACATACTGGCAGAGAAGAGTACTTTGCTCATTGTGCTGTAGGCCATGCGAACTCAACAATAGTCGCGGTTCTGGGGTATATATAGGAAAGGATAGGATACGACGACGGATGGCTTTGGGTTGAGATGCAAGCACACCAAAGGCTCGAGGTTTGCCACCAGATATACAGATGCCAGCAAACTCGGGGCTAGAACAGCGATGCTTTGACGTCTCCAAGAAAGTGGAGGCGGGTAGTGGGCCATGGCCCCGTAGTATATTTCGTCGTTGTGCGACATGACGGATGATCTGTTCGAACACGACACGACATCGCCTATCACACTTCCAAAGACGTATAGGGACTCGCGGCGTAGACGCAGAGTGCCCAAGGTGCTGCAAGAACAAGTGGCATCCATTTGCTGAGTCGGTGGTGCAAATCTTGTAACAAGGCCCGTCGGCGCACTGCTTGGTCAAAAGGGGTACTTGCGACTGCAAGAATGCCCTTCGGGACACGGCTGCAGCAACCCAGGGGCGGAGATACACGGCGGTAGTAATTGGACCGGAGAGGGGGCCACTGGTGGTTCGTTCGAGAGAATCAGAGGAGTCGCTGGGTCGTCGCATTGCGTTCGAGGTGGAATAAAACGAGCCTTTCAAACCGCACCAAGATCCCGCGATAGCAACCCAATTGCAGCACGCCTCCAGTCGAGAGGCCTGCCTAGGGTGGATAAAGGGTTGATGGGTATTCCCCAAAACGCAGTGTCATGATTTCCATGCTTGGAAGTAATAACAACGGGCCAAAAATACTCCGTAGCAGACCAAAAGACAGACGAAAAGGGAGCGAGCCGACCAAGCAATGTCAAGCCCAGGCAACCAGCTCTTTTCTACAGCAGAAGAAGTATTTGATTCAACGTTTTGCGAGGCAACTGCTAGAGAGTACCGGAGAGATTGATGAGAGGAGGAAAACCTTGATGAGTCCTCGGATCGAAAGGGGACTAACTTTCCGCTGGTAGCGATCAAACTCCAGGCTGCCGGCACTAATACGAAACGTGAGCTACAAAGACAGTCGGCTTTGACTACGCAAAGACGAAAAATCTGCCTTTGGGCGGGACGACTCGCTTAGCTTCAGCCCTCGCCCTCATTACACTCAGCGACTGACTGGGCTAAAGTGAATGGGGTGGATGTGATGGGAGGGGGGACCATATTGACGGAGTCACGTCTGCGGAGCCTGACAACCACACATGGCAATTCCCTTCATCAGTATACGGAGCGAGCCGCTGCAGTCCTGCTGGACATCATCACTTGTATTCCGTCTTGCCTCTTCCTATCTGGTAACCTCTTAAGCAAATGGGACGCATGGTACCGTCTCGTTCGGGTGAAAGCAAGCTGCAGCATTGTTAGATTTGCTCGGCCTAAGTGCAAAGGCCGGGAGTGCCTGTCCTTGTCACACACACACACACACACACACACACACACACGCAAGGCGGACATCCATACAAAGCCCACAAAAAATATATCTCGCCCCATCACCGCGCTCCTTCCCAAGGACGGAATATCACTCTGTATATGTGCCAGTTGATGAGAAGTACACACTTCTGAAATTCTCAGCGTCGCCGCAAAGGCCGCTTGGATAAAGAGCCTTCGACGAGGCACCGGGCCCTCTTATCTGGAGCTTGACCATGGGCATCTGCTGTGCCTCATGGCAAACTGAGTAAAAGCAACAAAGATCGTGCCAAACAAATCTTTGGCGAAGGGGGGCGGATCATATTATGCCCTTTTCCTCTTCACTCCCGTCATTTTGTTCTGGGAGATCATTCCTCAGAGCAGAGATACGACTGCTACGAAATACGAAAGATATAAATTGCAGCACGTGCAACAAGACTTGTTGGCAGTAAGCATGCTTGAAGTATGTACATGATGATAATTTGTCGCACGTCATGCCTCATCGACACGGCAGCAGCGTCGTCGAAGACCCGCGCCCACTCAGCTGTAGAGCCACAGACGGGAAGGGAGCTGAAAGAAACTGAGTAATGAGCATAATTTTCGACATGTCGTCTGTTGTAATTTAATATCGTTTAATGTCGTCTAAAATCGTCCAATTTTCAGCTCATATCCTCTCAACTCAGGCTGCCTTGTGCTGTAATACGGAGTGGAGCGTCAAACAGTACCATGCGCAGTTGTACTTTGCGTGTATCTTGGTTCCCCTCATGTCGGTGTTACCTAGCCACTCAGAGCTGCATAAATGACAGGGACGGGGCTTCGAACCTCAACCGGTGAGACCCATCGCTGTGAACATCAGCAAGGCTTGGGTCCCGTGCTGGGGCGCCGCAGTTTGTGATTGGACCCTTGTATGTGACGAGCAAGAAGTGGGTTCGGGAGGTCGAGCTCGCAGCCGCCACTGGGAGATTGATGGCCTGGCCGAGGTGTTTCCTGCATGATGGCCCCCATCAGGCCGGTCTGGAGCAGCCAACCAGGGTCTGGAGGTCTGGACTTGCTTCGTACATGGCGGCGTGCTGGAGGTTGTTTCTATCATATCCGATGAGTGACTGGGCCTGGTAGCGCAGCCAGTGTGAAAATAGGTTGATGCATTTTGCTCCGACTCCCAGCGAAAGTTTTGTGGCTGTTTACTACCCAAGGTGCTATTAGTACATATGGTTATTGCCGCTGCTCCTGCAACTATTGGAGGTCTTGGAGGTGGTAATGGTGGTAATACGTGTACCCACCTGGCAGGTAGTAGTGCTGGCTGCATACATGGGCGTCTGCCTCGTTTTGAGGGGATGGGGAGTCGCAGGATGAAGGCTGTGATAAGCGTGTGGTCGCATTTGTCTTTGGCAGCGAGACATTGGCAAAGCTGAAGCCATCTTCACTGTAGGCTGCGAGTTGATACCTTGGGCAGAGAGAAATGGCTAGAAAAGGCTGCTGTACTTCATGATGCGCTGCGTTCCCGTACTCCATCCAGGTATCCAGCTCCTGCCTCGTCAGCGATGCAGACTCAGAGGGCCGGGCCGGTATTCATTCCGATATGCTGCCTGCAGGCCTCAAGCTTGTCAACTCCAAACGGATCCATGTCTTGCCGGATCCACGCCCCAGCCTGGTCTCCAGTCCTCGCCAGACCCAGAATGGCCGGCCTGCCTGCAAAAAGAAACGAACTGCAACCGTCCCGGCCGAGCTGCCAGCGTCGGGCCCCCTTGCGTCTGAGGCCTTTTTCAGATTGGCAGCCGGCAGCCAGCAGCTGTGATGGTGGGAATGCCCCTAGCGGGCGACGATGCGGGCGCCATCTCCAGAGCTGAGAAGAAGCAACTCCAGCGCTGCTCAGCCGCTCGTCAAGCTCGGCCGACAGGCGACGGCCCCTTGGAGATACCTCGTCCTCGCAGCCAGCGACGCGGACGGCCAAGTACCGCCATCTGCTGCAAGGCGCAGTCGACGTTCCCTGATGGAGAAGGCTACGTCCCGATAGAATGGTATGGGAGGCGTCACGGCCATCGAGCACCATCGGCGTCGTACATCCCTTCTTGTGCGAGTACTTGTACAAATACGGCCCCTGCGATCACAGCTGCTCTCTCTCCATGTCAATCCCCCGGTTTCCTTTCCCACCCATCTCTGGCCGCTGAACTCCTCCTTTGGGCTGTGACTCTCGAACTCTGGCCGCTGCTCCTCCTGTCAGGCGATTTGGTTTGATCTGATACGACCAGCACGTATCACCCCCGTTGAAGACGCACCGCATCGAGCCGTCCCACGCTGCCCGCTCTCTCGCTTCTGCGTCCCCTCGGAAGCGCTCCTGGGGGGTCCTCTCCGCTGTGCCCCGTGGTCTCGCCCCGGGCATCGTCCTTTCTCCCCTATCGCTCCGCAGAAAACTGCTTGTCCTGGCTCCTTTGGCCGGTTTCAATCTTCAAGCTGTGCAACACACCCTCCTGTGGCCTGGCAGCGTTGCGCCGCAGCAGCCATGGAGACAGCTGTTGTGGTACCCTCTCCTAAAATCCCCGTAAGTGTGACGTCCATCCCCTCTCTGGTACGATGTGTGCAGATAGCGGGTAGCATGCATTGCGCGAGTGTATGAGTCGCTTGGCTCTGACTCGCTGTGCTTTTATCGCCTTTTCCGCTTCCCGTTCAAGCTGTTCTACCGTTACACGAATTTTTTTTTCCCTTGTTTTTTCTTTTATATAAATCTTGTTTTATCTTGTTTATTTCTGGTCTCGCACACCCCTTCAATCGTTACCCCCCTCCCCCTCGTTTGCCTGTATCCATTTCCTCCCAGCTGTGTATAAATGGCAGATGAGATGGGCGGTGCGTTGTCCTGTCTTGCCGTTGTTGCAGCTTGCCCAGCCCCCTCATCCCACCGGGCCGGGGGTTGATGCTCAACCGGCCAAGACAGCCTGAAGAGAAAGACATTGAGTTTTGACCGGTTTCCTTAATAGTCGTCCCCAGCAAGCAGAACAAGTGGCCCTCGGGGAAAGCGAAGAAGAACAAGCGACAGTAGCGTGGCTTCCAATAATGCGACCTCAGCTGCCTATTCCCGGGTCCATAGAGCCCATACAACGACTCATGACGCAGGGCCTTTTCCTCAGCTCACGTCTGGTCAAGCTCCGATAGAAGCGGCTTACACGTTCTCTTCACCAACAAGCTCTTCTGCCGCTGCCGCAACACCGCTCTTGCAAGTGGCGTTCCCATCAGCCCCTGGGCGTGCACCTGGACATGTGTCTCTGAACGGTCTACCAACTGTCTATGATGCATTTCAGCCGCAGACGTGTATAGGTCACGCACACGGCGGCCTTTGTCCGACATTCTGCTCTCTTGGGTTTGATTGTAAGTTTTCCTATGGCAGCAGCGTCATGCCGATCGAAAGTGATCCCTCCGCCGAGGCACCAAATACAATTCATCCCCAGCAATTGTATGACACTGGCCGGCCCGGCAACACTAACATCGCCCGGTCTCATTCCCAACAACCATTGAGCTTTCCCGGATCGTCATCATTTGATATCAACCCTGGTGGATATCAGCAGCATCACCAGCCATTTGATTATACGGTGAGTCGAGATAATCCCATGCTCCCCCCAAATATAGTCGCCGGCCTTACACACCCTTCTACTGCACCCATACATTCTAAAAACGAGAAGTTGGCATTATCCAGACTCGTCATCAATTACTTTTTCCTAAAACTCCATCAATTCAATAACTCACTCACTCATCTTACTACCTCAGGCATCACAAGACAGCAACCATCTCGTCCAACAATTCCAAGGGACGAGCCTTCCGTATCCGGAGTATATCAACAACCTCAACAACATCATGGGGGGAGGACAATATAACCCGCGTGACTCTCGTCAAACGGGTATAGATGAAGATTATGATAATGTGCCCAGAGCTAGCCCTCCAGCCTTCACTGGATACGGAGATATGCTAAGTGGAGCTATTCAAGTGCAGAATTGGCTGCCGCCGGCGATGTATCACAATGACGAACCTCAACATGGGCGTGCTGAACCTGATCACGATCATAATACATCAGATGATTTGGAAGAGCTTGATAATACGGATATCGACTTGAACGCCAATATCAGTTCGCCGGAAGCAAACGTGGAACCAGTACCCTCTTTTCAATTGGAAAGATCAAGGCTCGCTTCAGGTCCGCCATCAAGGCGAACTCTTCCTAGCCCTTCCAACCCAGATCAGGCTGCAGAGATCAAGAAAGTCAAGGTGTGTATTCGATGCCGGATGCAAAAAATGAAGGTAAGTCTCTCTTTACTTGTACACCCAAATCAATTGAATTGTTTGTCAATGCTAAATCTCTGCGGCAGTGTGAACCTGACTCAACGGACCTTTCGGGAGATTGCATGGGGTGCAAAAACTACTCAAAGACATCGAAAAAGACGATCCACCGAATGCCATGTTATCGCGGCAAGATCACAGACGCCGTCTTGTTTCGCAGCGGCGGGCTTCAGCTTACTACCCGCTGGAGAGGGACGGAGATGAAGGATGTAGGCGATCGGGTTCATCCCAGGAAAATTCGCACCATCTCTTTCACATTAGGCATATCCAAACACCCTATCATTGTGAATGTAACCGAATTCCGTCCCCGTGATGGTGACGTCCTTGCGCGATTCTGGACGGTCCCTGGCGGCGAACATGGAGTGCGAAAGAGGAAGGATTTGACGCCCTTTTGTTTGGCCGATATTCATAAAACCTTTGCGTACTACAAAGACTATATCGAGAAGCACGCAGTCGAAGTTTTGAAAAGGGAGAGAGCTGGTGGAGAGATGGCTCCTCGAACCATCCTCGAGACGACATACAAAGCAGCCATAGACTACTATGAAGACCTGGTGGTAAGCGACTTCAGATCCGCTCATGAACGATCGAGTCTATTAACAGGCTGGCTTAGCATAAACCATTCCTCACATGGACAGAAGAGAAGGAAAGGGATTTCCTAAAGGTTTTATTTTATTTCTGGTTCGCCCTGCGTAAGTTCAGTACATGATTGGATGGAGAGATGCAACTGAGGCTGACCAATGGGTGCTAGGCCACTCAACTGGGTCTTCGTGGATCTGTGGCGATGATTTATTGGAGATGAAGCCTGAGACGAGAGATGAATCCTACCCATTGTTTGGGAAAGTTTCGGTGCCACGCATGATCCTTGCTCAGTTTGACAGCATCAACACCCATCTTCTCCACAAGTATGGAAAAAAAGTTCTCAGCGAACTTGAAGGTTTTATGTCACGGGGCTCGACGTCAATGTGGTATACGGTTTACCTTTGCTTGTTTATCCTTTTGCGTGAAGCAAGCTGGTTGAGTGAAGATCGCTATCGCCACGCGCGAAACAATTATGGCTCTAGTGTAAGTGGAATTTATGCAATTTATGCGCTAGCCCAGTGCTTTTTTTCCATTATTAATTTTATCTCGGTTCAGATTCGTTATTCGGTCCCCGAGTTTGTAGAGCAGCTGCAAGATGGCTGCAACAATCTCCTTCATCATTGGCATTACTACAACCCCGACGGGTGGCCGGGCGTCATATCCAACCCCGACAGGCATAGAACTAGTCTGGCCCACTTGCCTTCATCCCAACATGCACTTGTCTTGGATACGTACGAAGATCCTATGGTTCAGAGACAATTGGGCGTATGGAAAATGTACAGGGAGAATAATGGACGGGGTAAGTTTAGACAGCACCATGAGCAGAAGACTCCAGTAATGCTTACCAGCTTCAATGCAGTGGATAATCCCACTCCAAAAGAAATCGAGGGTAGATCATATCAGGGGCGCCAGAGCCGTTACGATTGGGACCATCCTTATTACTGGATTTCGCAAATGTTTGAAGACCATTGGGAGGCTCATCCAACATATCAGCAAGAGCCGGTGTCCCCATATTAGAGTATCAGGATTGGTGTAAGTGACATCATACCCAAACGCCTGGGTTGCATTGCATAATGAACGCAGCGATTGGCTATTTTAGGGAAATGTGGCGGGTTGGGTCGAACAAGGATATAAAGGTACAGGTAATCACTCTTTTAGTTAAACACCACGAGTGTTAGTATTAATTCACTCCTTTAATCGGCGATGGCGCCTACATTACTATATATCATGGTGCATCATGTATTGGGTTTAGAGGCTCTTTATTTCGGATCATATCAGGCAGCGCTTATTAAAGATGGGTTGGATTTGTCGTCATTTCTACGTTTGCGAAATAGGAATTTCTTACGCAAAAGCAGGGATACAGTCCTTTTTGCCTGTTCATCCTGACAAATGAGTAGCTTTCCAATAGATTAGCATTGGCACCTGCAGCTGCATATGCGCAACCACATACCTATTCGCCATCGTTTTTTCACGGTGACGACACGCCCGCAATCCCTGCCTTGCCTTGCTGTCTGCCTTCCTTGTCGTGTTATCTCTTATGCAGGTCAGCAAGCGTAAAAAGCAGTAGTACTATGCCGGTGCTTGAGCCGGATGTTTCGATCCGGAGCACGCATGTAGACTCTGAAGGAGGGAGCTTTGTATACGTGAGCAAGCTGACCGTTTTTGCGTAAGTGGATTTGTATGTTTGCCGTGTGTTTTCGGGTGCCGTTAGGCAGACATGTATGGCGCTCTGGGGGGAACTTTTGAACATGCGCTTGGTCAACGACCAAACAACATAATACTGCTGCTACTACCATTTGATATAGTACTTGTTTTCATCCTTCCTTCTTTGCATTCTCTATCCCCTAGACCCGCTAAAAAAGTTTTCCTTTCATTTTCAGGTGTTTTGAAGCCAAAGCGAGATTAAAACCAACCCCCCCTTCCCCCATATTTTCCGCATTCTGCACAGCGTGACCATTTCACCTCGCAAAGCATTTCTTAAACCAAGGCTGGACTTGAACGATAATAGTGCCCAAGTAAACACGTAATGCATACTAATAGCTTGTACACGTCTACTCCCACGTATACAGCTCCGGGACCCGCAATACCAGGGCGAAGATGTCGTAGCAAGAAAAATGGAATGATAAAGTACTGGATATAGAATAGATAGGTAGTTAGCAATACTCTCACCAGACACTAGGAAGTGTTTTAGTTTAACCCCCTGGACGTTGCGGACGGGCGGGCTCTCAACTAGTATTAGCGCATAGGGCGGCAAAAGACGGGAAGGGCCCCAGCCCGTCTCGGAAGCTAACGCATGGACCCCGAATTTAGTACCTAACCAGGCAAGCATTGTTTCGTTTTGTTTGTTTGTTTGTTTGTTTGTTTGTTGGCACGCCTTTTTTTTTTTTTTTTTTTTCCTTTTTTTGTGTCGTGTTATTTTTAGCTTACTGTGCTAGAGAATGGAGAATGGAGTAGATGGTGTGGTTTGTCTCACTTTCAGCCGCAAAAGCACGGCTTGGCCATTTATAGCGGCGGTAATGGCGATGGCGAGGAAAATGATTGACGGCAGTTGGAACAAAGCGATAGCAGTGGGAAATAGACATCAATGGTGGCAGCGGCAAATTTGGATACTACGAGAAACTCCATCTACGATCCAGATCAGGAGTCGTATCTACAAGAAACGCAGCCCAAAAAAACGAAAGCATCACGTCGCACAGAGTCCAAGGATACCCTTGATTATTGCTACCTACTAAGATAATTGCCAGACCCATAAGAAATACCCAGGCTATACCAAAGCAAAACACATTCTACACAGGCAGTAATGACTGAAAATTGGCAGGAAGCCCAAAGACACCAAAAATACTCACTCCGCCCAAGCTCTATCCCAGTCTTTTTTTTTTTTTTTTCCTTGTCTTTAGCTCCCTCCCAAAGCATATGTTGTAAATAAAACGCCAGTTCATCCGAATTGAAAACTCAATTGTACAAGAATCCTCCACTCCTCCTGAAATCAATCTGAGAAAATCTATCCTGTAATATCGCCCTCATCTCCAGTATTCTCCCTCCGATTTCTTTATTGATATGTGTACACGTATGTCTTCGTGAGCAATACAAGCTGTTCCGTGGTATGTGCTCGTAGTAGTTGTTAGTCGGTGCAAGAAGCATTACTAATTTCCTCCCGACATTCTCGCAACCCGCGAGCGAGGAACAATGCCAGAGCGATCAGTAGGATCATTGCCAAGGAGGAAGGACCTGTTTCTCATTTTGATCTCCATTCTGGCATCGTAAGAAGCCTCCGGTGAAAAGACCAGACTTGCCCAGCCTTCGTGTGGCCACACTTCATCAACAGAAATGACCTCTCTAAGTCCAGATCCGTAGCCGCGAGAGCGAAGGCGCAGAGCTCGCTGTCTAATCTCGCAAGTACATCTTGTCGGGGAACCCCTGTTTTCCATATTTTGTATAGACCGTTGAAGGATTTTTTTAGCATCCTTTATATCCTTATACTCCTTATCCATCTTCCACGCCTCATATTCTGTAGCAGGCGAGGTAAAGATCAGAGGGTGTGGTAAGCCCGCGAGCATCCTGTTTTGGGCATAATCGATAAATTGAGAAATGAAGAGGCTCTTCCATGGAACTGTAACCGCTTGAAAGAATGCCGTGTCCACCTAATCAGGCCTGTTAGTAGAACAAAATGCGACTCATGATATTCTCGCATCGCTTACCGGTTGGAATGGATCATGGTTTGAGCCCCAGGGGCTCGGCGGTGCTGGAATCCGATCGTCTGTATCTTGCAGATATAATTTAAGAGGCGGTATCGCATGTTCACTGAAGATTTTGCGCAGCCCCCCGTAGGGGATGAGTGTACGTTCGATACTGCGAATATATACCCGCTTGTGCATTTGGGATGACGCTCGAGTGCGACATATTTTGCGCATGTCCATCATCTCGCAAAACACTGTTTGCACTATTTCCCAGTTTAAGAAGATGTGGATAGAGGCAGCAAATATTGCGGCACCAGAGAGATGTGCAACCAAGTGATAAGAGGCAAGACTAGTGAACTTAATAGCCAGTAAATAATAGAAGCAGGTATCAAGGAAGTAAACCGAGGATTGACGTGGTGGATCTGTGCGATATAAGGAGTATGAGCAAGAGTAATATTGAAGATGCTGGAGAACCACTCCAAGAAGCTCGAGTTCTGTTGACCGAACGTACAACGGGGCGTAGTCGAGGGAACGGGCAAGTAAACAACAAACATAGAGGCTGAAATGTTTAATCTTTCCGCGTGTGAGTTAGATAATAATGCTAAGGAAAGGTTTCTGGTGGAGGCTGCGTGCGAACCAACAGAGAATAGACTTTGTGACCAAAAGACAACGATTTCGACCAGCTGAAGAAGCAAAACATTGCCACGGATAGTCAACTGTACTTGTTAAGCCCTCTCCGGACGTAGTACTACGCGTGTATTAGCACAAAGAGAAACTAGAATTCATCACAAGGCGCTTTAGCAAAGAATGCTCTGTCTAGCGTTACGCGCTTGTGAGATAGGCTTCGCCTCGCTGGTTGATTGTGCGTGGGATCGTGGACATTGGGCAAAGCTAAAGACGAGTGAAACCATTTGTATCTTGATGCAGAGAGGCTAATAAAAGGTCAAAATCGGCATCGGAAAACTTACAGAAAGTATAACAGCACAGGTTCTTCGCCCAGAGCAAAGTTGGTGGTGCGTCCAAGAGAGGATAGCAAAAGAGTTGGCAATCTGCAAGAGGGATGACCAAACAAAGAAGCAAAAAACCGCACAACAAAAAGAGGAAATGATGCGAGAGTGATGAATGAGTTGAGTTTTTTCAGAGCGGTGCCTGCCAGTTGAAGCTCTGCCTGACCGCTCTTCAGATGATAAAGTTTCTGCAGTGGCATTTCCAACGTCTTTTATTTTCTCTCTGTTTATGTTAATTCATGGCTCTAAAGTGCCTGTTTGCGTGCCAACTTCTTGCCCCTATTGTGCAGTCACTTTTGTAAACAGAAATACATCTAGTCTGCGGCACAGACCCCTGAAGCAAGCAAACACAACGGGCATATACAGCTGCTACAAAGCATGGACACAGACGTCACATCAAACGCCATCCATCACAACGTGAAATTACAGACGCGGAGTTGCAGATAGGAATAAACCACCCTCCACTTAAGTGTAGCCACCGGTTCGAGCATGGTCAATCTGTCAGTGGCTGTTGAAATGAACATGAAGCCATTAATGATCCTAGACTTGCCATATAAAGGCTATTCACAAAACACTCATTCTATATAAATAAAACTCCCCAGCTTCATCAGCAGGGTATCAACATGAAGAATAAACACCAAGCACTCCCAATATTTCGCTAGCATGCCCAGAGCCCACAAAAGACCCAACTCAACGCAAATCATCTCTCCACAAAAACTTTCTCCAGCTACCAATAACGTTAATCATCATAGCTCATCTCGAGTAAAAATCCTTCAACTTCTAAAAGTTTCCAATCCAAGCGTTCAACACCATTTCATCTTCTTCCAGGCTAGCCTCCTTCTATTGAGCGTCTAGCTCCGATCATCTTTCTTCAAGAACATTTCCAGGACGACTCGCTCTCGATCCCTTTTCGCTCTGTCCTTGTCGTCGCTCGTCCGGAACAGCAGTGGGCTCACTAATTCGGCGTATCTCCTCTCCCGCGTCCTTCTCTTTCTAGCTGCCTCAGTTTCATTAGGGCGGAAACTCAATCGTCGGGTCAGCGCCCCACGAACAGGCGGCGGCTGGGTGGCCGGACTTAGTTCAGCCACCACACGGGCAAGGGTCGCCGTCAGAAACACAAATGCAATATTGTGGGATGGGGAAGTTGAAAGCGAGTCCAGAATGTGGTTCTTCACATCGGGCCATGCGTTTACAGGTGTCGACGTAAGATTGGGCAATTCTATTGAGAGCTTGGCCCAAAGGTGCGGTGGGATGAGTCCGTCCATTAGAGACGCGAGGAACAAAAGCAAGACGGAAGAGTAAATCTCCAGCTTTTGTGTTGACAAGAGCTCCACGGGCAGAGCGTCTGCTAGAGGCGAATGGCTGTCTAGGGCTGATATCAATGCTGCTTTCAAAGTATCTTGTTTGGTGGCTTCCACCGTCCAGGTCGAAGGGTCTAATGGCCAGCCAGGATCCCCCGGGATGGTCAGTTCCTCAAGCATCGCTTCGTCGGCTACACATCGCTCAGCCATGGTTTGTATGGCTTCGGTAAGCTTGAATAGTTCTCGTGGCGCGGAGCAGTGCACGTCCCAGTCGTACGTGATGGTCCCTTGAATATTGTTATCTTTGATGAACTTTCTGATTCCGTATTCCGGTACTCGAATAAGCTCATCGATCGATCTTCCAAAACAACTTGGGAGCCACGTTCCGTGTACCGGCACAAAGTGGTCTTTCCCACCCTCGACACGCAATACCAACACCTCATCAAGCTTGCAGCTGGCGTCATTTAGCGCCCGAACATGTGAGATCTCCGAAACTCGAGCCTCAATGACGGCCATTACTGTCTCGCCAGGTTCAAGGGTCACTGACGGTCCTAGCGTGGCCTTGTGTCCATCATCGTCAGGCCGGTGGAACGACGTCTTTAACCATTTTGCTGCATTTGATTCCTCCTCATTGGACTGCGCTTCGTTGAGGAACTCGAGGCTGGCTGCAGCACTGCTAGTATTGGCAATGGTTATGAGGCAAGAATGCGTCTCGAAAAACCCTACTTCGCCAAAGTCAACAGCGCCATCTGTCTGGCCGTGGCCGCCTTCTACGATGAGAGTAACGCCAGGCCGACCTTCGTTCTCGGCTCGGTCCAGCTCAAAAGCAATCTCTGCATGGATCTGTGCCTTCTTTTCTGGGTCAACAGTGTCGTAGTTGAGAGTAAAAGTGGAAACAACCGGCTTGTGGTCCGAAGATGTGACTCGCTGGAACGAGTTGTAAAACTCTAGAGAGATGTTGTCTTGTGAACCATCATCGAATGCCTCCCCATCATCATTTTCATCGTATTCGTCGTATTCATCATATGCCTTATCATCAGCGGTGGCAGCCTTTGGAGGCAGGTCTTCTCCATCAGTGTCAGGATCGTAGCTGAAGAGAACATCATCATCCTCTTCAATCCCTCTTGCTCTCATCTCTTCGTCTTTCCGTTTGGCCTCTCTCAAATCCTGTAATTTCTTCTCATGCACCTCTCTGTCCTTGCGGGTTCTGTAAAGGATTCGATCGCACCAGCTTGGCGCCCTCTGCTTCTCGCTCGTATCGAATAAGCCGAATGTACCGACGTCGTATTTAAAAGTTGGTAAAAATGAGATGGGTCCTTCTCTCCACCCGTCATGGAACAGTTTCTGTTTTGCGATGACTCGCCTCAGCTGGTCATGCGGTAACAGTGAATCGATGGTTGCTTGAAGAGATGCTGGATCTTGGCTAGGATCGTCTGGGAAGTCATCTTCGAAGTCATCTGGATCCGGCAGCGAACTGGATGAATCAAAACTCTGATCAAAGCTGTGGTCTTGAGAATGTAGTGACGACATTGTGGTTGTCTCATCATCGCTTTCAGATGTCCTCGTGACTATAATTCCATCGCCGCCTTCTATAGGCACCGGGGTCTTGTCGTTGCTCAGATCGTACTCCCCTCGAGCATGTAACGTTAGGAGCCTTCTGATATCGTCTCCTGGAAGGCCGTCTAGGCGGAAATTCAAATCTCCAAACCAGAATGCATAGTCTTCGTCCCCAATCCTGTCTCCGTCATCATCAGACACGCCACTAATCACCACCGGGTCGAATTGCGTCTTGGATACGATCTGCCCTACATCCCAGCACCGTCTGTCAAGCGATGCTGCATCTGCGCCACTAGCGAGATGGCAATTGACAAAGAGGAGCTTTGTAGTTTCTCCCAATACGATGCGCGTTGCTACAGCCCCTTTGTTCCCAAAGTAGCCGAGGAGGCCTGTTCCGACCTGCCGAGTGGAAACATTGCTGATGGTGGGAGCAATCGCGGGAGAGGCGTAAACCAAGAGCAGCAGCCCCGTCATTTGCTCGGATACGACCAGCTGGTATCCTCGAGGTATTGCCGCTTCCGCCGCGGCAGTCCATTTTTCCAGGGGCCCATTGTCGACGTATATTCGGCTCATGTACTCTCCAGTCCGACTAAGGTCCACCACCTCTTGCAGTCCCAGAACATAGAGATCAAAGCCCTCACCACTCTCCAATTCTACTGGCCTATGGTCTTTGTCGTCCGGCTCGGCTGGACGCTGCGAGGGGCCATCTCCTGAGATGTCGAGTCTGGAGATGGCTTCGCCAGTTTCGAATTCTTCGGTAAACCAGCTCGCAAGGTCCTTATCGGTTCCTGTGCACGCCGCCACATTCCAAGTGCCCACTTTGATGCGGATCGTGCTCGGGCGAAGATATTCGGAGCGACGAGTCAGGACAGCTCTGGCCAGTGACTGGGGGACTCCAACGTCAACAGGCTCAGACTCGACGGACTGGTCTCGTGCGGGCCCTTCCATTGTGTAATACGACGATGTCGACAAAGAGGAAGACCGTTGAATGCGGCGTCGCTACCTCTCAAAGTCGTGGATCTTCTTGCCACAGCCTGGCTGCTAGATCATGGTGCGGCAGCAGCGGTTGCGATTGCGACGCAGGCAATGGAGTCCAGCGTAAGGCGGCCGCATATACTGCAGTATATAGCTATACACTCCGTAGACTCGTAAGAATAATGCAATCTGATATAATGGAAAGCTGAGTGAGTGATAACGGGTTCGATGCTGAATTCCGGCTGGTCATACGGTTCCCTAGAACTGCCAGGCGCAGAAGATGCAGCAATTGGAGTTGAGCAAGCTATCGTTGCAACGACAATGTCGCCTGAGAGCTCGCGTCATGGAGTCCTCGGCTGCTAGGCTCTTATCGATAGCGCATCTTTAGCAGCTATTCGCCCCTCTTAGGCCGGTGCTAGGCACTGCTGTTAGTAGCTCCCGCCAGCATCAACGTCAACATCAGCTTCCAAACCACAGATCCGCATGCGCAAATACGGCGATATCGTCATTTCCAATACTCGTCAAGCCACAGCTCTTCTGTGCTACATCCAAAAGCTTGTTTTATCTCTTCTCTTGCGACAACCACACAGCCTCCCCTGCTGCCAGCAGAGACAGTTCCAGAGCATCATATCGTGGCAGAGTGTCATCCAGCTCTCATCCATTCGCATTCTTCTATCCACAGTGTCCTTCCAGGAGGGAGACAGAAACATATCCATCATGAGCAAGCCAACGCCTAGAAAGTCGCGGCACAACCGCCATCCCTCAAATCGCATCCCCGCCATATCCGACTACGAATCCGACGCCGCAATCACAACATCCAGATACGAGGCCCCGCCGCCGCGAACCAACACCGAGCTCAACCTATCCGTCCTACAGCGCTATTTACCGTCCATAAGCAGGATCTTGAGCATCGCTGCTAACGCTGTGGTCTACACATTCGATAACGCAAGCCAAGGCTGGGAGAAATCCGGCATCGAGGGCACCATGTTTGTTTGCGCGCAGACGCCACTGCCAGAGGACCCTGACCACCGCCCTCGGGCTTGTGTCTTTGTTCTAAGCCGTCGTGGTCTTGACAACGTAATCGTCGATTTGGCGAGGGTGGGCCATGTTGAAATAGCGGGGGAGCTGGTGATTCTCAAAGTCGAAGGTCATCGGGAAGAGGGCGAGAAGGTCGTTGGACTGTGGATCCACAACGACGAGGAGGGAACGAGGGCTACGAACGGAGCCATCATCGAAGAGAGCTGGAAGATTGCCCGTGCTGCGGGGACTGTATCAAATGAAGGCCCAAGGCCAGAGGCTGGTCCGGCAATGCAGGCTATTGGCCGTCCTCTAACGCTCAACGAGCTATTTGGGAGACAACAGGCGGCTGGGGGGAGCTGAGCGTATACAAGTCACAAGAAATTGTTTGACACTGTAGTTACCCAATGTGTAACAGACTTGACGACTTTTCTCGATAGAGGGCATTGAGCGAGATATGGCTACTACTTGGCGGAAAAGAGAGGAATCGGCAACTGCTAAGCAATCAATCTACCACAAGAGACAGAAGCATTGTTCCAAGAAATACACCAGAAGCCTTCGCTCGAAGCTGCTTCATCGCTGCACATGCTGGAAGGGCTTGAATATGAATAATCTCATTATACGGAACATAGCGCCATTCAAAAGGCATGCTTCCGGCTCGAGCAAGCATTGGTCTATCCATAGACTCATCCTGAGCAACCAATATCTAGATAACATTAAATTAACAACGTTCCAATCAACCCATACGCCGGCAGCTTGTAATTCGCAAACTCCTCGTTTCCTAATCACGTCTCCATGATCCACAAAAATTTCTTTTCTTTTAAATGTCTTGATACCTGTCCAATTATACCGTTCCGCTAATGCTCAGCTCGCGAATCTCCTGCAGAACCTGCTCTACTCTTGCATCCAGATGACCCTCTGCGTACTGGTCTCTGGTGTCTGCGTCAAGATACTGCTGTACCTGTGCCATACGCGAGTAGGCTTCCGCACAGAACCGAAGCTGGATCTTGACGAGAGCTTCGAAGCTGGGATCCAGGTAGGGTACACGCAGGTCGATTAGCTGCGGCAGTTCAGTGGTAAGCTGCTCATTCAGCTGCTCGTACACAGCTTTTGCCATTTCCAACTCCTTTTCCGTGCGTGGCAGCTTCGTGGCGTCTTTATCCGGCTTCTCGACAAGCTTTTTCACCTTGGCGCGGAGGGCATCGTAGTCGAGGAGTTTGTGGGAGCGCTTCTTGATACATTCATTGACGTCGGGGAAATAGGCACAGAACCGGCCAATGGGCTCGAGCACGGTCGTTCGATAAGGTCCGTCGAGAGCTTTGATGGTCTCAGCGTCGAGGTCTTCCACCGCTTGCTTGTAGCTTCTGCTGACGCCGTCCTTCGCGCCCGAGTCACCGTAAAACGCATCTATCGTCTCGGCAATTCTCATCTGTGAAGCTGTCATGGCTGTTGGTTTTTTTCCACAAAGAATTAGCATGAGGTCCGGCATCTTCGGTCATGACGACATTGTGTCTGCATACCTCTCAACGAGTCTAGGTAGCCCTTAGATTCCTTCTGCAGCCGTAGTGAGGCTGTCTCCATTGTCCTAAACCGCCTGCATGTTGGTCAGCATGTGCCGTCTCTCGCAGGCCTCTTGTTTGCTCAGCTTCACCTTTCCTCAACCTCATAATCTCGATCGTTTGTCTTCTCCACATGCCCTGCAAAGACCCAGGTTAGAGCGGCGCCCAATACACTATACGCACAAATCCCAAGCAGCGCAGCTCACCCGTCTTCATCATCACCTGCGTCGTCGCACGGTTCACATTCTTCTTGAAGCCTATAGCACAATGTCAGCCCCTCGCACCTCTGTCAGCGGGGCATCCGCAAGCTCCGTACCCGCCCACGACATGGTGATTATTAGTCCTTCTTTCTAATTAGGATGACTGATGTGTTCTCTTCTATCACTTGTATCGGGGATATCGAGATCGCTTCGCTGGTGGACGTTGCTTCGAGCTGTTGGCGGCAGATGACGGGGAAAGGAGTTTGCGACAAGCAGCCAGAAGTGACGACCAAGCCGGGGGCAGCGCAGCCACGATGTGCTGCGCCCAATGGGCTCATCGACGTCAGCGACCACAGGCACAGCCACACCTGGAAACCGCCTCCCTCACGTGAGCCCGGCATAGACGCCAACGCCGATTTTTCTTCCAAATCCGTCTAACCCGGGCAATTTGATTTGCAAGCCAGACGGAATTGGTGTGGATTTTTTGAGTTTTGGTTTGTGCGGGAGAAGCATGTTCAACCCTCGGTTTCTCGTCATCAGCCTTGGGAACCCGCTGCCAAAGTACGAGAGCCTGCATTCGGCTGGCCATTTTGTCCTCAATGGCCTCACGAAAGCTCTGCAACAGCCAGCGTTCCGCGAGGTGACGCTTGGTCGACAGTCTTATCTAGTATCCCAGGGATCGAAATACATTCTTGTGCAATCTCCAACTTATATGAATGTCTCGGGAGGGTTTGTGGCCAGTGTATGGCAGGATACAGTCAAGAAATACGGCTCTGAGTCTCTTGGTCTGGTGATAGTTCACGACGAGTTGGAGAAGGATCTGGGAGTTGTCAAGCTGATTCCCTGGGACCGCAGCCCTCGGGGTCACAACGGCATCAAAAGTGTTAGGTCATCACTTTCGCCGAAAAAGTATCCGGATTCACTGTTCGCTCGAATTGCCGTTGGCATTGGCCGACCCGAGGAAAGGGATGCGGCTACAGTGAGTCGCTATGTACTCAAAAAGATATCTCGCGAAACCCGGACAACATTAGAGGAAGACACCCCTTGGGATGTCGCAAAGTGCCTCATAGAACTGGAGAACCAATGGAGAAACGAGATTCTGGGAGGCTCGGGAGGAAACGTAGAACCATGAGTGGCGTTCTTTGCCTGCTTAGACTTCGTGATCTATTCAAGGCAGCAAATAAAGGCACATCACTCCCTACAGTACAAGAACTGCATCTTTTGCCGTCAGAGCATTGCATCCAAAGCATATGGCTACCGATAGAAGCTTGACGGCACTAATGGTAGAAGAACAATCCGTCGAGATGGACACGCCACGCAGCACAGGAGCTTGGCCAGAATTTACTGAGAAACAGATTTAGGGACATCTGTTTTCATGATGTATGCTGCCGTATAAAGTATGGCGAGTCTCCAGCCAAGGTGGGATAGCCGAATCTCAGCAAAGGTTTAAGCTACTAGGAATTGGTGAAATTTATGCTACCAAACAACTTTTCGCATCAAGTCGGTGCCTTTTCTTTTCACGTTCTCGTTATCGAATATATCAACTTGAAGCCGTGCCTTTCTAGTGTTCGCAACATCGCTGTTCTGTGCTTAAAGCAGTCTGAGAATTCGTTGATATTGGGGGCTTGGAGGATGCGCCACGGCTATGGCTACAGCTCCGACAATCCGGGACGATTGATAAATAGACGTACAACGCGTATGTGAAAGCAAAGTTAATTGGTTCGGCTCGATTCAGCTTCGCCTACATGAGCGAATTATACATTTACAGGCTCCCTTACTCATCCCGACGGCGGACGCTATTCGTCTTCGTTCAAATGGCTAACAATGCTTCCTATCTGTGCCGAACAGTATTTGGTTTACCCGGAAAGTACGGGGAACCTGGGATATCGAGGCATCAAAGCTGAGAGAGCCATCAGGCACAGCTTCACCACGCTAAGACCAGCCCAAAGTGCGCCCCCCACAAGCGCCACTCCAAGAGATAAGGAATGTCGCCCAATCAACGACCCCAGACGGGAGCGTCATGGGCATTATCTGGCTGGGGTGCCATGCGTCTAAGTGAGCGTCTACGCCAGACAGGGAATAGATTCCGTGGTCCTAACAGCAGAGGCTTGAGGATTGATGCCACTGATAAGAACCATGTTGTGTGTAAGACAACAGCGGATAAGCACAAATGGCTTTGCGTAAAGCCTTCTGACTATCTGCGGTTCACAGATGAGATGCGCATTCATTATCAGTCGCCTTTTATGGGGGCAATTCCAAATCTCTCTTTTGAGTGTGTCTCAGATCTGGTGCATGAGATGCTGTTCTGTACCCTCCTTTTGCGATAGCTCGCTTTGCCTGGTACTGGGTGGAGTTATCCATGCTGAGGTTCATGATGTGCTATAATGGGGTGCGGCCTAGCAATGCAACATCGCACTGCAGGTTCGCGCATCTATATCTCTTCGATACCATGGAATAGACTCTTGAGATGTCTCTCATCTCATCTGTTGGTACGCGTAACCTTGCAGCTGGTGTGACCGATCGAGAAGGGGGTGCCATCTGAGAGACAAAAGGCGCACCACTCCTTGCGACAACTTATACTTCACTCATTATACAATAAGTATGCTTGCATACTATGAAGAGACATGATCACCCGAGGAAAGGATTTGTTCTCAGGCTATCAGACTTTCCAGTGATTACCGACAGTTGAATGGGGAAAATTGTCCGTCATCAGCTAGTACTTTTTCACCTACTCCAACCCAGCCTGCCCTTGGCACGCAAGAGATAAGCCTCCCAGATAAGCATCGACCTAATATGGCACCGACAGCCTGGACGACCTGTGGGAGTCGTGTCACTTATCTATGTGGCTTCAACCCCGGACACTACTGTGAGATGCTGCACCAATAAGTCTCCATGCATTGCAAGGGCGATAAGCTCATTTGAGAGGCGCAACTCGCAGCCCGATTCCAAGCCGTACCTTTTCTGATGTGGGAGACTATTGGGCCTCATTGAGCTAGTGCTTCACAGCCCTTTATACTACATGGCGGCGTGGGATGGGACGCCGTTAGATCCTGATGGGCTGCTATTCATCAAGTGATACAACTCTAATCTATACGAGCTGAGAGCCATGCGGAATAAGTCGGGGGGGCCCAAGGACCCTGCGCAGAGCTGATGGATTGAGTGTGTGTGCCTTGAGCTTACAACTGGGGGAACTATATATCATCCCATCCCCTTATCTCAGCTGTCTTTTCATCACCTGTTGTTACATTTCTTTCTCACCCTTCTGGTGCTTTTTCTTTCTCTTAGTTGTGGTTGACACTGGGAGTAAAGCGAGTCTACAATCGATTAAACACCAAGGAAAGAGACCGACATTGGACAACACCATATTGGCAATCAGATTTGAACAAACGAAACATCGCCATGGCGTCAGTCGTTCCTTATAACGGCACCATAGGGAAGGCAGACTCCGGCCACTCGACCGGAGTCAGCGACCTCAACATTTTCTACGACGTACGCTTTCATCTTTTGATAAACAACAATCTGCCAAATCAAACACTAACAAACCTCCCCATGATATAGACCGGCCATATGACATGGATCACCGTCAGCTCTGCCCTTGTGCTTCTCATGATTCCCGGCGTGGGTTTCTACTACAGCGGTCTTGCCCGCCGCAAGTCGGCCCTCTCACTCCTCCTCCTCTCCATGGTCTCCGTGGGAGTCATCAGCTTCCAGTGGTTCTTCTGGGGATACTCACTCACCTTCTCACGAACTGGAAATGCGTTCCTCGGCGATCTCACACAGTTTGGTTTGATGAAGACGCTGGCCCAGCCCAACGGCTCCGCCAACTTGCCTGACATCTTGTTCTGTCTGTACCAGGGCATGTTTGCCGCTATTACGTGAGTTGTCTCTTAAAAACACTCTTTAATAGAGAACCCGAAATTGAAAATCAACTAACATAACAAACACACAGCCCTGCCCTCGCTATCGGTGCCGTCGCTGATCGCGGCCGCATGCTCCCCGCCATCGTCTTCATGTTCATCTGGTCCACCGTCGTCTACGACCCCATCGCCTACTGGACCTGGAACGCCAACGGCTGGCTCGCCAAGCTCCCCAACTACGACTTCGCCGGTGGCGGCCCCGTCCACATGTCCTCAGGAGCCTGCGCCCTGGCCTACAGCATCATGTTGGGCAAGCGCACCGGCTACGACAAGAACCGCGGTCTGCCCTACCGCCCACACAGCGTTACCAACGTTGTCGTCGGCACCGTCTTCCTCTGGGTCGGCTGGTTCGGTTTCAACGGTGGCTCGGCCTTGGGCATGAACCTCCGCGCTATCATGGCCTGCTTCGTCACCAACTTGGCTGCTTCGGTCGGTGGCGTCACATGGATCTTGCTGGATTATCGTCTGGAGAAGAAATGGAGCACGATTGGATTCTGTTCAGGGGCTATTGCTGGCCTCGTGGCGATTACTCCTGCGTCTGGTTATGTTACTCCTTGGGCCAGCTTCATCATTGGCATGGTTGGCGCCATCTGCTGCAACTTTGCTACCAAGCTCAAGTTCCTCATTGGCGTTGACGATGCTCTTGACATTTTCGCCGTCCATGGCATCGGTGGAATGGTCGGTAACATCTTGACCGGCATCTTCGGAACGTAAGTCTTTTTCCCAAACGCTCTCATTTTATGACAAGAAAAAAGGAATTTATCGCTAACTTCTTCTCTCTCTCTCTCTCTCTCTAGCTCCTCCATCGCCGACCTCGACGGCTCCTCCTACCCCCCGATCGGCTGGGTCAACGGCCACTGGGTCCAGCTCGGCAACCAACTTGCCGGCGTCTGCGCCGTCTTCGGCTATTCCTTCACCCTCTCCTGCATCATCCTCTTCCTCATGAACCTCATCCCGGGCCTGTCCCTGCGCGTCAACGCCGAGGACGAGGACGTCGGCGTCGACGACTGCCAGCTCGGCGAGTTCGCCTACGACTACGTCGAGATGAGGAGGCACGTCCTGGACGGCGAGGTCCTCTCCACGCCAGCCGTCATGAGCAGCAGCTCGAGCACGGCGGAGAAGCACTCTGCCGAGAAGATGCCCGTGGGGATGGTCTAAGGCAGAAAAGGGTGAGGAGGAAAAGGGAGTTTTGTTTCGAACATATACACTGCAAATTTAATAGGGAATATGGAATGGGAGTACATAATTTATTTTGCTTCTTTAACTGGCGGGTAAGGCGGAGGATGAAAATTATGATATTGATACCATTTTTACAGCACTTTATAGTTTTGTGCAATTAGATATGTACATCTGCAATAAATACATATATATAAAGAGTGCCATATCTATCATGAATGTCTTATATCATATCAACCTAAATCAAGCATCAGTAAATATATACATGAGACTAACTTCTCGGTTCACACGCATTAGACAAACTGACTACAGCCCCAGTCATTGTATAACATGAAAAAAAAATCAATTGTCGCATTACTATATCACTCCGTCTAATAATATGATCCATTCTCTCTCACTTTCCATCACGCCCATCGAATCCGTTATTCACAGGTTCGTCCCATGCATGTGCCTTATTTCCCATCGTTCCATTTCACATATCCATCCATTCCATGATACAATGAAAAAAGAGAGAGGTAGACAGTGAAACGAGCATGACAACGTATCTCATTCCCGACACTCCCACAGCCGTCGTAGTTTACTACACAGATCTCCCGTTCTCTCTCTTCATACACGACGTAGCCGAGTCAGTATCAGTGTTAACCTTCCTAGAACAATAATCCTGTCAAAAAAAAAAAAAAAGTGAAAAAAAAAATCCTCCATTTGCCTCCTTTGTCAGAGGCAATTATGCCACGGTGCCTCTATCCCAGCAGCGTAGCTCATCAAGTCGCAACAGCTGCATAGCCGTCTTGTATCAGCTCTTGTAGCCGATTTGAAGTGTCCCTATGCGAGTATGTGTGATTGAGCTCCCTATCTGAAAGCGTATCACAGCTTGATGTAAATTAAATTCCGAACCAAGACCGATTTTGCACCACGTAACCCATGCTGTCATCATGCACGCCAAACACTAAGAAACTCCATGGCTGCGCTGTAAAGTAGAATACTATTCCCATGCATCGTGAAAAAAGGGGGTATGTTGCGAATAGAGAAGCTTCAAATCTCAGGGGTTATAGCGGTGAAAGTGCTCCCTCGGTCGGATTAACGATTCAACATTTTTTTTTGTATCCCCTTCTATCTGCTATACCCATTAACCAATGAGTTCCAGGTATGACGAATCGTAAAATTGTTTCAGAAGATACTCCAAAAGAATTTAGTTTGCTTCGCCTTGCTGTTCATCTGGCGGCGCTCTCGTTGGCTGGTGCATGGTGACGGTACTAGCACCTGCTGCTGAGGAGCCTGCAGCGGGTGAATTGCCCTGTCGAGAGACCGAGGGTTGTGATAAGCCTGCTACACTGGCGTGCTGGGCATTGGCGCTTTGAGAACCAGATGCCATCCCGTTTGCAGGATTGCCAAACGGAAATGTCCTGGGCAATGCAAAGTCATCGTTTTCTGAAAGGAGCAGCTCCATTTCCGCACTTGGCCGTGGCTGGAACGGGCGATTAAGCATGCCGGCGAGGAAGTTCGACGAGGAGGTGGCGGTTGGCGGTTCTAACGGAGGAGGCACGCCGGGCATGGGGGGCACTATTTGATCCAGGGATGGAAACGCCGGAGGATGTTGCACGTGGAAAGGCAGGTTTTGCTGGGCATCCACGACCATTTCGCCGGTATCTAACCCCTCGAAATCGTTGTCCTCAAAAGCCATTTCGTCGTCAAAGGCCTCGCCTTCCGGAGGCTGCAGAGTAGTGGGGAATGCACCGATTCGACGGGCAGTAAATGCTCTGATATGGCTGGCATATCTCGGATAGAGGCTCTCTCGGAGAGCTTCAAACTGTGGTGATGTGTTCAAGAAATCGCGGAACTTGGATACCATATTTCCAGAAAAGACACAGAAAACGTCTCGCTGGTGCTGTGTAAACTCTGTTTAAAAAGTAAGCACAAATGTTGTTGGCAGTGAGAATAAGGGAAGAGAAATCTAACCTGCTGGTGCTTGTCTGCAAAACGGTTGGAACTCGTCTCGTTGGAAAGCGGCCACGCCAGTCAAGCTGAGATGGGTGAGGCGAGGGCACGAGTTGAGGAGTCTTATGATGCTCTATCTCTTGCATTAGCTTAACCATACAAATATTTTCTTGCCGCATGGAGTATGCTGCTTGAAAGGGGCAAAGGAGGAAACATACAGTGAGAGTCAAATTAATACAGTAGCTGAGATGCACACGCTCCAAGCTTGGAGAGAAATATTCGCCGCCAGCAAACATTCCGTTGGCATCCCTTCTGACACGAGGGCGATGAGCGGCCTCGGCAAGCGCAAGGACAGAGGCATCTGTAATACTACTACATTTTACCAGGCCTATGCGCTTCAACTTGGGGAGGCCGGCAAGGCACTTGACCGATGCATCAGTGAGGAGCGTGCAGCATCCCAGGTCAATATACCGTATACGGTTGCAGTGGGTTACCAGACGCTTGACACCATCGTCGGTGATTAGGCTGCAGTGGCCCAGATGGACATAGTGAAGGTTCTTGCCCAGCTTGGAGATGGAGTGGATGGCAGCGTCTGTGATGTTCCGGCACTTGGAGAGCAACAGGTTTCGCAGCCGAGGCGCCGCATCGATAATCTTGGCAACTGCTGCGTCAGTGAGGCGACTGCAGGAGGTCAAGTCGAGAATCCGCAGGTGCTCATAGAGTTGATTCGGCGGTAGGGAGAGAAAAGCTTCGTCGCCGATCAGTTCGCAGTTAGCGAGCCGGAGCTCGCGTAGGCTGTGTCCCTTGGACATGAGGGCCGTAATGGGGCCATTTCCGATCTGGACGCACTGGTGAAGATCGATTTCAAGGATGTTTCTGCAGTTGTCGGCAAAGGCGAGCACTGCATTATCGCGCAGTTGGATGCATTCGTTTAGTTTAAGCTACAACAGACAAGAAATTGGGGTCAGCATGTCATAGAATGTGACAAGAAGAAAATGCACAACATGTAAGGAAGGGGGGTTTCGCAGGGGAGGAGTGGAACGAATATATATATATATTGTGTGTTTGTGTATGTGTGTGTGTGTGTACATATACTCACCCTCTTGATGTACTTGCAGTTCTGTGCTAGGGTAAGCAGGCTGTCGTTGGAGATGTTGTCGCAGCCCGAGATGTTGAGGCCCTGGAGACGCTTGCAGTGGCTAGCAATGGCGTTGATGGATCGCTCAGTAATGTGCTTATCGTTGGAGATGTCCAAGGCCAGCAAGGACGAGCTATTCTCGACAAGAGCAATCAAGCCTGTGTCGGTCAGGCCGCGACAGTTAGTCAGCGTCAGGCGCTCCACCCTGGAGCAAACGGCGAGAGGCATGACGCTGCCGTCGTTGACCTTATCGGCGAGGGCGGCAAGGTTGAGCCGCTTGATGAAATCACGGTAGTGGAAGTAAGGCTGCTCCAGGCCCAGCGTCTGGCAGATGCTGCGGTGGTTCCCCCAGTTGGAGCATGCAGGCCGGTGCCATAGCAGGTCGACGGCGTTTCTGGCCCATCGCTTGGAGACGAGCATGCAGTGGTACAGGTCCGAGGTCGAGCCCAGCTTGGAGAAGACGCCGATGAGGATCTCGTTAGGCAGCCTGTTGACCGGCGGCCAGCAGGTGTCGTCGACTTGCATGTCCTGGAAGTTGGGCACGCCAAGGGAGGACTGGGAGTCATTGGCAACCAGGAAGAAGTCGGACTCTTCGTTGTCGGCCGGGGCGGGCGAGTTTGTGGATGAAGAGGAGCGAGAGTCCTCCCTTCCCGAGCCGGCACCGGGTTCTAAGGTGGCCATGGCTATTTCTTGATGGGTTTAGCAGCAGACGGCCGCGTGCCTGCCGAATTCAGGCTCGGATTCTGTGGGAAGACAATATTCGCACGCTGGGCACATATAACAGCAGGCAAAGGGAGGGTTGCCGTACTGCTGCTTCTGACGATGGTGCCGAGAGGGAGAGGAACAAGTCGCGGGGTTTCGATCGGCCGCCGTCTCTCGGGCGGATGCTGGCGATGGACGGAATCGACGCAGGATAGAACAAAGGGGCCGTCGCGATGGTGAAAACGAGGCAGACGGGCGAAGGAGGAGCCCTTGCTGCGGTAAAGGGGGGGTTGTCCGGTTGTCGCAAGGCTTAAGGCTTTCTTTAGGCTTTCCTGTCCGAACACGAAGGGACAACGTCCAGACACACCGACTTCAGGCGTGCGTCGGAATGTCTCACCGGCGGCCGTAGCGAAGAGGGAAGAGCTCAGCACCAGGCGACGAGTGAGAGCGTCTGGCTCGCAGCGTTGGATGACGTCGATCGGGCTTTCTGTTTGGCTGGTCTTTCAGCTCAGCTCGGGCTGAGCGAGTGAGTGTCTGCCGCAAAGACGCTGCTGCTGTAACGGCGCTCCAAGGGAATCGAATCAACTCAGGTCAAGAAACGTGCTGGACCGCAGAAAAAAGGCGCTGGAAGGGCGGAGCGCAGCTGCACGTCTGTGTGGTGGTTGCTGCTGCTGCTGGCCGGAGAAGTGGTTGGTTGGCTGGTCTGCCCGTTGAGGCTGGTGATGGCCTGGTCAGCAGTCGAAGGCGGCAGAACACAAGCCCAGCCCAAGGCGGAGATCAAGACGGTCCGCGTGGGGGCTGGAGATTGGGGCGCCGGGGCGCTATAAGGGCGCTGTAAGTGGTGCGCTAGCGGTGCTGCAGCACCTGAGGCAGCGCTGTGAGGGCGCTGTTCCACGGCGCCGCAGCTGGCAGAAGCTCCGCAAACAGTGAAACAGCACACTTGGTGGATTAATAAGACAAAACTTGAGATGGAACCTTGGTAGCGCCACTCCATACCTACAATTTAACACAGAGCTCACGACTCATTCAGCTGCTCTAACCACAATCAGAGCACAGAGTCTTGCCTTGTTCTCTCCTCCCTCACCTCGTTCGCTTGCCCCCCTCTCGCCTCGCCAAAAAATCCTCACTTTTTTTTTTTCTTTTGCGTCCCAGGGTTGGGCTCCATCCTCACGATTGCTTTCGGTGCAGCAAGGCAGTGGGAGGTACCTCCCGGGCGACCTATCAGCGGCGCCGCCGCCTTGTACTCCGATACCTGACAGAAATAGCGTCAGCTTTGCGCTGCTAGCGGCCCCCATCCCCGCGCTTCAACCAGGAAGAGGTACTCGCTACCTTGTTTTGCTGGTGCAGTGACGGCAGATTGACGCTGATTCAATGTCACTGGTTCGGCCAGTAGCCGCCGCATGCACGTGATGGTGTTCTGAGTTGTGATAGCGGGCATGCAGCTGCATCACAGGTGCCGGTACCTATTATGCCTATTATGCGTGTGCAGCAGCAGCAGCACATGCACATGATCACGATCCTGTTTCTCGATGGTGTTTGAGAGATTTATTATTATTACCGACTCTCCCTGTGTTGTGTTTGCGGTTTGAGACATGGATATGGCGCTGGAGCCGTGGCAAGTTCGAGATTCAGGCCGTGCTGCTAAGAATAGACCCTTGTGGCATGTACTCTCTACATGTACATACTACCTTAGTAGGTTAGTAGGTACGCCAATGCAATGCTTCATCACATGCCAAAAGCAGCACCATTGCGCGCAGAGATGTTTAACATCTGTGAGCCTTTTGGTGAACCCTTTCATCTCCTCGTGGAGTCTGTACTGTAAGAACGCTCGCAGATGCGTTTCACGAGAGAAACAAATCAGCGCCAGAAACGGACGTTTCAGCTGTCAAGTCGTTGCATGGTTGTTGTATCCAATACTGCTACCTAGTAGTACCCACATACATGTACTCCGTAGATTTCATGTTTTATTGTGTTTTACCAACCGTAGCTTGTTTATTCTTTCATACCCTTTTACCCTTTTATACACCCACCACTTCACTATCACTATCGCAATGAGCTTTTAGCTTTCCCAGTTTCACCATTCTTCAATACCAGTGGTTATTAGTGGAATTGAGGAAGCTGGTGGCAATCTTGAAACCGTATTCGGGGTGTATAAAAAACATTCGAACAAGTTGAAATAGGCATGTCTGGTAATAATAAACGATATATCCTATTACTAGTGCTGTTGACTATTTATTACTCCAAGCAGGGAGTTACAAGAAATCCTACATCTTATTATTTGTTCTGCTTTTCCAAAAACACCACCTTGCTGTCATAGTCGCCATTGAACTGATACTGCAGCCCGATATTCATCAGCGTCGCCCCCGAAAACGTCTGGTTGCCATCAATCTTGTACGAGGCAGAGGCATCCAGTCCCTGCAGCCGCAGCACCGGCCAGGCGTTGTTGATGTTCGCCTTGATCTGGAAATAGAACAAAACCGCCTCGCTGCCGTCCTCGGAGATGAACAGCGCAGCCGGCCAGTTGGAGTCCTCTGGCAGGCTCAATCGCCACATGTCGCCCTTGACCACAATGGGATTCACCTTCTCGGCCAGGGCAATGATGCTGGGGATCTGAGCCTTGTCGTCATCCGGCATGTTGGCCGGGTTGAGCTCGAAGCCAAACGATCCTCCCATCATGGCAACATGTGCGCGGAAAGTGATGGGCGTTGTGCGCTGAGTCTGGCCATTGGGCACCGCAGAGACGTGGGCGCCCATGGCCGACGGCGGGTAGACAAGCGAGGTGCCAAACTGAATGGCAATACGCTCGACTGCGTCTGTATCATCGGAAGTCCAGATGTGAGGGAAGTACTGCAAGACACCGGGATCAAAACGGCCTCCGCCGGATGCACAGCCCTCCCAGCGCACGTTCGGGAATCGGGATGACAGCGTCTCAAAGACACGGTAAAGGCCTAGCATGTAAGCGTAGTCAAGGCCTGGGTAAGGGGTTTCGTGGATGCCACGGTTGTTGTCCCACTTGACGTATGAGATGCTAGCGTTGCCGAGGATGTTGGACAGCGACTCAATGATAAAATCTTGCACTTCAGGGAGAGCCACATTCAAGACGAGTTGGTTTCTTGTCAGTGTCCGTGGATACGACCCGGCGTGGATTGCCCAGTCTGGATGCTCGTGATATAAGCTCGAATTGGGGTTGACCATTTCTGGCTCAAACCAGAGACCAAACTGGAGATGGTCTGAGGAATTGGCCACCTTGAGCTTGGTCACGCTGCTGACGAAATCTGGCAGCCCCTGAGGGAACCTCTTAGGATTGGCAACCCAGTCTCCGAGGCCAGCGTTGTCAGTGACGCGGGGATATTTAACTCCAAACCAGCCATCGTCCAATACAAACAGCTTGACGCCGAGTTCGGCAGACTCTTGTGCCAGATGCAATATGGTAGTATCGTTGTAGTCGAAGCCAAGGCCCTCCCAGCTATTGAGCAGGACGGGGTGCATCTGCGTCGCGAATTTGCTCTTGATAAGGTGCTCGCGGTAGAGGCTGTGGAACTTTCTTGACATTCCGCCAACGCCAGTGTTCGAAAACACAGAAACAGCCTCGGGGGTGGTAAAAGTCTCGCCTGGTCCAAGTGGCCACGACAGCTGATAGGGGTTGACGCCGATGGCAGCGCGTGTGAGGCCCTGGGAGCCCTTTTCAACCTCTACAGAGAATGAGCCTGTATACACTAGAGAGAAGCCCCAAGCTTCGCCTTGTGATTCGGTCGTCGTGGGCGTGATGAGAGAGAAGAAAGGGTTGTGTAGGTGAGACGAGTAACCAGTCGTGCTTCCAAATCTGTACACGGCGAGGCACCAACGTTAGCTAACAAGAAGCTTCATCCCAGAGTCAGATCCTTTCCTACCCCTGAAGACCGTAGTCCACCTTGCGACGCAGCCGCTTGCCCTCACGAGCCCAGTCACCTCTCAGCTCCAACATGTCAAACTCTTCATATGGGAGATCGACACTTAGACTGGCAAGTTTCTCAATGGTGATATTGCCCTTGCCATTATTGGTGATGTTGACGCTACGCACGATAGCATCATACTTGGGGAAGATTGAGTATGTCAAGTCCGCCGCCACAGAGCTGTAGTTGTCGTACATATGCACAACCAGCGTAGACACGTCGTCGGCGTCGCCAAATGTCGACGGCAGTCCATGCAGCGCGGGCTTGCCCTTGATAAGGCTATGTGATTTGTATTGGAATTCGCTGACTGTATAGCCCGCTGACTGTTTAATGTGCACCGCGGGAGTTCGAAAGTCTCCGCGGCCCAGGTCGGGGAACTCACGACGCTGCCGGCCGATGAGATCTACCCAGCCTTGGATGGGGCCAATGATGGGAGGGAAGACGCCGTCTTCGGTGGCAGGGCCGCCAAAGTGGTCGCCAATGAGGTCGTTGGAGTCATCATCGACGTGGAAGCGGTATGAGACGTTGTCGCCGTTGAGAGCAAAGGACTTGCCAGAGACCGAGATGGCTAAGTATTTCGAAGAAGATTAGTATCGAGACGTATAAACAATTGAAGTTTTACTAAGTACTACTAGCTTTAGTTCCGTGGAGTGCTTTACTTACGACTTGCTGCACCAACCGACGCAACCAATCTCGCAGCTACGGTGAGAGCGGCCGCCAACCGCCTTGGAGATGGAGACCCAACCATTGTGCAGTTCCGCCGAGCCCAGGATCAAGTTCTATTATGCTGGACGCAGCACCAGCAAAGGCTAGAGAGTGTATGTGCGAGAGAAGCCCAGCCATGGCCATCTTTATACCCCGGGAGATGGTCATCGACTGAGATCCGCAACATTCCTTCCGTCGGGGTCAATGGCACGATACGGACCTCTTCTTCGCGCCATCCCACTCTTCTCATGGTGCAAGGTATACTAATCCTCAGTCCAAATCCTAAGAAGCAGGCAGGCAGGCAGCTCCATGCAAAGGCCGGCGGAGTGCCGAGCAAGAAGGTCCCACCACACATATTGTCATAATAGCAGCAGCAGCAGTAGCATCTTTATACATTTAGCTTAGCCTCTCGCCCAAGCTTCTTAAAATGCCTACTTTCATGCTTGTTTTCTCCACCAAGAAAAGAAAGTGTCCAACTAGCAGCAACACGCCGCGCGGGCTCTGTTTTTGCGCACCAATGCCATCGTCTCCAGTTTCTCCGGGAAATCTGCAAGGCCCATAAACCAGCGCGAATGAGGTCATTGGAGCGGTGGAGTAACAGGCACGATGCGGGGAGTGGAAAAGGGCTGTTGGGCGATTGTTGCCAAAACTCCATAAAACGGGGGGGCCGATGTGACTCTATCTGGGTGGTGATCGGCAGATGGCAACTGCTAATGCTGAATGTGCTCTGGAGGAAGCCGAATATATACCCGTCGGGAAGGTGTAATGAAAATCAATTGATTTTTAGTTTTAGAAGGGAAAATGTCTTTGAAAAAGTTCAAGACTACATACAAGTGAAGTTGATACTAGTACTAGGTAGTTGTCTTTGGGTTGAAGCAAGTAGCCGTACCAATAGAACGTCGCTTATTTCCGTTGATGAGCGCTTGTAGTTTATTAACGTATAAGTCGGTCAATGATATAAAAAATAACTATAACAGTCAATCTATCGATCAATAAATAGATTTGGGTTACAAGAAGAAGCAGAAATACGTGGTGTCTTTATTTCTATAGACATCGCTGTTACTTGGCTCGCACTTATCAATACGACTGTGTCTCTTCCACTCGCAAACGATGTCACGGCAGGTTGGATGCAATACTACACTACACAAAATGGTTCATGATCTCAATCTATACTTCTTTTAGTAGAGATCTACTCATATAGATCTATAGTAGCGTGAGCAATCACAGGAGTAGAACAGACCTACGAACCTATACATTCTAGGACTTCGTGTCTACCTTGTACTAACTACCTGGTAGGAAGCATAAGTTCAAGACTCACCTGCTTCACAGCATTTTTAATCCCCCAAGAAGACTCTTCTATTCAAAGACACGTACGAAGCACCTGCCTAAGTACCTAGCTACCTACCTACTAGGTAGGTAGGTACCTAGGTACCTATATGTAATTGTATCATTCACAGCATTCTTAGAACCCGAGAACTCTCAATACACTAAGAATGGCTTTGACCGAGCAGCGAGCAGCAAATCTTCCTGCAAGTTTTTCACAGCCGTTTTAGCCCTCCGTGAGGTTCATATTCATTCAAGATCGTGTATTAGATCTCACAGATTTCGAGAATACTGAGGTGGAGATGTTACCCGACTTCCTGGGACTTTCACAGCATTTCTAAGTACCCCGGAGGGTCAGCACAGCTAGCGATTAGTGCGATTTCACAGCATTTATAAACTCCTCTGAGACTCAATATTTCTCGGGATTGGGCCCAGTGCCGAAGAAAAAAATCTTTCACAGCATTCTTAAGCCCTTATGAGACTCGGTCGTCGAATTTCGGTGTGGGGGATCTCACAGCATTTTTAAGCCCCTCCGAGGCTCAGCACAGCTAGTCATTGTGATTTAGTCCCCTGTTTCGCGAAAGCCACTGACTGCGCCACCAGATCTCATCTCTTCACAGCAATTTTATCTCCCCCGAAGCTCGCCTCTATTCAAGAGGATGCTGAGCCCTTTCAAACATGGTAGTCTCGTAGCATTAATTTCTATAACACAAACTCTTTCTCAATTTTATAACTAGTTTTCGGCTTGCCTCATTTGAATATTTATAAATACACATAGGAGCCCTCAAATTTCACACTTATATCGTTAGGCCATCCGCGTTGAGGGAGACATTGCATGTCCAAGAGCAGCTGGTACCAGTAGATCTGGTGCTGCAGAGCAACTGCTGCTAGCATGTCGTAAATGCAGGCCATTTGAGATGCTTCTTTTCAGACCCTCCACAAAGTAATGAAACATTCAATTTACCAGGTTACACTGCTTATGGTCTACATCTCCACTATCAACTCAGAAGATATTTAGTCCAGAGATCACTAGTGCTTGAAGAACCTCATTTCCAATTTTAAATAGAATAAACAAGCTCTCTCTTGATAAAAATGCAGCCGCGAAAAGTCGTCATTCTGCGGCGGTGTATGTGTATGTATATAAATAATGGTCAATATATCATGATATGTCGTCAATATGCCTCCTGTATGAGAAAGAAGAAAAAAACGCCGCTCTATGCATTCCGACGTATAACAGGCATCAAGGGTATCTAGCTCTCAAGTTTTCCAGGTAGTTTCGGTATTGCTTCATCAGAAGCTGAACGCTGGAATCAACAAATTTGGCCAGCTCATCCGGGTTTCTGGTCCTCTCCACGCGCTCCAAATCCACCACCACAACTCTGCTTCCCACAACGTGGAAGTTATCAAGCTTCACATCGTCTTGCACAAAGCCTCTTGAAGCAAGTGCAGAGAGCGACTCGTGTATCAGTTTGCGAACAATGGTGTATGCTTCTTCTGCCGTCTCGATCGTGTAAGGGATGCACACTCCTCCAACGTCCGCCATGAGGTGGCTTCGCACCCCTTCAAACTGGACGACCCCAAAGTGGCGCGGAATGACGGTTCCCTGAAGTGATTGTAGGCTTCGATACGATGCCAGCTCGTTGTCGAACTCTTCTTCCCAGTCTGGCTTCTGAGACTTGAGAACAATGGCCGGAGGCAGATACCACTCGGGGTACCATTTTCGCATGTAAGCTTGCGCGAATTTGGGGAAAAGATAAAGAATGGCTTTAACGACTCGGTCGAGCAACGACGGTTGGATCCTTAAGCGGCGGACATTTGGATGATAATTGTCGGCGGCCTGGCCGATGGCTGTGATGTGACGAGTGCCGAATCGAAAATGCTGTCAAACGGTCAGTTAGAATGGCACAACAGGTATCGAACAAGAAGTCAAACACCAACTTACGACTGTTTCTATCGGTGCATTCCCCGGTATTTTTCTGCTCATATGAAGCCCAGGGAGCAAATTGGACATTGCAAAACGACTGACTGAAAATGCGGAGAACAACGAAAGGAAAAGGAAAAGAAAAAGAACAAGAAAAGAATGAATGCAACGGCGACCGAGCTATGGCTCCAAGGGAAACGCCAGGCGGAGAGGATGGCTCTGCCTTGCAAAGAATTAAAAGGAGCGGCACAGAACTCAAAGCCTGGATCGCGAGTAAATGGCGGATGACAAAGAGAGTGAAATAGTTCTATCCAGCTTGCATCTTTTGGACGATTTTTGGCGACAGGCAATTGGCGGTAGGGGGGCTGGCCAATCAGCGTGCAAAGATGACCTAGCCAGTTAAGTGGTCGCGTTATCGATAAGAGCCAGCGGCTCGGGCCGTCGAAAACTCGATTCATTTAGTAGCAGATGGATTTGCAGATTTCATAGTTGTTGAGATGGCAAAGCGTAAAAGATTTTGGCAAGTGAAGTCTAATATACTTCATCTTTAGCAAGAGTGGATAAAACGATGAATATGTGAACATAGTCTGAAGAAAGCGTGTGTCAAAGCTTGGTCTTACTGATTGTAGCATGTGTGTTAGAGAGCTGGCCATTCTGATGATCGTGACGGTCCAAAGATTTATTAACATTTGTAAAAGTAAAGAGTTCTTATTATGTGGTGGACATAAGTGCTTGCTTCCTGGGATGAGGTTTCGTCTTACCAACGCACAATCTCGCATCCTTTTCCCTTGATAAGGATCTACCTAATGCAGGTCACTAGATCGCCCTGCTACTAGGTTGGTCGCCTCGCGTGAACTAGTAACAATGAGCATCACATGCAAGAGTTTGTATGTGTTGCCTTCATGGACTAATGCAGCAGCTTAATGGTGGTAGCATTTCAGCCACAGTTACCTCAATCAAGATGGAAGTTATTGTAGCTGAGATTCAATGATCATGTACGATATCTAACTTGTAATACTGTTTTTCTGCCATAAAAAGACTTGTCTCTACCATTGAAGCAAACCATATTGAATCTAATAGCAAATCATGCAAAAGAATTGGTAGCGTACGCTGACAGCTCTTTCAAAGCATCTTTCTTAGAGTGCTTTTGGTTGCGTTTCTCACGCCAATACAATGTGCTTTGTAGAGTGGCTTTTCAACAACCACTTCTATTACGGAAGGGAAAGTTTGTCACAATCCATCTCTAGATAAGAATAAAACATAAAATTTTATCCTATGTCCTTACTATATATGTGTATCGAAAGAAGCAAATGTTGAAATTCGTCCAAAATCCAGGGTAGCCTCGGACATGACTATGGCCCGAGTGATGTCACATCACGTGGGGCACGGCGGTTCCAATCTCCAATTCCTTCTCAGATCCGGCATCACGCCACCTTGCGCCCGTTTCCGAAGAGCTTCATTTGCCAATGAATTGAGTCGGTCCATTGGCAGTATCAGTTCGACAATTCGCTGCTCCGCCATGCTCCGTCCAACAGCCCTCCGGCCGGTGCTGCGGTCCTCGCCCCGGTGCCAGCAATGCCTCCGCCGCAGCCTCTTCTCCGGCAAAGGCTCGACCCGCGCATCGCAAGACTTCGATCTCAACAGGCTCAATTCCCAGCGACGTGATTACGAGCGCCACCGCACGATATTTCTCGCTTCAGGAGCTACGGCCGGTCTCATCTCCTTCATCTACACGGCATGGAAGCTGAAGCAGGCGCTTGGGGAACAGAGCGAGAAGCAGAAGCAGAAGATTGCAGTCAAATGCGATGCACCGGCAATTCCCACCGAGACGTTCAAGACGGAAGCTGGAGAGAAGAGGAAAATAGTTGTGCACGATGAAGAAGGGAGAGTGATTGTCCCCACGGGGAACAGCGTGGTGCCTGCGTTCCCTCGGACCATCAACGTCAAGCTGCCCACGTCGAAAGACCGGAACTCGGTTGCGGCGAGCATATCGGACAAAGAGGGCGACGAATTTACACTTGTCGGCTTGGGTGTGCGCACCGTGACCTTTCTCAGCATCCAGGTCTATATGACGGGATTCTACGTTGCGACGCAGGACATTGCGAAGCTGCAGCAGTATCTGGTCAAGAAGATCAACCCCACCGCCACGACACTGATACCCGCTGAGAAAGATGCCTTGCGAAAGGCCCTTAGGGATGCGGTGGAAGGCGAAGAGACATGGGACACTCTGTTGAGAGAGGCCGGCTGTCGCAGCATCTTCCGCATCATCCCAGTCAAGGATACCGACTTCCCGCACTTGCGCGACGGCTTCGTGCGTGCTATTGCCGCGCGGTCGCAGCGCAATGCGGCGTACAACGACGACGCCTTTGGCGTTGCCATGAGGAAATTTAAGACACTCTTCAACCGAGGCACCGTGCAGAAGAAACAGGAGTTGCTGCTGTGTCGCGACGAAAATGGTCTACTGTCGGTGCTCTATAACCCTGACCAGGGAAATAATCCTAAGAGAGAGGTTATGGGCACGTTTGACGAGGAGAGGCTATCGCGGTTGTTGTGGCTGAACTATCTTGCCGGCAGCAAGGTTGCTTCAGAGCCGGCACGGGAGAGCATCATTGAGGGCGTTATGGAGTTTGTAGAGAGGCCGATTGGGACGGTAGCAACGCAAGTTGTATAGACGGTAGTATTAGTATTATCGTGCAATATTGATTGCTACAAGGTGGAGGGGAAACACATTCATGTATTATACAAGCGGCTGGAGGCATATCAAGGCCGCATTCACTTGCCAAAAGAAAGAAAGCGCAACTCATCAGGCGAAGTGCGTGTGATGGATGAAATATTTTATATTGTAGCCAAAGTAAAAAAAAAAATTGACAAGATGACAACTCTATACTCTATCCAAGTCTGGAGTATCGCCGAAAAAAAAAACCTCCACACTGCATTCTAACCGACACAATCCGCATCTTCTTTGCGTAGAGTGTAGGGCCCATCTATTATAGCTTTGATTTATCCTCTTCTCTATTCAACGCCAAACAGCAAAAACACATGATGCCGTCAGCCCAAAAACACAGTCTTCTTCTTTTCTCCTCCAAGCTTATTGCTTACGCATATGCGCCGGCCTCTTGGAGACGGCTCTGGAGGGTGCCGTTCTTGACGAGCTGCTGCAGGTCAGAGTTTCCACCAACGTGCTGCTCGGCGAAGAAGATGTTGGGGACGGATCGCTGGCCCGAGATCTCGAGAAGGGCGTCCTGGAGGTCGTCGCCGTCCTCTGTGATGCGGTGGTTAGAAGCGTTATTCTTTCTTTGGATACATGAAGCATTTGGAAAAAGCAAACATACTTCGGTTGTCCAGCTCGACGACTTCGTAGTTAGCCTTGGCCTCGTTGAGGGCAGCCTTGGCGGCCTTGCAGTAGGGGCACCACGTCTTGGAGAAGACAACTGTGTGTTTTAACCATTAGCCGAGGACTCGCACTGAGGTGGAGCGCGTATTTTTAGAGTGTCGAGGGGTCGCAAACATACCGACGTTGTTCTTCTTGATAATTCGCTGGACTTCCTCGACGTTGGCCATTTTTGTTTCGGGGCTGAATCTGACTGCAGATGTAAAAAAGGATCGAACAAAGTTCATGGATGTGGGTGGATTGGATGTTGGAAGAGGGAGTAAAATTGGGGTAGCAAAGGAGTGTGAGAGATATATATGTGTGTATGTTGCTATAGAGTTGCAGTAGTGTGTAATCGAATCTGGACGAGTTCGGTTTGGGGGCGCGATTCGGCCAAGATGATGTGATGCGGCGGGCTCCTGTGAGATTTACCACCGCCTGCGAGAATGACGAACTGCAGCCACTAAAAATTGTGCATCAGTCAGCCGAGGGGGGCCCGGTTTGGATTTGTAAAATACTAATCAGGGTCGTGGTCCTGGATTGGCTTGATTCCAAAGGCGTTGGCCCCGGCGGGGTGGCGCACGATTCGCAGGAGGCGCCCCCGTTTGATCATGGCTGTATAACAAGACGAGCTCATGATGTAGGCGCGCGCGCGTGTGGGTATCTTATGATGCTGTGAAAGAGCAGCCACAGCGCTATTCCATCTCATGTTGGGGATTCTGCAGCGAAATGGCTGTAGAAGCCCGTCCATGTCTGGGGATGCACCGCGCAAGAGTACATGTACATGTACCCGCGCTTATTGCCCAGTTGGGACAATTGCCAACTCGGGCAACAGGCGCTGTGCCCGACCGCGAATAGCCCACATTGATGTTTCGCCTGCTTCGGCCCAACTCGGTCCAAGTTGCTTGGATAATAAAGCTGCTGATGGCATCTACACCGACATCATTGTCGGCTTCGGCTTCGGCTGGAATTAAATCGTCATTATTTCAAACTCGTTGTTGATTGTTATCGACTGCTAGCCTGGCATTCATTTACATGTAATCATCACTTTGCTCATTGCCATACAGCTCCGTGAGAACTGATGCCAGCGTAGATGTATGAACAGAACACTTGCCATCAACCCGCTATAACTAATTACATACTAGCATAGTAGTTTTTTTGCATAGAACTCGCCAAATAGACTACATCACCACATCGTTAGTCGAAAATCTTCTTCCACACCCACAGACTCGTCCGGTCTGTAAACTCCTTGAACCCTTCCAACCCCCATTCTCTTCCAATTCCGCTCTCTTTGGTGCCTCCAAACGGGACATCCGGTGCCACGTCGAAATGCGAGTTTATCCAGACGCTTCCCGCCGTGAGCTGGCGCCCCATCTTCTCGGCACGCACTAGGTCCTTGGCCCAGACCGACGCTCCCAAGCCGAGCCTGAGGCTGTTTGCGCGCTCGACGACCTCGTCGTCTGAGGACCACTTCTGGATCGGCACGATGGGGCCAAAGGGCTCTTCGACGACGATGCGCGCGTTGTCGGGCGGGTTGTCGACAATGGTGGGCTCGGCGAAGTAGCCCTTGTTTGAGTTGGGGATGCTTCCGCCGAGGGCGACTTGATATCCGCAGTCCTTGACGTCTTGATACATGTCCTTGAGAAGTTCATACCTTGGGAAAAAAAAAAAAAAAAGTCAGCAAAGCCGGAAATCCATCATCGCTATTTTAAATCAGGGGACAAGTGCGTGGGCAACTCACTGCATCTTATTCTGGACTGGCCCGACCATGACGCCAGGCTCTAGTCCGCCGCCATTCTTGACATGCTCCTTGGTAAACTGGACCAGAGCCTCCTTGAACTGGTCGTATATGGCTTCGTGCACATAGATGCGCTTCGCGAGCATGCAAATCTGTCCCGCATTGATAAACGAGAGCGTGGCAATCTTGGGCAGACACTTGGGGATGTCTACGTCCTGGCAGACGATGAGGGCGTCGTTGCCGCCTAGCTCGAGGACGCATCGCTTCAATGTCTTTGCGCAGCTTGCGGCAACGAGCTTGCCGGTGCGAACCGAGCCGGTGAAGGTGACGGCGTCGACGCCCGGGTGCTCTGTTATCCAGGGGCCGAGGGCATCATCGCCGCTGAGGACTTGAAAGACGCCTGGTGGGTAGATGGACATTGCCAACTCGCCCAGCTTCAGGTCTGTGTAAGGCGTGTAGGGCGAGGGCTTCATGATGACGGTGTTTCCAGTCATCAGCGCAGGTCCAACCTTGCCCAGGCCGAGAAGGGCGGGCCAGTTCCAGGGCACAATGGCGGCGACGACACCCACGGGGTTGTACGTTCCGTAGATGGTGCGCTCGTCGTTCTCGTCAAGGACCTCGTCCTTGAGCTCCATGGTGGCAAAGGTCCGCAGCCATTCCAGCACGTTATCAAACTCCCTCTTGGAGACGAGGAGAGGCTTTCCAGACTCCAACGTATCGAGCTTCTCGAGTTCTTCACGATGAGCCTCTATCGCATCGGCGTAGGCGAGCATGAGCTTGGAGCGCTCATCAAACGTTGTTTTCGACCACGTCTTGAAGGCATTGCGAGCGTGCTTGATTGCATTATCGAGATCTTCTTTTGTTGCGAGGGGGGCGGCAAATAACGGTTCTTCGGTGGCGGGATCTATTGCGCGTCGAGTCTCTGCCGTTGCCACGAACTCGCCATTTATAATGTTGCCTTTGTAAGTCTGATAACATGAAGTGAAGTTAGCCAGTTGTTGGATTGCTTATTCATCTGCCATCATAGTCTCAAGCATACCGTGATATCAAGTGTTCGCTTGACAGTCATTTTGAAGAGTGTCAATCTTGTTAAGCAAGGAGAGCAGCTTTAGCTTCTTGGAGGGTATTGAGAGAGATGAGGAGTCGAGATATACTCTGGAATGGTTACACCACGAGCTGGTATATATACCTACGCATCTACATGTACCCCCATCCCCTCGACATGCACATACTCTCCGCTCTCGGTATGATATTCGTCCATGTAGACTTTTAGCTCAAGACAACCCCCATTTCGACGCACGTTTCATATGCTTTGCTGCGTGTAGCTCCATCACTCGTGTAAATCGGCTATTGACATGGGCTGGGGCCCAGCTCAACTACACTACACGGCCAGCTGGGAATTGTTGAATCAAGATATAGGTAGACTGTAGCGCCAAGTCGCCCCCACTGTCTCAGGGACATTAGTCGAATCTTGATGATACAGCAGCACAGTGTGATATCACGACTCAGCATTCTCTAAGAAGTATAATGTTGGCATTTTGCAGTAATCTGTTTCGTTGTATATTTCGGATGACACAGTGGCACGAATACTTACCAAAACACCTCCTCCCCATTGCCGATATCAAGGTCCGTTTTAGCAACTCTTAGAGTCTGCTAGCGAGTGAACTGTGACTGCTTCGAGTCAAGCACTGAAAGCCATGACCCCGGGAGCAGCCAACGGCAGACCCCAGCACAGCCCCCGCAGATTACAGATAGAGTAGTAATGGCATCAATATTAGCACTGGAAACTGTACACGAGAGGCGGCGTTTGCCCGGGGGGCTTCGTGGCTGCCAACCATCTTCGCGGGGAACCTGGGACTCTGCCCTTTTGAGTCTAGAGACGCAGGTTTCTGGGGTAAGAGGCTGAGACGCAACCCCCAGCGCGATGGCAGAGAACTTGGCAGAGGAGCAATATTACAGGATAGAAGCAACACAAAGCGGCGCTGCTGCGGAGGGGAGCGGCAGGACCGTTGCGTCGGATGTGATTCTCGGCTTTTGAGCGTTGTCGATCCTCCATACACGTATACAAAAGCTAGCGGCCAAGGCATCTTATTTCTATTACGATTATTTATGAGATGCCGCACATTGGCTGGACATGTGAATACGGCTGAGCAGCAGCTGCACACTAAAAAAGGTATAGCATACGAATATACGAACGCTTCCTTGCCAATACCTTGGCAGTATCGAGACCTGATGGATGCCATGATGGCACCTGCAGTGTTGTGTAAGGGGGCATCATCAGCAGGGCAAGCTGTTTCAAGTCGGCCACCATCATATGGACGCTCGAGATATTGGAGTTTGGGGCTCAATTCCAAGTCCTGCAAGGGCCATGTGCCTGTCTGGCTGCCGATTACATGGTGCAGTTTTGGAGAGTCAGGTTCAATATCGGCCTTGACCATTGCCCGGAAGCTTCCCGTCATGTTCTTCGTACAAACTTCCTATACCCAGAGCGCTATGCGTCAGCCAGCTATAGGCCCCCTAGCACCTCCAGCTCGGCCCCAAGTGCTGTTCGAATGCCCCAGAGCCCCCCAGAAGAGCCCCGCCAGTTCTCCAATTGTCGCTTGCATCCAGTAAAAGTTGGAGCCCAGAGAAAAACCAAGCGTCCCATATTTTTCGCCCATACATACACCATCCATCGTCGCATCCAATCCATCTCGCCCGCATCGCTGGCACGACACCACGGCCTGGCCTTGCCCGAATCCCACTAGTCGCCATCGCGAGGACCGCTGCTGGGCTGTGCTGGATCCAACAGCAGCGAATAGCTCGTCGCTCTCGCCGCGTCGGCGCACAGCTTGTTCCGAGCCAACAGCCTCACGGCGCTTCTGGCGTCTCCGAGACACACCCAGTCAGTCGTTTCGGCTAGGGCCGTGATCGTCGCTGGTTCCTGTGGCCAATCTGCGCCCTGCTGGCCTCGCCCAGTTATTTGCCTGCTGCCAATCGACCCAATCGTAGCCTCCCACGAGACAATCCGCCTCGCAGGTTTTAGCTTCTGCTCAGCCTTGCTTTCCGCCCCACGACACGACCCCGCGATCAATCTCTACTCGTTCGTGCTGCATACTGAACAAAAAGAAAACTCACACAGAGGGAGAGCGCGAATCCCGGCCAGACAACCGTCTTTTTCCTTTCTTCTCCCCCCTCTCCCCCTCTCTTTTCCTAGCTGGTAAGGTGTCCTCCGTCAGGGCCACCTTGATACCCAAGACGCCAAGGTGGATTCCAGCGAGCCCGTCGTGGCATCTTCTGGTGCCTTGCAACACTTCATCGCCAACTACCTCAACGGTACACTCACCAACCTCTCGGCCGCCTTCCAGGAGTCGAGCGACTACATCTCGGGGACCCTGGGTGTCCCGCCCACATACGTCTACAGTGGCCTCGCCGCCCTCGTGGCCCTTCCCATCACCATGTCGCGATTCGGCTGGTCGCTCAACCGCGAGCAGAGCTTCGGCGCTATGCCAGGAGGCGTGCCGGACATTACAAACGAAGATTTCAGCTACATTCCCGCCCAGGACTTGGACGATCCCAGGGTTGATTACGCCGATACCCGCTACTTTCCTCGGCCGCGATCCAGGGGACCTTCGGAGCCTGAAGATGACATCTTGCTGATCAAGAATAAGGGTGTGACGTATCCGGCACACTTCCCTGCCTACTCGATCGGCGATGGCAAACTATACGTCAAGGATGTGCGGGATCGCATCGGCATCTTAATGGACCTGTCATCACGCACAACCCGTCGCATCAAGCTCCTCTACAAGGGCAAGCAGCTGAAGGAGTCGTCTGCCCCAATTCGCGAATATGGAGTCAAGAATAAGAGCGAGCTCATGGCCGTCATACCCGAAGTGGATGATGAAAACAGCGGTCGATCGGATGACGAAATGATTATTGTGGACGAGCCTGTTCGAAATGACACAAAGTCCTCGAAATCCAAGAAGAAGAAGAAGGGAAGCAAGAGGAAATCTGACAAGAATGATCCTGGATCCCCGACCAGCCCTCTCGACAGCGGATCAACCGGCGATGCGGCAAACGGCGCTGTCATCAATGCTGCTTCGAAGAAGTTGGATGAGATTGAAGACGAATTCCGGTCGAAATGGCTCCCCCTATGCTTGGACTACATCGACGCGCCCCCCAAAGACCCCAAGAAGCGCGAGGACGAGCACAGGAAAATATCCGAAACTGTGTTGCAGCAAGTCATTTTGAAATTAGATGGCGTAGAGACTGAGGGTATCGATGAGATTCGACAGAAGCGAAAAGAACTCGTTAGACGAACCCAAGAGGTGCTCAAGCGACTGGACGCCGCAAAAGCATCATGATTATCTCATGCGTTGTTGTTTTTTTGTCGCGATTATAATCATCATTTTGTTCAGACTTGCTTTGAAGTACCTGTTTGGCCTTCAGCTTACACTACATACAACTCTTCACTCCTTTTCTCCGATTTTTCGCAAACATACACACGTATTAAAAAAAATTGTTTTGGAAGAGGCTTTGGTTTGGAGATACATGGCGTTGCTTTTACAAAAAGAGACAAAACGGCAGAGTGGGCGCAGGGATGGCGATACCGCAGCAGCTTGGTCCATGAGCGAGACACTAGACCTTTTTTCTTTCTCCTTCACATTTGCACAGCGCATTATTACAAGAAACTAGAAAAAAGATGCTGCTATTCCTATCGCATGTTATGGAAATGGAGGCTGAAAGAATGGATGGATGGATGGATGAGTGCGTTACGAGATGACGCCAGAAAGAGTAGAAGCGGAATGGATACCTATTATACTACTTACTATACAGATTGACGATGATGCATGGCGATATAGAAACCGATTCTGGGCGATTAATATGAAAGTTTACAATTGAAAGACTATTTGATGTTCTGTTCATAAGACACTGTAGATTAATTTCGTCATCTCAATAGAACAGCCATGTTTGGTGTCTGCTACTGCACTGTCGCGATCTACATCACCTCACGCTGGTATCTGCTGTGCCCCATATTAGTAGCTCATCCATTCACGTTCACAGGCACCTTATCTCGTTGTACTGTACCTATTCTGTGCAGCACACGCGCAACTGCGGAACCACAATCACGTGCGTCATCCCACGTCACGTCAATCAAACTGTAAAAAAAATCGCCCTTCGCCAGCCAAAATCCCGATAAGCCGGCAAATCATCGGCCCAGGCCGTCTAGGTCTCGCAGCCCTAAGCACCACCAACCTGCGAGCCCTTCTTCGCCTGCCCCGGAACCCACCCTTGCCCGATGCGGCTAGCCGCCCTTGTTCCAAAGGCACAACCAGCCCCAAGTCGGCACTACGATTTTCTCGCCCGTTCACTTGTATCGCGACCACTTCCACCAACTTCGCCCAGGGACGACTAACCCACAGCAGCACAGCAACAAATTCTCGCCGGTGAGGGTTTGTGTGTCTTCCGTCGTCTGTCTTTCTTCACCTTCTTTCCAACCCCCCCCGAAAGAAACCGGTACGATGTCGTCGTTCGAGTCGGTTGTGAGTACTCACCAGCAATATCCCGTGATAAGCACGCACATGTTGTCTCGCCTGGGGATCCGAAATCTTTCTGTCGAGTGCCAAAGAAGGGAACGAGTTGCCTGGGAGCAGGTGGATGCTTGCGCGCAATGCAAGACCATAGCAACAGCAGGGGAGCAGGGGATTGATTGCTGGAGATGGAATCATGATTTGCTTTTTATTTGTTCGCGCTGGTGGCAATCGCTGCTGCTCATGCTTGCTCTCGAGCTGCTTCTTCTCTTTTCTTTGGCACGACACAACGATCGATTCATGATGGGACGAGACACAAAGTGGATGTGCATACAATACGCAAGAGGACATCGAATGCTAACCATGAATCTCTCTAGGTTGTCATTGACGGCAAGGGCCACCTCCTTGGCCGTCTCGCCTCCATTGTCGCCAAGCAGCTTCTCAGCGGCCAGAAGATCGTTGTCGTCCGCTGCGAGGCCCTCAACATCTCTGGAGAGTTCTTCCGCGCCAAGCGTATGTCTATCATCTCCTGCCGTCCACCCGAACTTCATTCTATGCGATTCTTGTTTTGAGCTAGAGCCACTCTCCGGAGTCGGCCGGATGAGCAATCGCTAGAATACATACATACAGAGCGACTTGGAAAGAAGGGAATTACTGACACTTTGAGCAGTCAAGTACCACGCCTACCTGCGCAAGATGACCCGATACAACCCCACTCGCGGTGGTGAGTTCATGCGACTCCAACATCCTCTTTGGCTGTACTTTGAGGATATTAACGAATTTGTCTTTGCTCAGGTCCCTTCCACTTCCGCGCCCCCTCCAGAATCTTCTACAAGGCCGTCCGTGGTATGATTCCTCACAAGACCGCCCGCGGTGCCGCCGCTCTGGAGCGCCTCAAGGTCTTCGAGGGTGTCCCTCCCCCCTACGATAAGAAGAAGAAGATGGTTGTTCCCCAGGCTCTCCGTGTCCTGAGACTGCAGCCCGGTCGCAAGTACTGCACCGTCGGCCGTCTGAGCCACGAGGTCGGCTGGAAGTACCAGGACGTCGTTGCCCGGTATGTTCACACATGGCTCCTTTTGTTGTTTTTTTGGTGAATTTGTGGCGGAACTTCAAATACTGACTTGTTATCTGCAGTCTGGAGGAGAGGCGGAAGGCCAAGGGCGCTGCCTACTACGAGCGCAAGAAGGTTGCTGCACGACAACTGTCCGACGCGAAGAAGAACGCCTCGGTCAAGGAGGAGACCGCGAAGGCCCTTGCGGCTTATGGCTACTAAGCTGGCCATTCCTTGGATCCCCTGCCGGGGGGAACCTTGGTACTTCGCATTGTCTTTTTCTCGTGCGTTTCATTAGATTGGCGCGGCGGTTCACAAAGGAATTATACTTGATTTGCTGAGTGATGGCAAGGGCGGCGGGCTTTTTGGGGGGCGGATGGGAACTTTTTTCTCCAAATTATTTTCTTCATGAACAATCTCTCTTTGTCATCGGAACCCATAACCCAATTCCACAGAGAAAATAAAGCACAGGAAACCCCAACAATCAGCACGAAAAAAACATGGGAAAAAAAGGAAAACGTTGTATTCTTCACAATCAATTTCTCTTTTTTTCTCCTCGTGAGGGTGATAGCGGATGGACTGATGCGATGTTGTAATGTGGCTCTTTTTGCGTTTTTGTTCTGCTTTCAAGGTACAACCAGATTGGGATTTGGGGACAGGAATTTGGGGAGGAAATGCTTTCTCTTTTTTCTTTTATATCTGACCCGCGATGGCCCTTTACTACTGCTCAAGGACGCTATTTCCCGGCTTATTACGGAGCAAAAAAAAAGTGAGTCGGCGACAAGGAATTGGGGGACGTGGGAGAGGATGGGCAAGTGATGATCATACCCTTTCTCTGAGCAAAAGAGGTGTCTAGCATTGCACAAATACTAGGAGTAGACGGAAATGATAAATGCTTTGAACAATTAATGATGATAATAATATGTGATTTCTTGGAGTCTGTTTTCTTGTTTTGGAGCGCGTGATGGCATCAGTCTTGGATATAACAGTCCTTGTGGTGTAACTTGATATTCCTTGAACTTGGAATGCTACATGCCATTTCGACAATCTTGATATTTTATCTTCTACGAAAATTAGATTGTTCCTTGTTTATATTATCCGTAGATTCTCTCCACATATGCAATTTCCAGCGTTTGTATAGATCTATACGTAATGTTACTAATTTATAATTTTTTATTCAACATCTTTAATATACAGCAACATCCCATGGCCATCGAGTACCGATTTTGGAAACCTTGAATTGGACCGTTTTAGGGTAAGACGCCTTCCTTGAAGCTCAGCGCATCCACAGCTGAAAGTCGTGAGTACCCCACAGTCATGTGCCGATAAGATAGATAACTTTCTGGGGGCGGCGCAGTGAGAGGTGTCCTCACTGGGATGATTTGGCGACACAGCTTTCTGGTCTCCTTCTCTTCAACAACGGCTTCTTTTGCCAGCGCAAGTCATTGGCGTGCTTGACTTCATTTCTTGTCTTCAAGACATTTACAATTCGATCTTTACAGAGAAAAAAGAAACAGAACACAAATAGGAAAACAAAAACAAAAAAGAAAAGAACATCTGCACATACACACACTCTCCATCCTATCTAGAGGCCAAGTCGCAATACCGCAAACATGTCGGACCTCGACCACTTCAGCATGCTCCCCATCCATATGGACCCCCAGTCCAAGGCCATCCTCCCCTCCGGCAGCAGACCGTCGCGGGCCCTCGCCGCCGAGCTCGAGAAGCTCAACAACCTGCACCGCGCCATCCTCAGCATCGAGGTGCCCCCCGGCGCCATCCCGCTGGTGCCCCCGCCTCCGATCCCCGTCAACCCGAAGCGCACGGCCAACGTGTCCAAGCTGCGCGACAACGGCAACGCCGAGTACCGCAAGCAAAAGTACGCCGAGGCGATCAAGCTCTACACGCAGGGCATCGAGATGGCGCTGCAGCGGCCGCTGTGGGAGCCTGCCGCACTGGTGAGGGAGGAGGTGTCGATGCTGTATGCGAACAGGGCGCAGGCGCACATGGGCATTGGGAACTGGCCCGAGGGCGCGGTTGATGCCGAGGCGAGCGTGGAGGCGAGGAGGGTGGGCAATGCGAAGGGCTGGTGGAGGAGGGGGCGGTGCCTGACGGAGATGGGGAGGTTGGATGAGGCGCGGGAGTGGGTGAAGAGGGCGCTGGAGATGGAGGGCGAGGAGGCGGATTTGATGACGCTGTTGAAGGATATTGAGGAGAAGATTGCAAAGGTGCGGGCTGCTTAGAAGGGGAAAGGGGGGGATTTTGAGTGGGCGTGTACGTTTCATACATTGCGAGGGATGGGATGGGGAGAGCTTTGGGAGCAAGATGGCGTTGGGGAGTTTTTACTTGTACTACTTGCGATGCTGTAACGATATGTGGCATTGCTTGCTACATCAGCTGGGCTGTTTTGTCTTGCTTATAGAGGGGCATATACACACACAACAAATACGCTTATCCTATATACACCTGATTTGCCATTGAGCTTGTTTTTGCTTGTATATTACTGTGTATTGACCGGGATAATGCGTTATATATACACTGCTAGGTATATATATACCTTGTGTTTGGCCTCTGCCATATCACGTTATCACGGTGTTGTAAGTTGTATCGCATCCGTCGCTTCGGCATTCGCCAACTTCGCTGCTGTCGTAGATGTTTCGTGATGGCTTCCCCAATACCTTACGACCTTAAAGGAACCCACTGATCTCGATGTTGCGCGGTAATCCGGGGCTGTCGTTGTCGATATGCAGGCCTTCCAGCCTATCCGTTGGCGGAGGGAACATCCACGGGCTATTTTGAATGTCCCCATAGACCAGCCGGTGGTAATAGGCGGTGCTTTGGCAATTCAAGGATTGTCCAGGGAAATGCAAAAGCAGCTCGCTAGCTGCCTTTCTGCCACTGGGAAGCTCCTGGCGACACATCTTGACGATTGCCTGGTAGTAGAGAGGGACGTGCAGCTGGCAAGGCGGCAAGTCGGCAGGACGGCCCTCATAGGTGGTGTCCGGGCGTACTCTTCTCTCCCAAAACACCGTCTCTTTTGGGAACGAGTACTTGCTTGACGGGATTGCGGCGCTAAAGTCTGTGAGCAGCCAAAGAAGAAGGCCGAGCTGGTAGATGTCGGATTCTCGTGTTGGTGTAAAGCGGTCGTTTCTGCATTCTGGCGGTGACCATCCGTGGATCGTAGCAGGCGGCTCGTTCCTGATGTGAAGGAGGCTGATGTTGTTTTGGTCGTTGACGCCGAAATAGCCCAAGTGTAGCCTGCCGAGGATCACTTTGTTTGAATGGGCAAAGCTCACGGCTTCGACAATTTGCTTTGCCCACCTCTCTGTGCTGGGCCAGGGAATTGGTTTGCTGGCTTTGACGCTTTGCCGGAGCAAGTCGGTCACGGTGTGAGGCTCCCAGGCACGGAGGAATGATTTAATGTATCGTCTGTAGCTGTATGTTAGAATCTTTTTTCTTTCTCAAGTACATGATTGTGGAAGACTCACTGGTTGTCGTCGAGAACCACGCCAACAAATTCGGAGATTCTTTTGCAACCGTGAAGCTTTCGAAAAGCTTCAATCTCGAAGAAAAAGGACTTTATGTTGTAATCATCAGGCGCTGCATGCAGCCTTCTCCGAAAAGGCATTTGCTTTTGAGCACAGGCCTTTCCCCGAAGCCTGACCTTGCAAGTCAAGCCTGAGAGTCTTGCCTCCATCGCGATGTTGCCCTCTCGATAAGTATGACAGCCCAACTCTAGGATTCTCTGCGTGCGTCTGACAGAATCTTTACTAATGTCTTGGGATCTTGCCTCGATGCTAAAGTTGTTTGATAGGAAATTGAGACCCAAAACATCGAGGAAGCCTCTGGGCGAGGACGCGATGATCTTGATGCTTGTTTCCCAGCCAGATAAATCCTGTTCCACCAAGTAGTGACCGAGAAGAAAGTTTAGCAAGGGAACACCGCCATGAGTTAGATTCAGCAGCATGTATAATAACTTGGTCTGCGTTACGTCCAAGGGGTTGTTTCTATTAAACACCCCAGCAACAGAGACGCGTATCCTTCTCCAACGCCTGGGACTTTGTAACCACCATGTTTGGAATTTGACGATGCGGCCGTAGAAGAGGACACCTTTGCGGTCAAGAAACCGTGGCGCCAATGTGTCCACCGAGTACTGCTCCGGGATGAAGTTGTCGGAACCCGCCAGCGAGTCGTCCAGAGAGTTGGAGGAGAGTTTGCGCTGGACCTGGCACACCAAGTGAGGATATCGTCTGATGACACTTTCGACCTGATGTTGACCCACGGCAGAGAATAGAGCGCAAGTTACTGGCCTCGTGTCAGTCAAGCGGGAAAGTTGGACTGGCGCGCAATCGGGCTACCTCTAAGTTGATGTTGCGGGTGCGTCAAAGCCAGACTTTGCATCAGCTCTTCGTCAGCGGCCAGTTCTTCGATTACGTCCAACGGCGACTGGATGGCTATGATGCCGAAACAAGTATCTTAGTACATACGTATATTGACTGATGAAACCAAGTGCAGAAAGATATAGCACTCTACACCCATGGAAACCCATCACTGACCTTTCTGTAAGGCACACTCGGCTATCCAGGTTGCAAAGTTGCCAAGCACGAAGAATCGATTGCTTTCGTCTTGGTTGTCGCCGAACTTGCAGATGGTGCGATGATCTGACCTCGGCAAGCCTCCAGTTCTCTCCCCAAAGAGGCCCAGCCTGGCAGAGTCTTGGTCCACAACCTACTTCTGTTAGTGGCACTTCATCAATACAAGAGTTGTATATCTGCTAAGGGGGCAGTGCTGGTACAAACACGAGGATTAGAGCCTGCCAAGACTGAATATAGAGAGACTTGCCATTATCCCTCCCGTCAACTGGGTTTCAAAAACCGTGGCAATGGATATATCCGCCGTCCTAAACACAAAGTCCCAGCCCACTTTCTTCCATTCCTCAGAGCTCCTCGAAATCGCGCGAACCAGTCGTTTGTTGCCGAGGCCGCTCAGCGCCCTCATAATGGTGGCAGCATTGCGAGCCCAGCGGGCCAGATCGGCACCGCGATGCGGAACGCTGAGGAAGATGCATCCAGCGGCCCTGTCGACGATGTTTTGATAATGGATGTTTTCTACCCAGGCCTTGTTGAATGCCTATTCGGTATCGTTAGCAGGACATATACGGTATGATATCCAGATAGGGCATACGGGTAAGGTGCAAACTGACTGCTTTGACTACCAGGCCGCCTAGACTGTGCGCAACGAAAATGACGGGTGCCTTCCTCTGCTCATCTGTAGTTCTGGCGCCGTCGACTTGGTTGAGGAGGTCTCTCGCAACTATTTCAATGTCGTTGATGGTGTTTGTAAAGATGAAGTCGGCATCGTATCCGTAGGAGAGAACTCTTGCGTGAATGTTCTTCTCCGCGAGGAGTTGGGGCAGGCGATCTCGAAGCCAGATAGCGCCATCATCGGCCCTCCATGTTTTCAGCCAGTTGCCGCCCAGTCCATGAACCGCGATGATGCTGCATGTTGGAGAGTGGAATCAGATCAGTACATGTGTGCAGCAAGTGCAGAATGAGGCCGGTTATGGATGCTAACTCTACATGCCGGACATTGGCCCCGGATATCTCGGGCGGTGGCAGATCTGCTCTGGGAGGAAATGCTCGGATCCCAAGGTTTGCCCGTGCTTCATCTTCTTGAGGCGGCGGTGAATTCGCTGCAATTCCAAAATCACGCCAGAAGCTGCGAAGACGGTCACGACGCCCCATCGTGGCTCAACGATATGGAGTCGGATGTGTGATTTCATGGCTCGCCGTTGATGGTTAAAGTTCTTCTTCCTTTCTCCTTTTTTAAGGAAGGCTGGCAGGCAGCATTCCATCTCCGCGCAATTCTCCCTGTAGGATCCCGGCCGTAATGGCAGGGCAAGAAAAGTGACAGAGTGACAAATACACTGCAGCCTCGCCATGCATGAAAACGCTGCCAAGGTGCATTGTGTCTGCCCCGCGCAAAGCCTTACAAAGTGCCTTGAAACGCCTTCAGCTCGAAACAAACGACGAGGCTCTTCATTTGCTCTCCAAGGGCGAATCGCGGACTCGCTCGGTTGGATGTATGTATGTATGTATATGTGTTATGCGTACATTACGTGTGCAATGGACCAGATGGGGAGAGCTTTATAAACAAGCTGGTCTTGGAGAGAGTTTACTTGTATTCTCTTTCACATGTCGTAATAAATAATACATAATACAATATGCAACTCATCATATGAGCTGAGCTGCTTTGTTTCACCTCTAGATGGCATATACACAAACGGCCAAGTCTATCTCATGAACAATGGTCGTCTATCAAAATGTGTCTTAGACTGTTGTACCCGCATACATGTATACACAACGTGGGCTTAGAAGATGTACAAGCAAAGCATCCAAGTCCACATCATGCAAGGCCCTCCCAACGTGGTTTAAAGTTGTGGAGAAATAACCGCATGCCACGTTTATCCCAATCTCAGCAGCAGAAGCAACAACAACAAAAAACATGGCCATGTATAAAAGGCACAGCTGCTGGTCTTGTCTGTTGGTTGCTCCGTGCGTTGCGGCAGTTTAGGCCAGACTATCTGCTTACTAGCAGTAGTTTAGACGCAAGGGAATCGATCGATCGCCTCTTCTTTCCCTTGCGTCAAATGGACGAAAAAGACGAGTCATATTTTCCAAGCTTTTGAGTTTAGAGCCACGGCAGTAAAATGAAAGTGGCAAAGAAGCTTGTATAGCGCAATGCAGGTAATTTAAAATACGCACGTCACATTTCTCCCTAGATGGCGGCGGAGAGACCTAAACGACCAATTCAAAAGATTGCAAGTAGGTGGGGTTAAAGTCAATATCGTATCATTCTTCTGTATATTATACCGACTGCTTTTCTGGCTGTTAAACACACGCGCGCGCTGTCCTCCTCTTTAACCGCTGTTACCCTTTCCAAACAAGGAAACAAAAAAGAGACAAAGAAACAAGAGGTTTCCATTCTTCCCACCATAACGGAGCAAAGAAAAAACAAAACAAAAACCGGTAGGGATTAGCAGACGAGATCTGATGTTGAGTGTATCATGTAAGACGCAAGGGGTATATGTGACATGAGGTATTTGTCATTTGAGTATGTCGTGAGTGGATGCTGTGGCGTTGGACTTGTTCATCTCTATCAATTCCGCAAAACGAGTAAAATGACCCCCCTCCAGTGGAAAAATTCCATTATATCCCAGATGATGCAAAAAAAAAAAAAAAAAAAAAAATAAGGGGTTGATTTTGGTGTGGTTTGGTGTAAGTGAGTCGAGTCATGCGCTGTGATTCTTGGAGATAGTTGCGAACAGCTTAATGGTGCATTAGAAGCTGCTATCAAAAAGACTCGAAATATCACAACGGCGCTGCAAGGCAAGTATCGATTAACCCAGCGTGGCTGGTTTTCGTTTACTGGGCCTTCTCGTTGATGGTCTTTTCCACCGCAGAAGTCGTCTTCCTCCGAGGTCGCATAACAGCATCCTGGCTGCTCATGCGACGGTCGAGAGCGCGCTCCAGCTTTGCGCCGAGGGCGAGCTTGCTCATGCGCTCGTACTTCTCCTCGGACAGGGTGACGCGCTGAGAAGAGAGGGCCTTGTTCTCCATGCGATCAAGGCCGGTGGCGATCTCGCGGATTTCGGCGTGTTGAGAGTCGTTGGTCTGCACCGACATGGCCACAGATGGGGCGGCCATGCTGTAGGTGCTGTAGCGGAGGGAAGCGCGGTTCTGCAGATGCATGGTTAGAAGAGCGAGAGAGAAAAATAGAGGTGTATTAAGCAGATTAGAGAGAGTTGAAGTGAAAGGAGAAGAGTCGCGCAGCACACACGACAACAGAGTAGTTGTCTATGTTATGCTATGCTATGCTAGGAGCTCTGGCTCGAGGAAAGCACAAAACACGAGATAGATGGAGCCACGAATGAAGGGAGTTTTAGTGCGAGAGAGAGAGAGACAGCAAGACATACCGAAGGAGCCATGATTGGGCGAGCAGAGTCTATGGAGACAGGCATAGCGACGGTATTTTTGGCGACTTGGAAGCCTTTTTAACAAAGAGAGAAAAAAAAGAGAGCGACCCGCTGGGAGGACTGTGAGACCTGTCGAAGGCAGGGGTTCCGTGCTAGGCGGCGGGCTTGATTGGCGACTGCGTGTGACGAGCTCCGTCGCTCCAATCTAGACAAACAATGCAAGATGGAGAGCAGAACGAGTAAGTTGGAGGTGTGTGATTTGATTTGGCAAGGGGGGCAGGCTAAGATGCAAAGCTTGGCTTGGGCGGTTGTCGCAAGTTTGGTGTCAGGTTGGACCGGGTTCAGAGTCAGAGAGCCTGGCGATGACGGGAAACAAACAATGGAGACGAGTCCTTTTGTCGTCTTTTTATCTCTCTTCTTGTCTCTCTCGCTCTGCGCTGCTTGTTTGCCGCGTAGCCAATCGGGAGTTTTTCTTCCTGGCAGGAAATTGAGCTGCGGCGGGCTGCGTCGCGGTGGCCGGCTCGGTGCGATGCTGGAGTGGGCTCTGCAGGGAGAAGCAATCAAAAAAGGCCGCTTGTTGGCTAGAGGCGCGCTGGAGAGTGAGAACAAAAAGAAAGGAAAAGAGAGGGACGGACGGGAGATGATGAGCACGAAGCTGGTGGAGCCGATGGAGATGCGAAGGGGTGCTAGGTTCGTTTGAGCAGCACCGAGAGGGAAAAGAGACGACGGTTGTAGGGGAGGGAGGCCCTGGAGCGAGGGCCGTTTTGGCGAGTGCCAGCAGCGCTACAGCGGGGTGACCTGGCGGGCAAGTACCGGCCAAACGCTGTAAGAAACGGGGCTGATGCCGGTGCTAGGCAGGGGGGCAGCGCTCTAGCGGGTTTTATGGGGGACGAGGAGCTTTGATAGCGGGTGCCTAGCATGGACAGGTCTAGCACTAGGCTTCGATAGTACTATATAGTATTTACTTGTACAAACACCTCAAGGTGCTGGCTTTGGCGGATAGACACGGAACATGGTTTCTATTTGGATGTCATGACGGAGCAGGTCCAGTTCGGTGCAGCTCCAGCGACTATTTTCGCAGCATCATTGGCTTCAAGTGCATCGTTGATCTGCCACATCACACCGCGTGGGTACAAGTGGCGTACCTGTAAGCGCCTGAGCGGGCTGCTGATCCATATGGTACCTGGTAGGTACATACTGCCGAGAGTAGGCGGCAAAGCTCCTTGTGTTAATTACCTTGTTTATTACCTGTCACTTGAACATGAAGATACGAGTGGGAGAGAGAAAAAGAAAAAAAGAATCTTACACTACCTATTTGTGATGACATGAATCCCAGCATGTTGCGCTGGCAGTGGCAGACACTCCCTGTTCTCTGGTGCTGTACTCCATACCTGCACAAGGTAAGCTGTTGATGGCCATAGTGCTGCCTCTTATACACGAAGCAGCGCCATGATTCCACCGAGATCAATGCCTCCGCTCTCTGTCCTGCGCCATCCATCATCAACAAGCAGCACCATCCATCGATGAAACGGCGGCAGGTTAAAAAAAGAGCAAAACAAGCTTTTGCTACTGCCCCGAGCTGCTGCTGCTAGATCTTCGTCTTCCCGCTTCTGTCTGTGTGCTGGCCGTCTTCAGCGCGTTAGCGGGTACCTGCTGGCAAAGTCCCCTAAGCGAACCCCCCCAGCGCCGCGGGGCGCAAACCTGCCATGTGCCAGGCGCATGGTCAGGCCACCACTTTGATTTCTCGCAGCCTCTGACTGGCTTGTCTCTCCGCCACCAGCAACCCTAACCGCAGACTTGTCTCTTTTCTGGGCATAACACACATGTGGCAGATCCATCATCTCGTTGTCGACAAGCACAAAGGGGGGGGACGCAGGGCAAACCATCACGACTCAGCGTTCCCTGATTTGACTCGTCGCTCTGCAAGATTCGCAAATCGCAGCTCACAACAACCACAAACAGCCACAATCACCACCACCATCGTCATCATCATCATCTCCACCAGCAGCCATCTTCTTGCGCCAAATACCTACATAGTACTATCTGCATCTTCCAGCGCGCATGTCGAACCACCCACGCTGGTCTCCTCCACTCAGTCGGGCCTCATCCTTCAGCCGAAGCGCACCGCTGAGCCAATCAGGCCATCGCCCGGCTCCGCCTAAGCCCCCCATTCTTCTCTCGCAGGGCAATTCCTTACATTCCAGCGCGGGGACGCCAAGCGGCGAAAAAGAGAAGCCCATCCCTGCAATCTCGTGCGCCATTGCACGTGGCTGGCCAGGGGAGGCTTGAAGCTTGGACGAGGCCAGTGTCTGAGGACAGGCCACTGATCCATGCTGCGCTGTCAGGGTCCCTGGCCTGGTCCGGAGAACGCCGTGGTAGGGCAAAGATGGGCGGCTGCCGCGTTGGCCGTGACGATGACGATGGCGATGGTGATTGTGATGGCCGTTTTTGTCGACAAGCATGGCGTACGTACGCTGCACAGTCAGTCAATCTGCTTGCTGCCCGAATGAAAAGCAATGGCGTCGCGAGTGCGATTCGACTTGCTGCGGGCGCCGTGTCGGCGAGCACTGTGGCTGCGAAGAGAGTTTGTCACATTGGGATCGACATCGTTACGCTAATCCTCCATGTTAGCCTGCATAAGCATGCCGCCGGCGCAACGCCATCCAGCCATTTTGCGCTTTCAGCTGATTTGTCTAGGACCCTTTGCTCTAACTATGCATAACCACATTCGTAAGAAGCTCTAGAACAAATGGGCTCACTCAAAGGTTGGCTCTTTGGACGGAAGAATGCGGATATCTCGATTAGTGCTTCGCGACATGTTTCGGCAAGCTGTTTCCAAGGGACGTGGCAATCACCGAAACACCAACTGTGAGCTACAGCAATATTGCTTGAATAGCTGGCTTAAACATGCTGCGAAGAACTAATCGAGACATGTTGAGATATCGTTATATCTCTTGATTGGAGAAAATCGTAATGAGCCCATTTATTAACTTGCAGCTCTTACTACTTAGGTAGCCATCGCAATACGAGACATTAGCAGGCAAGGTACGGGGAATTCACCTGTTGCCCTGCAAGAATGCATATCGGAACAGAAACATTTCTGTATTGATTCCAGCCTAAAAGTAAATGAATGAGAAACAATTTTGTGCTTCAAGTGAGCCAGCCACCAGAAAATCAGCGAAAACAGCCTCCCAAAGGTTTCGACTCTCAGCTTCGAGATTTCGACTTGTGGCTCTTCTTGGATGACTTCGACTTCTTGGATCGATAGTCATACGAGCTGCTAGACGACGAATATGCAGCCGTGCTCCCAGACTCTGAATTTTTGTCGAGTGACAACCCTTTCATCATAGTATATGGTGACTCGCACCCAGCATTTCTGGACGATGTACCACACGCGTACTTGCGTGGTCTCCCCTTGCGACTATCCGTGACTCTCCTCTCTGGGGAGGGGCTGCGGCTCGGCCCTACCATCAAAAAGTCAGCCTCACCGAAACTCGACAAGAGAAGGAGGGGGGGAAATTTTGGGTTAACGAACCGAATCTCCTGCAGTCATCACAGCATCCGTGATCACACGTCCTCTGGTCTCCCCCTATCCTCAGCGAGCCCATATCATCTTGGATATCAGTCAAGGGAGTGGAACACCAGCCCTGGGTATTAGGCCCCTGGTTGCATTTGCAGCATATCCAGCTACCGCCCTTGTCTGCAAACTGGCAGTTCTTGAGCGGGCAGGACAGTGAGCTTGACTGGGCTGGTGCAAATGTTGTGTTCCGGCAAGGCGTTTCGTAGCCCGTCTCCAGATCAATCTTCGCCGAGGGACAATAATACCAGACGAGCGAAGTGTGAGCACATTCATGGTATCGGGGATGTCCGTGACACATTGTGAGAAAGGCGGCAGTTTATTCGACGATAGAGTCTGGATTCTGGATTCTGGAATCTGAAAAAGGAGAGGCAGGTAATGGTATTCGACAAGAGGTTGATAGTGAGAAGGTAGGATGATGAGGCAAGATTATGAGGTAGATCTGTTGTTCAGACTTTCTTTCTTTCATCTCACAGGAGCAGAACCGTGATTTTATATAAAATATCTGACTGGCATCTTGGCTGCTTGCTCTCATCGAGCCGAACAGGTTTCCGCCACCTCAGGGCCAGGATCGATAGACGGCGCCATACGAGACGAAGCAAAGCGTCAGTGCTTGGCTGCAGTCATATTGTGCCGGACAGTATCTCTTTGCCGTTTCACAGATCTCTTGTGGCATCTCTTGTGGCATCTCCTGTGGCATCTTTGTCTACCATCCTTGGCTATATTGAAGCCACTCGTCTCATTCCATTGCTCAAATTTCGAATACGAGCCCCCCTCTGTCCGTATTTTGGATGTGAGATCCTACGAGATTAGCCTGAGTGCTCAGTCATACAAACTTACGCTCGTGATACCCTTTGCCTGCAGACATATGCAAGATGAGCGGCCCGGCGCGTTGAGATCTTGCTCTGAGACCAGAAAATCCCGGTTTGCAGACCGGGCTTGAGCTAAATTAAACAATCAATCGGATTCAATGTCTCGAATAGCCTGTTGGGTTCGTAAATTGAGCTATGTGTTACATTGTTTTGAGTGCAGGAGGCACTGATAGACCAAAGATGTGTAATACCTTTCCTCAGCTTCAGGTCGACAGAATCACGGTATCATAATGGCCAATAGGACCTTTATTCTCGGACAGGCTGGTCGTTTTCTAGCTTGGACCGTCTGCACTGACGCTGGTACCTTGTTAGCAAAACGGACGAACCGAAACGACTCCGCAAGTCAGCCGGTCACTGAGGCTCTGCGTTACGGTTGGAAGCATGAGTCGCATCTGTGTCACTTTACCGAGCGTCTGGGAAAGATTCTTCCGAGTGTTATGCGCCATCGGGTTGATTGCCTCCCGAAATCTCGAATCTCGAATCTCGAATCTCGAATCTTGAGATACCACCCTACCTTTGTTTCCTTCTTCATCTTTTCATCTGTCGTCGCAATGCCGTAAATAGCGGACTGCCCCCCAATCCCGGTCAACACGAAATTATAGAAATTAGCGACTATTGCCTTGAGTGTCGCCTTTTGGGGCACCACAAGCTGCGCTCGGACCCGGCGTAGTTGCGCCGGATGGCTCGTATGACACCTTTGACAGGTTGGCGTCGAGTCAATCATTGAGGCTGGGGCTGTCTCACAGCATTGAGTTTAGACTAGGCGGCGAACCCTGACCTTGACAGCCTTGATAATTTCGCTATGAGGGCAAACTGCTGGTGAGTGTGTGCAGGGGGTCTATGCAGATAACAAATAGTGTCAGAATGACTAGGAGAGACGGCAAAGGTAAGAGGCGAATGTTGGAAGACGTCATTAGTTGACATTGACTCGGTAGCCATTTACGAAGAGGGATTTGTGCTGAAAGGACTGAAGAGAGAAGACAAACTACTGTGGCAATGGAGCAAGCCGATATTTGCTTGTCAAGCCAAAAGAAGGCAGAAGTTTCACTTTACGATGCAATAAATGAGAAATCAAGTTTCTATTTCCAATCTGTTTGTCGATTATTGCTAATTGAACCGCAAAGAACAATAAAGCTATCTAGATGCCGGCTTTTCTCATCATATATCTATCTTACGAGAGGATATCGTTAGTCTCACCCAAAAGCTCGTCCAGGCCTTTCAAAAGAAACAAGAAAATCCATTCCGTGTTCTGTTCTTCACTTCATCCACTCGCCCAACAGCCCCGTGGTAGTCCCCCTTTCGCAAAACGGGCAGCAGATGTGATCGCAAGTGGCGAGCTCCTGATAAATCATCATGCCGGTACATCGGCCCGTCGTGTTGTGCGTCTTGCCGCACCAGCAGCAGTTCCAGACGCCGTCGAGGCGGTTGAAGTGGCACTCTGGGCGATGGCAGAGGGGCGCCGGCTCGAACTCCGCCGGCGTGGGATAGGAGACGACCTTGTGGGTTTGGGATTTGCAGGGGATGCGGCCGTTGGCTTGGGATTCTGCGCAGTAGTCCCATTTTTGGGAGGAGTGGCAGCAGATGAGATCGTATGTCAGGAGTTGACACATTGTTTTTTTTTTTTTTTTTTGGGCTTGTGCTGAGGGAGGCGATGGTGTTCGTTGCAAATAGGAGTTGGTCCAAATCTGATGAGAGGAGAGAAGAAAAGAAGTCTTTCTGTGGAGAAAAAAATGAAAGCAACTTGGAGAAAATGAACTTATGAAGCTGATAGCAGGAGACGATGAAAGAAGAAATAAGGGAAGCAGCCGACTTCTTATTTATCAACGAACAGAACTAACACGTCTGCTTAACCACAATATAATACGATCCATCAATCCAATGCTCGCTTCCACCGCAATTTATAGACCATCCAGTCCGACATGTCCCTTGCCCTGCCATTTGAATCACGTCCACGAATTCACAGAAGCCGCCTCGCCTAAGCGGGATGAAGTCATTCTTCTCCATAACACAAGGCCTCGACTCCCGGGACTGCGGCCCGTCATCTCTCCTTGCTGTCGGCTGGGGGGATTGTAATTTTAATTTGATCTTTTACTTGTCTTTGGTCTTCATCGTTCTTTCCAAATACACATCTTTTGCATATCTGCTTCATAAAATACTGAAAGTTTACTTTGTTTCTTGTCCATCTCTGTGTGTCTGGCAGTCTGTCTATATCGTTTCTACGGAGCGAGCGTGTCAGCTGCGAAAAAAAAAAATGCAAAATGCTATTTTGACCAGACAATACTTTTAGATGCAAGGGATACACTAAGCTATGAGGTCTCTCGCCTTTTTTTTTTTAAGACCAGACATCTACTTTCGGGAACCATAGGTACTTCATGCTGTAAAAGATGATAGGAGGGTTTAGTCAATGGGAGACTTTGGAGACGAGGCTCGCTTAGAGGCGGAAGTTGGAGCTGCGGCTGAGAGACGGACTGTGTGTACAGAGTACTTGTGCATGTGCTATATCACTTCTGTGCGTATGCCATTGATCAATGGATGTAGAGAAAGAAAGCAAGGACGGCAAAGTGAGCAGCAAATGCATACGGCGAGGAACATAGTGGTGTGGGCGGCTCATGGGCTACGGTAAATACACCGAAGATGGTATTGGGTACTACCCAATATTAAAGAAACATGTGAGCGATGCAATCTTTACCGCGATGGGAGGAAATAGGCGTTGAAATGCGGTGGTTGGATATTTTTTTTTTTTTTTGATGTTCGCTCCACTTGCTTATTATGCTGGGGTTATAGTCTTTGCCTTGTGCTATCTATTCGCTTGTATTATTGGATGTGAGTAAACAGACCTTCATTTATTACTTGTATGCGATGCCCTCATAGACTTGTCTACCCGTAAAATGGGAGAGACAGAGATTGTGGCGTATGGATATCCTGAATCTGTCACTTATTTTTATCTCTCTGGATGAGGAGACGAAAACCGGGTTGATGGATTCATGGAGGGGGGCGTGTTGGACATGGGTGTGCTTTGAATTCGGGGGGGCAGATGTGAATGTGATGGTATTAGTGGCTGGAATGGATAGCTGGGAGTGCTCAGTTGTGGCCGCTGCAAGATGATCCTCCCAAGATGAGTGGCTGGCTGACTGGCCACATTAATTTGCTTTTTATTACGCAAATGAATAAGAGGCAGTCTTGTGTAATGGAACTGATTGGTGGTAGATGTAAATGTATATTAGCATAATAACATACATGACCTAGAGCGAGGAAAAGAGCAATACTTGAACACAACGTCACCGGCAGAAAGCCTGAACAAAAAGCAAAGTCAAGAATCCCTATCCCGATGCGCAAACCCAAGGGCCAAAGGCTTCACAACCATGCCACAAAGCGGTAGTAGTACTCTTGTGCCGAGCTCAGTTATGCCTGTGAACCTTGTGGCGTGTCCAACTGAGACATTGTTGAGCCCGATTTCCGCCCCCAAGGTTTTCAAGCCTATTTGTTTTTCGTGGCGTCTGGCTGCATGCTCATCCCTGACTTTCGCATGATTGCAATGCCCGCCTTTTCCCCCCTTAGCATGAAAGGTCGTACAAGCCGCCCATGAAAGAAAGAAGAGAGTGAAGAAAAGGAGGCAGATAAAAAAACTAGTGGAGGAAGAGTCGGAACTTTATACATCAGGAGTGCAGCTTTCACAAATGTCATGGTAACAAAACGTATCAGGACACCCTTTCTTCCGTTGCTGGCAAGTCCGGTAAATGTTTCCACCGCGCTTACACTTGCAGCAGATCCATCTCCCATTCAGATCTTGCAGCCGACAAGTTCCCGAGCTGCAGGCCGGCGAGATGAGGCAGCTCCCCCGCTCACAGGGATTCTCGCCGGTGGCTTCAGGAGATGGGAGCACGGTGGTGGCAGCACAAGGGCTGTAGTGGTTGGTGGCCGGATTGAGGGCCGCCTCAGAGCAGTACGAATATCGGGGGACGAGGCTTGATGGGTGTGTACAGGGGTATTGGTGGTGGTAGTGAATGTACGAGTACTGGCACATGCTTCCTATATTTGCCTTGCAGTATTTGTATTTCTTTCTCTCTCCCTCTCCCCTCTTCAAGTCTCACTTCGGAGGGGTAGGAGGGCGGTTGGCCGAGACTTCTTGTGATGCCCGAGCCCGACGACGGCTTCGGAAATGGGGCGTTGCAGGAATTTGAGGCGTCTGTCTCGGCAGGATGCCTATTTTCTAGGTCCGCACCCGGATGGTTCTTGAAGTAGACGATAATGTGGTGACGCGGCCTAAGATAATTAGCGGTCTTGTAGGACAGAAGATAATGTGGCTTATTAGCTTTTGTGACCTTGATTTATGTCTCCTTGCGTTGAGGTTGAGAGCAAGGGGTATGAGCTGATGGTTGGAAAGCGTCTGCCCCGAGTGCTTGTCAAAAGTCCCCGTATGGAAATATCAACCTAAGAGAGTGGTCGGGGGCTTGAGGAAGAGAGAGGCCTAGGATAGATGCTCGCAAACTTGATATCAATCTCCTTTCCTGCACTGTTCCTGCTATGCTGCAGCTAGAGTATGTGTCTGGCTGTCACAGTTTTTCTCCCTCTCTTAGCCACGCCCTTATAGAATTCAATAACAAGATCAAAGAAAGAAACCTCCCTGGCACGGGCTGATGGCACGTCTTAGTATTATCGAGTTTGAGCTTGGTAAGCACAATGATATGCCACGCAAGGCAACGAGAAAACAAAGAGTTCTGAAGATAGAGAGCGTTGATATCAGGTAGAGTATTGTTAGCTGGGTGTTGGTGATGTTTGTTCTGGTCTGTTATTATGCTGACGAATGTCATGATGAAAGAGGAATCCGACTTCGTTTATATACCTCACCAACGTCAATGCATCATTGCTTGCCTCTGCTGCTCGATCAACTGCCAACGACTTTATCCTCGGTCCTCGCTAACTAGTCGGGACGCCCGCTCGTATTAGAATCGCCGCAGCAGACCAATTCGTGGAGCCATCGTAGATTTTCTTCCCACAAAAGCGGGTATTTACCACTCTCCTAAAGGAATGCTGTCTCCGCACTTATTGGCGATGATGGCGGTGATCATACATCGTTAAAATCGTTTGCCTTGGCATTAAAACGGGGAAGTACAGGGAGTAAGACACTTTGCTCTCGGATCTAATGTAAGCATACATGACTGGAAGAAGAGGAGTGGGTTGGGAGAGCTTCTATGGGTTTATAACCCATATGAAGTGATTTCTTCGTGCATTATTGACCAGGTGACAGGTTACAACGAGACTTGTGTGTTTGGTACATGTAAGATATCTCGATCGTGTCATAGTTCGTGCTTAGAGCACAAGAGACTTTTCAGAGATGTACCAGAGCTGTTTGAACAAATGAAGCAAGAAAAAAAAAAAGCTTGTAAATATATCTAGATGGTCGTTCAAAGTGCCTTTGTGTAGGTTACAGCAGATCGGTAATGCGTGAGGCTCTCGTGGAAAGTTGCAGGTGCTACCAAAACCGCGTGAGTGAAGATCCGATATTCGACGCCGTCGGACCACATACGAAAGCGACCCACGACCCCATCGTGATACTGTCTAGGTTGATAGAGTTCATGTGCGATATAGGAAGCGCCGCGGCAACAAACCTTACATCGCTGGATGAGACACCCGTGGCTTTGATGTATACTGCTTCGGGTTTATGGCCAAATTTGGATCGCCCAACGCCACAAAAGAGGAGCAATAGGTGGATAGAGCAAGAAGAGAGGCGAACATTGTCGATAGTGGAGTTTATAGCTGATGGCCGAAGGAAGTTTAACTTGACATTTTCATGGTTCGGCTTCGGAACCAGCACATGCTGCGATGATAGATTGGTGCAACACAAACATGCTGCCAAATATTCAGCTCTTGTATGGTGTCTAAGAAGATAGAGCTGGCTCTGCTCTTTGCTTCTAGCTTTCTCCGTATAGCTATAATCAGATAGCCTGTCTCTGTTACGTCCGTTGGAAAATTGCTTTCGTAACTCGTTACCCTTTGTAAGTGTTGTATATCCTAAAGTTTTAGGTCAGAGAAGATAAACGTGGAAGCCCAAGAAACAGTCACACAACAACGGTATAGAGTAGCAAAGCACGCGGGTGGCCGATACCCAGCAATTTCTCGTCACACCCCATTTGGAAAAGAAACATTCATGGCGTCACTTGATGATACACGCGCGGGATCGATTCAGATAATGTAATACTCCTAGGAACAAAGCCAGGTGGATTTTATCGATTGGACAGGATCCAAACCACACGTGCTTGCTGATCAAGCCGTGGCGGTTGTGACAATCAATTGTCTGCTGGAGAAGCTAGAGTTGCAGCTAGACTTGGGTACTATTTCCGACTATTGTCGGAATAATAAATCAACGATAGCTGCTCGCTGATATATCTTGCTTCGGACCGACTAAGGCAAGTGCGAATCATGCGTGGACACTGCTAGTACGTGGAGTGATGCCCAGCCGAGAATCTCCTTGACCAGTGCTGTGAGCCCTTGATAATAAAAAGGTAAAATGGTTGTGAGCGAGCGAGTCTGCTGTCCCCGGATTGGACAACATAAACGGCTAAGGAGGGGATCTGACATGTTGACCTGCAGCTATCCATGAATGAATCTGAGAGGTAGGAAACATGCCAGCAAGGCTGTCAAAGTGATGTGCCACAGCCTCTCAGCTCCTGAGACAATCCTTCACTTCACGTAACCAAGCTCAGTCTGGGTCTCAAGTATAAGGGTCTCCCAGAGACACATCATGCAGGTTTCAAGCACCACAGAGGCAATACTAGCCGTGGTATTGCATACACTCGTAAAGATTGCAACCTCAGTTGTCGGAGGGAGAGGTAAGAGAAGAGCCGTGCGAATATGAAGAAGGATTAAAAAGGTGTAATGATATTAAAGCTTTTGCCCGAGTATCCATCAACGCCATACATGCCATAAATATCCATCATCGTACAATCAAATCACCTTAGAACCTAGACGGTGGATTGGAGGTTAGTGCTGTAGATCCTAGTGGATATATGAGAGGTTACTTTACCTTATTTCATATGAGCCTGCTCTCGTCATATATCGCACCCACTTGACACTAGAGTAATTGCTCTTCTCAAATACTTTCAGATAGCGAACCAAAAGACCCGAGCTGGTAAACATCAACAAGCTAAAGTTCATGCTCAGGGGTGGCCGGCTCCACGCGCGTTGATTTGTCATGCTGGTGAGGCTAGCTTCGGCAGTGAGGACGTATTCGCTCTGGCCAGTGAATCTGCCAATCTTCCAGACAATCACGTTCTCACTGGGCTCGTACTTGGCCTTTCCTTGAGTACAGCGCTCGGTGATCTTGGCAGTATTCAAAGGCGTAGGGATCTTGATGACGACGTTGGTAGCAAAGAGCTTGGCTCCAAAGTTGGCCTTGACGCCGATGCTGTATTCGACCTTTGTGCGGCCCACCTCGTTGACAATGGCGTGCACCTTGAACGGCAGGTTGACGTTCTCTGTGGCGCGATAGCGCATGAGCTCGAACTCGCCGTCAGGGGGGACGAAGCTAATGATTCGGTCAGAGTCAAACTTGCCCAGCTTGACGCACTGGTGGAATTGACAGTCCTCCAGGGTGACGCTTCCCGCCGCCGCTTTGGTCGCCTTGGTTCCCATTTTGTTTCCGCTGGGCAGGCTTAGCAGCCCGTCGTTGTCCAGCAGCAATCGGTCGTTGAGGCCAAATTTGCACTCAGGGGTACCGGATAGATAGGCGCGCATGACAATTTGCCCCGTGACATCCGCTCGCAGTACTGCGCCAGTGGCGGACATGAGAAGGTTGATATCCTCAATGACATCGACAAAGGCTTCGTTTTTGCGGTACTTGACGTCTGCTTTGCGCCATGACAGCGCGCCGGTGGCCTGCATTGTGATCTTGGACGTGTCTTCGGGGCGCGATTCCGACTTTACGCCTTCGGTGGTGATGTACATCTTTAATGTGTCCGTCTCGGTATTTTGCGGATAGCCAAAGTCGATGATTTCTGGTTGTTAGAGATTCAGGGTCAGTACCAGCGCCAGTGCCCATATCACACTGATTTTGGGAAGAAAAACCCACCATCCAGCAGCTCGTAGACCAGCACAAAGTTGTTCTTGACGGCCTCCTCGTCAAACTTGCCAAAGTACCCCTTTCCCAGCTGGATCAGGCGGTAGAGGAACTCAAAGACCAGCGCGGCATTGGCGTTGCTCTTGGTGATGGCCACCAAGTAGATGTTTTCGTGCTTGACATGGCTAAAGGTCGTGCTTCCGAGCGTCAGGATGGGCGACCGCACCTGGGCGTTGGAGATGACCTGGATGCGAAAGACATCGGCAAGGCGAGGCCGGCAGTCGTTGCGAAAGGCGCGGAAGATGAGGTTTTCGCCCTTTTGGTTGAAGATGAGCACGCCGGAGAGCATCGTGGCGGAGCGAGAACAAAAAAAGAAGAAATAGAAGGAAAAGAAGGAAAAGAAAAGAGAGGCCCGAATCTCTGGCACGAGCTGGTGGCTGCTGGTGGTTTGTCGAGACGAGGTTGCGACTGCGACTGCGCTTCGGCCAGGAGCTCGACTAGTGCGCGTGTCTTGGGGAGCTGCAGGTGCAAAAGCGTGCCGGAGCCCCGCCAAGGCGCGTGATTACAGCACCGAAGCGGACATTTACAGCGGTGCTGACTGCTGCAGACCCCTGGACTAACAGCACTGCGTCTTCTGAAGCTCCGGGTGCGCTTACATGGACCTCTGCATGTGGCCGCATACTGGTCTACTGCTTATTACACCAAATGCAGTGCAGAAGAAGATAATGAAGAAGATACTGATAACTACTGGAGCCCCGGAGAACTTATTATCGAAACGAATGTTACCAATACAGCTCATTTGATAATTGCCACGGCATCGAGTACTGCAAAGGGTCGACTCTAGAAAGGCCATTCGCGGCCAGAAATTAGGAAACGCTCATAGTCAATTTCCAAGCCCCGGTCATTCAATAACAAGTCTTCGTGGCGCAGTTGGCTAGCGCGTCAGTCTCATATTGAAACATCTATATGATCTAGACATTAGTCTGGGCCATCTGAAGGTCGTGAGTTCGAGCCTCACCGAGGACATTTCTTTTTTGTATTTTCTTTCAGATGCATCGTATTTATTCTCTTTTTTTCTTTTTCTTTGTTGAATATCTTATACATTCAAACAATACATTCAATACATGTCGCATTCAGTTGACTTGATTATACCTACCTAGTACCTCTCTTGCACACTCATCTGAAACCACGTTCTCAATGACGCCAGGCTGTGGCTGTGCTGCTACGTTCAAGACACAATCGTCAGCCTCAAGTATAAGCTTCTCGAGAACTCATCCAACTTTCTTTCTCTATTCTCAATTACTCGCATAGCGTAAATACTATTATTTTTTTTCCCTTTATCAATTTATAGCGTTCTCAGCTCTTCATACATCTTGCCCATGTCGCAGTCATTGCAATTCCCTTCCTCATTTGTCACGCCGTGGAAGGACCTGCTCCTCTCTCACCAAAACGAGCGCTCTCGCGATGCTCCCAACTATCACAGCGCCGACGCCATCGACTCTCTGCTGACGACCAGCACGCCAAATTTGCTCTACGTGGGCACCGGCCACTCTATATTTACACGCGCAATTCTGCCCGCCATTGCGTCTGCCAAACACTCAATCCATTTCGTCACCTGTTACTGGGCCGCCTCGCCCTCTCTCGATGGCATCCGTCAGACTCTCCTCCAGCTTGCCGAAGCGCGTTCAAGATCGGCAGAGACTCTGACTACCCTCAATGTGAGCATTGGGTTCTCGTCTTGGGGCCTATTTCAGAAGCTGTTCCATACAGCAGCGCCTGAAGGGTGCGTGTACCCCCCTTCGCGATGGGCTAAACTGGGCTTGCCGGATGAGGAGGCGCTGAGAAAAGGGGGCATCGAGATGACGGTGAAGAGTCTCTTTTTCACGCCGCTGAGCGTGATGCACCCGAAATACGTCATCATCGATGAAGCCAAGGCGTGGATTCCGAGCTGCAATGTGAGCTGGGAGCGGTGGTTTGAAGGTTGCGTGGAGCTTGAGGGCGAGTTTATCCATAGGCTGCTGGCTTTCCATGCCCGAGTTTGGGGTGCAAGAGTTGATATGGCAAAACCACATGATAATGATCACATTGAGCTTGCAAGAAGAGAGGCAGAAAATAGAGGCGCGATTCAGGGCGTGGACGAAGAAGGTCTGCTAGTCGAAACCTCAAGCTCATCACCGCTTACCGAGGGCGACGACGATGATCGCTCGGCAACACAATGCATTCACTTCACTGCTGTTGCTCCAACTCCGACCATCTTCTTACCGTCACCGCATCATCGAAACCCCCGATTCAAATTCTTCTTCCCTTTCTTCTCTCAATCTAATCCGCCAATGACTCCCCTCAACGCCGCGCTGCTCACTCTTTTTGCCAATGCTTATCACGAAATCCACCTTGTTACGCCAAATCTCACTTCATGGCCGGTTATAGAAGCCTTATTAGAGGCCTTATCTCGAGGAGTCAACGTCCAAGTCCGCACGGGGCGGAATATGATGGTGATTGAGCAGCTCATTACCGCTGGGACAACTACATCATGGTGTCTCCGCCGCTTTGTTAAAAAGTACCAAGCTCTGTGTAAGCGCCGCACTCAGAATCGCGACCCCGAGGCTCAGCTAGTATCCCCTGGGCATCTAGAGATATTTTATTATAAGCAGCTCGACGACAGAGCCAAGCTTGAAGACGAGCCCGTCTTTAGCCATTTCAAGATGACAATGGTGGATGGAGAGTATCTCATGCTAGGTTCGGGAAACATGGATAGAGCTAGTTGGTGGACGAGTCAAGAGATTGGCGTGCTGTTTTACATGCCGGGACTGAGGGAAAGGAGAGTATGGGAGAATGTGCTGGAGAAGAGGGCCGAATTAGTGTTTCGGAGCAAGGATAGGTGAATAGATAGATCTGATATTGCTAGCTTGTTGGATATACCCTTGATGATCATATCGAAGACATTGGAAATTAAAAGGATGATATAGTATTGGTCTCCAGTAGCATGAAGAAGTCTTCTCAACTACTTACTTCCATCTTATCCCCCCCCCCCCCCCCTTAATTTATGCATTACGCGTGCTCCTGAGCCTTGACTCTCTCAAAGACGTTGACAAACTCCATCGCATCCTGAGCACCACTTAGCTTGAACTTGCCCTGAATCGTGTAATCCGGCACGCCGCTGATGCCCCTGTATCTCGCACTTCCAGCCAACTCGTCAACCTCCCTGCCGCCCTCGTCGCTCTCCACGATGGCCTTGCTGAAGTCAGTCTCAGAGATTCCAGCTCCCACAGCGACGTCCTTGAGAGTCTCATAACTCGTAATGTCCTTCTCATTCTCAAAATACGCGGCAAAGAGCCCGTCAACGACCTTGAGCTCCGTCTCTTCGCCGAACTTCTTGGCGAGGTGAACCAGGCGGTGCGAGTCCCGCGAGTTGCCCAGTCTGCCGCCAAACTTGAAGTTGATGCCGAGGGCGTTGCCCACGCCGCTGAGGCGCTCGTGGATCATGGCGGTGCGCTCTGGGCCGAAGCGCTGCAGATAGTACTCGTGCTTGTCGACGCTGTTGCCAGGGCCTCGGGGCGAATCGGGGTTGAGCTGGTAGGGCGCGTACTTGACCGAAAAGGTGTCGGTGGAAGAAGGGTAGCGCTGCTGCCAGATCTGCTGGGCTCGCTGGACTTGCTTGCGGCCAACGTAGCACCAGGGGCAGACTGTGTCTGAGACGACGTCGATGCGGAAGTTTACCATGGTTGCGGCAACTGAGGTTTGCGGTCCTTGTTTTATTTGAGTTGAGTTGGTTGTGGTTTCAGGGACTGTAACCTTGTGTACAAGTCGTGGAAAAATATGGACAGTTGACGAGGTCGCTTTATCGTCTGTTTTTGGCCGAGACCGTTTATTTATACTTGACTGCGTGCCTCAATATTCTTAGGATCCTCTACGAGCATACTAACGGCCTGATGGTTTGTATGGAGAGGGTATCTCCGCTCAGAGAGCAAATCCTTTAAATAATTAGAGGATTTGAAATCAATCTATCTGCACAGAGCAAAATAGCCGACTTAACCCTCATTGCCCCCGAAAGGCGTGCTCCGTTGTTTGTCCGAGCAATATTTAAAGCTCCATCCATCTACTACTTTGCGCTAGATACTATCTACGTGAATTAGTAAGACAGATGGGATCCATAGCATCAAATTGGCCGAGTACCGAGGGGGATAGTGGCGTCAGAGATCAAGTTTGAGAACTGCAAGCACTCAAACTTGCAGACATTCAAAGAGAATTCCGGACTGCGTAGGAAAAGACGGTGCCAGTGAATAAATATTGCAAGTGTCCATGATAAATTGACTACAAACATGATGGAAATGCCAGCATGAAAGTGGGATGAGCCGAGTAGTACGCATTAGTTACTGGCTCATCACAAGTGCTAGTTAACAGTGGATTTATAATGCATCGGGGCTTGCCCCCTTTCGATCAGCACCCGCGCATGCTAATTTAGCTCTTTGCTAGTGTGCCATCCATCTTCTGTGATCCGATGGAGGAGTATTCCGTATAAGAGTGGCATTAAGTAGTCTATATTCTGTAAGTTCTGGAAAGGTCGTGTAAACATTATGAGCGAGTCTGTATAAGTAATTCCCATAATTTAAAACTCTAAATGACGTGAACTATAATGCGTGAGCATTTGAGACAAGGGATATTAATAATTCGAGCCTCCCGGGAATATATCCCTGCTGGGCAAATACCTTGATCAGACCATTTGATGACCAAAGCCACCTGTCTATAACTGATAAATGTGCTCTTAGCAGCATAGCCACTTTGCTCTTGAGATTGAATGAAGAAGTCTTGGGCGAATTAGCTATCATTGATAATATTTTGCAGAGCTAGACTGGCACAAACCCTTGTTCATCTAGGGTAGGATCCGGAGTTCTTTGGTAAGCTACTTTACGATTACTACTACCTGGATAATTCCGGGGTGCATGCCTAAGACATTTACCAAGCTTCTAGACTTCAATACAGCTAGAATTAGTTTCGTATTAGTATAGGTACCATTAGGACCATTGCTACATGCTATCAACCACGCAACCAAAGGGACTGCTGCGCCGGCGAAAAATCTTGAAGTGGATCTAGCTCGGATTGGTAGTGTTAGTTGTCGATTTCCCTTCCAAGGTTTCCACTTTCCATAGAAGATGTTTGCGATTTTGAACGCAACTTAGCTGCACATTGCATATATTGGTTGTGTATAGTTGAAGGATTTTTTAGATTCATACTTTTGGGGACTTTACTAGCATTACCTGCAAAATAAAAGCACATGTAGCTAATCTCCTAGGCTTATTCGCCGGCAAATAGCACCAGTTTATTCGGCGATCTTGCTTCCGCTTAGTTGCTCGTGTGGGTACCATATTACCTAGGTAGTTGGTAAAACCGGCAAGGCTCAACTGCCGGTTTTTAACCTGCCGCCTTTTGGCTGTTTATGGGACGATTCTAACCTGTTCCATTCTATTTCCTTCTCTTTTTGAAGCAGACTAGGGTCTAAATAAATCTATGGCCTAATTCTTCAAACATGACCTTTTATCGGTAGTTTCTAAAGAGAAGAGTGATTGTACCAAAATGAATCTGCCTGTTTTTGTTTATGCTAGTTAAAATGGGTAAATGTTTTTAAATACACTTGAAACTTGTCCAGCGTCTTGTCAAAGCTAGCCTCTCCTATCTTTATTAATCATCTAGTTCGTGCAGAACAATGCAAACCTCGGTAGCGTTTCTCCTCATAAGATATGTGCCACCTCTCTCTTTAGGCCCCTGCTCTTGCCCCTCCATCGCTCCACCTATTGAGCAGTTTTGAAACCAGGTTTGTGATTAGCAGAGCATGAGTGATAAATGCAGATTGCCTTGTTATAGGTTGCTAGTTCTGGCTCTAGGAGCGCAAGGCCCAGCGATACTCCACTTAACTTACAAATGCTGGAGTACAAAAGGATGGATTGCCCTTGGCTAGATATAGGGTGACTTGGCAGAGTAAATAGACAAAGGCATCCCAAAGCACAAAAGAGTATATAATATATAATCCTTTAACCAAAGACACCGTCTTATCAGCCTTCACCATGGTGACAAAGAGATTTTCTTCAGCTGAAAAGGTCGACCCTGCGCCTCTTGGCCAGCCGCTGACCTTTGAGTTCAGTGGCAAAACGGCTAAGAACCGCTTTCTCAAGTCTTCCATGTCTGAGCAACTGTCAAGTTGGGACGAGAAAGATCCAGCAAAGAGAGGAATCCCCTCAGATGAGCTCATCAATTTGTACAGACGATGGGGTGAGGGTGGATATGGAGTCATCCTTCTCGGCAATACCATGATCGAGGTCGACCAACTGGAGATTGACGGAAATCACATTATTCCTTCAGATGCACCTTTTTCCGGAGACCGATTTGAGAAGTTCAAGGAGCTTGCTTCAGAGTCCAAGAAGCATGGTAGTCTTGTATACCCTCAGCTTAGCCATCCCGGTCGACAGGTTCAAGAAGCCATTCAGCCGAATCCAATCTCCGCTAGCGACGTGCAGCTGGTGATACCTGCAATGGGGACCTTTGCCAAACCGAGACCGATGGAGAAGGCCGACTTTGACAGGGTCATTAACGAATTTGCTCACGCGGCTGAGTACAGCTACAAGGCTGGATTCGATGGCGTTCAGCTGCATGGCGCACAGTAAGTCTTTCAAGCTGCGGATATGCAGATATAAGCTGGACAAAGAGAAGAAATACTGACGTTGTTTGCAGCGGTTATCTCTTGGCCCAGTTCCTAGCACCGTCAACTAACAAGAGGACCGATGAATACGGCGGCTCGCTGCTCAACCGGGCAAGACTAATCTTCCAGATTGCCGATGCCATCCGCGCTCGCGTTCCTGACAAGGCCTTCAGTCTCGGCATCAAGCTTAACAGCGTAGAGTTCCAGCAGGGTGGCTTCACCCCTGAAGAATGCAAGGATCTCTGTGTAGAGCTTGAGAACAATTTTGACTGGGTCGAGCTTTCAGGCGGCACATACGAGGAGTTGGCATTTACGCATAGAAAAGAGTCTACCATCAAACGAGAGGCCTACTTCCTCGAATTCGCCGAATTGATCATCCCGCATCTGAAGAAGACCAAAGTGTATGTCACTGGCGGTCTGCGCTCGGCGGCTGGCATGGTCAAGGCCCTAAACTCGGTGGATGGAGTCGGATTGGGCCGACCAGCTGCTTACGAGCCTGCGCTGCCGCAGAGAATCCTTGACGGTGCTGTGGATGGTGCAGTGCAGCCATTTTTCGACGAGAACGATACTGGCTTAGGTCTTCTTGCAGCGAAAACCGAGTGAGTAGCTTACACATACCTAGGAGCCTGTATAAGAATGCGAATTGCTGATATATCGACGCAATATAGGATGAAACTTGTTGGCCTTGGTCACGAACCCCTTGACTTGAGCAGAGAGGACCACCAGAAGGTCTTTTCGGCCGCACTGAGCAAATGGTCTGGCCGACTTGGTCCTCTAGATATCGAAGACTTTGACTTTCAGCCTTATGGCACTGCCTATGCCTAGGCCAAATTGATGGTGGGCGCCTTGAGGGGAGTTTAATTGTACATGAGCACACAAGATATATAAGCCTACATGAGATTAACATACTATTGGAGAGAAATAAATGTATGCACATAGGTAATCTAGTTGCTTGGAGCGTTTGCCTACATATGCAGCTACTGATTTTCCCGCAACTATTTTTGCTATTGTCCCTCTAAGGAATCGAATCAGCTAATCAGATTCCGTGAATGGGCACATGAATCCACCTTAGCCTAACATCCCTTGAATCTGCCTTGTATATTAAGCGCAATTGCATAAAAGCGAGTCAGGCAGTTTATCATGCAGCATACGAGTGCATGAACGATTTTTTTTAATCACCCAGTTTCTTTCTTAGCTCAGATGCACCTACAACACTTAACAACTCCTCTTCGTTGAGCGCAACTCTTGATTAAATAAAACACTGCATACAATTATGGAAAAATATAGTTATGATACTCTTAATCTTGGACGTCCCGCAATTCGACTGCTTATTTTGAATCGAGGAAGCAATGACGACAAGATACGCTGCAGCCTCTTCCAGGCAGAGCTGCAGGAGCGAGACAATACAATCTCGTACGAAGCTCTCTCATACACCTGGGGCTCCCAAGACCTAACTGAGAGCATTATTGTCGACGGCTACTGCCTTAATGTAACTTCTCACCTCTACGTAGCTCTTCAACATCTTCGCCATCAGGACGAGGACCGTATCCTGTGGATTGATGCAATATGTATTGATCAAGGAAACGTGAAAGAGAGAGGACATCAAGTTGAACAAATGAGCAAAATCTACAAGGAAGCCGACCGGGTAGTTTTCTGGCTAGGGCCGGCAACATTAGAAACAGACGTGCTCATGGAATCTTTGAAGCTTCTGCAGCGCGAGAGCATTAAACACAACTACAAGGATTGGTCGCTTCAAGACCCCTTTTGGAAGCATAAATGGGCTATGGTGGAGCGGACACTGAAAATAGCATACACGCACTTCAGCGATTTACAACGAGATGGCTTACAGGAGATCTTATCAAGACCATGGTTTCGGAGAGTGTGGATTCTGCAAGAAGTGGCGCTTGCAAAGGTCGGCATCATACTCTGCGGTACGAAAAGTGTGTCAACTCGGCTCTTTGGTCTTGTTCCTCTGCTTCTAGATATAAAACCCGATACACACTGTCAATCAGTCCTCGATATCATGCCTAGTCCATGGAGAAAGACTCTCTGGTGGAGCAAGAGTCCAAATCTTCGCACGTTGCTATTAACTTTTGGAGATAGCGAAGCGACAGAATCACGAGATCTTGTGTATGCTTTGAGAGGGATATCATCAGATGCAGCAGGAAATAATGCCATTATTCCTGATTATGATAAATCAGAAGAAGATTTGGTTCGCGATGTTGTTCAGTTTGTCGAACATTGTGAGTTGGAAGACTTGGCGTTGACACCGCCGCGCACAATTCGAGCCTTGATAAAATGCCTGAGAGCTCACGATTTGGATCGTTGTATGGGTCTGGCGCAAAATTCTCTACCTCATGATATGGAAATGCTTCTTGAGAGTCCCGAAGTCAGGATCAATCAAGAAATTGTCACGACCGCGGCGGCACGCGACAAGACAGGCAAAGTGTTTGAAATCATCCTGAGATACCGGGAAAAGGACGTCTTAGTAGATGACGAAGTTTTGGTGGCTGCAGCAAAAAATCTGCGTGGCGCCCAGGGGGTATTTGAAGCTCTGTTACGTTACCAAAGGGGCCGAATCACGATCTCAGACGATGTGCTTATAGCCGCTGCGAAGAACATACAATGCGGCGACGAAGTGTTAAATCTTCTTTCGTCTTCCGAGTGGGATCTGCCCAAAGCTATAAATGAGAAAGTGCTTGTAGCCGCAGCAAAGAATAAAGCCTGTGGTAATAAAGCTATACATGCTCTATTATCTCTTGGCCATACGCTGAGTCTTACGGTCGAGGCCGTTATAGCCGCTGCACAGAATGAGGAATGCGGTGATGAAGTGTTAGGTCTCATTTTATTTTCCAAACGGGTTCGATTCAAGGGAATGAAAGAAATAACAACGGAAGTGCTTATAGCAAAGAATAAAGGATGCGATGATAAACAGTTAGGTCTCATTTTATCTTCCAAACGGGTTCGATTCAATGAAATGAAGAGAATAACAAAAGACGTGCTTATAGCTGCAGCAAAGAATGAAGGATGCGGTGATAAGGTGTTGAGTCTCATTTTATCTTCTAATTTGGTTCGATTGAAGGGAATGAAGGGAATAATGAAAGAAGTGCTGATAGCTGCAGCAAAGAATGAAGGATGCGGTGATAAAGTGTTAAGTCTCATTTTATCTTCTAAACGGATTCGATTGAAGGGAATAAAGAGAATAGCAATAGACGTGCTTCAAGCTGCGATGGGGAACAAAGGATGTGGTTATAAAGTTATAAATACCCTTTGCTCTCATTATCCCAATTCAGTCACATTCTTCTAAAACGTAGATAATATATCACGAGACTCTGCGTTACAAGATCTCTGGAGTTATAGCATTAGCGATTTAGAATACCTTGTATAGGAAAGGAAAAAATATCGTTCATTATAAAGACCTTCATCGCAAAATGAAACATAAAACGGCCCTCATGTAGATAACTGAAGAAACTGGGACAAACTGGAAAGAATATTTTAAATATGCTTTTAAGTTATTCTTTGGTTAATACAATTTCGAAATTATATTCACGGAGTATATAATCCGTACCACAGCCTTACCACCAGGAAATCATTCTGTCCACATATGGATATTCTCCTGAACCAGCGGAAAATGAATCTATGACTCTCAAATGCTCCCGACGCAGGTATCGGATCAAACATCTACGGCAGAACTTCACTGGCTCTAGCAATTGCCAACGGACACACAAAGATCCTCAATGTACTCTTAGAGTTACGATGCAGACGAATGACATACGGGATTATATTAAGAATTTCGTAATTAGCAAGTAAACTGGCAACTTTCTCCTTACAAACATATACCACCGCAGTCGGCTCCGCCATGAAGGGGATCGCATCCATCTAACGCATCATAGCAAAATAGTCCCTCAGGGCAGCTGAGCCCGATAAACCCTCCGCAGAAATGAGTTTCCTTCGGGATGCATATTCCCGGAACATCACACGCCAGACCGCAGTTTGGCGGCAGTCGAGGATCGTCCTGGCACTCTGAATTGTCACCGCAGTTGTGTGGTCGCGGCGTGAAGCCCCCGCAGGACTGATATTGGTTCTTGAACTCGCAATGGCCGGGGCACCGGTTGAGTTCAGAGCAGTAGGGATTGTTGGGGACGCACTTCATGTCGAAGGGACAGGGGGCGATTTTGAAGCCACAGGCGCGGCCAACCTGGCTATGTTCTGGGCGGGGGATTTGTGCTGAGGCGAGGGAGACGGTTACGGCGAGAAGAATAGATTTGAGAAACATTGTGAGGGCGGTTGATTTGACTGTTATTTTTAGAGTAGATGTGAAGTTTTGGTCAAGTTGAATTTGTGTCCATGATCATCAATAGGGTGAGAGCCAATCCAGCATCTTAAATATTCATTCGGGGGCGATTGTCCGCTCTGCAGTCTGGCCATAGGATGAATGAGCTGATCCAGCTGCCCGCGACAACCCGAGACATCATTCCACGACACCGACCCGAGTATGTCGCACGGATTCAGCAGCTTTGACATAACGGCCTGGATAAGCCTAATTATGAAACATGGCAAACAATTCCTTGCAAAGAGTCGGCTGAATGAATTTTCACAACAGTTTGATAGACAGGGCCACGTAGTAGCAACGATGCAAGGGGTCGTACAGAGTACGTAATATATGTTGGCCGTGGTCTGATGTGGCGGTTTAAGCTTACCTGGTAAACTTGGAACTAGGTCTTTAGACCTGCATAAGTCATAGAATGGGACTTTGTAGGATGTAGCATTATAAGAAAAATACGAAGATATAAGGGTTGCGGCGGGCTTGGCTCTGCTGGGCGAAGGAGCTGGAGCATCTGATTACGGCTGGAAAGCGTCGGGGATATTACATACAGATTTGCGAGGTATGCACTTATGCAACTGGTAATGAGGGAAATAGTTAATTGGCTCTTGGCGTCTATGATTTCGGGATTTAGCTGCAGCTTATGATCTCACGGATATATGTAGCATCGGCCGAAGGAAGACGGCTGAGAGAAATTTTTTTTTTCAATACATCAGAATTCTAATCTATTATACAAAAATGTCTAAGTTCTAAAAATAAGTCCTTCTCCCTACTTCTGTAGCGCCAACAAGCTGTCGACCATGTCCACAATAGTCTCCTTCAGTGGCCGGAACTTGATGCCCAGCTCAGTAGCAGCCTTGGTAGTATCGAGCTTGTAGATGGGAGGAAGGGGAGCGCCAGTGTCGCCCTTGGGCGTCAGGTCGTGCAGCTCCGGGAACTTTTCCCTGATGATGTCGCAAATCTGCTGGTAGTTGTATGCGGAGTTGGCAATCAGGTAACGCTGTCCAGCGGCCTCTGGCTTTTCGTAGGCCAAAACATGGGCTTCAGCAACTGTAGTCGTATTGTTAGCGAGGTTATGGAGGCAATTATGGACGAAAGTGAAAACTTACGATCGCGGACATCGGCGAATGCCCAGAAAGAAGTATCGGGAACCGCCTTCTCTGAGCCGTTGATGAGTCTGTAGATGTCCCCTGCAGAGGTGTTGAGCGCATTAACGCCGCTGACAGCGTGAGCGACCGGTCCGTACACCATCGGAGGGCAGAGGGTTGCCACCGTGAAGTTGGGCTATAAATAATATATCATTAGTCAACTGAAATAGGCATAAAGCTGGTCCTGTTTAGCTCACCTTCTTCTCCTCAACGTAATCGAATGCAGCGCGCTCAGCGAATGTCTTTGAGGCGAGATATGCCATCACGGGGCTGCTGTTGGCCTGCTCAACAGTGACGGGGCTCCAATCGGCCTCGGTATAAACATATCCAGGGCGCTGGCCTTGCATTGGGTCCAAGACTGAGGCAAAGGAGGAGGTAACAACAACTCTAGAGACTGCCGAGTTGTACTTTTGGGTGGCCTCTAGGATAGAGGTTGTGCCGTTGATGGCAGGCTGCAAAAGCTCCGTCTCGAAATCGACGGCATTCAGGATGAAGGGAGAGGCCGTGTGAATGATCTATACATTGAAAAGAGAATATTAGCTCATTTCCTTTTCAAGTCTTTGGTTGTAGACGTAGAAAGTCCACTTACGCCATCGACCCCTTTGACTGCCTCGTCAAAGGCATTGGGAGCAGCAATGTCGGGAACAATGGCAACGCTGATCTGCTCAGAGTACTTTGCGTGCGTCTTGAGAACTTCGGCTGCAGTCTTGTCTGAGCGCACGGTTCCGCGAACATTGTAGCCCTTTCGCAGGAAAGCCTCGACGACGTGTGCGGCAATGAAGCCTGAAGCACCGGTGACGAGGACAGTTTGGGTCATTTTTACTTTTTTGTAGAACTCTTTTGAGGAAAAGTATTTAATTTGTGAATTGAGGTAAAGCCAAGATAGTATTGAAGACTGTGTGCTTTTGTGTTATTGTGATGCTTTTGAATGCTGATGCTGGTATCTACAAATTTCCATCTCGTTGTCTTTGAAGCTTTCCTTTATAGACTTCCCGCATCTCTCATCATGCTAGCCTGTGTCTTGCCTGTATATCCATTCTTTTGGAGTTGAAAATCTGAACGAGGTGTTTCTTTAACTCCGAATCATGTAATCGCTCAGAGTCCATCGCCATGGCTGATAAATCCCATCATCTTCATCGACAGCGTAGCCGTGATGCCATCCCGAGAGCACCCACTTGGGCGATCAGAGCTCCAACTGTAGCTATCAAGGAACGACAATTGCAAAGAAGAAGGCTTTTACAACGCCGACAACATTTGTCAGCCTTTGTATTGAGTGTCTTGACTTCACCTTGTCTTTCTCAACTTCGGAACAACCCGAAAGCTCTCCCGCGGAGATGGGCCGTTCACATAGTTCAGATAACTCCTTATCGGGATAGTTCCCGTGCTCTATAGACGCTATATGCTTGGGAGATGCAAGAGAACGGCAATTGGACGGGGAATAAGATGGAGGCTTTGACTCTTCTTGTCTTAGTGGCAATATACAGCTTGTTTACGCAGCACCAAGAGTGTAGATCAGGGGCGGACGAAGACGGACTAGCGAGCGAAGCGAATTACGCGAATAGCAGAAGATGGCGAGATCCGGACGAGAACCGGACGAGGCCCGAAGGGATTGATAAGCGTCTATGAACGACACAACGTCATCTTCATTGGCCCTAGAGAACAAAGCAGGTTTAGGTAATAACATGGATGGCCAAGCCTTTCAGCCATATGCCGGCTTAGAAAGCGTTGAAAAACCTGCAGCGAGCGGCTATCGCCGAAGGAGAGGCGGAAGATTTTGCTAAATGGGGCCTAGTATAGATCCTGTCCAATACGCGGAACAGACAGCGGTCAAGATTCTAGCTTAAGCCTAAGAAACGAAACTTTACCTTGAACCCTCAAGCGTTTTGATTGTTAAACAGCTACTAAGATGAACTCGATAGATGTCACCTGACTCTATTTAGAGTTCTGGAGATATCTGCTCCGAGATGCATCTGCCGTTCATCAAGGCCGATGATTTAGCTTGTCGTCAAGTTTGTCAACTGCGTGTGATTGAAGCTGATTGAAGCATCTCCGATGCTAATATGGAGACAGCGATACGTTTGCAAAAACAATATTGAATTGACATATCTTTACCTCGATATAAACATCTTCAAATGCCCTCGTAAACATAAACGCCTTGAATCGAAATACACGGTTCAGTATCTTCTTTTACAACATCCAGCATCGCATCACTTATACCCATCACAAAATGCCTATTGATCAGTACTCTCATTCTTCTCCAATGACGGAGTCAAGATTCATTACCATCTCTATGGACAAGGCACGGCCTTGGTGTTTGTCCATGGCCACCCCGACAACGAAATGACGTTTTCGATGCAAATCGAAGAGTTCGCCAAAGACCACACGGTGATTCTTCCTACCCTTCGAGGATACCCTCCGAGTGATGTTCCGCTGGACCCAGATGCGTACGATGGCAATGTCATGGCGGGCGATTTGGTGGCCCTTTTGGATCACTTGGGGATCGAAAAGGCAGTTTTCGCGGGAGGTGATGTTGGAGGCATTACCGTGCAGAAGCTCGCATTTCTTCACCCAGAGAGATTGCTGGGCCTGGTCATCTTCAACACGCCAATTTTGGGCACCATGATGCACCTCATCCACCACGACCCGGAGCAGCAGGAACTGTCAAAGTACTCACTCAAATACATCAAGCACAACCCGGGAGACGCCTATGATTTGGACTTTGTTGTTCGCACCATAGCCGACCCTAAATACCGCGCCGAGATCAAGGAGTACCTCCAAAACTCTCCAGAGGGGGGAATGTTTTACTTTTTTCGCAAGAACTTTCCAGCGCCACCGTATGGACAAAACATTGATACGTCGGGCATGCACTATAAGATGCCGTGCGTGGTTATATGGGGAATGCAGGAGCCGTATTTCTCGGACAAGATGCTCGACGGCTTCTATAAATGGTTTGACCAGTCGGTTCGAGTGGTTACGCTGCCCCAGGCCGGGCATTGGCCTTGGAGGGAGGACGCGAGAAAAGTGAACTAGCGAGCTGCGATCGTGGCTTACTGCCTTGGAAAGCGGACAGCTTTGAAGATTTGGAGGAAGATGAATGAATGAGCAAGTTGGACAAGAGCGTGTTGTAATATGATTTCTGGGAGGAAGAGAAATTTGAGGACATGGAAGCTAATAAGCCACGAGACAAATTGTGTCCATTATAATGGGTTATATGGAAAAGAAGATTTCGCCAAATTTATACAATGTTTAATGAATATGTAAATGATGTTATTACACATGCGCATTGATGTTGCATTATCCACGGCTAATACTGATCGTAAACGAGTCTGATATACAGATTTGGCCATGTACGACTGAGCAAATCTTGCTCTCGAGTACACGTCTTGAGCTGCTACATTTGACTCACAGAGGCTAATTAACACAAGGAAGATGGTTAAAAGAAGAAATCTAGATTGTAAATTGATAAATTGATACTGTATGGCTCAAAAAATGCTAGACAACCCGCTGTCTGTTTTCCCATGAAGTGACGTTGCTCTCTTGTGCGCCCCGGTAAAAAATGCATGCGTTCCTCCCTTCACATTCTCATATTACTAAAACAAACAGAGTAATGGTAATATTCTTGCTCCCTACTCTCCTCACTTTGCTTTTCTTAAGCAGAAGCGGCCTGAGCCTCCTCGAGTCTCTTCTGCGCGAGTCCGCCCAGCTTCTCGGCGGCAGCGCCCAGGCTGCGGGGGTCAGCGCCCTGGATCATGGCCTGGCCGTTGACGGCAACCTGCTGGCCCTCCTTGAAGAAGAGGAACGTGGGCATGGCGGTGATGCCGTAGCGGGCGGCAATCTTGGTGACGTTGTCGACGTTGACCTTGGCAAAGGCGAGGGTGTTTTCGGCGCTGTGCTTGTCGGCGAGAGACTTGTAGATGGGGGCGATGGCCTTGCAGGGAGGACACCAGTCGGCGTAGAAGTCGACGGCGACGTAGGTGTTTGCGGCGAGGAGAGAGTCGAACTGCTCGGCGGTCTCGACGTGGTGGATGTTGTCGGCGCTCATTTTGGCTGTGATGTGTGTGTGTATATTGGTTAGAAGAAGAAGAAGATTTATCTATTCAGATATTGCTGAACAGACGTTGCTATAGTGCGGCTGTATGTATAGCTGTGCGCGACAGATGCTGCGATGCGATCGATAGATGGAAGGATGGACTTTATATTCTATGCAAGATCAGAGCCGGGCTTTTATGGTGTCAACGGCGATCGCTTTTGCTGGATGGTGCAATGATGAGGGGCGCAATCGCAGGTGGGGAGCAAAAGCGGGCCGCAATAATCCGCAGAAAGAAGATGCCGCAATCGGTGCGTTGAAGTGGCACGGAAGAGAGGATTTGAGGCTGTTTTTATAGGTGATGATTCGGGATGTTTGTTTGCTGTTGTTGGTTATGTTGTTTGTTTGTTTGTTTGTTGGCTGGTTGGCCAGATGCTGTATTGCTGGATTTAGTTGATTGATGCTCAAGAGAAGAACATTTCCAAAAAAGTAGGGCGTCTTGGCTAATATATACTTGGCAGCGAAGACGTGCATTTGGAATAAATGGCGTATGTGGTGTCAGATCATACATTACTACATGTAGGCTATTGCGGCGAATTACAATTACAATTACAATTACAGTTACAGCGCTTTGGTGCGGGCGCTGTAATTCGCTGCAATGGCCTGGAAGCGTGGCGGACAAAATCGGTCTAAAAAGGGTCGGAAGCCACTAGAAACCCCAAGATTCTGCGGCGCTGATTCCAAAGATGCCGTCAGCGAGCAAGAGCGTCATGTGGCTCGAGCTCTGGCAGACGCTCGCACCGCCACACCTTGCCGTAATTGGCATCTACCTGGATAGGAATTATCAGCTATAGGCAAGGCCGGTGACTATGCAGATGAGCAGATGGCGGACTAAAATGAGCTGGCAGATGGTGTTCTGATAGTCTGGTAACCAGAGCTGCTATATTTAGATTGTGGTGTTAGTATTTGACATGTTCCAACTCCAATCAAGTGATTACCAGCCGTAAAATTGAATTCATAAAGGGCAGGCCGCCCAGTACCATTTGAGCTATTTGATCTGGAGACCTATCTTTCGAAGAGGACTGTTAGTTCTAGGATTAGTAAACTAGAGCTAGCCAGGACGCCTAAAGTTGCCTCTCTGTCTTCTCAACACCGAGCATTACAGCAAGGAAGGACTCTGCGAAGCTTGAGCTGTCTGCTCTTCTTCGATTCCTAGTGGTTTACTAAGCTAATCTCCGGTATGTTGGTCATCGACTGACCATCTCACAATAGTATTCTGCAAAGATTTCAGATGCAAAATATCAACATGACACAGTCTTTCATCTTTAGTCCTCCCTAGCCGAGTCCCATTTCACTGTGAATCCATTCGCGTCGCCAGCCTTCCCCATGCTAGCAACACTTTGCGACCGCCTCCGAAGCTGAGACATTCTCCTCATTGGATAGCCCGCCCAAACACCTCCATCTAAACTCCTGTCCCACCGAACCGAATCCACGGGCCCTCGGATCTCCCCGCACCGAACGCCCGAAACAGGGAAAAGGTCCCCTTGTTAGACGTCTTGCGGGCGGTCGCAAAACGTCTCATGGCTCGAGATTGAGTCGCGTTGGCGATACGGTTTGAGTTTGAGTTTCTAATCAGCTCCCCGCCCTGGGTTGCGGATGTCTAACCTTTGCTTCTTTCTCGACGGCAGCGCTTCTAATTGGTCAGAGACGGGCGAATTTTCCCCGCAGCATGGCGACACAACGCGGATGAATTGCGACTTTTGCGTTGATTGACAGCTCTGAGCCCTTGTAAACTGCTGTGTGTGGGGGACGTAGGCTGAGATGATGCTGAGATGTGCGGTTTGAGGAACGAGTTGGGGGCCTATTAGAGGGGTGAGTGTTTTGTGCAAGTATAAAGAGGGAACGAGTTGCTCTGAGCCCGAACCTGATTCTAAGGAACTATAGCAAACAATAATACCACAACTTGATAAATTCGCTTCATTTTTTTTCTTCTTTCAAACACACACTTAAACCTCCAACATGACTGTCGCCAGCGAGTTTGAAGTGGCCAACCAGCAATATGTGGCTGGCTTTGACAAGGCTGACCTTCCAATGCCCCCTGGACGGTATGCTATATATGCTCCCAGCTCCAGCTATGCATGATAGATGTAATTGTTCATATAGATGGCTAACGCATCATAAACACAATGCAGAAAAGTCTTTGTCCTGACATGCATGGACGCTCGCCTTGACCCAGCCAAGTTCCTCGGCCTGGAAGAGGGCCACGCCCACGTCTATCGAAACGCTGGAGGCCGTGCCTCTGAGGCGCTGCGATCCGTGATCATCTCACAGCAGGCCCTAGGAACTCGAGAAGTCGTCGTCATTCACCATGTATGATCTTTGCCCTGATCAATTTTTTTTTTTCGTTCCTCCTCTCTTGCCTTATATTAGATGGACTGTGTTGGCTAATATGCTGTCAAACTAGACCGACTGCGGCATGCTGCTCATCAAAGAGGATGAATTCCGCGATGCTGTCAAGAAGAACACTGGTGAAGACGTCAGTCATATTTCTTTCTTGACTATCAAGGATCTGCAAGAGAGCGTCAAGACCGATGTGGAGATTCTGAAGAAGAATCCTGCGGTGTTGGACGTGCCTATTTCGGGGTACATCTTTGATGTCAAGACGGGCAAAATCAACAAGGTTGTCTAAGATAATTTCACATAAATCAATAATTAATTAATTAATAAATAAATAAATTGCAAATTGCGAGCTCTTTATAAGTAGAGATATTGACAGCTCTCATTCACTGGCTGTTGCAAAATGTGTTGTCTAATAACATGAGCAGTGAAGCCGGTTTTGTTTACTCTGTTCCCAAGTACCTCGTGTGTTGTGCTTGCATGTAATACCTGCTGTACCGAGGCACCTGCTGTGGCTACCTGCGTACTACTTGCCCACCTAGGTACATGTAGGTAGGCGACTGACACGTCACATCACCACATCTTGGAGAGCGGGGTGAATGCATGTAGCACTTACAGGTCAACCTTCGAGGCTCCCTACGAATGAATATCGTCGGGAGAATTCTGCTTTGTTTCCATCCCTCCAAGCTCTCTTCCCTCATCAATCAAGTCAATCACATACAGTCGAGATGGCGTATTGCTACCGCTGCGAAAGGCCGTTTAGGACCCTACTGGCCCTAAACCAGCATACATACGACTCTTCTAAACATCATATGTGTCCCGAGTGCACGGGAGACTTCAAGACGCTGTACGAACTTAGGGAACATTTAGTCGATGAACATGACGGGTGTCCAGAATGCTATGATATATTTGACAGCGAGTCAGATCTCCAAGACCATTTATTCGAGGAGCACAATATGTGCTCTATTTGCAACCAATTCTTCAAATCCCCTTCCAATCTCAAATATGTAAGTTCATTTCATATTCCTGGATATGTATCTCGCGGAAAACCCAACATTGATGATTGCGCTCCAAACTAGCATCAACTCGTTCACCGCGAGAAAACTGTCAAATGTTTTGCGTGCTATCGCATGTTTGTGACCAAATCCGCCATGGTGTTGCACTTGGAAGAGGGAACATGCAAACCCGGCATTGATGTTGATGTTATCGACGATCTCGCGACGGATTGCTACGAATCTCACAAATACCTTGACAATGACGGCGACTACAAATGCCCGACTTGCGCAAAATATTTCAGATTCATGAGCGGACTGTTACAGCATGCGGAAAGCGACAGTTGCGATGAGACGCTGAGGTGGAAACATGGTCCTCTGGCGGTATTTCTCCGTTTTCTCAAGACACGCGTTTGACAAGGATGGAAGTACAATGAACTGAAGTGACATCACAACAATGGGCTTGTTATGTTGGTGGTCCTTCGGTGAAGACTGGTTATGTGAGTTATGAGAGAGGTTTGAGGTTAATCTGGTATTTATTATACGAGTTACGAATTGGCATTGACTTGATGTGAATGGACGGCTGCATATATCATTACCATAGCTAGATACGATTACTTTTCCCCAATCAACGCAACCATCAGGTTCTCATAGTCTCCGCTCAATGACTCTTTCAGCTCCTTGGTCAACGTTTTGTGGTAAAACTTCTGATGTGCCGCCTGCGCCGCGTAAAGCCTTGCCCTATCGCCCCAATACAACCTCAGCACTCGGTAGGTAATAATCTTCTTATTCTGCAGAGTCTTCAGCAGCGGTGCCCGTAATGCGTCTGCGTCAGCCTTCCCACCATCTTCCGTGGCAGAAGTGAGCATCCGCAGTAGCGCGTCTTCCATGTCGCCCCTGAACTCTCTCTCGATGACATCTTGTAGGCTGCGATGGTATTTGTGCTGGTAGGCGATGCTCATAGCTCGCAGCTGGGCGGCATTAGCGCTCGTGAAGATTTGTGCAACGGCAATATCGTTGGTGCCGATGATGCCTTCGGTGGCACGTTGTAGCTCGGTGATTTTATGGTCGATATCTGCGGGTACGACGGGAGCTGCGTCCTCGGCGCGAGTTGCGGAGAGGACCATGCTGTAGAGACGGAAGAGCGTGTCGTCGACGTCGTCTTTGATGGCGGCAAGCAAGTCTTTACCCTTGACATGTCGGTACTCTGCGGCGATGGCTCGAATGTCTGCGTTGGAACGACAGAGAAGAACGTCCATCAGGGCCTCCTCGTCGGTGCCTGCTCTGTCCAATGCCTTATCAAGGGTGTAGACGTCATGATCAAGAGGCCCTCTGATCAAAGCGACCAATGCATCTTCGAAATCTCCCCGGGTCTCACCCTTGACGTCCTTCACCAGGTCGCGCATAAATCGACTTTCGTAGTCATTTCGTAGCTGCTGAAAGGCCCACGGATTTTGGTACTTGTGATTGGCAAAGACGCGGACAAGGGCACGCTCATCACAGCCCATCCCTTTCATGGCCTTTCGAAGAGCTTCTACATCGGCAGATGTGTCTATACGCTGCACCATGAGTTTTTGAGCCGGGTCGTACCCTGGAGAGGCCGGTGTGGGCTGGATATTGTAGCCATATGGCTGCTGGCCAGGGCCTGGAGCATATCCAGGCTGAGGGTGCTGCTGCTGATACTGTTGCTGTGGCGGCTGCTGCTGCTGCTGCTGCCATTGTTGAGGGGGCTGCTATTTCGTGTTAGTATATATGTTGTACATGAATTAACTACCCCTTACTGCAGCGCCATAAGCTTGATGCGAGTATGGTGATTGCGGGACGGGCTGGTGTGTATAGTGCTGACCATACTGAGTCGACTGGTCGTTGTATCCAGACATGTACCCGGGTGCTTGTTGTTGCCCCGGATATTGTTGTCCTGGAGCACCTGCTGGAGGATACGGAGGCTGATAACTTGACGGCTGGCCTTGGTAAGATCCGGCGGGAGCTGATCCGTAGCCATAGAAGGGCTGCTGCCCCGCAGGCTGCCCCGGGATCGGGCCCGGAGGCCCTTGTCCTTGTGGATACTGACCTCCGTAGGGGCCTTGCTGGCCGTATGGCGGATTTTGGGTGTTCATTATATACTTCTTCTGTAGGTTGAGCTGGAGCTGTTGTACGCCTTTTACTAGGGTAGGAGAAGAAACTTCATATTACATGAAAGCATGTCTAGCCTCTTTATAAGAAGAAAGCGGTACTAGCCATCGTCATAAAATCTGCCTTGAGGCCTCACCCGTGCTACAAATGGCATGATGCTGCGAGTGCGACATATTAACTTTCGTTTGGCCTAGGGGCGCTTAAGTGCTAAGTGGAGGACTCTCAATTAGCATCTGCCGAATTTGTATCTGTGAGCTGCTGGATGCCACATCGCTTCTTAAAACGGACATGCGTTATCAACGTTAGGCAGCTTTCACAAGGCAGTACAACTGCGTGTGCGTGTAGACTCGTGCTTTTCTGTACGTACCCTAGATACTGGTGGTGTAGAAAGAGCAACATTAATTACTTGGCACAGGGACGAAGGATGAAGGATTAATTTACATCGTGGAGGGGTCGGGGATGCGGGCGGCCTCTCCAACGCGGCTGCTGAAGGCTGTAGCTGTCTTCATGTTAGTGGTTGGCTGCTATGCGAAGCTGTACCTGCACATGACGGTTAAAGTGTGGCGGGTATCGCGTACTCCCTACAATTAACTCATGTCATGTTCCCTATTGTGTCTCAAAAACACGTTAGTTGTGAAGTGTATCGAAGTGTATCGCTCCTTCAAGCCTTCAAGTAGAATTACACAAGGCATGCACGTAAAATTGCCCAGTAGATCAACGCATCTGTTCAATGTTGCAGCACGCAAAGAATAAGCGTTGAGATGGCGACATGAAAGTGATGAGTCAGCAAGAACAGAGTGCTGGTTGGCTGCTGGAGCTCAAAGTATCGCCAACTTGCATTTCGCTTCCTCCGCTGAGCAGACTGGCGCAAATGCCAATGTAGCAGGTACATGTACCCTTGCCCAAAGTAAGCTTTTTCTGCGGCGCTTTGCCGGCCAGTCTCGAGGCCGTTTCGGAAGAAGATGAAACACATTATGGAGCTTCTGCCCCAGCACAGCGGCACCGACGGAGAGGGAATAAAAAAGGAGAGATAAAAAAAGAAGCCTTTGTTCTAGAAGCTGTGGTTGACTCGTGACAGGACGACGCTGCGTTGCAGGCCCGTAGACGGGTCTTTGGGAGCCTTTGTTCCTGCAGAGACGTGCATTTCATTCTTGGCCCATTACTGGATTAGGCGTGCTGCATCAAATACGAGAGAACAGCTTGCATCCCGTATACTATCTACTGGGACCACGTCATGATGGATACAGCACGTGAAAGCACAATGTCAAACAGGCAATATACGAATATGAATAGTATACGAGTATGGATAGTAGTACATAGATAGTATCAACAGGCATTCCGAGTCTATGCTCGGCTATTATTGCAAGCGTGCCGGCTCGGAACGGCTTGGCAGACGGGGCCACCTGGGAGGCGTTTCTCTGCTGCCGGTGCACCTGAAGCGTTTGACGGGAGCCGAAACCCTTCAGACGAGATTGCGCTGTGCCGCAGCAGCGCTCCGTATGTTGTATGACAGGCGTTGATGTGCATCCCCCGTACAAGTGTAATCTCTACTTTGATTATAACATGTTGCAACTGCTGCATTACCTGCATGCCTGTAGATCAGAGCAGGCGATCGCCAAGATGATAAGACAAAAGCCAAGTTGGAAAAAAGGGGAGTCCTGGCAGGACCGCATGCTCCATGCCATGAGGAGGCGAGGGTGGAGGAAGAGAGACTGGAGGGGGGGGGGACGATCGCGAGACGATCTCTGATGTGGGCTGTGATTGACATTTGACGCTGGGCTGATCACTAGTAGAATCTATTTCTGTGCTGAATTGATGGCATCAAACTTTGAGGCTTTCGTGGTAAAACCATGTCGGTGGGCACGGCAGTCACTAGCATTGAATAATGCACACGCTTTGTTCTCAACTCTCACGTAACAAGTTTAAACCATCTCCAATGTTTACTACCAAGCATTACAACCCAGCTAGCATGAACCTAATCAATTGTTTATATAAACAAAAAGAACAAAAAAAAAAACAATACAAGCTTTCCACCAACTCCCCGGCTGCAAAAATGCAAGCTGCCCAAAACGTCATGATGTGTCCCGGCCTGCCTTTGTTTCACCCACCCAGCTCGTATTCTTTTCCGCGATTCGTATCCTTTGACATTCCCACTCACACGCATTTGCTCCTTGTTCCTAGTGTACGCGCAATACTCTGCTCTCATGCTAAGTTTGCCACTGTCCATCCCTCGTGGTGGTTGGTTGGGGACGCGGGCTCCATCCGCCTAGCTGCTGTTTATGGTGGCTTTAGTGGGGATAGGGCAGCTCCAGGCGTGCCCCAGAAGTCCCAGAAGCCCCAGCAGCCCCAGAGGGTCCCAAAGAGCCCCTGAAGGCTGCGGGATGTTGGGCTGTAAGTCAGCGCAGCGACGGGTGCGTGGCCAATGGCGGCCGGCCAGCGCCCCCCCGGCGCCAGGGGCGATGCGACGCCAGAGACCACCTGGAAGCGACCCCTGGGCCGGTTTCGCGCCTTGGACGGGCGGACCCTTTGCTGGCGTCGCTCCATCTTGGGGAGGTCACTTGGCCTCAGCGCCTTCCGGCGCTTTTGGCTCGCAATTGTACAAGAACCTCGAGCCAGCCTCTCCCATTCATGCGTGTTTCTCGTGACCGAGATCAATGCCACGTTGCTGCACTTGTTCCGTCTCGCTCGTTTCTTCTCGCTCGTTCAACTCGCTTCACCTCCTCAGTTTGGGCTGGCCCACTGGAACCTTTGCAAGGCCAGACTGTCTTTCGCTGAATTCGCCGCCAAACTCTGTTGCAAACGATCTACACGAGATATAGCACAACCTTTTTGCTACCGCCTCGAACAAAACCTACATACCCTACTGCCATACTACGCCTCCCTTGTTCCATTCACAACTCAACCGTTGCTGGCTACTGCAGCTAGTCAATCTACCTTCGGTATCAAGTGCTAGCTTTTTGGCCGGGGGTTGGACCAGCGGAAACCATTGGCTCTTAGTCCGGAGTAGTACGAATACCTACAAGTAGTACTATACATCGTCCTATTTTGCCTATTTGCCCATTGCTCCATTGCTCGGCTTAAAAACTTGTCTCTGCAAATTGGGAATTGGACAGCCCAGCGCCCTCAGTTTCTTTGTCGACAACTCTCCCAAGTGCTGGATTCGACGCTGATTACGACATCATGAACTTCACACGCAAGATTGACCGTGCCATGCAGTGGGCTGGCGAGAAGATGGGCGCCGAGGCCAAGGCCACTCACACCGAAGAGTTCAAAGAGCTCGAGGCCGAGATGGACATTCGACATGAAGGTTTGTGTTTCCCAGCGTCCTAGCCATCAATTGGGCTGCCAGGAGCAGTCGTGGCAAGATTAGACCAGATCAGATCATTTGCTGACCAGAGATTTGCAACCATCTGCAGGCATGGAGCACCTCCTCAAGTCCATGAACATCTACACCAGATGGCTTTCCCGCCATTGCGATGCCCTCGAAGACAGAAGCCGCAGCATGCCGCTCGCCCACCTAGGCAAGACCATGACTGCCCATGCGGCAGAGCTGCCAGACACCGAATACAGCCGCCGCCTGGCGTCCATGGGCAACGCCAACGAACAGCTCGCTGAGCTTCAGACCACCTACTTGGACTGTGCCAATGCCACCTGGATGCAGCACATTGAGCGAAACCTCGCCATGATGAAGGAGTATCAGGTATGTGGTGCCACCCAGAGAAGCACTCAGACACATTAAACGTGACTGCTTACACAAGCTCCCAACAGGCTGCCCGAAAGAAGCTTGAAAACCGCCGACTCGCCTACGATGCCACCATGGGCAAGATGCAAAAAGCCAAAAAGGATGACATCCGCCTCGAAGAGGAGCTGCGTGTCAACAAAACAAAGTTTGACGACAGCACCGAAGATGTCTTGCAGCGCATGCAGGATATTCGAGAGGCAGAGCAGGATACAATTGGCTCTCTGACATCGTTTCTCGACGCCGAGCTGGAGTACCATGAGCGGGCTGCTAACGAGCTGCGCCGAGTCCGAAAGTCTTGGGCTGCTGGCATGGCAGACACCACACGTCCGTCTTCACGGGAAGATTTGGAGCGCGTTTATTCCAACGTGTCCATCCGCACTCAACCTGTCCGAAACACCATCATCAACGAGGCCTATGAGGGCGCCGGTTCATCTCCCGTTTACAAGCTTAGCCGCACCATGACGAGCCGAGAACCTCCTCCGCCTCCACCTCCGCCGGCATCATCCAGACCACCCATGTTGAGATCAGCAACCTATGATGCTAGACAACCGCCCGTGATTCGCGCAAGAGCCGCATCGGCTTCCTTCACTAGAATGAATACGACCAGCAGCGTTCCTGAAAGCAGAGCAGAGGACATCTTTGACGACAACTCAGTATACAGCGGGGATAATACCCCTAGCTGGGGAGAGCGCAGCGTCAGTCCGGCAACGAGCTATGGCAGCCTGCAAACGAACCCTCAATTCCCGGTCGAAGCCAAGAAAGCACCGCCTCCCCCTGTTAATCGAGCCAAGAAGCCGCCGCCACCTCCTGTTCCCAGGAAGCTTTCCACTGTTGGCTACTGAAACAGACTAGAGCCGCAACAAGCATCTTCCATTCTCTCTCTCACACACACTCTCTCTTTTGGGATGACGGCGCGCCGGTATCCATTCTTGTGCCCGAGCACTCCCCTGCAATGAAACGAAACGACATGAGTTAAACTTTTTTATTTTTATTTTTATTGGCCAACTGCATATGAATAAAAAGTTGGCAGCATCACTTTTCATGGAGATGCGCTGAGGTTCAGTTGGCAGGCCGAGAAATAGGAAATACACTATTAGACGGAGGATGGTCATGTACCGCATTATATATGTATTATCAAGGAGTTTTATACACGCCAGGACGCGATTTTCTGGGAAAATTGAATATCAATCTGCAACTTGTAACACTGATTACAGCCGTAATAAGCTTTTTTTTTTTTTTACTACTGCTAGTGCTACAAGGTCCTTTGTGGCTTCAATTGGTGTTCGTATCCTGGCTCGTATCTGGTGGTGTTAAGACAGTATGAAAACAACTGCAGCAACACTGTATTGCACGTGAATTTGGCTAAAGCTTCGAGATGGCTCCTCGCAGCTTCAACACCTTTCAACGCGTGGTAATTATCGACTGAAGCTTCTTCCTCCTCCTCCTTTTATTGCTTTTTCCCTAATTGATTGCTTTGGTATATCTTGATTGATCCTCAGCAAAACAAGAATGGCCACGGAAGACGAAAGATACCGGCAGTCGAGCCAGTTCCGCCTCTGGTCTTTCTCGCCCACCAGCCTGCGAGAGCTTCGAAACAAGACCAACGACCTCGCCAAGCAGCAGATCGCGCCGCGATTCGCAGCCGATGCCCAGCCCGAATTCCTGACCCCTGGCGAAGAGTCAACGCTGGTGCAATTCTTCACCACCGAGCTGATCCGCGCTGCCCAGTTCTGCGAGCTCCCGACCGAGATCCGATCCACGGCCGCCGTCTTCTTTCGCAGATTCTACATTACAAACTCGGTCATGACATACCCTCCCACCGAGCTGTTGAAGACGTCGCTGTTTTTTGGTTGCAAGGCGGAGGGATACTACATCAGGCTGGCCAAGCTGGCCGAAATGTTTCCCAACACGACGAGCGAGCAGATTCTGGCGGGGGAATTCTTGCTCTGCCAGGGCATTCGGTTCGCGTTTGACGTACGACATCCGTTTAGAGCGCTGGAGGGAGCTATTCTGGAATTGAGGAAGCGTCTGCCAGAGGAAGAGGGCAGAATTGCCAAGGCTCACGCGATGGCCAGAGATATTCTCAAGTTCAGCCCTCTGCTAACCGACGCCTATTTTCACTATACGCCTAGCCAGATAATGATGGCTTCTTTATTGATGGTGGATAAGGAGCTTGTCGAAATTCTAATTCCTGCTGGGTCTCGGACTGGGGAGGACGGCGACAAACATATGGGATCAAATGCAGAGATGCGAGAGAAGATTATTAGGACGATTGAGAGCTGCCGCTCCATGATGGAGAAGGAGCCTCCGCAGCGGATGAAAGAGTACTGGGAGACGGTAAGTGTTTGCAACACTAGTGATTATACGATTCGATTTTCCTCTCCCTTCTCGGTACAGTATGCTAACGGCGAAGTAGCCCGAGCTCGTCAAATCTTTGAAGCCTCTGCGAAAGAAGCTACAAAAGTGCAGAGACACGGACAGAGCAGATCTGGTGGCTCTGCAGCGTGCGAGACGCGAGCAAGCAACGACAAAGGTCAAGAAGCCGACAGGAACAGTACAAAGCGACGGCGCTGTCTTTGGGGAGGCGATGGATGCGAGGGACGTGAAGAGGAGGAAGTTGGAGGGTGCCAATGACTTGTTTGGCCCGCCTCTGTGAAGTAACGGGAGACCTGATATCAGCGATGCGCTTGCTATATCACAGCATTGCTCTAGCATGTTCGCTTCTTCTCACGTGCTGTCCGAAAAGGAGAAGTGATGCCTGGCAAATGCTTAGGTTGAATGCTATTACACACGAGAATATACATCGAAATCCCAATGCGATCTACTCCGTGCCAAGCGGACGAGTTGCTCCAGAGTGCGGCTCAATCGAAGGTGGTCAACGCACTGGGGGATGTGTCTCAGCCCTCCCAACCCTCCGCCAAAGTGGAACGTTGCGCGCTAGACAAGGCACCATCATCCATATGAGATGTTGAGGCGGTGATGGGCAGTTTTAGGAAATCAGATGCACAGCTGCATGCCGTCGATACGGATACGGACCAAGCCTAGTCTGGCTTGGTAATGTAGGACTCTGTCCTATTTCTTGTTGCGGCGGGATGGGGCTCCCTTGTCTGTCCGCCTTGCGACGACATCAACATCATTTAGAATTCGGCCCTTCTTTACGACAGTCTTTGGTATAGGCAGAAGAGCTTGACGACTGTGAATTCGTTCTAATTTATACCCAATTTATACCTGAAATCGGTCCCAATTAATGGGACGGAATATATGAATAGCAGATAATATGGGGAGAGCAGATAGGAAGAGGAGAGAATAAGAGTAATGATAGAGAGAGCTACCTCGCGGCATGGCTAGGAGAATAAAAAATGCATAGCATTTGCCGTGTCACCGGCAGTTCACCCTTGGGGAAAATCGCATCATCAGATCATCCATCGTATTCAAACTGTGATCTGATAAAGAGACTCCTGCAGGGAGCAAGCGCCTGTCAGATTGAGATATGCATATATGCACTTATGACCAGAGGGCAAATATAGAGACGCTTATATAAAGTCGAGATGTTTACGAAAGTCTGGTTATAGAAAAGGCTAGTAATAGGTACTGCATACAAACATTGAATCCAGAATCTCGGAGCATCAAGTCTTGATCCCCAGTCATGGGGTGCATGGAGCTGTGACTTGCCTAGGCTGTTCGTGGTAAGCTTGGCCGAGGAACCGTGGGGAGCGGGATGCCGCTACTGAAATCCCATCAATGGCAGAGCTCTGAATAGATTGCAGAGGGACGCTTTGTTTACTAGGTAATAGTACCTTGTTTCGGACTTCAGATGGCTGAGAATATATATAGTGGCTAAAGAGCATTCAGTGTCCCTTCTGTTGTGTCTCCTACCAGGCAGGAATAGTCTTGGATGGCTATAGACTTTGCAATGCTAGAAACTAAAGACAGTGGTTGGTGCAATTGGTTTACAAGGCTTTCCATCAAACACATGGCATTGCCTGTGTGGCTCAGGAAAGAGAGGGTCGTTCTCCAGTTTAATCATCTCCAGGATCATTAATCAATCTGCTCAGGCTAGGGGAGTCTCGGCCATGCTCGGATTTCCGTGGGTTTTCTTCTTCTGGGATGTGGAGATGAGCCGGAAAGAGAAGGTTTGGTTCTTTTGACTCTTTTGCCGATTATTGCATGCTATAAGCATAACTGGTTATGTGCGACTTTTGGATAAGTATGTACTCGTTGTTTTGCCAGGACTTGATTGATACAAGACAAGTGTACGGAAAAGGCTATCCGTGAACGAACTGACACAGTTACAGCACTCTCCGTATATCTATCTGCTCGTATATGCAGAGATTGAAGGGTGGCATTGAGCCGCCGAAAAGCTTTAGGGGAGATAAAACACGCTGCCGTCATGTAGGCGTTATGCTTGTTTGGACGCTTAAATTCAACGCTAATATGCTACGCCGCTCAGCTACTAGGTAGGTAGGGGTAATATTCGTATGTAGCTAGGCTGTTAGAGTGGCGTCTCGACATGGATGGCTGTCATTTTTACAGAGTATCTCTTGAGAGTAGTTGTAGCATGCATTACTCGTAGTTCTGCTGGTATCTCGACACACGGGCCTTTTGTTTAGCAAATAGAGGAGATCGGGCCGCCGGAATAATGTCTTCTGAGTGGCATCTCTAGAGGTTCTCAACTGTTGAGCCGCCTTTAACGCCTAGACACACACGGCACGGTATATAGGTAACTGCACAATATGGGGAAAACGTGGGGAAGAAAATGGCGGTGGGGTGGAGATGATTTGGATAAAAGGAGAGGGGATATTTGCTTTGGCTTTGGCTTTCTCTGTAATTTGTTTTGCTTCTTCTCAGATTTCGGTCAAGGCTTTGCCACATGAGTAGCGCATTTACATACATGTAAGCATACATGTAGATGGAGGAGCAAATACCTATGTAGTAAGCATCATCACACCTTTGTAGTGCAACCAGAGGAATGCAATGTCATTCATTGTACCCTAGTCCTAGTCATCTTCTCCAGCACTGCTTGTGGACTCCCATCTCTGCGGCCCGGACATGGCCACGCCTTCATTGCCCAAATAGGCAAGCTGGATTGAAACGGCAGCTGTGAAGTGATTGATGGATTCTTGGCAACGCCACATTTTCTTGGATTCGAGACGCTCATTGGCGTCCGACAAGATACACGTGATTGTGTAGTATTAATCATGCTCTCTTCCATGCCCCTGTTCTTTCCCCCTTCACCTAGAAGGCTTGAGTGGAAGGAAAAATTGCTTGCTGGAGCCTATCGGGTGTACAGATTAGTAGTGCTGCAGGGAGGTGGTTTATGCAAAATAACACTGATTGATACTCTGTACATGCAATGGTACTCCATGGCGAAAATTGGCGGTATGGTACTCCGTATTCTGGCTACAGTTGACCGGCCGCTATGTTCTCTTCACAGCGCTGCGGCTCCGAGAACCGAAGGTTTGATATAGGGCCGATTGATTCTAGGCCTATCCTGGTCCTCACATCTGTGGATCAACTTGAATCTTTCGAATTGGGCCTATGTCGTAGCCTTGGCCCCTTCAGTAGGTTATGCCGCAGTTAAGCATCACTCATGCGACTAAGCTTATTGACAATGTTAAGCAAGGTTATGATGGACTCATCCAGGGGGTCATTGGCCAGTTTCCTAAGCAGGTAACGTGGATGGACGAGTTTCTGAACCTTGGCTTCCATACTGGTATCTTGTCGAGCGGGCCATGTTTCTTGAGCGGCCTGACCCGGTGACGACGTCCGGAATTTTGATCCGAGAGCAAAATCGCGTCTGGTGAATAAAAGGGGACGATCATGCTCCATTGACGCAAACGTTTGCTCTCTCAACCCCTCCATCTTCTCTTCCCACATTCAAGATGTTGTTCCTATCAGTCCTCACCACCATCGCCGCTGTTGGCGGCGTCAACGCTGCCTCTTCATTTGCTTCGAGTGCGGATGGAAGGTACCAGCTCAGCGCCGCTCAGGCGCCTGTTCTGAATGCCGCCAACCCCGGCATTGACAATTGGAAGTTCACCATCAAGGAGAAGACCGGCAAGAAGCAGACCGTCAAGGGTTTCGGTGCTGCCGTCACCGATTCCACCGTCCTGGCATTCAACAAGCTGTCGGCCTCTGCACGCACTCAGCTGCTCAACGACTTGATGACCCCCTCGGGTATCAACTTCAGCCTTATGCGCCACACCATTGCCAGCTCAGATCTTTCAGCTGACCCGGCATACACCTATGATGACGCCAACGGCAACGTTGATACTAACCTGGCCAATTTCAACTTGGGTGATCGTGGCAATGCCCTGGCCAGCATGTTGGCCACCATGCGCAAGCTTCAGCCTAACCTGACCATCCTTGGAACGCCTTGGTCGCCCCCCGGATGGATGAAGCAAAACGGCAAGCTGATTGGCGGCGGTACCGGCAACAACAAGCTCAACCACGCATACGAGAATGCCTATGCTCAGTACTTTGTCAAGTACATCCAGACATTCGAGAAGGCTGGAGCTCACATCGACGCCATCACAATCCAGAACGAGCCTCTCAACAACAAGGACGACATGCCTACCATGCTTGTCCAGCAGGATGAGTCTGGTGCTTTGATCCGTGACAAGGTCGGCCCTGCTCTTCGAGCTGCTGGTCTGAGCACTCAGGTCTGGGCTTGGGACCACAACCAGGGTAAGCCATCTCCCAGCATCACTCTTTTGAAGCTCCATCGCTGACATGTTACTGTCTAGACGTCTACTCTTACCCTCAGACTGTCATGAACATGGCCAGCCAGTACGTCCAGGCTGCTGCTTGGCACTGCTACGCCGGCAACAACCCCAACAACTGGACTCCTCTCACCCAGTTCCACAACGAGTTCCCCAACAAGGAGCAGTACATGACTGAGTGCTGGACCTCCGTCGGCACCACTGACTGGATCCACAGCTCCAGCTTCAACATGTTCCCTCTCCAGAACTGGGCCAACGGCATCATCGCCTGGACTCTTGGTTCCTACACCGGCGGCGGCCCGGCCCTCTCCGGCGGCGGCAACTGCCACCAGTGCACGGGTCTCGTTACCGTCAGCTCTGATGGCAGCAGCTACAAGAAGGAGATTGACTACTACATGATGGGACAGTTCAGCAAGTACATTCCCAAGGGCGCTGTTGTCGTTGACGGTACCGGAAGCTACCTGTTTGACGACAACTCCGGCATGGAGGCTGTTGGCACTCTTAACCCTGATGGCACCCGCACGGTCGTCATCCAGAACCGCTATAACAAGGAAATCTGGGTCCAGGTCGGCACCGAGTCCGAGTCTCAGACTTGGAATGCCCGTGTTCCTGCTCTGTCTGTTACTAGCTGGATCTTGCCCAAGGCTTAAATTTAGAGAGGAGAGAGAGAGAGAGGGGGGGGGGGGGGGGTAATGGAAATGAATGACTTTATGTTGTATGAATGACAGATTGACAAGAAGCGCTGTATATATATCTAGCTTCGTCAGTACATAAAAATCTAGTATTATGAATAACTAGTTAAATATATATGCACATACATGTGACACAATCTTACACGCCATCAATGTTTCTTCTATGCCGTTGATAGTTGCGCTGGTGAACATCTCATGTATGGACGAGAACAGAATTTAAGCATTTCCAGACGGAAAGAACCTATTCTCTGGCCTTGGTAAGCCGAGATGCTCACGCAGAGTGCTGCCTACATAATCCTTTCGGAAGATGCCCCGACGCTGCAGCTCCGGCACCAGCTTCTCCACCACATCGTCTATTCCCTGTGGCAGATATGGGAACGTAACGACGAAGCCATCAGAGGCCTCTTCCTTTAGCCACCGCTCCCACTCGTCGGCAACGCTCTCTGGTGTGCCCACAAAGGCTAACCCGCCGTATCCTCCAAATCGCTGGGCTAGCTGCCTCACAGTCAACCCTTCTTCCTGTCCCACCCTCACGACGTTCTCTCGGCTTGTAACGCTGGCGTTGTTCTCGCCCAGATCGACAGGCAGAGGCGCATCCGGGTCAAACTTGGAAGCATCTGTGCCGAGGGCAATTGACAAACTGGCAATGGAGCTCTCATAGTTGACGAGGCTGTCGAGCTTGAGTCTCTTCTCTTTGGCGTCTTGTATGGTATCGCCAATGATTACCAAGGCGGCTGGTAGGATGTTAATGTGCTCCCTCTTTCTGCCTGCGGCAACTGCGCGTGCCTTGATGTCTGCATATACCGACTTTGCTGCTTCGATGTTGCCTGGTGCGCAGAAGACTGCCTCGGCTGTTTCGCCAGCCAACTGTCGCCCTGGCTCAGACTGTCCAGCCTGTACGATGACAGGCCACCCCTGAACAGGTCGGGCGATATTCAATGGACCCTTGATCTTGAGCTCGTCTCCCACGTGGTTGAGAGTGTGTATCTTCTCGGGGTCGAGGAATATGCCAGTCTCTTGATTCCGGATGAAAGCGTCATCTGCAAAACTATCCCACAGGCCCGTCACGACGTCGTAAAACTCCTTGGCGCGCTTATACCGATCCGAGTGGTCCATGTGCTCGTCACGACCAAAGTTCTTGGCCGCATCTGGGTTGGACGTCGTCACGATGTTCCAGGCCGCACGACCCCCGCTGAGATGATCAAGGGAGGCAAAGCGCCGCGCAACGTGGTAGGGCTCATCATATGTTGTAGAAGCAGTAGCAGCAAGACCAATTCTCTCAGTTACTGCTGAAAGTGATGCGAGCAGCGTAAATGGTTCAAAAGATGTGACGGTTTGGCTGCGTCTTAGGGCTTCTATAGGCATGTTCAGGACAGCAAGGTGGTCGGCCATGAAGAATGCGTCAAACTTGGCTGCTTCTAGCTTTTGGATAAACGATCTGAGATGGGCTATGTTGAAGTTGGCGTCTGCGTATGCACCTGGATACCGCCATGCGCCAGTATGAAGACTGACGGGTCGCATGAATGCGAACAGATGCAGTTGCTTATTATCCGACATGTTGTTATTTTTTGTTTTGTTTTTTTGAACTGCCTGGGTGAAATCCAAGATAGGTCTGTACAACTACGATAACCCTTTTGATACCTATAGCTATGTATGAGGGGAAATATAGCTATATACAATCTAGCAATGGGATGCGTGTAAGTAAATTAGTGTGCTCGGGACGTTAAATCACGACATCGACAGATGCGGGGCGCGGATCACCCGGCTGTGGGTGGTTTTGAACAAAAGGGTGACTTTATCCCTCTAATAAGGGAAAACGTCAGTTGAACCTGCGCTATCTCTGGAGAATAGAAATGCTCTTACAAATCAACGTTTCTAGCGTAGGAACATGATGGGTAGAGAAGGTCCTATTATCACGCTAGCATATAGAGTACGAGAAGATGCAGCTTAATATCACTGGATATTGACGGCCATTCAACCCGCAGAGGATGATAATAGTTGAAGGATGGAAATTGGAGAAAATAAATGATACAGTAATCACACAGACAAAAGAAAAAGGAATGGAAAAGCCAAAGGGACAAGGATGAGAACCGTTATTCTCCCCCCTCCGTCTTTGGGTCCAGAGAATGCGTTACCTGAAATAGCCAACACACAAACGCAAAATGTGGAGCAAGACAGACATGCTACAAAGCCCACTGGCTTGCTAAGCAAGCTGTGATTAGTCGAGGCAAGCTACAGCTTCAAGATCTCAGTTCTCACATGCAGACCTATAATGGAGGAAGATATACGATATACGATATACTACCCTACTACACGTGGTATTTATGTGATAGATTATATGTAGCCAAGCGAATCGCATGCACCCTTCAACCGGTTCTATACCCTTGTAGATGATATGAGTTTAATAAGATCTAAACAGGCGAGGATTACAATTGTTTTGTGTAAGCCCTCCTCAAGTTCGAGGATTCATACATAAATATATCTAGCACAGGATGCTATCGCTCACGGGATTGTTAGATTGCTACATGCTCTCTGGTTTCATAATATCACAACCATTCCCAGCTACAATCAAGCATAGTTTTGAGATAACAACTTGAAGTTTCATTCATATTATAACGCTGCATGTATGACACATTCAGACAACGCACACCGCTTAGGTATTAGTTGGTACGTGAGAAGGGTATCGGGCACCAGCCGTCTCAAAATTCTTTGCAAGGCCAGTAAGGCTTTCCATGTCTTCCTCGGTGAGATCAATCACCTTTGCATTCTCCTCTACTCTCGCGATCGTGGTGGCGCCGGGAATTGGGATAACGAGAGGCAGCTCTGGATCGGTGCTCATGTTCCTTACCCAGTTGATGGCTAGCTGAGCAGGTGTGCAAGCTTTATTACTGGCAATTGCTTCAACTTGGTGGACAAGCTTGAGGTTGTGCTCGAAAACCTCCCCCTGGAACCGCGGGAAGTGGGCAATAATTCCCAGCTTCTTAACGTCCTCCAGGTTCTTGAATTCGCCAGTGAGCATCTGCGAGTGTTAGCCGCGAAGACAACACGCAAGGCTTGGTGAGCGGGGTCAACGTGGTGATACTTACTCCCTTTCCAATGGGGGAATATGCAATGATGGGGATATCATGCTCCTTGCAAGCAGCTGCAATTCCGTTCTTGAGAATATCTGGTGTAAACAGGCTAAGCTCGACTTCGGCGGCAACAATCTTGGCCACCTTGACAGCTTCCTGGATCGTGTTGACGCCACACTCTGAGAGCATAATGGCGCCAATCTTTCCGGTATCGATGTACTCCCTTTGGATCACTCCAAAGGTAATATCTAGAGGGTAGTTTGCATCTCGCCTGGCACAGCAGAAAGCATCCACCTTCTTCTTGCCCTCCAGCTGGGCCAAGATATTATCCAGTGACCGGCGTATGTTTTCGGGTGATCCGTCAGGCTGGAGCGTCTCCAGTTTTACACCCCCCTTCATTGCCAGAAAGACTTTGTCGGCATCTTCAGGATATTTTGTGAAGTAGTGCTTGATGATGGTCATGGAGTTGTACTCGGGAGTTCCATAGAACTCGCCGCCATTCCACATGGTGAGGCCATTCTCGACGGCGGCCTTCATTGTGGCAAGAGCCTGCTCCAATGGAGGAGGATTGGCGCGCCAAGTAAGGCCTTGCGACCGAATTAGCTCTTGGATGATTCGGCGAGTTATAGATTTTGACAGCTAGCCGAATTGCCACTTACCCATAAGGCCAAATCCAATGGGACCAACCTCCTTGTCGAGAAACTTGACCATGTTGCTGGGAATAGGAGAAATCTCTTCTTTATGGGGATCAAATTAGCCGACTGTAAGAGATGTTGTTATTTATACGACTGTTGAATTGCAATGTTCCAATCGCAAGTCGTGGACCTGAAATTGGCTTTTCCTAAGCCTTTATATCTCGATCAACGGCCAACTTGTATGCGGACTTATTAGACGCTGCCGGAGTTTACCATAGAACGGCACAGTAGCTAACCCCGAGGACTTGGCTGCTACCTGGTGATGTGGCCTGTGTCTCTTCTCCTTTTGTCCAAGGGTGAGCTATTCAGAGATTTACTTGATCCGCCCCTCTCCCGTCCCTAACGAAACCTGAGTCGCATCGCGTACGGCAGCAATTTTTTAACTAACCCCGCCTCGGCTCTACTTCTCCACCGCCACAGCTTGTATACACGCCATGCAGTCTTCGCACAAACAAGCCCTTTTCTGTACTCCCTAGACGGTCCTGGTGGAGGAATCGGCTGCTCGGCGCGGCAGTGGCACAGACTCCGTTTGTCGCCATGGAATGTTTCAGCGGTGGATTCTGCGCCAAATCCTGGAAGCAGTCCGGAACGCTAACCCCATCAAGAACATGTTTCTGTTATAGGTCACTTCATAGACATCATTTCATAAGCTGCTTGGTGTTAGGTGTCATGTATCAGCAAGCGCGCACGCCCTCAACGTTCGTCCAAGTCCATTCGCTCCGCGAGCATGCGACGGTAGCTCGGGCATTGGAAAATTTATCAAGTGCGAAGGCCGATTATTCAATAAAATTCGATTTTCCCCCCCTTATCTCCTTCCGAAGTAGACGCACATTAAAGACCAGTTTACTTTGGTGAAATAAAGCTTTGACCAGCTGTTTTCCTCGTGTCTCTCACTATTGCTTTCGTATCCTGGTCATCTAAATACATGACGCCACGTAATAAAGAATTCACACAAAGGTCTGAGCGAGTAGTTTCCAAACTAATTCCAATAGCAAATGTGTAGAACTCACATAAATATACGAGAATCCACCATCTTCTTTACAGAATACTAGGTCTCGTCGGGACTCGGTACACACTAATAATTTCCGTAAAGAAATAGAGGGGTTTATAAGAATAAAGGCCAAGTTCTTCTATGGCAAAGATATGTACGTGATTAAAAGCCAACATTTTTGTGCTAATGCCCCATTCTATGTCTCCAGGCGGCCTCAGCTCTTCACGCCGAAGTTAAGTGTAGCATCACACTTTCGCCTTCGTCCAGTTGCGCAGAAACTTGGTCGCTTACAGTTCCCAAGCTCTTATTGTTCCAAATATCCTGGACGTTGAACTGTCCAGATATGCCCAAATCATCCCAAGTAGCCGTCACTGTCTGAACACCACTGGTTTGCGTATTGAAGCCGCCTTGGCCATTGTCTGGACCAAGGTTCACAAGAACAACAACAGCCTCGCCAGACGGAGATGGGCCTGCAATCCAAGCCTGGAGCTGAGCCGCATTTTGACCTCCCGAGCCGGGATTCCGGGGCTGCATCGGGAATTGAGCAGTGAAATCAGCAACCTCGAGTGCCTGAGAGTTGGTGAGGAGACTCTTTCCAAAGTCATCCAGCGTGGTCATGTCATTGCCAATGATGAGGTTGGCGCCGGCTCCAATCCAGTGAGTAAAAACAGTAGTGCGCTGGCCGTTGCTAAGGCCGGAGATGTTCTCTGGGTTCCCGGAAAACAGGTTGTCCAGGTCCGGGTAGATGTTCAACTCGTCAAAGAACTGCAGGCCAGCAATGATCCATTGGCGGTAGTTCTCAATAGCGCGCTGAACGATGCCCCAGTTTACCAAGGTGGTTGATCCCGAGTTGTTGAGATCCTGATCAGTTCGCATGGAGTCGGCGTTGCTGTTCCAGATATCGAAATATTTTTGGGTGCGATCCAGTTTCCAGGAGATGTCTAGGCGGATCTGGTTGCCATTGTTCTTGATAGCGTTGTGCCATGCAATGACAGTGCCGCTCTGATCAGTTGGTAGGCTTTGGCCGTTGTCAGGAGAGCCTGGCGTGACGAAGTCGAGCTTCACAAAGTCAACGCCCCTTGTTGATAAAATTAGCATAAGAGCTCTCATCTTCCTTTCAAAACGGCATAGAGAACTTACCACGAAGCAAAAAGGTTGACCACAGAGTTGTGCCAAGCCTGCGTCTCCGGTCTTGTATAATCGAATACGCACCGAGCCAAGCCCTCGTTTCCGGTGCAGACCTCGCCAATAGTGGTCTCAGTGCCGAGGATGGTCTTATTTGCATCATTAATGAAGGCTCCAGGAACGACATACACGCCCATCTTCAGCCCCTGAGAATGGAGAGAGCTGGCCAGCGAAGGAATGTCGAAAACAGTGTCGTCGTATATAAGGCGGCCAAAGTCGTCTCCGTGGTCGCCAACTGACCAGCCAGAGTCCAAGCTGCAGGTGTCATACTGGCCATTGAAGGGAGTAGAGACCAAGACGCTGCACTGGGTCAAAACATGTGCTTGATCAAACTTGAATCCTGGAGCTGCGCTGGGATTTGCCTGTAGGGCGAAAGAATTCCAGCCTCTAGCTGGGCTCTTGAAGCCATTAGGAGTTTGAGCATAGCTGATGACTTTCAAGGGCGTCGCAGCAGAAGCCGCTGGAGCTGCCGTGACCCCAGCAATGCCCAGCCCAAGGGAGAGTAGTTCAAGGTGAATCATCGTGGATTTAGGCAGAAGGGTGAGGAGATTGTCTCCCGGAATGTTCAAGCTGCCTAGATGGAGGGAGCCGTTGTTATATAATCCGGCTCATTAAAGCTCTCGATTAGAATATTCATGTGGAGTAGCAAGGTTCAGGAAGAGCTCCTCAAAACTGTCGCTATGCATTTGTCTTCTTATGGTGATTATATCATAGGATATACTGTTTCTGGCCAATATGCTTTGCCGCCTATGGAGCATCTGTGGCTCTTCTCACGTCGCCAAGCTTCAACAGCTGTGTAGCGTAAGCGCTATTATGATGCGAACGCGAGCTATCTCCCTGTACTTAGCCCCCGAACATCTTCCCGGCCCAATCGAAATGGAGAGATCGACAGTTTTCTTCCCATTACGGCACTTCGGACTGACTGCTAAGACAGCTTTTCGTCTCGGCGGCGTCTTTTAAAGGGCGCTGTGTGCCCCCAGTCTAGCTTCTTACCGCAGCTTGTGATGTTGCGGAATACTCCGTATTACAAAATTCAAAAATTGTATCGACATTCTGTTAAACTTGGATTCTGTTTAATAATTTGTTTTGTATGTCACCGCACCGTCAATGTGACGACACTGGTAAAACAATTCTGCGGAAAATAAACGGTATATCGGTTCGCGTCCCCGCGAAGATTGTTTCCAGTTGCCTATACTGTTATAGCGGCAATGTGCAACGCCAAATTCAGAAATGAACTCTGCCTCTTTTTTTGAGCTCTTCTGCATTAGCCTAAATACCTTCCAATGCTCCATTTGAGGTGCTGCGTTTATGGATGCAGAGAATGTTCACCAAGATTGAAAACATCTGCAATGGGCTTCTCCTGCGCAATCTACGCGATCTATGTTGAGCAAGGAGCGCTATAAATTCGGCCGTTGTCAAACTAAGCTTACAGCTCTCAGGGACGTGATTAGTCTCGTCAGCTTAATGCTGCGGGCCTGTAGCCAAATCGTATGTTACCTCCACATGAAATGGCATAATGCTAAGACATTGCATTAAGTGTCGAAATTTGCATCATCAGAACTGTTTTCTGGAAACGAGTTCCGTTTGCGAGCTGTCATATTCACGGAAATGCTCAGTAGTATGTAAAATCAAGAGACACGATCAAGGCTCATCCGGCGCTGCGCTGTTTCCGACGCCACCGAGATATCCGGTTTGTTCCTGGCAAAGCAAAAATATTAGAGCGAGTTAGGTTCATAAGTATTATTGTATTGCACTTTCTATGAAGAATGTCAGACTATATACATATTTATTGACAGTAGGTATTTATTTCATGAGGAATCATTGGTAAGCGGAATGTTTAATTCTTTTTTCCTCTGCCATTGGGCTTATATCCATCGGTTCCCAAATAGGGATGTGCCAGCGAGCGTGAAGTCATTACTTTTAGATACGTAATATTCGCATCCTGTCTCCGTATTCTACTGGCGGGTACAGAAAATGTTCGTTCTAGTACAGTGAATAGTTGGAGGAATTTATCGTGATAAGACTTGATTCACGTGTTGTGAATCATGATTGTATTCCACTCCCTGCATTGTGACCTCTTTACTGATGTTTTATAACCCTGTTGCGGGAGACACTCGGTAGGCTCGGTTCGGACCGTTTCTTGATACGCCACACCTTGCGCTTTGACTATAAGTAGTTGGACGATATGCATTACAAACTAGTGCACGGTAGGTACTTCTTTCGGTGAAAGTATTTTTAGGCATAGATTAAATAAAGGTATAACAGAATAGTACGTCGTTGTGACGAGAAAACGCTTTGTGAGAAGATCATACGTTTGGCCATAATTGCTTGAACAACGGGTTTCGGCTAACCTGTCGGCTCAAAGTCTACTGAAATGTAGACTTCTGCTTCTTTCTGTTTCAGATACTCCGTACTAGGGCAGTGATTAAGAATAGTTGGACATCTTAAGGCCAGATTTAATGTTTCTTGTGATCTTTAAGCTTACGTATTGGGAATACAATGTCGAAAGAGCGGACGGAGTTTTAAGGAGTACATGTGCACACAGAAACTGACTCCAATTTGCCAGGCCCACGCCCAGTGTTGCACATCGTGAGTGTTATGCATTGGTGGTGGGGTTCCCGCGCGCTTATAGTCCGACTTGGCGGGCATTGGTTCTGCCTGTTATCATGGCTTACGCGGGCTTTAAAGTGACATCTCGACGCTCACGAAACTCGCACATGCCGTGTTCTGTAACTCGGATGTTGCTCGGAACTTGAAAGACTATGAAGCCGGTTGTTGATCAATCCACGCGCCGGCTGACGTATTCAAGCACTTGAGAATTAGAAACTGTCTGACGCTGTAGGTAAGAGTCTCTTGTAGCCACTTGATTGACATTCATTGATGCTAGGTACTACAACTGCTGCAATATCATCCTATAATTTAAAGGAAGACTAATACACAATATGCGCAATAATGCTCCACTTTGTGAATACTCTGTAGCAGTAATGCTTAGCTTCCCAAAAGAGTCATTCGCATTAATTGCGAAAGCTCAAAATCGAGAGATAGCTATCTCCGAGAGTCGATACCTATTTCCGCCATTGTTTATTTCTCAGCATTAATAAGGGTGCATTCGGTTACATTTCGGTTTGTAAAATCCGTGGAAACTAATCAGCCTTGTGAACCTCGTCGTTAATCCATGTGGAAACTCTTACGAGATGATTGGTATATCATAACTAATACAAGGGAACACAACCTCTCCGCAAAGGCCCCTGAATATTAATTTATGTAAGCGGGCATTGTTAAAGTTCCATGTAAGCTTCTACAGAACGGAGATTTTATTACTGGTTAGAAAATAAGCTTGTGAGGATCTCTTTCCCCACTCCGCAGCTCCGCAACCTCCAGAACAGGGTTAATGATGGTGTTTGGTATGGTTACATTTTATGCCATGATGCAGTAGGGAATATTCATATACACCTAGATGTAGAGATAAATAGTATCTATATATATATAATGTTTAACCATGCAAAAGTTATTAACTACAGACAGCAGTGAAGTTTGCCATTTCTTCGAGTTTAAACATTATTATATATTCACAACTGTTACTTTCTCTCCGACACTTGGATTCAAAATGCCGAGCAAGAGTGTAAGTCCTACTCATGTCTTTCTCTCGAGACCGACTCTATATCGGCTTCTTACATGACTAGACCTTCCATCACGAGACGCCAGTTCTGGTAGTTGGCGGAGGCCCTGTGGGGTTAATTCTCTCCCTCCAGCTTGCTCGCTTTGGCATCAATTGTATGCTGGCCGAACGCAATTTGGATACGACAAAATGGCCTAAAATGGATTGCACCAATTGTCGCAGCATGGAATTATTCAAGCGCTTGGGGATAGCCAGTGGTTTTCGAGAAATAGGTTAGTCTTTCCAACAGCAAAGGTTACACCTTCATGCATCTTAATGTTAAATATAGCCGTCCCACCGAAATACTCTTTTGATGTAATTTATACTACGGGGCTATCAGATGATGGAGAAGAAGTAGCAAGATGGGTAAGTCGAGTTTACAACTCACTTCTCGTTTCTTGTGATTGAACCTCAAACCAACTGCGAAAAATATTAGAAACTGGATTCCGTTGATGCTTGGCGTCAACGGATTAACGAGCAGAATGATGGTTCACTTCCACGAGAGCCATATCAGCGATGCTCTCAGGCTGTCCTCGAAGCGTGGCTCAAACCTCGAATTCAAGATGAGGAAATTATTGACGAACATTTTGGTCTCAAATTTGAGTCATTCACGGAGACAGATGATGGAGTAGAGTCAATTCTCACCGACGTGACTACTGGCGATCAGCACATTGTTCATAGCAAATATCTCGTGGGCTGTGATGGGGCGGGTAGCCGTGTTCGTCGATCAGCAGGAATTGACCTTATTGGTGGACCTGTGTGAGTGTTTTTGAGCATTTCAATCCTTTGGTTCATCTCACTGATGATTTTTCTTTTCTAATGAGCACAGTCCCGCGGCCATGATGTTGATCCATTTCAAATCTCGAGATCTTACCAAACTGCACAAATTGGGGCAGTTTTGGCATATAGCGTTTGCAAATGGAAGCTTCCTGATTTCTCAAGATGAGATAGACACTTGGACGTTACATGTTCCAATTGCCATCGGTGCTGATTGGGAAAAGATTGACCCGATAGAAGCTATATATAGAGGCTTAGGCACTCCATCAACGCCATATCCTATCAAAGTAGACAAAATCCTTGTTAAAAGCGCTTGGAGGCCAAACATTTTCATAGCAGAGAGATATGCTTCTACCAGCCGGCGGATCTTTCTTGCAGGCGATTCGGCACATCAAAACATTCCCGCAGGGGGCTACGGGATGAACACCGGCATTGGTGATAGCTTCGACCTTGGCTGGAAAATCGCCGCTACTTTGAAGGGATACGGTGGGAAAGCTCTCTTGGAGTCTTACGAACTAGAGCGTCTACCTGTTGCAACGCGGAATATTGATCAGTCGGGTGCCTTTTGGGAAGTATGGCGGCAGATTTGGGACTGGAGCACCGAAGCTGACGTAGCAGTCCTTTTATCACAGAGCAAGGAAGGGAAAGCGCTCAAAGGTAAGATGGCAAATTGGATTTTGACAAATAATCTTGAGAACAAAGCTCATGGTATCGAGCTGGGCTACCGCTACAACGCATCTCCTATTGTTGTTCCTGATACCGAGGTTGCAGAACCCAGATGGGATCTCGATCATTACATTCCATCGACTTGGCCAGGAGCTCGACCACCACATGTGTTTCTTTCAGATGGACACACTAGCATCTTTGACTTATTTGGACAAGGCTACACCATTGTTGACTTTTCTGAGGAGGGTAAATGGGCAGACGCTTTTGTTGATGCCGCTCTACAGCTCAAAGTGCCTCTACACAAAGTTCACTTACCAAAAGAGAAGCACGTGCAGGCGATCTGGGGGCGCGGTGCAGTTCTTGTGAGGCCTGATGATCATGTGGCATGGAGAGCTCCTCTCGGCGATAAGACGCCTGTGGTAGAGGCGATGGATGTTCTAAAGATTGCGGTAGGGCAGACATCAAATACGGAAGTTGGAGCAGCAATTGAGTACAAAAGTAAGGTACTGGGGGATATTTACAAGAAAGGATTTTCAGGAACAGTTGGAAACACGAACCAAGATGAGGTAGCCATGAAAGCTGCGTTTCAGAAATAGGGAGGAGAGGGTGACAACTATGGCGTGGTGGAATCTATAAGTGGGGGACTGCGCGTAATGAGTGGCAAGACAATAATCTAGGTAAATAAATATATTGTTTTCAGTCATTTTTACATTTTAGGCTTTGATGGGAATGAATGTTTTATATATTGAATGTCTGAGTAAACGAGCCACTCGGCAATGCAGCATAGAAGCATAGAACATCACTAGCACACACGGGGGTTCGAGTGATCTTGAATTTTGCGTATAACATTGATGTGCTAAGCTATTAATTTAAAGATAATAATGCCATGCCTCAGTGAGTAGCCTGGCTCCTCACCATATGCGTTGCTAGCCAAATAGCCTTGCATTTCGGCACCTCACTCATAGCAACTCTACTACTACCTGTTGGTTCATAGAGCTGAATGGTGGATGCAAGCCTGCTCAACCATGTCCACAACAAGTGTAAACTGTTTCATATCCCAAGGCAGGCATTGGATGATTCTATCCAACTTTGCTGCTATCAACTCGCTGCTTTCTTTGTGTTGAAAGATTCTTCTCCCAAACATTCCCTCGTTTTTTTTTAAAACGCCATGCCGAGTTGTAAAATATCACAGCCACCAACGCCCATAAACTCCATGATGTATTGCATTCGACGCTTTGAAAAAAAGCCATTTCATAGACACGGCTCTTGCTCGCCCCAATCACGCTGATATTACATCCCTCTAGCCGGACTGAAACAGGGTATCTTCGTCACGCAGGTACTCGCCGCAGTCGGCCTGTCGGAAGCAAACAACACCGGTAGGGTCGAGTCTTCTGCTCTCCGCAGTGCTGCGAGCGCTGACGCCGAAGCCCAGAGGAACATCGTCCATGGTGTAGACAACCAGACCCTGGTGCTCGGGGCAGTCCTCTGAGAAGCGGCCGACGTGCGCCTTGACGATGTTTCCGCCGTAGAGGAAGGGCATGACTCCGTTGGGGCGGATCCAGAGCTTGTGCCGTGCGTGCTCGGCGAGGATCGGAAGGGCCGTGATGTGGATTCGGAATTTGCCCGACTTGGTGAATTTGCCTGTTCGTTGCGCACTCGAGATTAGTGTCTGCTTTGTTGTTTCTTTTCTGCTGCTCACATGACAAAACATCACGCAGAGAGCAATGCACACATCAAATCACATACCGAGGCAGGTTCCTAGGGAGAGCAGGTTGTCACGGGCAATTGACGTTGCCAGATTGGCCATGGAGAGTCGAACGACGTAGACTCGGTTCTGCGACAGACGGAAGACGTTGCGATCGCCGTCCTCTTGAGGCGCGATGATGTTCTTGAGCGAGGCGCCGGTGTACTCGGCCAGCTTCTTGAAGACGGCTTGCGTCTCTTCTTCGGTGAGAGGACGCATGTTGAATTTCGCGGATCGGTAATTGGCGTCTTGGTGCAGAGAGAGTGGCCAATGTGGAGGAAGATTTGACCTACAGAAAAATGTCGAGGCCCAGAAGATTTTCAGGACCGATAAGGGAAATTTCCGATAAGAGCTGGAGGCGCTGGTTTTGGCTGCAGGGCTAGCAGGAAAAGTACTTCTTCACCAAATCTGTAGTTCGCAGTGACTTTACGCGCTAACGCTGCCAACTGCGCGCCGTGATTGGACGCCGGCCTACAGGTGCCTTTCCTTCGTGTACTCATCTTGAATTCTTCAACGGTCGTCATTTCTTGGTGTGTCACAATCAAGTCCGGTTGATCATTTCATCCCCTTCGTTTCTGCTACTAGTAGGCCAAGTAATGCAAGAAACCAAAGAACATGTACCAGATACCTCATCTCCACCTAATGAACAAAGCTCAGCAGTAGTGCCAGTATCTGCTTCTCCACCGTCGATATTCTGGCCAATCGCACTATTTACTATTCTACTGGCTACAGTTCCATCTTTCAAGTGCCCATTATAATTTTTGGATTGTTGATGCTGAGGCCTTTGAACATTCTACTGCTTTGCATACTTATGAAGCTGGCTATGCTGACATAATTGATTTCGATGGAACATTGTCCGTCCCTCGGTCATATTCTGCAGCGAACGATCTGGAGCAACATTCAGCAACTAGTATCAATCAGGGCTGGAAGATACCAGAGTCTATGGCTTTCCAAAGTATGCTCAACGATGTACGACTCGAGTCCATGATTAAGCAGCGCAGTGTAATGGTAATGAGTCTGAGTCGGCAGAGTAAAAGAAGTGTTATCATATTACCGCCCTGTCCGTTGCCTAATTCTAAAGTATTTGAGACCAGAGCGCTAGAAATGAGAACAAGAGCAGCTGAAAACTTATACTATACTGCCGTCTGAACGATTGTAGTGAGAGCAGGATCATGCATGCCAGCCTCATCACGTAATACTGCCTGAAATTCTTCACGGCTAAGCCGCCGTCCATGCATCTTCTCCTTCTGCCATACGCACTTCAATGCCCTTTTCAGATCTTCTCGCAGCATACGCCTCTGGATCCAGTCTCTGTGGATTGCATCACGCGTTTCGGACCCTACTAGAAAGAGGGACTTGTCGATCCAGTGATAGCGGACTTTTGATTGCTGCAGTCGATAGGCAATCTGCAAGTACGACGAGACCCAATTTTGAACCTTATCGTCAGGCAGCTTCTCATTCTGGCAGCGGAAATGATACAGGCGAATAGCGTAAAACTCACATACTGCAGCATCAATCTGAAAGTGTAACCGAGAATAGCCGTCATCATCTATATCATCGCGATGAGCGATTCGAAAGAAAGATCGGTATTTCTGTAATGAACCATCTGTGTAAGAAACTATCTTCTCACTTCTCTTTGCAAAGTATACGTTTCTTTACCTCTTCGTGTGCTTCTATATCTTTCTCGATGCTTTGGTAGTCACCAACTCCATTCCAGAACAGCTGATTCAACCAATGATAGAGTCTGTGCTGATCTTGGTAGACTCTGGCACATTCTGAACTTTCGACATCGTAGGCAAGCTCGCAGTACGGGTACTCATCTCCATGGTTCAACTCTAAAAAATTGTGAGCCATCTGCTGTATGTGATGCATACGATCCTTCTCATAGCAGAAGTCGGAAAGCTCTCCTCCATAGCCAAAGATATTCAACTGCACGTCCAAGTTGGCAATCATACACAAGATTTTCATCGCCATACTTATTCTCGCTGCGCTGTTCTCTTTGGATGACTGCATAGCCATGCTAGCATTAGGTGGACCGCAAACCTCATCTAGCAGATATGCTCGCGAGTACCTATATACCTTGTTGCTCAGCTCATGGCGTTGGATGCGACCGATTGCAGAGTCGCTTTCCATTGTGAACAAAGCCAAGAACCAAAAGGATATCATGACTTCCATGATTTCGCTATTTTGTCCCTCCAACTGCTTTTGCAAAAGCACAAGTCCTTTGTGTAAGTGGGCTGTGCTCAGCTGCAAGGCGCTGGCATCTTGTGTATCTCGTGATAAGCCCCGAAGTGAAATTGCCAAGATGAGATGTAGTATCATGTTGCTATTAGTAGCGGCAGTAAGATAAATAGAATACTCTGACCATAGAAATCCCTTGATACTTCGAAAGCATGAAAAGTGGCTTCGATAATAATCCAAAGCCTTTCTCTCGATCTGGTTAAGATTGAGAGCGTCGGCCAGCTCGTAGGACATTTTGGGCGATAGCAGGGTTGCGGTCTGCTGTAATTTGAAATATTCCTTCAAACACCTGCGAGGTAATAACGGCTCTGTGTACGTGTAAAAAGGTTGAGTCAAAGTATCCAATGAACCGCTATTAAAACTTCTAGAAGTATTCAACCATGAAGGCTGTAAGTACACATCTGTGGGCTCGGCAATCAAGGATTGTGCGGGAAATGATGGTTTCGCCAAGAAGGTATTTCCCTCTTCGTGGGAATTGGGGTTCTCGACAAGACCATCTAGCATACGACTGAAACTATTATCAAATGCTTGGCGAAGGGGACTGGCTATTGACCCGGCCGCCGTTACCGATGCCGCCGTGAGCTGGTTGGCTATTTCTTCCCCTGGTGATGTAATGGCAGCATCCGTACCAGCACTCCCGGATATAGGCTCCATAAACCCCAATGAGCGAGCGCCATCTGTTATGTCTGCAGTCGATCTAACGATATCGAGATTCACTGAGTTGTCAAGTTGTGGGATAGATGCGCTATTAGTCCTAACGGCTGATGATGGTTGACGGTCTGGGGTGATTTGTTGGATATTCGGCAAGATCTTCGGTGGCTCCCAACGTAGGATGTTTCTGGATTTAACAGGACCATGCCCACGCCTGCGGATTTTGAGCGGAATTGGACGCTCAGGCTTGTGGCAAGGCAGGCCTAGAGAGGAGCACCTCCCACAAGCAGGCTGCTTCTCATCACACTTTACGCGCCTTGCTCTGCAGTTGATACAGCCTATGCGCAGACTGTTTGTGAGTCTATACATGCCATCTCTCGGCTTAAATGTTGCTCTCACCATTTCTTGACCTCTTCAACTTCGTCTGTGGCTTTTCAGCCACATCATCTCCAGTCCCGGTTGTCATGTCTGAGTCAGTTGTACGATAAACCTGTCGGGTTGCTCTAATTTCGGAAAAAATATTGATTCAGTGAAGGGAGGCGGGGTGTGGGCTATTTCATACAATTACATGTATGGAAGAAGCAGCCACTCATGAGGATGACTTCAATGCTTTGAGGCTGATATCATATAAGAGTCAAACCTACCTTGCGGATCCCTGTCTGCATGTTTAGTAGCGATGTGGAGGCCCTGGAATTAGTCTGACATGGGGAAGGGATATTCTGACGAATAAGCTTCGTGCGTATTAATCTGACATTGAAATCTGGACATCGGTAGATGAAAGTTGGATGCATGGCTGACCCACGCCAAAAAGAAAAACAAGAAAGAAAAAGACTCAATATATGATGTATGGCAACTAGAAAGAAATTTCAGAATGCTAACCGAGATGCGAACAGGAATTGAAGACAGCACTAAGAGGCTGTGCTGATGCATGCTATTGGAACACGCTAAACTGGGTTGCAGGTTTTGGTGGCAGTTGATACTGTAATTCTATAAGTCTCTGTAGGGTTGCCGCTAACGCCGCTATTGTGTGTATCGGTAGTTTCATGTTTCTGAACGAGTAGTCGTTTGAAGTTGATAATGATAGTCGTAATGGCGGCCTATCAATGGCTTATGCCTAATACAGAATATTAAATCTGCTTGTTACTAGAATTGAGGTGTACTCTAGACAACCTGGAATACTCTAAAGAAAGAAAACACTTGATTCACTTCACACCTTCTGCCAGCAGGCTAGGTGGCCTCGAGATATATCTTGTTGGGTCTTATAAAACTGTGAAAAGTCCCAATAGTTCTAATGGTAAAGCTGGCTAACAAACCGAGACTAAAATTAAGCATAATACTAGCAATCAGACGGTTTTTTATAATATATATAAAGTATCCATATCTGGCCGTACTTATCTCCATTCATACAATTGTATCAGTGTTGAGAGGCAAATGCAGCTGCGTATAGATCCATTTCTGCAACATATCCGTTTGTTCTCGTGGGTTCCCAGCCCAACAATTGCTTCGCTCGCGATGATGACCCACGCAAAGTTGAACTCATGGCTTCTGCAAACAAATCATCTCCACTTCCAACCAGGGTACACTTTCCTTTATACCCCCAGCTAGAAGCCATGGCCGCAAAGATGTCGGACATACTCTCTTGGCTAGTAATTAGATCGAACACAGGGTAAATAGAACCACTGTTAACGAGTGATAGATTCTCAATAGCCTTCTGAAAGCCAGTTGCCACGTCATCCACATGAATGAGGGCTGGCCTAGAATCGGCCTCTAGAGGGACGTTGATTGATTCTGAGCTACCACTTCGAGATGCTTCAAGAAGTGGAAGGATAAATGGAGTCCAGATAGTATTCTCATAGCCATAGATCAACGCTGGTCTCAATACAGCAACATCAAGGACATCAGAAGAAGACAAGATGGAGTTTTCAAGACCAACCCTCCACGCAACTAGGGCTCTTGGAGGCGCAACGGCAGTGGGACCGACAATATCGAGATCGCTTAGTGACGTATTGCTAGATCCATGGACCCAAGTACCCGAGCAGTAAATGAATCCGAGCTTAGGACCTCTGATACCAGCAGCGACGTAACTATCCAGGCGCTCTTGGCTGATCTCCTTGGCATGGCTGAGAAACTTGGCTGTGTCTTGATTGGCCCCAGCAACATCGACAATTACTTCGACATGGTGGTCGCGGATAGCATCCATGTAAGCCTTGGGCGCATTTACTGGATCGGGACAGATGATGGGTATAACTTCGGCGAGAGCCAGTGTCTTGGCCTTGGCCTCAGAACGAGCGATGCCATATACCCTATGCTGGCCGCTGCGTACCAACGTTTCGGCGAGCCTCTTGCCGACGTAACCAGTGGCTCCGAGAAGAAGAACTTTGGTCATTTTGAGGAGAAAAAAAGAATCTCAAGGGGTTTCAAAGTTTATTGTTGGCGCCTTGTAAGAATGTTTCGTTGCTAAACTGACGATTTCGTTTCTTCCTGATATGTTGGAGTGAAGATATCCAGAAGCAATCTCAAAGAGTTGGCTTCTATAGCAGTATATATAGACCTATGGATATTTACAGTATGAATATAGTTTTTTCTATATACATGTATAAGATCCTTTCCTGAGAGCGGATTTTGCAGGCGATTCGGAGACAGGCGCCGAAGTCAAGGCCATCTCAATTACCCAATGAGGCAATCTTCAGTCCGCGCTGCTCCGGCGTTTCCAGCAGTTTTGGTGCTGCATTCTCAGACAGCAGCCGGAGGGGCAATTACCGTTCTTGGTCTAGTCGATTCTCGTGGAGAGAATCATGAATCAAGGCTTTAAACACTCGGACATTGGTCTAAAGTACGGAGTATGGCGCAGTAATTCCGATGCATGGTAGGGTCCAGAAGTATAGCCGTGAAAAGTGAAAACGTATTTATTAATTGTCTTCACCTAGAAATTGCAGTCAATGGTTAAGAAGGGATTTGCGCCGGAATAGGCACGATAAGGGGGAACCATTCGATTCTTGCCCAATTAAATACCTTGCGACTCAGTTCTAGAAGCTCGATTACGAGGAAGTGCAGAAATTCCAATAGGCAGTTATCAAAGCTTGGCTTGATTGACTCATACTCTAATTACATCTTTTCTCTGGTATTTCTTACTATCAATACAGCCTCGCACATGGCCACAGAGGTTGCGAAATAGTAGTATAGATGGTAGAAATGCAACGCCACTCTGGTTCGGGAATGGGCCGTGGACATTAAATTCACTACTACTGGGCGGGGCGCTTGGCAACATATGGGCTCGGCTAGCTTGACCAACTAGCACAGCGCTCTGTTGGCACTTCATGTACTTTTGGCCTGTCTGGAGAAGGGCGCGAGAATACGCCCTCTGACAAGATCACGATCAAGGTCGCCGACCGTTAAGAGTCAGACTTAGGCAGCACTCTGTTTGTTAATATCATCTCGTCTTATGCGCCCTGAATAATTTGAGAGGCAAATTTTTCTATATCTATTCGGTCTCAAGTTAATAGGTTCCCATCTCAAGATTATCCCCTCATTCTCATTCAACGACCATGTCTCTGTCAGCACGGGCTGAAGAGTCTGAAAAGGCCAGCCAAGGTCTTTTGATATGGAAAGTCCTTAAGAATCTATGGGATCCAGAAACCAATCCCTCTGGAATTGTCAGTTTGGGCGTCGCTGAAAATAGGCTTATGCACGACATTCTCTCTGAACACATCCATCAGAATTTAGCCCTATTGAACCATGCATTTACTTATGGCGATGGCTCCTCAGGGTCGAATCGTCTCCGGGAATCTCTGTCACGATTTCTCAACAAACACTTCAGACCTATTACTCCAATTGTCCCTGCACACATATCCATCACAAATGGGTGCAGTGCCGCCGTTGAACATCTTGCGTGGGCATTTGCCAATCCAGGAGAGGGTTATTTGCTAGGACAACCATACTACGGGACCTTTATAGAGGACATAACAGCTCGAACAGGCGCAAAAGTCGTCCCGGTGCCCTTCCATGGCGTCGATCCTTTATGTAATGACGCCGTCGCCAGATACGAAGAAGCCTTTTTAAAGGCCCAGGCGGAGGGGACGAGAGTCGCTGGACTTGTCCTCTGTAATCCACACAACCCTCTTGGCCGCTGCTATTCTCGAGATACAATCATTGGACTTTTAAAGCTCTGCGAAAAGTACCAGATGCATTTTATCAGTGACGAGATCTACGCCTTGTCTGTCTGGGAGAACACCATCGATACTGGCGTTTCTTTTGAGCCATTTACATCTTGCCTCAGCATTGACCTGGCTGGCATTATTGAGCCATCAAGGGTTCACATTGTTTGGGGCATGTCAAAAGACTTTGGGGCAAATGGAATTAGAATTGGTGCCGTTATTTCACAGGCTAACCAGTCTTTGCACGATGCCTTGGTACCCGTCAGTCTCTACAGCTCAGCATCCTCCATCTCAGAACACGCTGCGGCAAACATTCTTGATGATCATGATTGGGTGGAGTCTTACATCGCCGAGAATAAAAGAAGGCTGGCGCGCCAGTATGAATCAGTTGTTTCATGGGCCAAATCGAAGGGCATCACGTACCGGCCCGGCGTCAACGCTGCGTTCTTTTTGTGGGTGGATTTGGGAAGTTTTTATAAGGCGCTGCATCCAGATGCTGCCACGGATGACTTGAACAAGACAATAGCTACGACACTTCTCAAGCACAGAGTTTTTCTCGCATCCGGCACGGCGTTTGGATCAGAAGAACCAGGATGGTTTCGAATTGTATTTTCTCACCCAGAAGCCTATCTGCGTGAGGGCCTTGAAAGAGTGCATGCTGCGTTAACGGAACTTTAATATGGCATGGTCGAAATACAAGCTTAATGGAGATGATTAGCTCTGAAGAATTCTTACTAATAGAGTATTTTGGATTGTAATTATGCTTCTATTGGGGATGTAGGCACCTTCTTATACGAGTAATTGAATGGCCACCGACTCCGGCATCTTGAGCCGAGACTTGCTCTCTATGAAGAAATAAGGCTAACATGGCATTGTAGGTAATAGCGTACAATCTTCACGCTAGACTCCATTTCACAAAAAAAAATGTCATTACGCTCCAATGTCGGCCGACTCTAGTCTCCAGCTGGAGACTTATTATTGTGAATGTCCTTAGCGCATCAGACACGATTTCGAATCCTCCTAGATTGACAACTATGGAGAAGAAGCAGAATGCAATTCTGTATGTCTTGACAAAGAGCAATCTATTTTGGCATAGTGGATTCACAACTGTCTATTTTAATGTGAGGGGAAAGCGGGGATACTGAACCAAAGGCCCCGTAATAACGTGCGCCCTCTGTAGGCGATTTTTTAGAAGCGTGAAAGCAAGCACAAGGGTACGGTACGGGAGACAAAGGCGTGGCTTATCGAATGATGACTCTGCACGGCACGAGGCTGAGTGTAAGATACGGGTCGGCTCTTAGCTTCGCTCTATCGTAGAAAAGGCATTATATAAACAACTGATCGCTTTGATCATGTCGGCAGACAACAAGGCTGGCTGGTAGGATCTGAGAAAGAGCCCGGGTTTCGTGGATTTGCTGCAGCCTCCTTGTGTAGCAATTTAATAGAGATAACCCCCGGCCATTCGGCTTCTTTAGCTTAGACAGGAAGGCCAAGATAAGAATGCACATGGATGATCCAAACGTCATAGTACAACGGTCGTTGCAACAAGCACGTAACCTAACCGATAAGTGCCTTTATCTATCTTCCTTGAATAGCAAGAGAAAGCACGTCCTCATTTACTAGCATCCCTGCTGTCTATTCCCCCGCAATAACATCGACAAATCCAGAGCTCCGTTTTTCGGTGCCTACGCTCGCAAAGACCGATAGGCCAATCTCATAATGTCTCAGCTCTTATTCTGTTACACATGGGAACACAGCCAACGGCTAGTTGACAATGTCACAAACGCTGCGATGTGTCACATGGGCAGGCAAGTGGATAGGAAGAGATAGGAGAAGATGGGAGGAGATGGGAAAGAAAGTATATAAGGATAGCTCAATCCTTTGCTCGTAGAAATTGGAGAGCCACCACGCCAAGAGACTTCTTTGAGGGAGCTCAGATATACCTGTGTCGACATTCCTAGGCTGGGTCATTTCTAAAATCTGCACTTCAACATGGCCCATCACCGTTTAAGGTCAGTGGCCAAGCCGCTTGCCCTCCTCCTTTCGGTATTGCCTTACGGCAAGGCATCTCCAACACCACCATGCAGTACACCTCCTGGTGTACATATTCCCAAACAAGGAGCAGTCGCTTCTCAAAGCACTATTTGCAGTGATATTGGCATCCAATTGCTCAAAGATGGCGGCAATGCTGTCGATGCTCTCGTGGGCACGGTCTTCTGCGTTGGCGTCATTGGGATGTACCACAGTGGTATTGGTGGCGGTGGCTTCTTGCTCTTGAGACTGAGCGATGGCACGTACGAATTTGTCGACATGCGCGAGACAGCTCCAGGTGCCGCTTCTCAAGACATGTACAATGATGATGAAAATCTCAGCATATACGGCGGTATGGCAAGGTAAGATCGCAACACGACGGGGCTTTCTTCTCTTCTAACAAATGACTGATTCCTGTAAATAGTGGTGTTCCTGGGGAGCTTCGAGGCACTGAGTACATACATGATAAATATGGTGCTCTCCCATGGGCCCACGTAATAAAGCCTGCGATCGAAGTTGCCAGGAATGGTTTTGAGGTGACAGAGGACTTGATCAGCACCATCCGGCAGACATCACCCAACAACTTCCTCACAGAAGACCCAGCATGGGCTATTGACTTTGCTCCCAAGGGGCGCCTCGTCAGACTGGGCGAGACAATGACTCGCAGGCGATATGCTGATACCTTGGAGGCGATTGCTCAACATGGAGCTGATGCATTTTACACTGGGCCCATTGCCAACGCTACAATTCGCGCGCTGAATGCTGCCGGGGGCATCATGACGCTAGAGGATCTCAAGAACTACACTGTTGCCATAAGAGAGCCTCTGCAGATAAAGTATCGCGGTTATAAACTCACCAGTACGAATGCTCCTTCAAGTGGTGCGGTGGCACTAAGCGCTTTAAATACTGTCAGCGGCTATGATGGATTTAATGATCCTTCACAAGTAAATCTGACAACCCATCGGCTAGATGAGGCTATTCGATTTGCATATGGCCAGCGCACTGAGCTGGGAGATCCATCATTTGTGGATGGCATAGATAAATACACTAAAGAGATGATTTCCGAGGCAACTGGAGCCGAGATACGGTCAAAGATTTCAGATTTCAGAACGCAAAACGTCTCTTATTACAATCCCAAAGGCTTGGAATCTCTTGAAACTCCAGGAACATCTCATATTGTCGCAGCAGATGCCAGTGGAATGGCCGTATCAATGACGACTACTATCAACTTGCTCTTTGGATCAACCGTCATTGTTCCAGAGACAGGCGTCATCATGAACGATGAAATGAACGACTTTAGCATTCCTGGTCTTAGCAACAGTTTTGGCTATATACCTAGCCCAGCTAATTACATTCGCCCCGGGAAACGTCCCCTATCATCCATTTCTCCCATCATTGCAGAGACTGCAGACGGAAAGCTCTATCTTGCACTTGGTGCTGCTGGGGGCAGCCGCATCATTACTGCCAATATCCAGAACACAATTCATGTCATCGATGGCAATATGACAACTGCTGAAGCGCTGGCCCAGCCGCGTTTGCATGATCAGCTGGTGCCCAATCAGGCAACCTTTGAATACGCATATGATAACCAGACTGTAGCATTCATGAAGTCACTTGGCCACAATGTTACATGGATTGCGCCGGGAGAAAGTGCAGCGCAAGCCGTAAGATTGCTCCCTAACGGAACGTTTGAGGCAGCAGGAGAGCCAAGGCAGGTGACTTCTGGAGGCTTTGCAATTTGAAGATACCACTTTGATGCACATAATAAGATAATATTAAAATATATAAAGGTCGATTTGACTCATTTCGCTTAGAACCCATTTCACCTAATCAGAGTGTCGCTTTTTGATGTCTGCCTCCCAATCGGTCAACAGTCCCATGATTTCAACAGAATTTGTCCAGCTGGGTGATGGTCGGGGGGCTTCTTTGACACCCTGGGCGATACAGTCTTCCACACGCTTGACCTGATGCCCAAAAGCATCCATCTGAGCGCTGACAACAATTTCCTCTGTGGAACCGCCGTACGTCTTGATCTCGATGATGTTATCACCAGCCAGCGGGAGCCACGGGTTTGTCCTGAATCGTAGAACGCCTTTGTCACCCTGGATCGAAAAGGAAAAGTCGTTGCCAAAGCTATCAGTGGATTGAATGGTGGCCAAAACTCCATTGTCGAACCGGATATTGAGAGAAGCATCCCGAACATGCAAGCTGCCCTCGTTGGAAACGTTACCCAGTCCGGTGATTTGTCTCTTTCCAAATGCTTCAGATCCAAACGCTGTCTCCATGATAAAGTGCACCAGAGAAGCCGGGTAGCAGCCCAAATTGTAAATAGTGCCCATTCCAAGAGGGTTGGCTTTCTTCCAGATGTTGGCGGCGTAGTAACCAGACATGCCCTTGACTGTGCCGAGAACACCAGACTGCACAATTGAGGCGACCTTCTCCATCAAAGGATGGCAGAGATACATAAGTCCCTCAAGGAAGAAGACATTTACCTCCTTAACAGCCGCAATCATGGCATGGGAGTCTTCCATGGTCGTTGCAAGCGACTTCTCAGAGAGGATAGCCTTGCCCCTCTTCGCAGCAGCAATCACTGCGGGAGAGTGCATGTGGCTAGGCAAGCCTACATAGACGACGTCGACTTCAGCATCGTCGAGCAGGGCATCCAAGTCTTGATACTTGGTGGCGATGTTGTATTTTGCGGCAAAGGCTGCGAGTCGAGCCTCGTTGCGCCCAAAGACGGCCGTGATGCGTGAACCAGGGCTGGCGAGGATGGCCTTTACCACCGTATCGGAGATGAAGCTGGTACCAAGAATGCCCCAACGCAACATTTTCGGATTCTTTATGTTTTCAAGAATTTATTTCTGTCGTTGAATTTGATTTAGCAAGCGAATTGAGGAGTAGAGAGAGCAAGCTGCTTGCAATTGGCGTACGATTTTTAACGGGCAGAGAGGATATATCGGGCTGTGGCTTTACGCCAATTTTCAAGCTTAAACGTGGACACACTAAAAAACGAAATGGAGATTTCATTTGCGGAGCACGGCGGCCGCCGATTTGCCGACGAGAGCCGATAAATTGCATTGCGGAGTCATGAAATAAAGATAGATACGGTAGCTATGGTAAAATCACGGTGATTAGTGAACGGCTTAGAAGACCCATTTGGCGCTGAGAAAGATATGGTGTCTTGCGTAGAGAATTTGCCGACTTACAAACTTTGGCGCAACTTACATATCTCTACCAGCTTCACTATCCTTTGTTAAGCATAAACAAAGTGGAGAAGAAAAAAAAGAAGGAAAGAAGGGGCAAAAGTGGCTATTAACTGTGGTATAAAGCAAACGATCAGGCCGTATTAGGCATCGTCTAAATGGCTATACCAAATCACCAGTTAAAACGGCTGCATGTACCTAGCCCTCTATTGCTTTTTCTTAAGATCCTTGGATTCTTCCCACTTCCTCGCCAATTGTATCAACTTCACACCAGCTGCTACGCTCGCACCCTCCTCAACCTGTTTTGTCCAGAAGCTCTCATTGCCAGAGACTAGCAACGACCTCCTCCGTTGTCTCTCTCTGACATCAATGTGCTCTCCTTCACGCTTGTGCTCTTCAATCTCCTCCAAGATAGCCAGCCGCCTGGCATACTGCTCACTTCTTTCTCTGCGCAGCTGTTCCGAGCCAAAACGTAAAAAGATAACCCTGGTAATGGTCGTAATCGCTAAAAGAATATGCTCGCTGACAAAAATGGTCAATGGCAGGGTAGACCAACCCCCGCCCAGCATGCTATCAGAACTGAACAAGTGAACAATCGCGGCGGAAGAGATGCTTCCCAGCCAGACAAGGACCTCCAGCGAGGCAATCCAAGGACCGATACCTTCAGCTCGATACGGCGCCGGTCTCTGATGTTCGATGCAAATTTTGGCAAAGTCAGACCGAAGTTCAACCCAATTATTGATGAGGAAGCCCAAAGGGATGAGTGGCCAGGCAGGCGAAAATAGCGCCAGATATCCAAACTGAAGAACCAGCTCTGCAATGTCATCTTGGACATTATATGGCTCCAGCGTGGCCTCGTTGCGGCGCTGCTCCAAGAACTTTGCCTCGTCATCATCATCAGTGACCATGGATATTAGGATGGTGTCTTTGGTATAAGCGCGACGATATTCTCGATACCAGCCGCTCATCTTGTGCTTGATTAACGGCAATATGTTTTCTTCGAAAAAACTGGAAAGCTGGCCAGTAACAGTCAATGTAATAACTTCGTGGCGCAAACGATCAGCGTCCAGTCGGAAAGGCAGCTCGGTGAGACGGTTGCCGATGCTGGGCGCAAACTGGACGATGTGGCCTTCAAGCCAAGGAAATATTTGATTTCCAAAAGGAACATAGACGAAGGCAGTCAGCAAGATAGGCAAATAGTTGGTGATGATGCTAAGAACAAAAATCTTTTGCGTGAGTGACATTTCGAAGTTGTCTGCTGTTCGGTGGTTCTCAAAGTTTGTTAACCACTTCGCAACACCTTCAAGGTATGAGCTGATGTAGGGGATCAGAACAGCCAGTAATACAGTGGGTATATATTCCTGCAGTCTCATATTAGCACAGATAAGAAGATAATAGCACGGTCTTTCCAAAAAAAAAAATATCGCATGAAACGTAACTCACAAGATAGAAATTGTTTGGCCCGTCATATGAATCAGATATCAGGATCTCGACCGCAAACACCGAGCTAATCATCAACCCCAGTGCTACCGTGGAGATGGCCATGAACGGTACCTGAAGAAGCTGTCGCGAAATCTGCTTCCATTTCGGAGTGTAGTGGATAGTCCGACCGTACTGGTCGACAATGACTTGCTCATACTTGTATTCCGGCCGGTTCATCTTGGTTTTGCTTACTCCTCTCACTTTCCATCGAATGCTCAAATCAACTTCACGGACCTTCCAGTACTCCAAAAACACGGTGCACCAAATAACGGTCAGAATTGCGTAGGCAAGAGAGTAGTTGGGCAGCCATAACCAGGCGATAAGGCCAGTAATAGCTGGAAACAGTAAAAAGGCCGAATATGACTGGCCAAACGCAAAATAGAATGCAACCTGAGAGACATTAAAAGTTGTTGGCGAAAACGATTGCTATACGCCAGGGACAGGGTCGCATACCTTTGAGCCAAAGAGGTCCCGTATCTTGTCGAGATCGTCGGTTCCCAGGAGCAGCTTCTTGCTCAGACGCCGGAGAAATGCTTGGTTGACTTTTTCATTATGCATGGGGAAGATTGACTTAACATTCTTCCATTGGCCATGGCCGGGAGTGATGCCTGCTCCTCCCATAGACTTTGGCCAGCTAACTAAATGATCCATGGACAAGATATCCTCGGCTTCATACCACGCAGACACAATGGTGTCTTTGTTTCCCGGTGGTCGCGTTTGGGTGATGCCATAGAGCCAATCTCTTACCCTATTTCATATAGCATTAGCTTCTTTTTTTTTCTTTTCCTTTTTTTTTTTATACCGTGATTGTCAGTTTACATATGAACATATATACCTCAGCTTGTAGACCCTGTTTCCAAGAAGCTCGCTTGGTGCTTTAACAAACAGCAGGATAGTTTGCTCATACCCTGGTCTCACCTCCACGTGAAGACCAGTGGCTTCCAGATTCTGGAGCAGGGTAATGAACTCCTTTGTGGCCGCATCGTAATCTATTTTCACGATTAATATGCAAGCTATGGTACGACGATGAGTAGAGAGATACCTATATCGCTGAAGTCATAGACTACAACATATTTATCGCAATACGTCTGAAGAGCTCTCGAGGGCGATGGAGGCGGTGACGGCGACCGGCGATATGCCGGATCTGTGGGTGGTGGCACCTGCAGATGTAGAGGCATCTCAACACAACGGTGCTGGTGTCTGCCAATGGCGCACTTTTCCGCCCTGCCTGCTCAAGAACGGTTTCCGGCGCACTCTCGGCGATGGCTATGCTGGATGCGGAATCAGAGGTCAGGCGATGGTGAAATATCCGAAGCGACGCCCGAGAATCTGTCCGTCAATGCCAAGGCCGGGCCGGGGCGCCGAATACGGTTGGGATGGAGCCGAAGTTATTGGGAAGAGAGAGACGCAGAGCAGCGATTTAGCCGTCCACGGAAAACTGCGATATTTCACTCGGAAAACTAGCCGACGGGCAAAGCAGCCTCAGGAGAAGAGCTCCTATTCTACTCCGTAATGTGTCGAGAGATTGGCAGCAGGACAGGTTTACGTTTACGTCCACATGTGGGTAGGGCTGCAAGGGATTCGCCAGCGTAGGACATCGATTGGTTGCTCATCTTTGGCTGTCGGATCTGTGTGCCGGTGCTGGGGAAACGCTGCACAAGTCCAGTTCACAGGCGCATTACAGCTGCAGAGAGACGGTTTACCAATAGCCATTACGGCAGACTCCACTCGTTGCTAGACTGCGCCACAACGAAAGGGTGATGAAATGGGGATTTGCATGTGCCAGAAATTGTATTAGCTAATAGGAGCTGGGTGAATGGGTAAGCTGCATCAAATACAAGTTTACATACGTTGCATGCTAGCGGATGAGACTCAAGATTGGTTGTTTGTAACAGCGTTTATACGGAGCACGCATCATCACATTATGGCATATAAGCAGCCAAGCCCAATCATTCTGGCTTAAATCTTCGCCACTCACAGGCCACCGCACGCTTTTCTCTAGGCCAAGAATTTCTCACTGCAGCCCAGCAGTGCTGTAAACAAGAGTATGCTCCTCATAAACTATAAAAATATAGAAATTGGAAAAGTATAGGTGTCACTTTTAAGTACATGTAAAGAGGTGGACATGCAAAGAGCTTCAATCATCCTAGCTTCAAGATACTGCCCGCATCTTTCTGGTACGTAAGCATAAGGAACACTCTTTCGCCAAGTACAAAAGAAAACAAAAAAGGAGAAAAAAAAATGACTAACCTGTTCCCCGCCTTCATAAGCATATCTGCCATAGCATGTGCTATAGTGAATCATTTACAGAAGCGATAAGTCATAATGGTGCAGGATATTTACGTAGTGACGTTGATTTCTTTCAACATGGCTCGTGCCAATTATTATTGGCTATTTAGACAGATCCTTCACTAAGAGTTAGAAATCGGTCCCAGCCTTATAAATTTAAGATTAAAACGTGGCAGACTTATTATGCCAAGATCAAGCAATATGCACCGCAATTTGTTTTATTACCTCTTAAGGAGGCCTTTTCTCTTCTCTTTACTGGTGAAGCAAGATTTTGCCATTTACATCAACAATTTTAATCGATGCCTTATGGTTATGAAGGGTCGCATGTTTCACAAGGCCATTCTTATCCCACGAAAAGTCCACAGATCCACCACCTCTTACGCGCATACCCGTAACCGAGCCATTTGCCCACTCTGATGGAATAGCCGGGCCCAAAATAACTGTGTGAATAGCTTTGGACGCTGATGGCACAGGCAGATCGGTGATAAGCATGGCCAATACCGCGGCAGTGTAGCCGAAATTGGCGTCAATCTGGAACGGTGCTGCTAGCTCGTACGGCCAGCTGCCAGTGGTGTATACAGAAAAGCCGTTATCCGCATAATTCATGCCAATAGCGTACTTTAAGTATGTGTATCTATAAAAGTAAAGTAAGTAACTATGACGAGGACGCTCGGGGAACCAGAATAATCTAGGTGGGGTGCAAAGTCTTACGCGATATCTGTGTTGTTAAGCTGAGCCCAGCATGCAACTCGCCAGACTTTTTCCCAGCCGGTATTTGAATCAGCCGTGCCGTTACCTCGGGCCGTCAGGGTGACATTGACAGCATCAGTCACAGTCTTATTCCACATATTTGTGCCGATGCTGTAGCCAGGATACCAGCCGACCAGCTGGGAAAGATGACGATGCTCGTCGTTAGGCTGATCCCAGCCGATCTTCCACTCTATGATCTCTTTAGTAAGAATTCATGGTAAAGAATTAGAGAACTATGAGGTGGGATTACCTTGAATTTGACCGAACCAACCGATAATGATGCCTGGAGATAGTTTGGCCTGCGTTTCTTTGACGGTTTGAAGGAATGTCGTGTTGGTATCACCAGAAGCTTCCCAGCTCTGGATAATATGATCAAACACTTCCCACACTAGCTGCTGGTAGTGTGTACATCCAAATGTCTATTCTAGTCAGTAAATGACAAATGATGTTGCGGTTAGGGCTCATATTATCTTACCGTCCAGCCGTGTTCAGGAGAGTTGCATGGCGCGGCAACCAGGGTTCCATCATTTGAATACAGATCTGGTACCATCTCATGGATCCAGTATTCGGCAACAGCCTTCGTCAGTGGATATCCAACCGTCCTCCACCAGTTGGTGTCACGGCCGTAGTCATATCGGTTCCAAACGTTTTGCACTTTTGCGGAATAAATTAGCGAACAGGCATGTAAAATAGGCAAATTTCGCTTAGATGTACTTACTCAGCCAGGCAGCAGATGCTGGGTAATCGGACCAAACAGCAGCGTTCATCTGGCTTTTAGATGGTCAGCAGGCTCACGTAGTGATACAAAAAGTTGTCCGTTAATGAGGCTCTTACCCAGTGAACCCGAATGTGTTAAGATTGCTGAACCCAACGAATCCAGGAGCATCGTACAACAACGCTGCAGTTTCAGTGCCGCGCGGAACCCATGTGTCGGTGATAAAGTCCCACAGCGCCCCTTGGATGTCGCCAAGTCCCGTTTGTTCGGTGTGCCAGTGGTTCCTGCATGAACAAGGGTCAGCTACAGCGAAGAAAGAATAGAAGCACACTTACATCTGAACGTTAACGTCGACGTGATAGTCTGCGCTCCAAGCTGGAGTTAGAGATTCCGTCCAAATACCCTGCAAATTGGGAGGCAAAGACCCTGGTCTGCACGAGCCAATGAAAAGATATCTCCCATAGTCAAAGAGAAGATTCTCAATGAAAGGATTGCCAACCTCATCGTCGTAGTCTTCCATCAATTTTGCAGTGGGTATTGAACCCGAATTATCGGGGTCTGGGAGCTTCAGAGTAAATTGGCTAAACAAGGCATTATGGTCCTTTACGTGGGAGTTATACAAGCTATTATAGCTTTCTTTTGCAGCTGCTTGGATAGTTGATAACACTGCTGATGCTGGGTCGACTCCTTTGAAGGAATAATTGCTGGCTTTCGTACCATTTTTCTGGTCGTAATTTGTTCCAGCTGCGTATACCACGGTGACTGAACTAGTTTTGCTCTCCGCAGGAATGATAAGTTCGTGGGATGCTATGCATGCTACTCCCTTGGGCCGGTTAACAACTTGGACGCGGGCGTCGAACACCATGCCAATACCCTCCTGGGTTTGTCCTCGCAGATGTACTCCATTAGCATCGCAAGACGAGTTGGACGATGGGTTACTTCGAGCATTGTCCTGTAGACCAATGGTGATGGCCGGTAGTGGCTTGTTGGATTGAATGTTATAGACACAAACTTGGTTTGGAAACGTGCAGAAGGTTGTTCTAAATGATGCGTTAGTCGTCAATAGAATACCATCTTATAAAATGCTTAGTTTGGCAATCAGAAATACATACGTGGTAAAACTTGCACCGTTGGACCGAAATACCGTTTGATGTATGCCTGTCTCGAGATCTAGCGCTCGATTGTAAGAGGTATATTGACTGACCCCGGCAATCTTGACTGTGAGATTCCCCAGAGTCTCATAGTTGCCGTAATAGTAATCCGCCGGATCACCATACAACGGACTTATGTCTGCTCGAGCATCGGGTTGTTAGCTAACCAAGGACAGAACCAATTGAGCCCACTGTAGCATACCATTATTGATTTGAGTTTGCCAAATTGTCTCTCTGATGCCTGGAAGGGCTGTATATACTGGGCCGGGTGGATTACCGCCAATGTAGTCCTATATCGAATCTATCAGGCTTCACCAGGCGATAAACAGCGATAAAAGGAATCTAAACGCTTACGGGACTTTGGAAAGGCCCTCCGGACCAAAGACTGTGCTCGTTTAAGACCACGATATCTTCTCCGACTAAACCAAGAGGCATGGCTAAAGCGTTGTCAACTGCAGCTCATTTACTAGCAATTGGCGAAATCGTTACAAATACTCACCTCCAAGCTTTCCATTTCCTAGTGGATAAGCAGTCATAATAATATTGGCTGGGTCGGCAGGTTCAGTTGCCCACAGCCGTCTTGCCCTTACGCCTTGGGCGCAGGCTGTGACGCCGATGAGCCCAGCTAGAAGCATCGTTGCCCAGTGATACTCTGTCTTCAATGCTGATGAGCGTGAAACAACTGCCAATTCCTAGGATAATAACCTGGGCCATTCTAGCCTCTTAAATAACTGTCACAGGGGAACCCTGGCATCATCCATCGGCATGCATTATGGAGTTTGAAAAGTGCGGGGATATGAGTCGAGATGTCTATAAGCGATTACTACAGCGGAATATAGCTTACTATGAAGACGGGGGCCCTGGAAACCTCGTCGAACTCTTCAACTTGCCGCATCGTGAAGGAGAATTACTCGGCCCGTAGGGGTTTTACTTATTAAGCCGACGGATACCAATACCTAAGAACTATGCGATGAAAGGCGTCTATTCCGCCGCTGTGGGATGGGAATCTCGCAAACTAGTATCTGCTAACCCACTACCTATTTCAACGCGAAGCAAGACTGGGAAGTAAGCCCATTGAGCTAAGCTGTACTGATCTCGGCGCACTGGTAATTGACAGGGGTTAATCGTGGAGAAAGTCCACTAGCCGACGGCAGCAACTCGCTTCTGAGCTGCGAAGAAGAAGAGCCGCTGGAAGCAGTGTTATAATGAGTACGATGAATAAGTAACAGAGTGAGTGTCACTGGAGGGCGCTCAAATTGGTAAAGTACCTAAGGGAAGAAAGAAAGCCAGCAACGTCTTATTTGTAACTTGCTCATGTTCTACTGAGTCCCAATTTTAGTCATGCGAATAAATATCATAGTGTTTCTCTCGTTATTTCCTCAAACCTGTACCAAATTGGAAACTCCTAAATACAGATTGGCGTCAGGTAAGGACAATTGAAAATGAGCCTTACCCCAGATTCATGGCTGAGGATTAAGACGGCAGCTAGTCAACTGTAGTCTAGTTAATCTCTGTAGGTGCCATAAAATATGGGTCACTTATGGTAAGACCGTTTTTGACCTTTTTTTTTAATCCCGATTATACGGGGATGAATTCTCGGATATGGTGCGGAAAAGCTGTTCATACAGACACAGCCTTGGTTCGCATATCGATGGTCGATGATTGGCTATCTTGTCGTCAGCTGCTCCCCAGACGCCTGATGGATGAAGATGTAGAAAGAATAATAACAATTGCCGTTTCGCCGGTTAGATTACAGAAGTGCTCTGAGCTTTTCACCGCGGATATTCAAAGTCATTTCACCGTTCACCTCATGCAAATTTTGGTACAACGCAGATAGACTATGCTCTTTGTAGAGAATCTTAGAGATAGAAAATTGGAGAAAATGTGTCATAATTGAATTAAAGTGTTGAGTAATAGAAATGGACGTAAGAATGGAAGGATGATTGTCGCGACCTATACCTAAGACCAAGATTTTAAGCTTATGTACTCCTCCGGGCTTTGGTAGCAACATGCATTGGCTGAAGAGCTATTATACACAAGACCCGCATGACTTTAGCAATGGTATCCTACAAACATAATACGATTAGCCGAGTCGTAGCAGCCCGCCGAACTTCGGTTGTCGGTGGATCTTATCAATCAGATAAGCAATCCACTATCATGGCTCGGAGCTCATTAGTCGCTCCGAAGGAGCGCAGAGGCATCGAATCAGCTGATACCTGGAAATTTCGGCTATAGCACGCGGTCTAAATCACGCAGCATCACGGTCATCTTGGAGATACCACAAGATCGCTTACCAGCGGCGACAAGCTTGATCGAATAGTACGTGTCTGCGCAATGAGGGCATTTACACATGCCCTATTCTTATCATACTTCACTTATGTCGCTGTTGCTACACTTTCCGAACCCAAAAGCTCGCCTGGTTTATGTGTGAAAAGCTGTGAAAGTTCTCTGCAGTCACTGCGATATATTGATGCAAGCGCTGAGGCATCAGCACCACAGCAAGCTTGCCAAAGTCGTCTCTCTCTATCATCAACGTATCTGTGTCTTGGCCTCAACTGTGGAAAGGAGACACGCGACCGGGCTTTGCGACAACTCAATACTACCTGTTACGATTCGTTTGGTAGCTCTATCCCGTCCTTCAAGACGGGGTTTACCGATGAAGAGATAGCAGGGCTAAAGAGAATCAACAAAAATGACTCCTTTAACCATGAGAACCCTTTGAATGGGGTAGTTATCCCATCACCTGAATTATTCAGTGCTTGGTTCAATACTTTGGTAAACATGCTTTCTTCTTACTTTTTATTATCACCCATAATCTAACAAGAAGTTCAATTACCCACAGGATGCCTCTGAATATGCGCGTAGACACCATTATCTCTATGGGTAACTCGATTTGCGTTTAATGGCAAAGAAACTCTGCTAATGCTTTCTCAGCATCGGCGTGATGGTTTTTTGGATTGTTGTCGCATTGTTAGGCGCTTCATACAAAGTTTATTTAGCAATCTTTCGGATGTATCGTAGCCAAGATCGCTTTACATCTGTTGGAATTCGCACGCAGACGAGTTCGTGGTTTAAGCGCAATGTGGCCATTCCTGCAACATTTGGGTACAGGTGTGCTCAGAATGTCTGGTGGGCTACTATTCCGCCACGAATCCAGACGATTACACTCATAATATTTTTTCTGATGAATGCCATCTTCAGCATCCATGGCTACAGAATTATTGATGAAAGCCTCTAGTACGTCAATACTGTTCCAATTGTGTTTCCGAGCTGCCATACTGACTCGTACGTACAGTTTTTCCACGCCTACGAAACAGGTACTGCGTTATGTCTCAGATCGTACTGGAATAATTTCTTTCGCCAATTTTCCTTTCATATGGCTATTTGGAATGAGAAATAATGTCGCTCTGTGGCTTACTGGTTGGGACTTTGGGACGTATAACAATTTCCATCGGTGGTGTGCCCGAATATCGACTATAGAAGCTGTCATCCATTCTGTTCTTTATACAGTTCTAATATTCATGGGTAAGTTTGCGGGTCGATAACCGTGACAGTATGAAGTGCTCAGTGCTTGTTATTAATTGCGACATAGATGGAGGAATAACTTATTACGCGTGGTGGTTCACTATGTGGTTTTGGAACGCTGGTCAAATGGTAAAACATCTACAACTTATCATTTTGAAGAATATTACTAAATTCACAAATAGGCCACAGTTTTTATGTGCGCGCTGTTAATACTTTCTGTGTACTGGATAAGGCGTCGATTTTACGAGACATTTCTGGTCATCCACATTGGACTATCCATCCTCCTCTTATTAACGATGCTTGGGTGGGATCACCCCGTTCCTATGGGAGGGTTAATAACAAAGAGTTAACGCGATAGCAGACATGTATCGATATTCAACGGAGAATACGATGCATTATTTTGGGCCCCAGCGATCATTTGGGTCTTCGATCGAATAATGAGGGTTTTGCGAATCATCATGTTCAATCCTGGACACTGGTCAACTGTTGCATTGGCAAGCTACAATGACTCTGCAAATATCATCCGCTTAGCTGTTCCCATTGGTAGCGCATTATACAAGCCTCGGGCCGGCAACTATTTTTTTCTGTCAATATTAGACGACTCGAATTCCTGGGAGAGCCACCCTTTCACCGTTGCTTCGATATCAGACGAGATGCCGCAAAAGATGGAGGTCTCAGAGGAGAGTCTACCGCTTTTGGGCTCCATTATGACAACCCCAGAGACTAATTCTCAGTATACAACACTAGAAGCAACAAATGAGCATATGACATTTCTCATCAGACCATATAATGGATTCACAATGCGCCTCAGAGATATGTTGGCTAACGAAGAGGCGAATCCCAAGCCTCTTAGAATACTGGTAGATGGGCCATATGGACATACACAGAAACTACACGAGTATCATCGCGTTATTTTCATCGCTGGAGGATCGGGAATTGTCGTTGCGCTGTCATACCTGACCTCTCTCTTCAAAGAAATAAAAACGCCGGCCAAAATCGATCTATATTGGGCGGTCAGAGAATCTGCATTTGCAAAGGATATTTTATCTTTATATTTGTTATCCAAAGGGGTCAAGCAGGCTATAGAAACAGGCAAACTATCTCTGCAACTCTATACATCTTCCCAGCTAGAGGGCCTTTATATTGACAGTTTACCAAGTCAAGTACAACACCATGTTGGTCGACTTGACATTGGCTTGGTCATTACGTCGGCGGCAAGGGATACTCGGGCCGGTAATTTAGCTGTCGTTGCATGTGGACCCGCAAAGATGGAAGACGATTCACGACTGGCAGTGGTCCATGCACTGAAAGAGGGAAACCACCGTATCGATTATTACGAGGAAAGTTTTATATGGTAATTAGCAGCTCTGAAGATTATATAGTGTAATTAGCACACTTTATCCCAATGAATGATTCACTCTCGGAAGTTTAGTGTTAGACTCAGCATGCGTCGCAAGTATTGCGAACAAAAGGGGGGGGGATTGAGGGCGATTGAATCGCACGCAGGACCTCAAAGATTGAAGAAGAGGCAAAATGATTAGTTTATAGATGAAGATTTGGCCAATAATGTGCCAAAAGATTGTTGCCACGGATAGAATTGCCCGCAAAAAGCTGTCTGGCCCGGGGAAGCGCAAATAGCGAGGCCCGCTATTGTATCTTAACTTGCCAATCAAATCTTCGATATTGCCTACCGTAGCGCTTTCGGAAAGAGTTGCCTTTCAATTCTCCCTCTCCCATAGTATTTCCGACCCTGCTTGCGGGATCACTAATCTGGCTTGAAACCTGCGGACCCTTATTATGGACTATGGGCGCCGTTAATAGAAAGAAAGAGATTTAATAATAATCTATACGCTAACAACTACTTGAATAACCCTGTAGATACGAAGTTATTGAAGCTATTGATGAAAAATCCGGAATTACTTGCTTGTTTAACGTTGACCTCAAAAAAAATAAGGCATTAACATGCGCTACTACAGACAAGAGCTACTTCTCTATGAAAAAATATCTTCACTTTCACGGCCAATCTTGATATAAAAACCCTGTTCGTTCGTCCCAACATTCACCTCATTCGACATTATCTTTAATACACCATCTATCATATCTATCATTCAATCTCCAAAACCAATTACGCTGCAAAATGTCAGACAGCCTTGTATTAATTACCGGAGCTTCTGGCTACATTGGAACTCACTTAATCGGAGATATCCTCAAAGCCGGCCACCGTGTGCGTGCTGCTGTAAGAACTGAGGAGAAAGGCCAGGCAATCAAGGAGCTGTATCATTCTTCTTTGGGCAGAATTGAGTTTACCGTTGTGCCTGATATGTCACAGCCAACCGCGTACCAGAACGCTTTGAAAGGTGTCAGCTATGTGTTTCACTTGGCCGGAGCAATGGTTGACAAGGGCTCTGATCTCGAAAGCGATTTTGTTAATCCAGCGGTCAACGGAACCTTGTCAATCTTGGAATCTGCAAAGAAAGAAGGCAGCATCCAGAAAGTTGTCATTGTTTCGTCCTTTGTGGCTCTAATGCCCCTCGACGCTGTGATGCACAAGTCGTTTCATATCAAGGGTAAGTTTTCTTTTTAAAAAAAAAATTAAGACGAAAAGAAAAATAAACGAATAAATAATAGCTAATACGAATGAAACGTTCCCTGTCGATCTAAAAATGGCTTTCCCGGATGGATTACCAGGCCAGTTTCTCAAATACCAAACAGGCAAGATTGTTGGTCACCAGGCATATCGCGAATGGATCAGCAAAGAAAAGTCCAGCTTCAAGATTGTGAGCGTTCATCCATCCCAAGTCTTCGGGCCTAGCCTGGTCCAGAAGTCCGGAAGCGACCTCAGTGGAGTGAACTTCCTCATGTGGATGACTTTACAATCTGATGGACCTCCTATGACGCCGTACATGATGGTGGATATTCGCGATGTTTCACGCGCGCTGGCACGGCTCATCGATGCTGATGTTCCTTCCGGAACCGAATTGCCAATCACTGGCCCCCTCTATACATGGAAAAAGTTCGCAAACTTTGTCAAATCAAGCTATCCTGCTTTGGATATGAAATTTGCGCCCCAAGAGGAGCCTACAATGATTATGGATATGACCGTAACTGATAAATTGCTTGGAGTGAATTGGACACCTATGGAAGACACTATCCGTGCCTTTGTTGAGCAGCAAATTGCGTTGTCGAAATAGCACAGATGATATCTGCAGCCTAGAATAGTGTTTCCACAGCAAAATTGATTGTACAATTTTTTTTTTAATTCAATAACCAGCTATGATACAAACTCGACCGTATTCTTCTATCACGATTCAGATGTTAAGGCCAAGTGGATAGCGTTAACTAATAGTTTAGAAGTCAAAAAAATATTGTCTTCAAGTTTGCGGTTGCATGCATAGTACGTGTAGGTATAATCCTTATTCAAAAATAATATTCTGCCCACGTGCACTATGCAAATACAATCCACCCCGTATATAGTCTCACTATAGCGAAGCCACTTCTATATCGAATACGAAACCTAGGCTAGTGATGCGCCTACTGAATGGATAATACATTTGACGAACCAAGATCAAGAAGTGAGATTGAAACAATGATGCATGTACGCTCGTTTGGTTCCAAATATGTGTAGCACTATTGGAATACTTATTTTCAGATATAAACTTATTTTGAGATTAACTCTTTCCCAGTAACCGCCTTACACGCTATCACTCAGCCGAAAATGCCAGTCTTAAGAGCGCTGGCATACTCTTCAGTCGAGTAGCCTACCGACCGCATCCACTCCTCAATAGTCTTAATACGGCCCGGGTGAATCTTGTCTAGTCGCTCGTAGTCCTTTGTCCATAGACCTTTATTACCACCGCTCTCCTGCCAGATTGTAAACCATGGAATAAAGTGACCAGCCATTGTTTTCAATGTTGGATCGTCATAACCTGGAGATCCAGCAAGACCAACTTTAGTATCCGGCCATGTATTGGCTACGGCTGAGAGTGGCAGTGGCTCAAATCGAGCAGGCTGTCCAGTTACGGCAGTAAAGGCAGTCGCAATAGTGTTGCCGTTCACATGGTCGATGCCGACGCTAAGCAAGTCGGCCTCAAATTCCTTCGGATTCTCAAATATGTAGCGGGTGAACCAAGCAAAATCAGCTAATCCGACCATGGCCATAGCACCATCGGCCTCAATCGGCATGCGGAAGACGTATACACCATCTTCACCTCGCGTAGGAAACCAGGTAGCAAGATGAGACTCGGGATAGGGGCCGCTCTCAATAGCACTCCAGTTCATCTTATCTACAGGCTGTGCTCTTAAATATTCTAGGAATATGCCGTCGATTAGCAATACAACTCGAAGGTTGTAGACGCAAATAGGACCGATTTCTTACCGACAACTTTAGCCTTGCCATCAACAAAGGGAACACGATACTTTGGGTTGAATCCAGACTTCTTAGACACATAGGGTAGAGAACTGTAGACAAAATGCGTGACGCCGGCCCAGTATGCAATCTCGTACATTCGAATGCCCCAAAACAGCTCAGCCTTCTCACCAACTGCGAAGCCATTGGTGTTTACGAAAACAGCATAAACGCCTTCGAAGGCGGAGAGAAGAGTGTCTTCGTCATAGCAGTCACCCTGAACCAGCGAAATACGAGGGACAGTAGAGAGAGACACACATTCTTCTGACTTGATATTTCGCGACAGAAGTCTGACCGTAAATGATTCGTTTTTAGCCAGTTCTCGGGCCACGGCGGCATTCTGAGCACCCGCTCCTCCCAAAATGAGGATGACCTTAGACATGGTGAACACGTCTATTTATTTTATAGTAATAAGGTAGTCAAATGATTTATTGAATGAGTTGCTGCTGGAAATATTTTGATGGAGACATGCTTTACTCTTATATATCCTCATGATCTGCCTATTTTTATAGGGTTCACTAATCGCAACCAATGGCTTTTCTTCTACTTCTGTTTTCATGATGTCACGTATCCGATATGCACCTAGCGTTGTAAGTATAAAATAGAGATTACTGATCTGAAGAGATACAATTTGGAAATGTTTCATGATTTATAAATCAGGGCAATAGCAGAATAACATCGAAATTCACCACAGTTATGCAATCCTTCCCTCAAAGCAAACTGTGGCGGGAGGAATTGATTTGCATTTTGCCACTCATAGGATCATAGAGCTGTACAAATAGTCAAGCGCCAAACTATATGGTACTTTAGTCCACGGCATAATTTTAAATCGTAAAGCAGCATACCAAGCTAATATGGAGTATCAATAATAAGAATAGTCTGCTTCGACTAAAGAAAAGAAACTTTGGCTGCCCGATACACAAAAACAAGCCGAATAATAGGCAATAAGGTGGATTACAAATGTGGAGAACCTGAAAGAATCTGGAAACACTCCATAGCTGCGAGGCATCCGAGTGTTCATGCTTGGAGTATCCCTGAAGGCCAGGGTACTGAATTCCGCTTTTGGAATAATCACCCTCTAATCATCTTACTAATAGGAGCAATATGCTGGAGAAGGGGCTTGGGCTAAGGTTGGCCATGGCTTTGAGAGCGTTTTGCCCCTCAACTTCGGAATGTTTTAGTAATTTTCCCGAGCACACAAGATACGCCACTGAGCATCCATCTAGCCCGCACTCTTCATTATAAAAACACGCTCAAAACCATTTACTCCTCCTCCGTAATGAGCGATTCAGATGTATATCGGCATCGTGGATGATTATTGTTTCTAGAATTCATCGTCCCACCCACCATTTTACCTTCTGGAATGAGATAGGTAGTCTTCTTCCAAGTAGACAGCAAAAGTGCCCAGATAGAGGTGAACAAAGCTTAATTGTTGATCTTTTGAATATGACACAAGGACTCTAAAATAGAACATGTTTTTCAGTTGGAAAAATCTAATTGATCTGGTAATTGGTACCAAGAATGAGTCTGCCTTGCAAGTGAAAGCACAAGATATGGCGTGAAGGAAGCTGGGCAGCGTCCAACTTATACAATAAAATATGTTCGTAAAATTGCAGTAAAATTTTCTGATTCAGTCAATATCATGCAGGCAACATCTTAATTGACAGATGATATGACAACCAGTAACGAATATCATCAGTCAAAGTAATGCAGCTGCAATAGCGGGAATAGCGGGAATAGAAGCCTTTTTATTAGATTGGAAAAAGAGTGGTTTAAATCATCACACGAGAACTCCATCACCAATGGGTTTTTGTTTTCTGGTTCTCATCGCTGGGATGCACTGTAATGCACTGTATGTCTCATTATGATTACCTAGGCTCACCAACTTGTATCCTAGTAGTAATGCTATTACTACAGCCCCTGTAGGTATTACTAATTACAATAACTGCGTACTACTAATAATCCGCTCAGAGCGATCTGTGGAGCAGCGAAATATAAAATCCAGGATCAAGGCTCTTGCTTGTAAAGGCCTAAGACATAGAAACCCAGCAGAGTACGCAGTAGGATAACTGTAAATGCAAGACAGGCCAGTTTTATGTAGTATAAAGTAGAGATTCAATAACTTTTAAAACTAATATATGCATGTCACTCGGCTGTAAAAGCCAGGCTAAATTCGCTGTCACGCAGTGGTCTTCCTGTCAGTGCAGCGCTTAGCTGATACCGAAGAGTCCGTGATAGTCATAGAATATATTGCTTCTTTTCTTTTCTTTTCTGCCCTTTTTCTATTTAATAGATTGTATACTAAGGTTATTTTTCCCCATGGGGAGACATGTTAAAAAAATTGGTTAGGTCGCGATATCGACCCTCCATGATTTCAGTCTAGAAGGAGCGCAAAACAATCCAATTTTCTTGCGGTTTGGTTTAAGACTTCCTTGGTAGTGCGAAAGGACACCCTCCGGCAGCCACTCTTGTCTGCGCAATTTTTGCCAGTTGAGCTGTCTCCTCCATCCCTTTACCCATTTTGTTGCGTGGCCCGATATCCTCGAATAAAAAGCCGCCTGGCCTCATTCCTTCACCACCATCTCCAGCAATCTTGAGGCCAAATGCGCGTCGGAACCAAGCTTCGGGGCCCCAACGAGACCAGAAAGTAGCAGGCGTATACCAAGGATCTTTAAGCCACTTATAATGTTGAATACGCCCCGTAACGGCGTCAGGTTGACTGATGTATTGCTCGGGGAATATGCGGGGTAGAGTTAGATAGCGTAAGATGAACTTTCGTACAAGAAGGAAAGTGTATGTAAAGGATGTCTCCAACATTCCGGGTTCATCGAAACTGTTTCCATGTTAATATCGCACTATCAAAGATAGGTGATCCAATTTCATACCCAAAAACATTTCGCAGGCGCTCGCCTATGAGAACCATAAGAATTTTGTTCATAGGTCCTCGCATAAACTCAGGATAAGCCGACAAGAGCAGATCTCTCAATGTTACACCAAGCTTAGTGATACTTGGTGAGGGCTCCAAGTGTTTCATTTGGAAATCCTTAGCCCAGATGACCATATCGTCGAAGAATTCAATACCATCTTTCCACTCGTCTTTTCCTAGCTCGGCTTTGAAATCAATTTCCATCATGTCGCCAAGGTACCTCCATACGGTAGCGAAAGCTGCTACCTCCATATCTGACAACTCTCGCCACTCATACAGTTTCATGAAGCGAACCGGCTCATACATGTTGTCAAAAAGGACGTACAGCATATCTTCGTTCTTAATCTTGCCGGACTGTAAGTACGGATTATGCATGAAGTTTGTCCGAGCAATGCTGTTTGCTAGAGTGTCTGATCCAGGGGCAAAAGTGACAAAGCTGAAGAGTTTATCAGCGTTAGACTCTTTTTCAAGCAACATACAAATACCCTTACCTGGTGAGTAAGACCGACGTATCATCGTAGCTGTGGTAAAACGTTAGTTCAAATTAAGCTTAAAAATCACGATTTGTGGTGAATGGATAGTATATACCGCTTGGAGGCTTCCGTAGGCCGGGAAAGATCACTGACTCTATACAGGAGATTACCGATTTGATCTATCGCATAAGACTAAGAATTGTAAATATAGGTATAGCAGATCGAGAAGTCTAAAGGCCAACCTTGAAAATTGCGTATTTAAGGGCCAGATCATAAAGGAGGGGAAACTCATAAACGCTAACAGCGTGGACAATCTTTTGTGCGTCCTCATTCGTCATTCGGGACAATGATTCACGATCTGGGTAGTTGAAGCGCCGGCGCATCGAGTTAAGTCTCTGATACCGCAAAGACGAACATAGTATGAGATAGAAGGCAAAGCCAGCCAAAGAGTAAATTAGCCATGGGCTGAGCCCCAGCTGGCTAATGAAAGCTCCTCCAGCACTGAGAGATCCCATGGTACAGATGATGATGAGGAACTAGAGACCAGATTGGGAGCTGATTCCTCGGAGATATTGTAGTCTATATTTATATGTGTATAACGGTCTACAGAACAGAGTCACGTAGAGCAAGTGAGCAAGTTAGAGAGCGTTTTAGGAGGCTGAGACGTCATTGACGTGTAGACTACAGGAGGCTGATGAAGAAATCGGAGCTTACCATAACTAGGTGTCAAATATTACGCCATTGTTGTCAATAAATGGCCATTCATAGGTCCAGTCAACATACAAAATTAAAATGGTGATGGCCGGAACGGCTGATAGAACTACTGTGCGTAAGACAAGCTGACACAAGTAACAAGGGTGATTTGACAAAAATGGCTTGGCTAATCGAGACCGACATTAGTAGTAGTAAAGGAGGTTAGTCCAAGATGTAAGCGATTGCTACTGAAAGAGGCAAAGACTCATAGAGTTATTAGCACGATTTAGGTTACAAAGAAACATACGGGTAGTGACTGCCTGTTGGACGTGTAAGCCATACTACTCTCATTTAGTAATGTAAAGTCCCTTCTAGTAAGAAGTATCTTGTTGTATATTTTAAAAAGAGTTATATTAGGAAGTTACATTATTACAATAGAGGTATAGCGGGCAAACTAGTACCCACGACATATCAAAAATGAAAGATCTCGATCTAAACACCCGCACATCTTCAGAGGGCAACTACAGCAACCCTGTCCTTGTAAGGTACTATCACTGCCCTCATGTGTGTATAATCTCTTTAGCATGCCCCCCAGCGATGCGAGGTACAGAGAAAGTTAGACCAACATTGGTCGGGCGACCGGAGCCGATCTGGCAAAAGAATAAATGAAAATATATAGAAAATTAAAAGGTAGTACGTATACTTACTGATCCTGATATATACTATAGGGTTTAAATACAGGTTCTAACATAGAAGACCTTTATGCATATTGGTATTTGTATACAGATAATGTACTTATATAATACCTATAGACTTAATACATTTTGCTGTTTAAATAGGTAGCCTTGTGTAGAAGGCGCAGCCTGTTTTGGAGGATCGCTGTAGCTGATAAGCCCATGGCCACACGTACGCCTTGCATTACTAGCCCTGTTACCAACTGATATCATAGACGTCTTGGCCCAGACTTAGAGATACGATAGTGTTCCTTGATAAAATGCGTAAACGAAATCCTCAAGCTAAATAGCGAATCCTACAGTTCTTTGTCAAATTGTAATGGAAATGCCATTGCAGCGTTCTTGTATTTGGCTTCATATTACACGCTGGTGTTCTCGAAAATGCCTACTGAAAACCAGACTAGCTGGCACTAAGTTTCTTGTACCGAGGTAAGACGTTAGCCTTATAAATATGCTCATGCATGTCAGCCTCATGATAATGAGCTATATGTAGGTAACCAAGCTTACAAAAGGTAGTATTGCAATCACACAAAGTATGCGGGATTTAATAGCTAATAAAAGAGTCTCTAGCTGTTAAAAAATTATACATGTATTATTAATGATAGGTTGTCTACCTACAATTGTCCGCCAAGAAGCCAGGGTGGTACAGGAAGATTAAAGGCATATATTAATATAACACAAAAAGTCGGCACAAACATTATGATAATTAGCAAAATTATATAATCACCCATTAGACCGTTAAGCCACAGGGTAAAAGATTAAGCTAATAACCGCAATTGCGGCAATTACTGTGATAGAACCAGCTGCTTATAGGGTACCTGACTGTTAAAAGGGGCCAGGTTGTAACAAGCCATTGATGCTTGGCTTTTTGAAAGCTACATAAACGATGAATATATGTTGGTGTTTATCATGTAGCTTATGATTGTTACCAAAGGGTGGTATGGTGTGCACCCTAGTCACTTGCTGTACACCAATGATCATTGTGACTAAAGGAATATTCTCAACTAAAATATTACATTACTAGCAACGTTACTAATCCTATCAATTTGATACCTCCGCATTCAATTCCTAGAATGTCCTTCTTGGAAGGAACAGGCCATTTAACTTCAGGTCCCAGGGTTGATGTACTTCTATTTTGTTTAACATGCCATTCCAGCGATACAGAGATAGGGTGCATGAGAAACCTGAGCTACGCCTAGAATGCATTATTTGGCTTAAACATCTACTACCCGCACTTCACTGTATTTATTTCTCATGCAGTCGCTCTTTGAGGCCGTTGTGCTTGATGCAGACTTTCTAGTATATCTTAAGATTTGGCTTAATCTTGTCTTTTGCACAACCATGATAGTACACAAGCGATATAGCGGAAGATTAACGATTGGGAGATATTGTTACCTTCGATTTTCGCCAGATTTATACAGGTATTGATGCTATTAAAGAGTTGAACCTATATATATATATATATATATATATATATATATATATTCATATCATGCCATTGGCATTATGAGTACGAAAATGGACTTGTTATAACTTCTAATAGTGATGAAGTAGACAAGAAGAGCTATAAATTTAACAAAGATATTATTCATGACTTGTCCAGCAAGCATATCTTAATTACCTAGAACATCCAATTTGAATCCACGAGCTGTTTAATTTAGTTTTTTGGTTGAACATCTCCTGTGAAAGTAACTGCTTTACTCGTCTGTCCAGCCGCCTTTTTATCCAAGCTGATATTATTATTGAGTTTTTTCGTTTCTTCATCAATTTTGTCCTGGTTATCCGCTCCTTGAGCTTGTTGGATTTGAAGAGCTGACACCTCCAAGAATAGTTTCAAAACCTTGTTTTTAATCTTGCCATTCTGAAGTGCTGTTGCCGCAGCGCCGCTGGCAGCTTTAATTTGACCATTAAAGGCGTCTGTTTCAGCAGCCTCTGCAGTCTCCCGAGCTGCGTTGATAATAGCTAGATCTGAACTGGAGACACCTTTCAAATTGTTTGTATCAATCTAAGAGGAGTTAATTGATGGTCGGTAATTAAATGACTAAATTTGCGTACCGGAAATTTTGCTTGAGCTTCACTCAAGGCATTTCCCGCTTCCCCACTAGAAATCTGAAAATCGGCATATTTGCGGAATTGCAAGTCTCTTTTCGCTATTGATGTGCCAGTAATGGGCAGTGCAATAGTTGAAGAGATTAGGGAGATAGCGGCACAAAATTTGACGAAATGCATGATGAATAGATGAGTAGAGTTGATGAGAGGATAAAAAAGTGTGGACTGTGTAAATATCTATTGTAATTGGAAGAGTTTATCGGTGTTTGTCTAACGAAAAAGCAAACTGGATGCAGGATATTTGCTGTAGATTTATAGGCAGTCTATTATATGAAGCTCGTATAGCACTTTCCCAGACGTTTGTGATGATGGCTTCGCAGTGTTTGTGTTTCAGGGCTGTTACAATTGAACCCCTTGAAGCCCCATGGGTGGGTCCCATCGGTCAGGCAAGAGAGCTGGAAACATGTCCACAGCGGAAATCCCAGTTTACCCGTGCCAATTAAACAAAAGCAGGAGCCAATATAAACAACAAATTTGACGTTTCATGAATGAAAGTTAGCTGAAAAGGGGAAAAAGATATATCCGTGATGTGCTAGGACTGTGTTTCCATATCAGTTTATACAAAAAATAAGCGCTTTCGATTGCCTGAGTTTTGCCAAAGGCGCTTGTTCGCACCTGCCATCGTTACAGGCAAATTAATTTTGCGGCAGGGTGCTGAGGAGCCAAGATTCCAGCGCCAAATATTCCTGGCCTTGCTGCTGCGTGCTGCCATACATGCTTCATGAGAGATTTAGGATATCGGTTCAACTAATGAAACAGCTTGCATCCTCTATTCCAAACATAGCTTGGCGTTACATATGACGGTCGCTAGTGTATCTTCTGAAGTTAGAGCAATGCCAAAACCAGCAAATGATGAAGGGAATTTTAGATTGGTTTGTCAGGACGCTTGGATAGCCGATCAGGCGTAGAAAATGCGACATGAAACATTTGTTCAACCACGTTACACACAAAAAGTAATTAACTCTTAAAAACTAAGGAATACACCATCTCCATGATAAACTATTGTGCGAGCGTTTATTACAGCTTTAGTCGACAAGACTAAAATCGTTGCGAATCACCCTGTTACTATTATAAGGATTTTACCACTTAAGTCAAGCGCTATGCCAATATTTCTCTACAAATCCGAGAGCATAGTCCAAAACATCTTCCCATCCTTCCTGGCTGACGATACCATGCTAAGTAGCTTTGAGTTAGCGATCCTGCCACTGAATTGAGAGAAAGTACAAAGCTTGGAATAAGCATCTCGATCATCATAATAGAGGTGGATAAACTCAAAAATACTGAGGGTGTTCTTACCGAGCGTCCTTCAAATTCTTTGTACTCCACTAGCCCACTTCCCTTTTGATACGCTTTGTATTCTTTCTTCACTGTCTGAGGCGGCACAACATGATCCTTTGACCCTGAAATAAGAAGAAGTGGCGCACGGTCGCGTTTGTTAAAATCCACATGCAATACGCCTTTAGGGTGTACGAGACCACCTATTGCGCCTTGCCAAAGAACGTGTGCAATGCTAGGAATGGAGTATCGTTCGTATAATGCTTTATTCTCTTCTTCAGATATGGTATTGCCGAAACAGTACCGAAATTCGGACTCTGTAATCTTCACTGTGCTTTCGAAGTCGAAAGGGTTGGATAGGACTGGCAGCGTTGCCTTCACTGTACTGAGAGGCAGGGCAAAAACGCCAGCTGGATTGGCTGGGCAGATGGCGATACCCACTGCTCCAAGACCACGAGAGAGGAGAATTTGAACAAACAATCCACCAAAACTATGGCCTATCAATATCGGTGGCTCTGAGAGACGTGTAGTGATGGCCGTATAATGATCGCAGATTTCATCGATACTCTTATTAGCCATTGGCATTGGGTCCTCACGGATTTGCTGAGGTGTCCGGTCATCAACACCTGGCCAACCGGGAGCCAAAACATTAAATCCTTTTGCCTCAAGATAACGAACCCAATATTCCCATGAGAGAGGAGTCATCCAGAGGCCGTGGATGAGGACGACAGTACGTTTTGGAGATGCGATGTCGGCCATTTTAGCTGCATAGAGATAGAGTCTAGAAGATTGACCAAGACACGATGTAGTGATTGAATCGCAACGCTAATTCTAAACAGAAAATTATGACGGACAGAAGAATTTACTCTCCTCTGGGCTCCTCTGGGAGTCGCTGAATGCAGAGCACCCACCGTTTAGATGCGGTGCTCATACGTTCTTATACTTTTACAGCCATTACCGGCTCTGGTTCATAGGTAGTGATTAACAGAAGAATTCCAAATATTAAATAGGTTTGTGTAATAATGCCAAGTTTTCGCTTTTTAGGCAAGATGGCCCCACTCCCTTTTTTCACGTTTATAAAAGTAATCTAGATTTTCAAATGCATGGTTTTAGCCCACTCAAGTGTAGTAAAAACTCATGGGGGTGGATGTAATGCCGTTATTGAATAATATAATATAAAACTAGTAGCGTAAAGGTGGCTACCAGGTTCATACAGTATTAGAAGGATTTCTCGAGATAGATGGCTCATTTCTTCCGCCAGAAAGCTCAATTATTTTGCTGTATTCGGCATTGCTTTTCTCCTATAGAATTTATTTCTAGAGTGTAACGTGTATATTTTTCCGGCCAAAAATTAGTGTGAAACTGATGCATGGGTCCCTTAAACATCTATACGAGTACACGGTCACCTAGTGTATACTACAATCTAATCTCAATACACCCTTACCATTTAGTACAATTAGCCACCAGAAATGACCCCCCACCATTTGTTCTTTATCACGAGGCAAATGAGGTTTCTTGCTCTTGGAAATAGTATAATGGGAGCATATTAAAATTCGAATCATGATGATTCGGGCCCACATGATCGAAATAAATAGGAATCGCCGCGATCTTAACAGTATCACTCGAATTAACAACATTCAGCTATGAGACACTTGCATGAACTAAAAGTAGTCACTTCTATGAGTGGATGGATAAATGCTCGCATAGGGTAAAATACTTTAGGATCCTTCCATACATGAACCACGTATATGCAAGCTGCGTATGTTCGTCTATGCGGACCCCTCGTACTTTCTTATGCATACTGATGCTGTGTGTTGGCGCTTCTATCCCAAACTAGCTCGAATAGTTCTGGCCGAACCCCCAGCCTCTATTCCGCACTACACAACTGAAAGTACGATGCAGTGAAAGCTATAGTAAGTACGGCCGAAACTAGAGTCACAATAAGTAGTTCTACAGACTAGAGGGTGGGTATGTTGAGCACCTACTATTACAGCTCATTGTCGTATATTATACGAGGAGTGTACTAATAGCGGAATCCATTTGCTCTAAATGCATGCTCAAGTTGCCGAAATAGCCGAGACATTTGATAGCCTTGATATCTATAAATGACAAATTGATCGATCACTCGCCAACTAGCATAATAGTATATAGAGCATCATTGACATATCCTCGTGCCAAAGTTATAAAGCTTCGAGCGATCTTTTTATCCTAGCTATGAGTCTGAGTGCGTAGCAACTCGTTAATTTTCTACAATTTTATTTCAATTCATATAACAATATTGTTACATCTTACAATGGCGGAGATTCCAATTGGCGAATATCTCTTCCGCCGTCTCAAACAGATGGGCATTGAGACAGCTTTCGGTGTTCCTGGAGGTAAGGTACCGCTACATTTTATTCGTCGAGCCACAAGCTACTTCTAATATCTAATACCGGTTGTCCATGTCTAGACTATGAACTTGCTCTTCTTAACCACGTAGAACCTGCCGGTGTACGATGGATCGGTACCCCAAACGAGCTTGTTGGAGCGTATGCTGCTGATGGATATGCCCGCCTCAAAGGTGCTGCGGCACTTGTCACGACATTTGGACCAGGCGAATTGAGTGCTCTCTGTGGTATTGGTGGAGCTTTCTGTGAAATGGTCCCAGTTTTGCATATCGTCGGGTATCCGTCATTTGCAGCTCAGTCAAGCGGACGGATCTTGCACCATACTCTTGGTGACAAAAGCTATGAGTGAGTTTAAGCCTCTATCTCGCATTAGAGCTCACATAATGAAGTTCAATATAGCCACTACGTCCGTATTTCTTCGGAAATGTCTTGTGCAACTACCATTTTAAAGGATCCAGAGAACGCTATCGCCGAAATCGATCAAGTTTTGAATGGTATGTGTACATCAGGAGAAATCTCTGAGATCAAAAACTTCTCTAACCTTCTCAATAGCGATGATGTTTCACTCTCAACCTGGATAGTAAGTCTCGAAATCAATAGCTTTTATGGTTTATTCTTTGCTCATACCTGTTAGCATCGGCATTACGGAGGATGTCGTCAAAACAATGGTGCCTGCCTCTTCACTGAATGCGACATCAGTCAAGATGACACTATCACCCGGTCTTGAAGATGACCACGCTTTGGCAGCCATCATGGCAGCACTAGAAGCATCAAAAAACCCTATTGTGGTTGTTGACGGCGGTGCTGGTAGAGGTAGCTGGGCTCCTCACGCCAGCGATCTCATCAAAACGCTCAGATGTTTACACTTCAACACCATTATGGGCAAGGGCGCCGTTGCAGAGGATGACCTCTTGTTCGCAGGCTGTTATGCTGGCGTTGGTTCCTTGCCGCTAACGAGCAAAGCTGTCGAGAATTCAGACTGTATACTATGGCTTGGCCATATGCCCTCTGATTTTAATACGTCAGTGCCCCAGCGCCATGCTCTACATTACCTTATCGTACTCACTTTGGCTACAGAGGAATGTTCACCGATCAAGTCAAATCTTCATTAATTATTGACTTTCAACGGTTCCATATCGCTGTAAAATATACCCACGTGGCCCTAATATTGAAAGAATACTAACAATAGTTGGCTTTAGGTAGGGAATAAGCAGTTCCAAGCAAGAATAACCACCGTAAGTCAAGAGTAGAGGATATGCGCAATAGTTCAGAGTCTCATAATCAGCAGGTTTTGCCCAGATTGACTCAAGCAATCAAAATGAGTATTGTTTTGGCTGAGAAACTGCTTCCAGAGCCTGTCGCACCACTACTTGAACAAGTTTCGGGCATACCGGCATCAATAATTACGCAAAATTACCTTTGGCCTGTATTTTCTGCAACCCCTAGACAAGCAAGCTGACATCGACTAACCCCTATCTCTCTTTACGCAGCGCCTATCTTCCTTTATCAAATCGGGCGATATGGTTGTCGCAGAGACAGGAACCTCTCAAGTTGGAGCCGTCGCTACCAAAATGCCAAAAGGCACCTATTACTGGACACAAGCAGTTTGGGGAAGCATTGGTTATGCCATTGGCGGTGCCGTAGGTGCCGCGATTGCTGGCAAAGAGCTAGGTCGTTACAAGAGGATGATTATTTTCACTGGCGAAGGAAGCTTGCAATTAACAGCGCAAGCTATGTCAATATTGAATCGCCATGGGGTAGTCCCTTATTTGTATGTCGTCAGCCACTTATTAATGAGCGAAGGTTACATACTAACATGGGAGCAGATTCATTCTTAATAACAATGGGTATCTACAAACCTTTCATTCGGAGAAGAGATTAGTGGATGCTAATATAACATGATTAGATACACTGTTGAGCGCTACTTTGAGGGCTGGGACGCTTCTTACAATGACGTGCCTGGTTGGGACTACGGCGGACTCTTCAAGTCGTTTTCCCCTGAGGTTTCGACAAATACATTTAAAGTTCGAACAGCAGCAGAGCTTGACAGGATACTCTCTGATGATGATTTCCAGAACGCAACGAGTCCACAGGTGAGACTTATCCACTATCACTCAATGGTATCAAATTGAACTGACTGGCTTGCAGTGCATCGATATGGTGCTGGATAAATATGATGCTCCGGAAGGGCTTAAAGCTATATTTGACTTTAAGAAGAAATTGGCGAGCGCTTAAGTCTGCAATCCCGATGAGATAATGAACAACCTACCATAGGAGTAGGAGACAGGCTTTCATTTAGTTGAACTTAAACTATATTCTTTGTTCCTATAAAACTCCTTGCTCATGTACAATGGTGCTGTTGACACTTATTCTTTTCCAGATGCTCGACAGAGGACTTGTTCGCGCCAGATCTCAAAGCCCACTCAGTCTGGGTGGTTATACGGATTTGCCAATGCCAAAAATACTAAATCCCTCAGCAGCGAGCAACTTTCTCGAACTTCAATACTCTAGATCCGCTGATTCCATAGCTTCATCCCACAGATCAGCCAAGTGGTGCTCGTCGCGAAAATTCTCAGGCCATGCGATGCGACTCAGAGCCCTTTTTGCGCCATCCCATGACGTTATGCGTATTACAGTGCTCCATAACCGCAGCTTTGAAGTAAACCACTGCATGTCTGCTCTGTTACTTGAAGAAGACGCCTGGCTTGATCGTCCACTTGATCGTGCCCCCGGGCTAATCACCATCCTGTTCGTTAAGCGGGGGATGTTTTGGTCATCACTCTCGTCTTCATCGCTACTACTCGCTTCATCGGTTGCTTCCAGTGGACTCTTGGTCATTGCATAAGCGCCAAGCATGGCTTTCCATAGCCATAACTCTGAGCTGTGTGCTCCGACGCGCATCGCTTCTTCTGTGTGAACGAGATCTTGGCGCAAACTGCTGATCAACCAACGCCACAGATGTTTGTCCATATTCATTGCCTCTTGAGCACGATCTTGCTGCTGCGGGAGGCAATCTACAACCAAATGAAGATAGAAGTATGCAGCGCACGCCCAAGCTCGCGAGGTAGATGGGAAGATGACAGGCGGGAGATTTGCGAAGGGATACTCTAAAAAGCTGACATACTGGTCGTCCATATCCTCTAAATCGTCTCGCCGAAGCTGCGAGCTGGGTCTCGAACCCCGCGCCTGACCTTGGCCGTGGTCGCTTCTATCGCCTCGTGCGGGTCTAGAAGGTTTGAAAAGTAATGAGACAATGTATGATTCTGCATCTTCTCGAAGAGTCTCTCGGATCTTTTGTTGATTAAGCGATGCTATATCCTCTTCCTCCCCACCTTGAGTACCCTCATTTGGAACAGACTTAGACAATCGGCGCAAGGTCGTTGCGATAATCTCACATTCGGCATCAGCATTGCAAGCTTCAATGTCCGGTGGAGTTGAGTAATAGAAGGGTGATAGATGTAGACTAAGAAAAGGAACAGCGCTGAACACAGGCCGTGTTGGTCGTGTGAAATGGTAAGCCCGCTCCAGACTCTCGCGCGGCTCGTTAACAAAATAATGAGACTCGTTGTCGTTTCCGTCTTTAGATGCTGCAACTAGGCTGGCTGCCCTAAGAGATGGAAGAAACCATGTTAGACCGAATGGTGACGCAAATATTAGTAGTTTTTTTTTTGGTTTTGGACAGGCTTACAACAGAACAAGTCTTTCAAGCAGTCCGAACAGCCTGTACCTGTCCTGGTCCGAATGTCGATCATCGTACAGCCGGGCTAAAGCTTTTAAATGAGCCTCTGCAGCCTTTTTATCGCCCAAGGCAGCCTATTTACATCGTCAGAGTCGAATTACGTTAGCTCTAGGGAGGACGCACCTCAACCATGGCCAGGCCGACCATAGCCGATATACATGTATCACTTTGGCTCAGCAGAGGATCGCCAATCATGCCATTGACAACACGGATTGCTTCGAGCTTGTGATGAAGCATGGTCTCTTCGATTGCTTGGAGCGAACCACCGGCCCAGACATGATGTATACCGGCTATGAGTAAGAAGGACCTGAATGTGGCTGCATTGTGCGTGACAAACCCAGCACTAAAGAACACTGTTTAGTCATGGAACATGCGAAGTTAAGGTATTGGGGCGCATCTCCTACAGGCTAGCATTAGGATTTTTAGCCACGACAGTCGTTGTCAAAAGACGAAAGTGAGTTCCTATGAGGAGACGGATTTAGTTCAATCGTTTCATCTCGCAAATTCGTCAGATGCACTAACCATGGTGAAGCAGTTTCATCGACTCAAACGGCATAGGGATAGGCAAAACTTCGAATAAATCTAATCCCATAGGATCCGACGTGGCATTCGATAGCGTGGTTCTGAGCCGCATATTCGGCCCAACAGCGTCATAATGGCAGCCACGTCCATGCACTAGGCAGTTGGTACTAGAATTCCACAATAGAGTAAGTCATTACTACATACATGCAATCTCATACGGCCCCCATACGTTATCGTGTGATAGCTTACCAATAAGGCTTCAGTTCGTCGCAGCGGATATGTCGCTGCTTACATTCGCGGCAACCATTGCGGCTTCGCGTATGGTGCCTTCGACGGCGGGCTCGGTGAGAGTCGGAAGAGCTCATCTTAGCTGCCGTTTCGTGTATATTCGGTCAAGGCGAAAGTTTAACTTTGCGGCTTAACAATTCTAGAAGTGGTAGGTTGTGTTGGAGAAGTTGGATTCAATAGACCGTGCATCTACCCTGAAAGTCTGCTTCGGGTGAGTGAGGCCTTGCTGCTGGGAAAGAATGAAGCTTGATATGTATATATAGCTTGCCATGAAATGCTAAAACATTGAAATTCCAAATATCAAGCAAGGACGAGGCCATCCTCGGCCGCCAAAAAAAAGTTATGGATACTGAAAGGCCGGCGATGCCGCCTTTCTCGGGTCAAGTAATCCACTTTACGCCGAAGCAGCAACTGCTGGGCCGGCAGCAAGAATTCACGGGCCTGCCGCCCGTGGTTCAGGCCCCTCTTGCACTGTAAAAAGCTTGTCTTTTATCTGTGGCCCACTCCCAGCCGAGGAATGTTGTGTGTTTTCTCCAACATTTTATCCACTTATACGAAATAGTAATACGATGACCTACTCTACACCATATGATCGAGTGATTTCCACATTCAAAAGCTGCTCTTCCAGCTCTTGAAAGTGGAAATCCTATTCCGGCTGCCGTGCGCAGTTCATGTTCCGCATCGCCGCCTTGAGTGATAGATCAAAGTTCTAGTTGTGCAGGCCTCGGCTGCCAGGTGGGGCCACTCAGCCAATCTCACCTGGAAATACTTGCGGTTGCCCTGTATTATTTGTTTTCATTTGCCCTCCCTATAACACCTCGCAGCGACCGACAACACGTTTTCGAACTTGGGTGCACTTACAGATAGGTTCGTGATGTCGCATATAACGAGCAGAACGCAGGGTTAATTAGGTAATTGCTCCACAATCCGCCGTTGTAAGAATTGCCAAAGAACAAAAGATTTATCTAAATTATCTAATGGGACGAGCCGCCAGCAGACAGTTGCCAAAACTGTAGTTCGCATTCAATCGTTCCTCAGCAACCTCCATTACAACAGTAGTGAGCCATTCTCTTCACAAGCCTCTCTATTCAAATGACTAGCCTTCTAGACAATACGAAGGAACACACATAGTGAATTAAACAAGATGGGTTAAGTAAACAACGAAGAGAGAAGAGGCGGCTGTTAAATGCATAGAAAATGACCATCCCAATTTTATAAGGCTGACCCGGAAAATTAAGAACAAAAGGGGTAGGGCTGGAAGAAATTGCCGTGCTTACTACTACCCACAATAATAAGCCTACTTGGCAGAATGCAGAATCAAATCGGCAGCCTTCTCAGCAATTGCGTAAACAGCCGCCTGGTAATGAGCCGCAATAGGAAGTGGAATGACACTCGCGTCCACGACGCGCAGCCTATCGACACCATATACGCGTAATTGGGTATCTACAACTTTGCCCATTGATGCAGAGCCTCCGGCGTGATAAAAGGTGTTGCCTACACGCTTAACCCTTGCGTCAATTTCTGCATCTGTTGAACTAGCGTTCAGGGTCGGATATCCAGCGGGAGGAACTTCGTTCTCGATAATGCTACTCCCGGATTGGGTTTCCTGGAGCAATCGTAAAGCTTGACGAATGCCGTACCGAAGGGCTTCGCGATCAGCTTCTGTTGCGTAGTAATTTGGGTCGATCTTTGGTGGCGTTTGAGGATCATTCGAGGTAATAACGACAGTGCCGCGCGAAGTAGGCGTCATTCCAAGCACCGCCGTCGTTACATGCGTTCCATCCAGCGGGATCGCAACATCAGCGAGTTGCGCGCCAGCGGGTGCGTAAGCAACTAGCGTTTCCAAGTGACACCGCTCTGGCTTTAGAAGGCCGTGGGCGTCGGGATCCTCGCCATCGGCATTCAACGCTCGGCTTATGATCCCGACCGGAACTTGCGAGAAAGCAATCCAATCAGATGGAAGCCCTTTGCTGTAGGCCAAGTCTTTCCATTCCGGGGTTCCCAACGCAGAACCCCGCTCGGGATGCCGCAACTTCCACCAGAGACACACTGCTAGATGGTCGTGAAAATTGCGGCCCACTTCGGGACAATCAACCGTCAACGGGATGTTGTGGCGTGTAACATCTTCCTTAGCTCCTATGCCAGACAGCATCAATACCTGCGGCGTTCGATACGTCCCACAAGAAAGTATGATTTCTCTTGACGCGGTTATGGTCTGACCCCCAACTAGTTCCACTGCTGTTGCAGTCTTCACCCCTGATAGATCTTCGACAATTACGCGGTAGACGACTGTAGAACAAAGGACTGTCACACCCGACAGATTGTATGCCTGAGATGCACACTGCCGCTTGCCATCCCTCCAAGATTCCGCCAACTCGGTGAGCCCTAGCGGTTCACCACCATTGGCGTCCCAAGCTTTTTCCACCCCAATCTCCAACCATGCCCGTTCTATGGGTTCTCGAAGGGGGTATTTTCGCATCGGATCACTGCTAGATACAGACACCACATTGATCGGCCCGCTGGTTCCGTGCTGCTCGGGATCTACCCGAGGACTGAGGGTATACTGTTCTGTCTTCTTGAAGTAGGGTAGGAGGCCACGATAGCTCCATCCGGAATCGCCAACTTGATCAGCCCAGCAGTCAAAGTCGGCAGCCGACCCGCGAGTCCATGTACCGTAATTGATCGCAGAGCCTCCTGACAGGGCCTTTGCGGCTGCTGCGTAGCATTGGCGGCCGCCTAAGTGCTCTTGGGGCGCGGTACTGTAAGCGTAGTCGAGATCGGAATAGTGCGCCGCGAAGCAAGCGAGCGGGGCGGTTGTCAGAGGATGGCCAGTAGGATCCTGCCCTGCTTCGATCAATACAATCGACAAAGAAGAATTTGCCTCTTTAAGGCGTGAAGCAAGGACGCAACCGGCTATGCCGCCACCAAGGATGATATAGTCCGCGCTTGCTGGGATTTTGCCAACCATGGCGAGCAATATTAGGTAATTGTACCCTTGCGCTGTAGAAACCCTGTTGAAGGTCTTTGAACGGCGAGATCTAGAACTTGAACATGCACATAGATATATATATCTTGAGCGAGCAGAGTTTTACGATTCATGACGAAGCATACAAGATCATAGCACTAAAACAATACGATGGTTGTGACGTTTTAAGCTACCTATGCATTGTAAATGGTAATTTGTTGTATCCTTGAGGGGCTATCGGTGAGGGCGATTTAGTGATGCAACTATCACCAAGTTCTCAACCAACTGGTCCTGAAGCTAATTTAATCAACAGCTGACATAATTTTCGTTAAGCCTCTCTAGTTGGTTTCTCGCATTTTCGGTTCTCGCTCATTGGCTCTCGCTGATCGATTCTCGCTCATTGGTTCTCGCTCCCCCGTTCTTCGTTCTTCGCTCTCCGCTCCTCGCTTGCCGTTTGTTCGCTCCATACATATTTGATCCTCGCGTTCTCGCTTCTCGCAACTTTGTGTTCTCTCCCTACTCCATCTTGGCCCTCATATGACATCGCATATATCTTTTTTGACAAATCCAAAATGGCTTTTAAGAAAGTATCCCATAAAAAAGTCCGGACAGGGTGTGACTCGTGTAAACGGCGCCGTGTCAAGGTATGTATGATTGCCCAGACAACATGTGCTTGGCATGCCTAACAAGAAGCGCCGCAGTGCGACGAGTTAAAGCCGATATGCAGTGGCTGCATTAGACATTCATTAGAATGTAGTTATTCGACAACTGTCGACACATCTGGGCGCTTGAAGCATGAATCCCCAGACAACTCTCCCTTTTCATTTTCGGACTTTAAACTGATGCACCACTGGAATATCTGCACGGCCGATACACTTGCGCCGAATGCAGCCTTACAACGTGCTATGCGAGAATTCATTCCCGTTTTAGCCATGAACCACAGATATCTAATGTGAATTACCTCATCCCGCCTTATTAACTATACTTGTTTTAACCAATATATGTCCGTCCTAGGCACGCAATGCTAGCGTTGACTTCTCTCCATATGGCCTACCTGCATCCAACCGAAGCGAAAGAATACGAAAAGCGGGCTGCGCATCATCAGAGCCTTGCTCTTCCGCTCTTCCGCTCAGCTCTGACTAATGTTACGGAGAGCAGCAGCCATGCTCTTTACGCGTGTGGCCATCTTGTCATAAAATACTCGTTTGCCAGTCCGCAGTCTCGGCGGAATCTGATATTTTCGCCGGCCGTTGGAACCCCATCAGAGTTTATTGGCCTTCTTCGCGGTGCCTTTACAATGCATGGCTATGCCGAGACATGGCTTTCCAATGGCCCACTCGGCTTCTGTTTGGAAAAGCCACTGGATGAAAACCCCGACTTCAGCCAAAATCCCGATGATTCATACCTCGCTCAACTTTTATATCTGCTGCTTGCTGATAGTTCTGAAGACAGCAACCTCTGCTGCGCAGCCCTCAATAGCCTCCGACGACTACTTGCCATGGCTGCCACTCCCGGGCAGACCATCACTATCAAAACTCTTACATACTCCTGGCCAGTGCAAGTCCCTCAAAAATACATCACTTTGATCAGTGAAAGGAAGCCTAAGGCCCTCATAGTTTTAGCTCATTACTGTGTCATGCTAAAAATGCTCGATTCTTTTTGGTTTATGGAAGGCTGTGCCGCAAGGATCTTGGAGCAATGTCGACAGAATTTGGAGAGCCAGTGGCACCGTTACATTGAATGGCCACTATCTGTTGTAGGGATATACGACGGAGCAATATGACTATTTAAATTATGCTGTCATCTCCAACATGGAACGTGAATTACAAGCTATCCATATGCGTGAGGTTATATTCCCCATACTCCTCTGCCTCTAAGCCATCAACAAGATCCAATACTTATCTTTGGTTGACTCAAGACTAAGGCTAGTTCTGTATCTCTTATATTCACAGCCGCAGAATATCTTGAAGATCAACTACGTCCACAAACTTTGGCAACACCTTTGTCATCAAAAATTTATGCACCTCCGCATCATCATCCATAATTCCCTCTTCCACGCAACTGATATGAAAATCCAAATCCGCGCCCCCTCTTGCCGATCCTAAGATGCTCCCCATTGTTGTCAGGCCCACTAATACAATGTGTCGAACGCCACGTGCCCGTAGATATGAGACCAAGTCCGATGAACCAAAGCAATTCGGCTGCAGTTTGCCCAAGACAATTTCATCCTTGTTGCCCCAGCTACCCGGCGGCGTTAATTCGGCCGGTATACCATAATGCGGATGGTGTGGATCCGAGGGTGCATTCGCAAAATACCCTGCCTTTTCAAGCTGCTCAACCCATTTGCTTAACTTGTTGTAAGGTGAAACAAAGGCATTGGAGTTGAGGTTGAAGGGCAATGTATGATGGACAATGAGAGGCACCCCGTCATAAGGAGTGTATCCAGCTGTAGAAGCTTTATTCGAGCGGCGCTTGGTGATTTCAGTCCTGAAGTAGTCAAGAAGTGTTTTGATGTTGCCGATATAGTTTTTCTGGACTTCGGAAGGGAATCTCTGTAAGATTTGCGTTTGCACGTCCGAAAGAAGCAACGCGGTATGAGCAATATCTACCGGGATGAAGAAGGGTGATGCCATAGTTGATTGTATTATAGGTTTTGATTGTCCGCCAGCGGTTGTAGGTTGTTTCGAAAAGATAGTGTGCTATAATACTCGATTGAGTCTGTAGCATATTTGTGCGCAGAGGCATAGCATGACTGATTTCTTATATCTATAGGCCGAGCCGGCTTATTGTCCGGCATTTAGTAGTATAGCGAATTATCCGATCTCAGCTACACACAAATGCAAATGAGATTGTGGCTTTCAATTGTTTACTAAAATCCCGAAAATGCCTTAAAGCCCGGCTAGAAGGCAAAATCAACGTTGAAATTTTAAGGCGCGCTTCAACAATGACAAAGTATGTCCGATCCTGGTTATATACTGTAGTATTGGTAGTAATTGCGATCCTATCGGTATGTCCTTGATAGCTTCTATACTATGGTATCATTATCCAGTCCTACTACGCCTGGGTTGACATGCAATCACATATCTGGTGTGACTTACTTGCGAAGGGCCGTAGCCAATCGACTGCGACCTGATGCAAATCTACAGCGACCCACATAGCGTTTCTTGGCAATCAATACGCCTTGTGTTGGTTGATTAATCTTCGCTGATGCAAGCTTCATTGAATGCTAAATTATTTGCTAGTCCAACATTATATATACACGACTGTGTGTCAGACTAAAGGGTGAAAAGACTGAAATACAGGTCGTCAAGATTAAATGGACACTGTATTTATCACATGATGAAGTGAGCACCAGGCTACCCGAGTTCGTTTGCCTTGACGAGCGACTCTCGAGCATCCTTCCATGGGGGCCGCTTCCCTTCATCAAAAAGGCGATAGACTTGTGGTAAAAACTTCCCATCCAGAAGCGTTTTGTAAAGGCTGGGATCGGTGAACCGAAGCCACCAAGCTTTCCACCCATATCCAAGTCGCTCCTGGATGCCAAACCCTGCTACTTTGTCTGCCCATAAGCTCCATTCCAAGCTGTCCACGAGAGCAGGGTCATAAACTCCTCCTTTATTCGCCAAGTCTGTGGCCATTTTATTCTGTTTGTCGGCACTGATCGCCATCTCTTCATCAGACGGTAGCTTTGAATTGCCGAGCCACACCTGAGCGAGCGCCATTGATGCCGTGTCTCCGTTTATCGTTGCGGATAGAGTGGAACCTACGTGTTCCGAATAGGCAAGGGAATCTGGGAAATCTAGAGAAAAGATCCCTTGGTAAAGCCTTGGGAGAGGCCGGCCCATGGATCCAGGAGCGTCTTTCCAAGCTTGTGGCATATTCCGGGATGGATCGTATGGGCCGAGTAATGAATAAGACCTATCGTAGCCAATTGCGAATATTATAACATCGACTTCCAGATTTTTCCCGTCTGTTAGTTCTACGTGAGATTGATGAATTTGTTTCAGGCCAGGAACTAAAGTAACTATTCCAGAAAGAAGAAGATCGTAAAATCCGTCTCCAAGGATTGGTAATTTGTGAGGCAATGATGGAGCGTTCCCGAGGCCCCATTCCGGCTTAATATCGAATGATTAATCTTGTATTTTAATGAGAGCCTTGTGAAGCATCTTTGTTTGCTCTGAAGTTGGCACATTTGCGTTCTCATGCTGTTTACGAAGAGATGGGAAACATATGTCGTTTGCTTTGCCATATGGCAGCTATACAAAACGTCAGCTGCAGAATACAAATGATGAAAAAGAATGCTAACGACAAGACATCCGTGTCTATGAGAAATATAAATTTCTTTGGCTATTCCTACAAGGCCTCTAGCAATGTCTGTTGCCGTGGCGCCGAGACCGACGATCAATACGCGTTTTCCTTCAACGTTGTCCGGCCTATCAATACTTAGTTAGCTTTTCTAATGTTATAACGGTGTATTATAGCGCTATTTACTTTTTATAGGTTTGAGTGTTGAATACTTTGCCCTCGAACTGATCGAGCCCTTCAACGTGGGGCTCTCTCGGAGTCTGAAAGAGTCCGGTGCATACGACCAGTCTATCGAATGCTTGTTCCTCTTGATTGCCTTCTTTACGTTTGAGAATTAAATGCCACTTATTTCCAACTCGATGGACAGCCGTCACTCTGGTATTAAGCTGAAATCGAGACTTAATATTGAAATGGTGAGCATACGACTCAAGGAATGCCTGGACTTCGGCCGGGCGAAGTGGAACCTCATTGTCACCTATAAACAACAGAGAATTTTAACATGGATCTTGAAAGGAATTGCGCAAAAGCGCGAAAACGTACCGGCGGCGTAGGGGAAATCGGAGAAGCCGAACTTTGCAGCAGGATCAGTTAGATGCAGCTGACTCGAAATTACGTGTGGCGCTTACTGTGCTCCTCCTATCAATGCTTTAGTATCTGCAGAGTGGGTAAGTTACTTAGCCGATATAGATTTAAGTGTGTGTTTCATTTCTTACTATATAAGCATGTCGTTCTTTGTTCTTCTGAATAATGTCAGAGTCCGCCAATTGCATCGGCAGCATCAAATCCAGTTACATCAAACCCGACCTCGGTCAGATTCTTCACAGCCGCAATACCAGCAATCCCTGTTTAATATGTCAGTGAGAGTAGTATGTGCAATCGCAATTTGATGCTCAGATACGATGCTCACCAAGTCCAACAACGGCTAATTTGTTTCGTTCTACATTCATCGAAATCATGTTTCGGTGAGTAAATATACACGCACAGCCGAGGTTGAAACGATGGAGCAATTATAACACAAAAAAAGAAAGATCAGTAGTGATATGTCTGCCAACACCAAATTGAATCAGGATAGCAAAAGTTTTTTTTGTTTAAAGAAAGGAGAGAGACTTGATGACCGTTGGTAGGTATTGTGAGATGGGTTGAATTCCGCTGCATGGGCTGAGCGACCCGAGTAAAATACTGGCTCCCAAGTTTCCATTTCGCTTAGCAAAGCGGCTGACCTCATTACGTATGTGAGTTCATGGTATTGAGTCAAGAATATAGGAGATTTTAAGTTATTGTGATGGTGCTAGATATGTTGCTTACGCTTATGCTTACGTCTCACAAGAGTGACAAGACGAAGTAATGCGTGGCTACCATATTCATTATCATTCAGCAAGTAGTAGACTACTAGCTTTCAATTTGTGCTGTCTTAGCTTCCTCTTCGCGGGCGCACGCGCAGACATATGTGTATGACCTTACCTGCACTAAATGCTGATATCTACCGAAATATTTTCCCCTTAGCAATACTGGGATGGTCATTTGTTCATGAGTAATTAGCCCGCACATTTGCTGTAAAAACCTCAAATATTTATTAGATTTTTAACGCTCATTCAGCTATATACAGAAGGCTCCTGCGAAATTTAGTCCTTAAGTAGGTATATGTGTAGTTGTTTGTGGTATGTACATGTATCAATGCTGTATGCCATGCATTGAGCTGATCTGACCCCCGGCGAGCGCTGATGTTAGCACTAAATCAGCCGTCTGAAAGTCCATTTCATTACGAGAAAGCACATGACCCATCGACCGCCTGCTTGGTAAACATCATGAATCCATTCTGCCCGACTCCGCGAATATTCTTTACCAAAGCATTCACCGTAACAGACATTTTCGCTTTTTTTGCCTTTCCAGAAGCACTATCTCTGTCTCCAACGAAGGTCAAGCAAGTTACCATTGTCCATCTAAGCTTGACGAAATGATCACTCATTTTAACACCGAGCCAGTCTTTGGAAACTTTAGATAGATTTCCACATTTGAAGATAGTGATGCTTGAAAGTCAAGTAATTAGAATAAGGTATTTCACCTCCAACAGAAGAGTAAATTGTGGTAGTGATGAAAGAAACCGCGGTCTCGCTGATGTTTTAGCAAGCTTCCAGGGCTTTATACGTTCATTCAAACTAACAAAGATGACGATTCCTATTCTAATTGCATCTATATGGTTGGGGTGGTCTTTTCATCAATCGTGATGCCGAATGAACCAACCGCAGTGGTATAGCTAAGATGAACAGCCTTGCTTGCGTAGATTCTCATCTCTCGCTCGTACGCGGCAGTCACGCCAGGCCCATAACCGCCAGCCTCGTGTAATAATTTGCCCAACAAAGCTGAATCCTGAACGGCAGTATTAGCTCCAATGCCCCCGGCCGGCGTCATCGAATGCACTGCATCGCCGATTAGCGTAACGCGAGGCTCGTTGGGCCATTCAGGTACTCCGGATGGCGTTGAGCATGTGATCTTCCAGAAGGCCGCCTCGGACTCGGCCATCTCATCAAATAGAGGCTTGAAGCGTGGATGCCAATCTTTAACCAACGACTTTGCGATTTCAGCAGCCTGCTTACCCACTATTGTGTAATCATCGTTCGGAGCCTTGATTATGCCCGGCTGGCCACCCATTGTCCACCCAAATTCGACATTGGGGTCATCCATTTCGCTAGGACGGACGTTAGTAATGATAAATACAGCACCCTCTGGCCGTGTATTATCTCGTATGCTAAAGACGCCCTCTCCGAGGCCTTTGAAAGCCGCAGTTGGCGCCTGGCCGTGTATGCCTCTGGCGCCTGTATCATAGACCTTGAGCTTTCCTCCTGAGAGTTGCTTTGCGACTTTAGAATAGATGCCTTCGCCCCCAACAAGCATAGAGCCTTCGATCGATTTCGCTCCATCGGCAAACACAGCAACAACACCGCTATCAATTAGTTCATATCCAACTACGTGCTTGTTCCATTCAATATGCTCTTCGCAACCCGCCGAAAATACTTTCCGCATCTCTCCCCGAGCGATACCGACAATTTTGCCGCCTCGCGAGGCCAAAGTTTCGGGAGCGGCATGCTCGGTTTCTTCTCCAGTTATGGCATTATATGCGGTAAAGCCGGCGCCGCCCGTTTTACCACACTTGTCCCAGAATCGCTGGAACGTTTGAGAGTCTAAAACCGACTCAATAGCCTCAAGTCCTTCTGATGACAATCTAAGACGATACCCTTGAGCGCGAAAAGTAAACGATGCATCTCGCTCAAATATTTTAAAGGGTATATTAGATTGTCGTAGCGATTGAGCCAATAGCAAGGAAGCGAGGCCGCCGCCCGAGATCAAAATTGGCTTCCTCGTAGACATCTGCAATTTTCTTTGTAGAATACCTTCTCTAGAAGCTAATTATTATTTCAAAAGAGATAAAGAACGTATTTTTACGGGTCTATTTTGAAGCCAAGATGTATTAGGTATATATCAGTTCTTTTTAAAGCAGATGACGTCGCACGCAATATTGTACTAAAATTCAATTATAAATACAGGACCACAATTTTATAAGCACTTACAATAGCATTGCCCGCACGCAAACCCGACTGAGGAATTAATTCACTAGAGACCTATCGATAATAACTGCAGGTTATTTTTAACACTGCCGCGCTCAGTACAATTTAGTCAGCCGTTCCCGTAGAATTCAATATAGGCTATAGAGCTCAATATTTTCGAAGACATATTATATATTACTTCTAAAGGATACTTAGGATGTTTGATGTAAGCTTTTACAAAAGTGACCGAGAAAAGAAGAAAACGTCTAAACACTTATCGCTCACACCTCGATAATAGTACAAAATTTGATAATCTCCCAGCACAGCTGATTGCGGGCATTAAAAAAGCCTTAATGCACCGCAAGATCATGATGTCAAGCCATGCGCCAAGATAGCCTACGCGCAACTTTATTCCACCAAAAGAAGGGCAATATTAGACAGAGAAACATTTCATTGCGTAGATCAGATATCATCTCAGATAACAACCCAAAAAGTAATTACTGGTTATGGATGCAGTCAAAATTAATTCCCATACTTGAACCAGCTGGGCGAACTTTTTATCATGACGACAAAGTTATCACAGCACGTCTTTAGACATTGATCATCTATGATGCTATATATAATTGCTTCATCATTTAGCTGGACAAATGTAATGACTAGTCTATTTATATAGATAAAGCTGTATCAAGCTTGCAAATCTTTGACCTGGTTCTTAGTTGCCCATCTAATCCTCAAATTCAAGGTCATATGCTAAAGCATCATCGCACAGTTCTCCTCTCAATTTCATAACTCTAAAAATGAGATTAGCAGCTGTTATTTACTGTTGGGGATTGTATTCATACGGCTGGTGGGCATCGTGTGCGGCGTAGATAGGAACAGTGTCTGGCTTATCCAATACTGCCACAAGGCCGACATCGAATCCTTTTGCTCTAGAAGCAGTTATAGGCAACGGCTTTCCAAAGGATATTTTAAGGAGGCCTTTGTAGCGGATATTAATATGAATGTGTCACGTTTCCGAAGAATTTACTCACCAGGGACCCGGCCTTTCATGTCTAAAATTATCTTTCCCCAGTTTTCAACCTGCTCCGCAGTAACTTCTGGCTTCAATTTAAAGAGAACTTATTCCACTTGTTACTCAAAAACTCTTAATTCTTTGCACATTCTTGGGTCTATCATACCCACGTGGTAAACAGGCATGTTGGCGGTTCTTGGCGAGAGGCTGTGGGACTTAACTAGTTATCTGCGTGATATAGCAGTCAATGTGATCCTAGGGGTGTGTAAGACTGGCTCTACTCGTAGAGATATTAAAAGTGGTATTACGTGAGCTATTGGCCTTTTTTTCCTGTGTGGTCCAGTTGTGTTGTTGTAATCAAGAAGATAAGAAATTAACGCAGCAACATGATATAAGCCTACATTTAGCCGTACCCGCTTTGTGGACAATTCACATTGGAAGCTCCCAGCGCTACGGAAAATCAAATCACCATCCCCACGAATAAACCCGAAGTACCCGCGGAACACCTACGCCTAGTTCCGACGTACCATAGCTATCTGAGATCAACTGTGCCGATTGGGCATTTGCCACTTGGTTACAGACACCAATTGGTATCGCTGATCGCAAGTGCACTTAAGCAAAACATTTATGTATTAGTGTATTAAATATATATAATTTACAGAATACACTTTCTGTTTGCTGTGTATTTCTTTTCAATTTCCTTCCAGCGTCAATAACTCCTAGCTAATCTATCAACTCATCATGTTCGTGCTAACAATGGTGGCCAGCAGCAGCAAGCCAAGCAGCCAACTGCCGGGAATCGGAGCGTCCAGAGCACCATTGTCCTTTCCATCACCGCCGCTCGAACCTGAACCGCCGCCCGAACTGGTAGAGTTGCTTGAGGCAACCAGCTCATTGCACTTGTCCAGAGTCCCTGAAGCTGTCTGTGTCTGAGCGCTGCTGTTGAAATCACATGCTGAGCTATCCTTGTTCTGCTTTTGGTAATACTGATTAAGGACGTAGGTTAGTTTGGCCTGGTCGCCGCACATGCTGTATCCACCGTAGACACCCGTAGAAGTGTTTCCATTGATACCGTCACATAAAGTCTGATCCGACCCGCAAATGTAGTCAAAGATTTTACCGTAGTCGCTTGCATCTGTGCTGTTTGCAACAACACATTGGGCCGCCTTCACCATGCAGCTGCAGGCGTCAGTGTTCGGGGTGGGTGGGAGTTTATCGCTCGACTGCCACGTCGCATTTACTGCTGGGCAGTCTTCAGGCACATTAGAGGGCTTATAGTCAGCCATCTGGACTCCTTTGACGCTTATTTGCTGGATCTGGTTCTGAAGCGCGGCAAAGTCTTTTAATTTGCTCACAGAATTTCCGCTGACTTGGACGAGACCTATGCATTTCAATTTCTTAATATCAGCCATCCCAAGCCGCCAACCCAGACTTCTCCCTTCTTCTTCTCTTGAATGGTAAATCAGAATTGCTCCAGGCAGAACGTACCGTAGTCGTTGGTCTCTTCAAAGTATTCATAGACAATGCCGCCGCTAAGTACTTCCGTCATGTTTGGTGCGTAGAGCGCACCTGTTTCTTGGAAAATACGACCTGCAGCGCCGTTTGGAAGGTTGCAGCCATATTCTGCGAAGAATACCGGAACAGAATAATGTTGGAAGAAGTTGAGAATCCTATTATAGCCGGACGTTTCAAATGTTTTTTGGCCGCACCATTCGTAAACATTGTAGCCGAAGAAGTCAACTGACTCTTCTGTTGGCCCGCAGTTGAAATAAGCCGCTATCTGGTTCCTGATATCTTGGTCGTCATCTGCGGCATATCCGACACCCATGGCGCGATATTTCTTGTCCTTGATGTATTGTTTCACATCTCGCACGGCGGCCTTGACGTAGGACGAAGCAGACGTAGTAGTGGCATTATTTGTGACCTCATTGCCAACAAAAAAGCCTATGACGTTTGAGTAATTGGAGAAGCTGTCTACTACCTGCTGGAAATGAGTAAAGAGATCAACGTTCCATTGGGGATTTTCGCGATCTATAGATTGTTGCGGATTGCTGAGGTCAGAAATAACGTAGATACCCGCATCATTAAGTAAACTCATGCAAGCAGAGTGATCTGCGGCCGGATCGATCGCGTAGGTGCGAATGACATTAGTCCCAAGCTCACTCAGTAACGGAATATCACGCTTGCAGTTGGCCTCATTCGCCAATGGATCGATGAATTTGGTACTTGTGGTTGTTGCGCCATTGGCGGAAGAGTCCTGTTGGTAGGCAACCCCTTTTAAGAAGAATTGAGTTCCGTTGGCGTAAAAGAACTTGGAGCCCTAAAAGTTGGTCATGGGGCGTGAGAATCAAATCCAATACCGTAGGCCATTTGGCCATTACCGTTGTGATGACCAACTTGACGCAATTGAGGAGAATTCGTAAACCTACTTTAATCTGAATTGGCTGCAGCTCAGCGCTTAGAACGTTGCAAGCGAGCGTTATAATGGGAAACAAAACTCTGTACATCCCCATGGCGGTCGTAATATGACGATATATTTATGATCTTTAGCGATAACAAGTCAAGGTGGATGCTTCCGTTGCCGTGAGCTCCCACAGAAATTCGTTTGGGAATAATACTAGAGATCTCGCTCGTAGCTTTCGGATAGGCAGCAGTAATCCGTAGAGGCACAAAAAAGGCAATACAGATTTATCCAACGTTAAAACTTCACAAAAGTGGCCGAGAAGCTAGGTAGCGGGATCGAGAGGGGGGGGGGGGGGGAATACAACAGATTTCTGCCGAAGGAATAGGTCGATAACCTGTGGGTTGCGAATTAGATGTTACTTATACAAATGCCATTCTCGATTGCGCATATACAACGGATATCGACCACCGAATTAAGCACCAGAGCAATCGAGTCAACAATACTTGTTTGTTGTCGCAGCGAAAATCAGCTCGTCGGAGCGTTTAATCACACGCGGGGGGATTCCAGGTACGGTAGAGTGAGCGGCCGGGACAATTTAATGATTTATATTCAGTACCCTCCATCATGAATTCGGCGGCTAGGCAGGAACTCAGGCACATCCGCTATGATGACAGGGGGCAGCGGCGAAGAAAACCACGGCATCCTACAGGAAGGGTGTGGGACCATGTCGCTGAGAACCGTACAACGCCAACGCGTGGCAGAGACTAAGCTACTAGCATATTTAGCCAGAATGTTAGGCTGACGCGTTTTGACTAGATGTCAACAAAACGGATGATGATTTGCGATGCAGTTACAACTATGTAGCTGATGTTTACATGAATACGAACCACAAATACGACATTCGGTATCGTTGTGCCGCTAGTAGGTGGTATGCCGTTCCGCTTTATGGTTGCTGGGAGAAAATAGCATCAGTGCTAGTAGGTATCTGCCCGTCTTTGGAGTGAGTGCCCATTCCATACGAGACGTTTTAGCCCTGCATGCCGTTGCTTCGTGACGTAACGATACCTCACTCCGCATGGACGCATAGCGCGTACTCGTGCAATGATCTGTAACTTTTTTGGGTATAAATGAGAGAACAAAAAGTCATTCTTAACAAGCCATCTACCACGGAATTGGCGATAACTACCTAGGTAGGCTCTATAAGTCACGGTACCAGGCAGAATAGTCTCCAATCCACAATATACACAGGAGACAGCGAAGTGAAGCGATACATGTGACGGATATCTAAAATTAGAAATGAAAATGCACCCTTTGCCATTGGAGATGATAGCATGGAACATGAGGGTACTACTTCAAGTAGGTAGTACAAGTACCTATGTACGTAGTATGTGAAGCGTGTAGCTAGAGTTGCAAAGCCGCGGTGTGGTGCCACTAAATGGATCGCTGATCCACCGATTTCCTAGCAGGCGTATAAGCTAAGTACATAAATCGGCCGCCGATATGCAGCGTTTCGCGAATGTCGGTACCATCTCCTGCGAGGCACTACGGTATTGGCCTTGAAAGGGCCAAAGGGTGTTGAAAGAATAACGATATTCCCCAATGTCAGTTGGAATAAAGGTAAGCCAAAACGGGAATATACAATAACCCTTACGCCACTCATCTCGTATCCGAAACGATAAGAGTAGAATATGTACACCGTTTATTATGTCACTCCCATTAGATATTCAAAATTGAACGCAAGTGTCAGCGGGAAATTACAGCTACCATAAACTGAAAAATACACAAATAATTTATTTTCTTCTACTTACCTTTGAAATTATTGACGACTACCTATCCGTGTGGGGTATGGCAGTCAGCAAAAATACGCCGTTTACTTTTATCGAAAGTTTACATGCGAGTAGCTTACCAGTTACGTACATTCGATACAACTCTTATATCAGCTGTGTATGTTATAGCTACGTTATAGCTCTTCCGGCAAGGCCTTTACATATGAGATCAATGAGAATAGTATCTAGGTTCAATTTTCTATAAGTGTAAACACTTCAGGGTACTTTGACAAACCACACAATGATCATTGAACCCAGTTCCCCTCAGCTAATTTTAGCGCTTAGAGCCTACAGTGGCCTTCTCTTTTAAAGACGAGATTATCGACACTCTTGACTGCTACCAGCCTGTTTGGGAAAAAGAGTTCGGTTAACTAGCTCTCAGTATGGATCTCGTTCCTGCTGCGGGGTGTCGGCATCTCGGATAAGGCGGCAGCCTTTTTACAGGTTGTCATTCATCGCCACCACTTGTTGCTACCAACGGGCCCCCACTTGCGTACAGGGAATCCAATCCATGAGGAGCCCAACAGCCTTTTCCGAGACATCCAGAGCCTAACAGAGCATCAAGAAGACTAGGCAATCACTATGGGCAGGCGAAATAACGTACCGGCACTTTATAAGAGAGGGGCTTGACGAAGGAGACAGCCTCATCAAAGGTAATTTTGCCACATAAGTAGTCTTTCGAAGTGCTACTCCGAACTGATAATATACTAATTTGCGTAAAGATGAATTGCCTAGGGGATGAGCTAGCAGGTAGGGGGCACCAGAACAGCTGTAGAAAAGCAATACATGGAAAAGAGACAGTACTAGTGCACTGCGGTAGGAGTGGCGGCATGAGCATAGGTATGCGGAGAAATTGGCTCATGGCGTGGCAAGAAATGAATAGGCGCGTTAAAAACTAGAATATGAGCACCTGTTACACTAATTGACTCACGATATTGGATGTGCATAATCTTGGCGTGGGTGCTCAATGTTCTCACATATTCTATTTCTCTCTCTCCGGCTTGCATGGGTATATGAAGAGCGATTATAGAACCCATTAGGGAATATCATAATAGAACTATGGTACCTGCATTATGTTCTTAGCGGTTTATGGAAAAGGGGATTGTCTTACTACCCTTTGGCTATAAACTACAGTTGCCTATTTCAATTCTATCTCTAGTATCCGATCTCGCTACCGGCTGATTTGCATTGCCATGATCCAAGCTAGATTACTATTCGACATTAGATGCGCATCTTCTTAGCACATATCTCTATGTTTGCCTACATGTTAAACTGTCTCGATGTGCAACGTACTAACCTTCTGCATTATAACTTGGCCTTTCCCCCATAATCTTATCACTCTTGCCATTGGCTACCCTGTTGCGGTTTCATACCACCGCCTTCGCCACGCAATTTTGTCAAAACCGCGCCGCGAATAGCAAATTATTAATTGAATTTATGGATAAACTTGGCTCTACATTAGTAAACAAAGGGTAAAAGAGAAACAACCCCGGTTATAATGATCCTGCGTATTTTATTCTTGGAAACTAGTACATTGCGTTGAGACAGATTATAAAGCCGAAAAGAAAGCTCTTCCTCCAAAAAAGGAATTAAACCGTCTAGTATTACAGCTACAACAAAGCTAGATAGACAAGACACTTGGAACAAATTGGACTTGATGAACCATGTATTTGTATAACCTTTCTATTCCTTCCGTTATTAAATGCATTGCGTGGAATGCTGAGAAGTACTTAGGGGTCAATCGCCGATTTCTTAGCTCTCAAGTCTTCAAGTCCTTTCATTACCTCTCGTTGTCTTCCATCATAGTTCACGGTTCGCATCCATTCTTCTAAACTTTTAATTCTCTGAGGATGAATTTTATCCAATAATGTCATGTCTCTGGTCGCACCCTTACCCTCGCTCCAGTACCGCCACCAAGCGGTAAAATTCTCTCTCCAAGTCATTATATCCTTGTCTCGAATGGCATCGGGGCCCGCTGCCCAATTAGTATATGCATTGGGGTAAGGTTCGGCAAGATCCAAATATTCATCGAGTGATATTTTTTTGTGAACTCCTTTCTTTCCAGTGACCTTGGTAAATGTATTCGCGATGTCGGTCATACTAACTTGGTCAGTGGCGACCTCTAGATCAAGCCCAGCTGATTCGTGTGGGTTGTCGAAGATCCATAGGTTATAGACGCCCACATCTTCAAGAGCTATCAGTGGTATCTTGCCATCACCTATTCGAAATAAGTTAGATTACAAAACTTCTAATTGAACCTATTGGCAGTATCACTGGACATACTGGCAGGATTAGCCCAAACAAACGATCCGTCGTCTTGCTCCTTTGGCACATACATGCCGTCGAAGAGCATATTCATGTATGGCCCGGTGGTAAAAAGTGTCGTCTTCATGCTTTCTTGGCCATGGCTGAGTATGAAGTCACCGATGCGACCTTTGGCATCGTTATGACCCCAGTGATATTTCTCATCCCAACCCGATTTGCGAAGTGCATAATCTGAATTGGCCCAAATGTAATGCTTTACCCCTTGGTGTCTAGCTATCTCATAAGCCCTGACGCCGTAAAAGCCCTCGTTCTTCTCGCCAAGAGTGAACCCGTCTAGGTTAACCCAAGCTCCATAAACTCCTTCGAACGCTCTTCGGAGATCCTCCAAGTTGTCTTGGCTACCTTCGAGGAGGGTAACATTGGGCAAAGCGGCTAGTTCCAGGCTTCGTCGCGACTTAGAGTCTCGAGTCAGTACCCTTACACAGTAACGTTTACTTTCGGAAAGCGCTGAATTATTTCCAATTATTAGCCTACGTTTAATCTCAGAGATCGTATACCTACCTTTAATAACTGGAATGCCCTGGGCACCCGTTCCACCAATGACTAAGATCTGCCTCAAGGCTGACATTTTCAATAGATGAAACCGAGATTATTCTTTAGATACCTTTCGAGCTTCCTTGAATAATTCTTGAGAAGACCTCCACTTTATACTATTTTGATGTCGCAATTGGTGTGCATACCACTATAGTAGCCAAAGAACACTTTGTTATTTTATAAATCATAACTAAGCTCCCGATATACACCAAGTTGAATGATTAGTGATCTCGAGTGCCATAATTCGCGTATCTCGCTATAAATGGTTATTAATCTTGTGATTTGTGTCTTCTGATTAGTGATCAAAATGTTCGTCTGCTCATGTTTTTACTTTCCCCTCTCCTCTAATTTCTCGATTTAGTATATACTGGTACTTCCTGTAAGTCAATTATTCCCCCCCCCCCCCAAAAAAAAAAAACAAAAAAAAAAAAAAAAAAAAAAAAAAAAATCAAGATCCAATTTAACGGAGAAGACTAACTAATACCCTTGTCTCAGCTTATATCGACAATAACTATTATAAATAGAGTAGCTATGAGTTAGAATGGTGTAATATGAAGTACATTTGTTTTAGCTTCATCCAGACCTTTGAATCACATATTTCAGTAACTGCTGTGTCTTATGATGTCAGATCAATGTACGTCAGAGAATATTCTAGGAAACAAGAATAGAAATAGCAATGGACAAGCAGATGCTGATAATTTCTCTATCTATACCCAACATCATATATTGCATAGAGCTACTGCGCTCTTTTGCTTCCATTAATATAATCGTAAAGGCGGAGCGGGGTTGATACCCATCCAAGAAACATTGTTGAGCTATTGTGTCATATAGCTAGTCTGGGAGCTAGGTTCTGTTTTAATGTTTAGAGAATGACTTTGCGGGAAGATATTCAGAAGTCTTTGCTTTTCTGAGTAGTTTGCAGCTATTCATTGTACTGGTCATCTTTCCGGAACAGATAGATTGGCAAAAAGAGATAGAAAGAAATGATTCCGTAACGACTCTGTGGATCCCTCTTGAAAGTATTGGGTTGTTAGCTTCATTTAGCTAGAATCATCCAACGCCATATCCCAGCCACATATCGAATTAGCGTCCTCTTCCATAAGACGAATGCCAAAATATCCCCCCAACGCCGCCAATCTCTCTGCCTCGGAACTAACCTGATACACCACCTTTGTCTTGTTGCCCATATTAACCTTGATTAGATTATTGATGAGCATTACTTTGCCAACGATATTCATCTCCGACTCACGATCTTACTTACACTCCCCACAGGGATATTTTTGTTGGTTCTCCTTTTCGTAAAATCTGACAACCAATACAAACACCAGTTAAGTAAATATGAAAGCCAAGTCCTCTTAGCATGTGATGAAAGAAAATACTCAGTTTCATGCAATGTCCACCCTGACCGCTATGGCGTGTTCCCATCAATTGGGGGAGGAGGAGGGAGGGAGGGGAAGTATCCTTCCACGCTGACGTTCATAAGTAACTTGGCCAATGCTTATTAGCTAAGTGTAAACAGCTGAAGCACTTCCATTATATACATCCCCTTACAAGAGAAAATTAAGATCTAGCAATACATACAATCAAGAACACATAGAGGGCAGTTTCAGGAGGTAGTGAGTGACTGAGGCAGGTTTTTGCTATATCCATGGCAATTGGCCGACTTGTATCAGCAACATAGCTAGAGGGTTTCTGTTGCAGAATTACAAGTCGTTTGTCATAAGAAGCTCGAATATGGGTTATCGCGACCGAATTTGTGGGTGATTTTTTCAAGGTAATAGCTCTACGGTAGAAGAGGACGAGACATAACATTGCGCCGGACACTGGATAATAGGTGTGAAGAAGGGTCGCTATGAGTAATGCGTTTTGTGTTGTTCATTTCCCACTATATTTTAGACATGATACTAGTAGTCTTTGTACAACAAATGCCCTGCTTATCTCAGTACTACGAGAGAACTTTGGTTACCTCCATCTCGTCCTATAAAGCATTGTATTAGTCCTATATATTTGCAATGCAAAAATTTGACAAGAACATACCGGCAAGTCCCCTGGTGTAATAAAACAGGGAATACCTTTGCTCTCAAAGCGGGACTGACCACGGACATATTCGCGATATTCGGGAGCTCCAGGGCGAACAACATTATCAGCCGCAATAACAGAGCCAAGTTTGAAGATGCCAAGCTCTTCGCACAACTTCAAATCACTAGTGTATAGAGTTTCCTGATGATCCATGAAGAGGAAATCGACTTGCTTTAGGTTTCCGCTATGGTGAAGGCGACGGAGGGATGCCTCAGCCAAACCAGTAACCACCTTGACAATGTCACTCAGACCAGCCAGGTCAATCATGCTCATTGTGAATGCGGCGTAGATTGGGCTGGCCTCTAGGCTCCACACTCGAAGCGAAGAGACTTTGTCCATGCTTGAAGCTGCGTTGCGACGCATCTGATCACCAAAGAGGATGGCTGAGTACCCCAGATACCCGCCCAACTCTACCACAATTTGGGGTGATTCAGAGGCAACAAGATCCTTGAGGATTTTTGCCTTCTGAAAACCGACACTAATGAGCAAATCTTGTTGAGAGGAAAATTCGTCCATAGCCGCTAGGATCTTCTCTGGGTGTCCTCTCAACGAGTCCAATTCGGGATGTGAGTAAATATACTCCATCAATCTGGCTTCTCTGCCATCATTCCACTGTATAATGATTTAGCTTGGCATGCTTGAAAACGGTATTAAGAGGGGGAGGTGGGGGATGGTCGAAAAGGGGTTTGGCTCATCAAGACATACCTCGACGTAAGCATCGCCCAGCTCAATGGCTTTTTTAAGGGAAGGATGTTTGGCTATAAGTTCAGCAGACATGATAATTGGCTGGTAATAGGGATGGCTGTGCAGAGGAAAAGGCAGATGTGGAGAAGAGTGCAAGGTAGAGGCGAGAGTTGTGAAAGTCCCCCCCTTTTTGTGTGTTAAGCTGCGCCCCATTAATACACTAAGCCGTATAAGCGAAACCCCTCACCATGGTTTGAAGAGTTAGACTGTTAATAATAGATGCAACGCCTGGTCGGTGTCACTGTACAGATATATAACATTAGTAACGTCACTTAACATCAAACAGAGAAAGTCAATCTATCTCATTGGGAGTGGTAATGCATCTGCTTTATATCTACCATCACAATAATTAAAATTGGTTCAATTAGACAACTAGAAATAATAAATACAAGATTTGCCTAATAGAATAGCTCGTAATAAATCCCTCAATAATTCTTTTATATACAAATAGCTATATTATATTTATCGCAGTACGAGCTCCTATTTTCTTATAAACTCGACTAGGATCTATACCGTACTAAACGATGATCTGTCACATTGCCACAAGTTATTAACCCTCCTTCTACAGCTTTCACAAAATATAAAGATATAAACTAATAGTATGGTAATTTTATACAACAAGTAGTTTTAATCTTTGAGCACGTTGGCATAAAAGATTTGCCAACTTATCTAGAGTAGGATGAAAAAATATTCCTCCAGCAGTATATACATTCTTGATAACGCAATGTATAGCATAACTCTCCTTACCTGTATTTCGAATCCCTTTTTCAGCATTGTGGATTTCTGGCAATATGAAAATTAAATACAATAAAAGCGAAGGTGAAATATGCCGCGGGGGGTTCCTTTTTAGAATTCGGTGCAGGCAGCCAGCTTGATCTCTCTCGATGCCCTTGAAGGTGTGGCGTCGCCATTAGAGGCAGGGTCTGCAGGTGTCGCCCTCAAACGCGCCAGGTACTTTGTATACCAGTATAATGCTTATACGGGCTGTATTCAACAAGTTTGTTGTAGCAAGTACTAAATCTTTCGGATAGCGAGTTGCAATCATTACTTGTGCCAAACTGTGTTGTTAAGTGGCGCTTCAAAAGGAATATTATTCGCAATGGTCATCCGGGGGCCTTGTTGTTGTGGCTAATGATAGAACCATTAACTCCCTTAGCCTCCGAAACTACAGATTTAGTCATAGCTCAATATATCAGTCAAAATATATTATATACATACGTATCTATACGCATACATATTACCACATATATGGTAAGAGCCTGCGAGTCCGTGAAATCTTGAGCGATCTTGAAACACTACGAAAGCCCGAGCTGCCAAATAGTTAGATATCAAACACACTAGATTTAAGAGAGTATTTTTAAGGCATACGTCGGACATATAAAACTCTCCATCCACTCGTACGGAGTAACGGGCTTGCACGGATGAGCGCGATCAATGTATTAACAAGGGCCAGTAAAGCGCTTCTTGGCTGAACTATATTAGTGAAACTGCATACACCACACTCAAGTTATGGTTGTATGCCAATATATGCAGCAAGCAGCGAGCGACTTGAGCTGCACTCAGTGGCCCACTCACCTATAGAACAAGACAGCTATACAAGCCAGAGAGAAGAAACAATCTCTCCAGCTTAGTCATTCGACCTTGCTGACAGATTGGTATTGCTAGGCAGCCAAGCGCTAGTGAGCGCTGACTTACACTAGTCATGTTCAAGTCGTGTTCATTTTCACTTAACTCCCCCGTTTACGACTTATGACAAGACTACACAACTCTTTTCCTCTTTTCACTAAAACATTGCTCTGAGGCAGTACTACCATAATGGCGGAAGGAGATTCACCTCCGGTTCAGTCCCAAATTTTCAAGGCAATTGCCTGTGCAGATATCTCCAGTCTCAAACAAAGTCTGGCAACAAAGGAAGTGGACCTTGAAGCTCGAAACCCTGTTGGTCGAACTGCCCTGCATCTGGCTATTACTGCAGCATCAGCAGATATTTGCCAGTGTTTGATCGATAATGGCGCGCGATTGGATGCATGGACTAAACAAGGCGAAGCGGCAGTACATCTAGCTGCTAAGAGAGGACAAGTGGATGTTTTGCACGCGATAATGCCGCCTCTTGTGGCAGAGAAATCAGCTACCCAGGACAATATCGCCGCTGGTGGGAAAAAGGATGATCGCACTGTACATGTGAACTGCCTCACGCAAAAGTACCAAATGTCACCACTTTATATTGCTGTTGCTCTTGGTAAGTTACATATTGCCCCATAACTGTCAATAGGCGCTCACACAAGAAAATAGCACGCATGGAAGTTGTGGAAGCTCTACTGACTACCTACCATGCCGATATCAACATCATTGCTGGTAAACAAGACGACCAACGAGGGACACGAGCGGCTGATGTTCTTGAAGCAGCTCTTCAGCATCCTCGTGATACCTGTCGTTCTCTCTTAAAGATGCTACTTCCGCGTGGTGCCAGCTTGCTTAACCCATCAACGGGTGCTGTATCACCGTCGTTGCTTGTTTTAATATTGCGGAGAGGTGAGGATGTACTGGATATTTTTGCGGAACTTGACTCAGAAGCTTTTGCCCATGCGATCAAGAAGTTTGTTTGGGGGGAGTCGATGAAATACTACAACGCTCTAACTAGTGCAATCGAGCTTGGCCTTGAGGATACGGCACTAAAGCTCCTCTCATATGGAGCACCTCCGAAATTAGATTTCGATTCTTCCCTGGATACTACAGGAAACCGTCCATCTCACATATTTGGAAAAACTGCTTTAGAGGCCGCTGAAGGCGATTTTTGGCAGCCAATTTTGAGCGCAGCTCACTATGAAATGCCACGGTTGGTGATAGAGCTGCTAGATCGCGGAGTAGACCCCAATTCCCGTCTCACTGATCACCAGGCTCGTAGCCTAATTGACTATCGCGATTGCCGCAGTGTCTTGGACCTAGTGAGAGCCAAACTCGCAGAGCTGCGTGGCTGGCATAAGGAGGATGAAACCGTCTCTCACGATCTCGTAGGGACGCCAGAGGGGTCTAAGCAACGCGATGGGAAAGAAAATGCAATCACCCAGTTGATCAAGTTATATGAAGAAGCAGAAGCAAAATTGGTCTCACTAGCAGCCGAGGTAACTGACGGGCTGAACTTCCTAGACCAATCAGGTGCTGCGCCTCGTCGATCTCATAAAAGAGTTCAATTGCATGCCCCTAATTCTGAGACACAAGCTGAGATCGCACTACCTTCACACATATCTTCTAAAGAAGTCGACTTCAAGACGCTGAAAACGGCGGAGGATGGCCAGATGGCACTGTAGGTCCCTGAATTTGCCTTCCAAATCGGTAAAGTGTGAGTGCTGAAACAAGTTTGTCTTTATAATTTAGGCTGGCAGCTTGCAGAAACAATGATGCTGCGCTGGTAAAAGCACTTACATTGGGAAGATGGGGAGTCGACTTAAAGTTTCCCCCGATTTCGATATCGGAGGTGTCTGGCTCCTCGAAAGGACCTTATTACACTGCTATGGAATCGAAAAATTATGATCTTGCTCGCATTATTGTTCGAATTGCGACAGTTCAGCACATTGACTTTATAGATAATGAAACGAACGATCTATCCAGTGCTTTAGCCGACGATGTACACTCCGTTGAAGACATCAAGGCTGTTTCAGCTCAAGTCAAGTCAACTACATTAGCAAAAACAATTATTCGCGACAGTGGAGCTACTTCTATTGCAGGAAAGCTCAAAGACGAGGAGATGCTCCAGTTTTCGCTAGAGACGTATTACTCGTTTGGGTTTGAGCAGAACGATGTGAAACAAAATGCCAATTCCGTCTATCATTCAATAGAATGGGGAAATTGGCCTGAGGGCCTCCAAGAGTACATTAACGTAACGGGTGCTCCATTTCAGCATGCCGCGGTTCAAGGTAAGCTAAAAGGGAAAAAGCAACTCGACAAGACTCACCATTTATCGCCTCTTCTTCGAGCTGCCTGGTCTGGTAACCTAGATATGGTGCGATTTCTTCTTGATAAATCCAAAATAATAGCAGCGTATAAGCATTTTGCATCACGCACCGACTTTTCAACCAATAAATTGGGTCCCGAACAAGCTCGAGCGGAGTTCCTTAGTGCCGCAGAGGAATGGGTAGGCAAACAAGGTGAGGGTCTCTCTGTTTATTATTTGGTAACCATTAATAAGTGTTGCCCGCCAGAGAATCTAGTTCTGCATTGCGCCATCTTGTCTGGAAAAAAGGATCTCGTCAAACTTGTACTGTCAGCTCGTCCGGAATTTCTGGAAGTTAAATCTATAGACGGGTGGACGCCCTTGTTGACAGCAGCAATGTGTCAACAGGTTGAGAGTATACAAGCACTTCTTGAAGCAGGGGCTGACCCCTTCACCACGGATCCATTTGGCCGTAACATGCTCCACCTGTTTCTCGTTTCCCCTACCCAGAGTCATGTTTATGAACTTGGAAAACTTTCTTCTTTCTTCCGCATAGTGGACAGGCCAGCGCTTCACAAGCTTCTAGAAGAGCGCTGTGCTGAAAGTCCTGGTGGTTTGACGCCTCTTGCGCGTTGGATATCTGCTACTGTCAAATTCGCTCCAGTCGCATTATCCATTGCTCTGTTAGAGTTTTCCACAATAAAGGCAATGGAGATGTGGGACGGCAGAGGCTCTACACCCCTCCACACTGTACGCTTCCCTCTTTTCTATCAAGGTTATTCAGCTGGCTAATAGCAATACTCGACCAGTTCGCAATGTTGTCGCTGGAAAGTCTCATTCTCCCGTTTATCGAGAAAGCGCCTCATGTTCTGTTCTATGAGGATTTAGAGGGGAAAACCCCTTACGATATCATCACCGAAAAACAGCTCTATGGATATTTGGAATGTCTCATGCCAAGCTATACGCAAACCGGGCGCTATCCACTGGGCCGACTAGTCCACTGGCCGCTATTTGCATTTGGTACGGATTACAAAGGTCCCTTGCAGCAAAAACAGCCTTACAGAGTTTGGGAACTTTGCGAAGACTTCCTTAAATCGATGAAGCCTGGGCTGTATCCTAGGAAACTACTCACCGACACTGATCGAATCGAAATCTCACAGCTGTGTGTATCAACCTCAGGCAACACTGTGCGTGACATGGCTAATACAAATGCAGATCTAAAGACAAGAAAATACAGAAGAAACCGAAAGGAGATCAGCACGATGTGGTATCCTTAGCTATATATAAGCCTGGATACTTATGTTGGTAACAAGATTCCGCTTAAGTATCCGGTACCTATCCATCTATCTAGTGCTCAGTCATTACGTTTCACCTTTCGGCTGAGAGCCGCTGCTGGATTAGAGGAAGCCGCTCGGGGGGGGGATTATCTTAGCATTGAGAAAATGCCTTTATTATCAGCAATATGTATCCTTCAATTTTCTCTCTTTTCAAATTCCTTTTCAAATGCGGTGGCTGTGCAATTACTACAATATGTTACTCTTAGTTTCCTATTCTTCTATTCCAATGCTCATTGAGATGGTCTCTATTGTATCCAATTCCTTCAGCCATGCCTCTGCTTCCTTCTTAGCCAGAGGCCAACAGTCTTGGCCCATAGGTATTCTCAAACACTTTTTTATGTCCTCAGCAGTTGCAGGGCCCGTTCCGAGAATGACGCTGAGAAGCACCTCGGCAGCCTTGGCGACATCTCCTAATTTACGATGTCTCATGTTTTTCGTCAATTCAAGCATTTTTGCAGCTGGAGTGTCCGAATATTGACCTAATCCTGCTTCTGGGAAGGTGAGAGTGTCCATAAAATTGGTTCGGTATGCACCGGGCTCAGCGATGATAATTCGTATGTTAAATGGACTGAGTTCATTTGCAAGTGCTTCGGAAAGACCTTCTACTGCGAACTTGCTGCTGGCGTATAGTCCCCGGCTAGCGAGTCCAATAAATCCTGCACCGCTAGTAATATTGACGATGGTGCCAGATTGGCGAGAGCGAAATGTCGGGAGGACGCCTCGAATGGCCCGCAATGTCCCGTGGAAATTGGTTTCCATCTGGGCGTGAGCCTCTGTGTCGCTGCAATCGCCGATATTAACATTTTTGCTTTTGAGATGCTATACTCTGGAAAATGATGATCATGATATCACGAACCTAATCTGTTCCACAGGGCCCAAGAGTGCATACCCGGCTGAGTTGACTAGAACATCCACATTCTCCTTTTCAGCGATATCGCGAATTAAATTTTCGCATGAGGCGCTGGAAACATCTAGCTCACACCATACGCCTCCCAAATTCGCAAAATTTGGACTAGATTCTCTAGCTTTATCCGAGTTGCGAGTTATTCCGAAGACTTTGTGGCCATGCTGCAGAGCCTTGAGACTCAGCTCGGAACCTAGGCCAGAGCTCGCGCCTGTTATCAAGAAGACGGTCATGTTTCACTTTTCAAAAGAAATGGTGGTGTACATCAAGAAGATTGATAAAAGTGAATAAACGGCCACTGCTTTACTTTAGAAATGGTAAATTTATAGCATGCAGAGCCTCGCGATTATCACTCGCCGAGTTGGCTTGCGTGAAAATGGATCGCCGGAATTATGGCTTAAGCCCGATTCAGTGGAATCGACATGTATATGTGCCGCTTGTTGATAGTCCGTTGAGAGCCGATATGTCCGTTCTACTTAATCTATACTTGTCTCTAATAGTCCTCTGATGGGTTACCTAGCAAAAGAAATTAGGATAACTTCACGGACGAGTTTATTCCAAGCTGCTCATATTGCACACGCAGATTCCAGCTACTGGAAAAAGCCATGATGTTGTAGCTGCGTTAATACTTATTAGTTTCGGCCGCTAACCAAACTTAAATACTACAAGGCGAGATAGAGGACATTCTAATAGCTAGTACGTCCGAATGTCAGATTTAGAGGTGAGTATAAGTGTATTTGCTGCAGCTGAATACTGAGAGTAACTGAAGGGCGAAGTTTGAGGAATTTTAACGCGAAATCGATGACAGATATTACATCGCTACATAAGCAATGTAGCTATCGGCAGCTTCATATTGCTTCTTATGGTGATGCTATGAAATATGTGTACTAATGTAGTAACCAAAACACTCGTTCTCAAATTGAGATATTCGTCAACTAGTTAGATATCCCGACGATATGAAAAAGATTGAGCTTGGAGGTAGAAGCTACTAGGTTACTTCCAACAGCTCCGTCATGAAATAACTAGATATGTTAGTAGTAGCTATCTGTATTTCCTATCTTGCTTTCTTTACTATACATGCCTGTTGATTACTTCTTTTGTTCTATAGTGCTAATTCGGTATTCGCAACAAACGAGCCAGACATAACTGGAAAGCCCAATCGTCCACTGACTACTCTGTAATTTGTATAAGAAGCTAATATATACTTGACTTTGACAACCTGTAACGTGTTGGACAAATTGCTACACTTTATATCTTCATGTACAAATCCATTATTATAACAGTACCCAAAGAACTTTAAACATCCAAAATCCCAATCGTACTATATGCGAGCTTTGTCACAAGGCTTTTATGGTAGGCTAGTCTTGCAAATTAGGTCTCAATAAATGCCATATGAAGGATACACTAAGAATCAAGCGAGCCAAGCGACAGGCAACCACTAGTTTCGAGTGAAAGTCAGGCTCGGAGTGTACATAGCTATCAACGGGCACACGCCTAGGCCAACGCTATTTTCTTGCAAACAGCAACACTTCGCTAATAAATCATCAACAGCTTGTGCAACAACAAGGTCTAAGTATCACTAGTAGCTATAGTAATAGGACTGCATAGGATATAGAGATGGGTGGTGCTTAAGACAAGCAAGGAGCAATGTTTCAGGATAAGCCGTCTTTTCAATTATCTAGGCAGTCTAGAGAGTCCCCGGCCATTGTAAAATATAGCTACCAAGTGGGCATTTAGCATACCCAGCGCATTTAGGACGCATGAAAATAAGGATGTAGAAATGTTATCGAAAATATAAGCGACTCTTCGACAAGTTCTTAATGATCCGGTTGTCTTATAGTAGCCTTACTACCTAATACTTATTCTACATAACAGGTGATGAAGAAACTTGGTCTTCGACATAGCCGCATTTCTTCATAGTCTCTCGCATCACGCAGGATCTTGATATTGCTGAAACATCGCTGAACTGTCAAGCATTCAGGCGTTAAGACTGGAAGTGGGTGTTGATCGTTATGACTTACGTACTAGCACGTTCCAAATCGAGTAAAAATATTTGCATTGGTTGTGCCCAAATATGGCTTAACGCTAAATCATTATATAATGCTTATCAAATAATTGCAGCTTGGGTTTCACTTGTACATGGAATATTGCTGCGTCCTCGCAAGGGACACTGGTGAACTTGGTGGGAAAAACAAAAGCGCCAATCCAGTCTACTGCTCTAGGGTTCGTTCTTGAAAATCTTGAGGGCTAACTTGATATAGGATTTTAGCCCGCAATATTTTTTTCCTATTTTGGACTAACCTCCCGGAACGTGTAGTTGAGGCTTGCTAACGCTGGAATCACACGAAATGTAGATAGCCTCTCGAGCATAATAGTTGCAAGAATGGAATCTTGAGAACTGAAGGTCTCGACACTAACTCGTTTAAGGAGAGCTCTTGTTATAATATTTACTCGCTCTTATAAAGCTGTATTGTAGAGTTTTAGATTGATTACCGTTTGCTCCGATCCAAGTTATGGCTATCTCTAGAACCTCGCAGCTTCCTTACTGAAAGCGATTCCCAAAGGTGTATATATACAGTAGATGTTCTTACAGATTCTGATATTTCTTTTTTAAAGCTTCTAATAGTATCAACAACAAACCATCAGCTCATTGAGTTATCTATTATTTTTTGCCTTTGGAATTACAAGTTCCCATATTATCCAAGATTACTCTCAATCGCATCAAACATCTTGAACCCAAACACGATTTGTTTCCCTTCATCTAACGCATCTAGATATATTATTCTCGTTCGTCAATGGCTTCCTCAGACTCTCTCCTCTTCACACCCTTAACTATCGGCAAAGTGGAGCTTGGTCATCGAGTTGTACTATCCGCCCTCACGCGACTTCGTGCCAATAAAAATCATGTTGCAACGGATCTAATGAAGGAATATTACCTTCAACGCGTTTCCATGCCAGGAGGCCTTATTATTGCCGAATCCGCCTCAGTAGCTAAACATCACGGTGGCATGTCTTATACTTCGGCTATCTGGGGCGAAGAGCATGTACAGGGATGGAAGCCTATCGTAGAAGCCATCCACAACAAAGATGGCTCTATGTATCTCCAACTTATGGCATTCGGAAGAGCTGCCCAGCCTTCAGCCGCTGAAGAAGACGAATTTGCGATCAAAGCACCCAGTGCCATTCCGTTCGAGGGTGGTGCAGTACCTGAAGAAATGACCAAAGAGGATATAAAGAACACTATCAAAGATTACGTCAAAGCTGCCAAAAACGCCATGCGCGCGGGTTTCGACGGCGTCGAGCTATACGCTGCCAATGGCTATCTTCTCGATCAATTTATTCAAGATGTGAGCAACCAGCGGACAGATGAGTACGGCGGCAGCATCGAAAACAGAAATCGATTGGTAATAGAAATTGCCCAAGCTGTCTCCGACGCTCTTGGAGCAGAGCGTGTCGGTATTAAGCTGAGCCCATGGTCTGAATTCCAGGGCATGCGGATGAAAAATCCAATCCCACAATTCACAGACCTCATTCGCCGTCTCAAGGACGTTGGCCTTGGCTACTTGAACTTGATCGAGTCTCGCGTTTCGGGGATCGACTACACAGATGGTACGGAGAAGCTTGACTGGGCGTGGGCGCCCTGGGATAAAGTGATTATTGCAACTGGTGGCTATCTGCCAGAGACAGCACTGGCGTTGGTGGAGGGGCACAAGGACAAGAACATTGTGGTTGCATTTGGAAGGCGATATGTGGCTAACCCTGATCTGCCATTCCGTATTCAGAGAGGACTTGAATTAAACCCGTATGACCGCAGCTCATTTTATAAGGTGGGCGCCCCAGAGGGACTTGTTGATTATCCATTCAGTAAGGAGTATCTAGCGTTGCAAAATTAACAGAGACATCAAAAGGCTATTACAAGATTCATAGAGATGTGATAGTGAATAATACTACTATTTTATCTAGTCCGCTGCTTTACAGTGATTGTATACATGTGGTTGTTGGCCTGTCTATTAGAAAATATATCGCCAAGAGCGTGCTGCAGAAATCGCAATAAAAAAAATTAGAAACCAAGGTATGAGTGAATAGAGATTACTAGAATACGATATAGGTGGGTATATATTGTACTGTGGCGAGCAGAGTATAAGCTTGCCGGGGTATCTATAATGAAAAGACTACTATAAAGACAAGTCGTAAGATGAATGGAAATAACGCCTGCTCCCTATGATTGTAACGCCAATCGGGAGAATCCAATATGCGAGCCATCCAAATCTTCGCCGCTGCACCCAGCCCTGCCAGGATAACGACCATGATTTAAGAACTAGCTCCATCGTAGTAAACGACTCTCCAGCTTGATTACGCCGCTGCCTCCGACCCTGTCAGATTAACGACCATACCAAGGCACTTGGTGTATATACTACGACGTGCTACCAGCTTTGTATAGTAGTTATCCTGAAAGACTGCCCGCTGCCCCCAGCCCTGCCAGGTTAACGGGTATGCCTTCCAGTCAGCCGGTACTCGATGTTGGATTCCCCATGGTTTAAAATCACCTGCTGTCCATAACTGCGCACGCAATGCCATTGTCGTTTAAATACCACAGTTCGCATCCTGGACTCCGTCTAGAAGACCGCCTTGAGTGTAAAATAGTTTCAATGAGAGATGGATCATTATTCTCTTGCAGCTGATCTTTGCGGCTGTGTTTCTTCTGCCGTGGTTGCCGCTGAGATTCTTTTCCACGAGATGATGCTGGGGTAGGGATTGTAGACTGCCGGCGAGAGATTCGACGTTTCCTTCCGAGCGGAGAGGGGCCATGTAGAGTCGTTTGCTGCAACTTCGAAGATGGTGATGGCTGGGATATTAAATTAGACTGCTGTGGTAGAGAGGTCGCGCTGACAGCTGCGAAATCGTCTCCAACGGGCTCGCTTGCGTCCCTATCTGAAGGCACTGGGCTCGGTAGTGGATTTCGATAAACAGTCTGTGGCTGGCAGCTGCACACTGATTCTGCGTCTGTCCACGCCCTTTGAAATGCCTCTGCTCGCGGATTTGGCTTCTTTTCTTGTTCTGGCTCATATCCAATGCTTGACCACAGCTCTGGAGATGAGCTTCGAGAGCGTCTGGTTAGATTGCCTGAGCTGTAGTTCGTCCTAGCCCGCTTTGCGCCCGGCTCTTCGTCCGAGTCGGTCTGTGAAGTATCCGCCCTATTCCTCTTGCGCCTTTCGAGTCGTGGAGGCATCACTGGTGACGGCGGCCGCGATGGCGCGAGGAAGACATCGCAACTCTGAGGTTCGGACGGATCGTGGAGCTGCGTTAGCTTGGCCCTTTTGCGCGGCAAAACCGGGCCAGTGTCGGATTTTCGTTTGGTCATGGTGCTAAACGGCAAATTCACGCCCGAATAATGTCTGGGGAAGGCGTCGGCGACCGTCGTGGAGTGTCTGGCGAACGATGGATTCAATCCTCTGCTGACCCGCTAAGAAGCTGCCGACGATACGGCCAAGTGAGGCGCGCAGCAACATCACGTGACCCACAATGTCCATCAGCGCAAGACGCGACCCGACGTAGAATCAAAGCTGCCGTATCAGAGACTCAAAATAGATGTGAGCTCAGAAGCAGATGCGCATTGGCAGAACTTTCTACTTAATTCGCTCCCGGTTGCTCTAACTGCCTTCTTCATGCCCGACAGCCGCTGTTTCCAGCACCCATCGCCCGCCATAGCTACTGCTCTTCGCCCGCCATTCTCATGACACACGCAGCAGCTGCTCCCGATGGCGTACCAACTGAGGAAGCCGGCGACATCCAGTTTGCAGTCTTCTCTGCCGATAACGAAGCTGCTATTCACCTTTTAGAGACCGTCGAATGCAAAGCATCACCCCCTACCCTCAAGAGCGACGAAAACGCAATCGGCTATCAACTATCGCTACCCTTGTCGTGCGACAGCTTCGACTCTGGACGCTTCAGATGGCGTATTGGCGCCGGGCCGTCTCCCGCACTGATTGAGAAAGGGTTGTGTCACTGCAAGCCGGACATCCTTCTGTGCCCCCCAGGCAGAACGCCCAGCTCGGCGGCAGTCCGTCGATTCGTCAAAGACATTCACGCCACCATTCATATTCATCCGCGATCGGGCGTTCTATTGCTCAAGACGCACTCTAGCCGGCCTATTGTCTACGAACAAGGCGACGTGGACGATGGCGATTTGATCTTGGATGCGTCAGCAAGGAGGAACACATGCGTTTTGCGGCGAGAGCGGAACTATCTTCGCTTCGGCCGATACCGTTTTGTTCTCGAATTTGTCGCCAGTGACCAAAGTCGCAAAAGCTTGGATTCACAGCTTGACGAAAATCTCGGCTGCTGTTACAGCGGCCTTCGTCCTTCACAGCTCCTGAGCTTTATACCAATGTCACAATCTGAGACTTCATGGAATGTATGGCTTCATCAAAAAATTCCAAATTCTTCGATAATATCTGGCATTGATATCTACACGGGCTGGCCAGTTGCTGTTAAACAATTAGAGACTAGGGCGAAAGGGCGACAGCATATGCGACGCCGGCTACAGATTGCCAGTCAGTATAAGGATAAACTGCATAAAGGCGTCCTGGGTGTTATTGATGTCTGGTGCAGGCACAAGTCATCCTCACCATGCCTTTTTAGTAGGCGGAGCGAAGCCGTGGATTACTGTCGCCACACTTTCTACTCCGTGTCCCTAGCCGAGCACGATTTTCTCAACATGCCATGGGCCAAGATCGATATCAACACTCGCCTTCTTTATCTCTTTCAGACTTTGGAAGGGCTATCCGAGATACATCGGCAACATATTACCCACGGGAATATTTTACCCGAATCGTTGCTGATACTGGCAGACGCGAAAGGCGAACCACTGCCAGGTGTTAACGCGCTGCCAAAAAGGGCGGCTATTTCTCTTTATATACAACCGCTTGGAAAGAAGCCAATTGCAAGTGTATGCGTTGCTCCAGAAGTTTGGAAATCCAAGGAGAATTTGGATCAGTACAAAGCTGACATCTGGTCACTTGCTGCCTCATGGCTGTTTGCTTTCGTACGACCACCAAGCGGTATCAGAATTACCAAAGAGTCTTATCACACTCTGCAGAAGACATTAGATAGCCAGAGCGAAAAGGGCTTTATACAAGGCCCGTTTGCAACTCTTTTACGCCAAATGCTGGCCTGGGATCCGAAGGACCGACCAAGCGCCGAGGAAGCACTTGCAAATAAAGCATGGGTGCCTGTGCTGGCACATGGGCAGTCAGTCACGGATGACAGAAAGCGAAAGAGAATAGAGCAGAGGCAGATGCCATCTACTCAAGCCAGGAGAGCTAGAGTACTTTCACCCGACGTGAATGATTGAACAGATGATGAACTACAGGCAAATTTTTCTCCAAAGACTTTGTCACCACCATTCTTAGTCGAAAAACAGCCTGCCAATCTCTATTCAGTGACGGAGACCTACAAGGCTAATAGTTTTCGTAGCTTCAAGCTACTATCCATAACCACCGATTACCGTACTTGACAGAGGAGTCGACTGCTTGGCTGGGCTGTCAAATCAGCCACCACATGATAACAATGCGAAGCTTCTGCTTCGTAAGTCAAGCCGACGCGCATCACCGGTCGCGCGTACGCTATTGGTATTCTCGCGATTCGATCAACCTGATGATGTAGACTGGGTGTCGGTTTATCTTCTTGCAGACAGGCAATGAACCGATACCATTTCAACTAGCCTCCTTTGAAGTTTCTGATCTGAGAAGAGGCATTATCTTCAGAGTATCGGCATTGACTAAGTCTGAGCGGTATCATAGTCCACAACGCAACTAGCTCACCAAATAACCTTTAGAGATACCACGTGACCCACTGCACTCCACCGCCGATGCGAGTGGGATATTATGCAAAAAAAGATAGCACTAAAAATTTATATATATTAAATAATTTTAGTGGATATCGAGATAAAAGAAAATCTCTTACTTAATATGCCAATTATCCTTTCAATGCAAATTGCTATAACTTGGGTTCTTAATACTGATAATGTATATACTGCAATACTGCTATAACAGGTATCGCATAACCCGTGCCCCGATAAAATATTACTAGCTAATATGTCATTTACGCCAAACCGGGCTTGGCTTGCGGCCCGTCCCGCGACCTACCCGTGAGCATCACTGTTGGATGTTGGATGCAGTCTTGCGTCGGAAATATAAAGTGGCTAAAGGTTATACTAATGCTATACATTTATGTAAGTAGTACTTACCGGTATCCTAGCTTTTAGTTTATAAAGGGGCATCTTCAAGCTAAATCAGATTGGTTGCACAGACTTCCCTAATGTTTTAATCTTCATAGCTCGAGTCGTGTGCGTAACAGGCTTTCTCCAATCTTTCACAATTACGCCTAATAAGAAACCTAGTGACACATCTACCTCCAAGTTCTAGAGGAATACTTTTCATGCCACTATATATTCCGTACGCGTAACATTTACCTACCGAGGTGCCTTAGACATGTTGCTCCTCGGAAAAGATATGTGGCGCCTTGCCTCTCGAATCTTTTGTTGAAGACTTGAAGTTCCTACTTATATATTGTATAATCCCACAAGAAAATATAACATAGCTGTTTATAGAAAACGGAGAGACCACAGTTTTACGTTATACGTTTTAGGTATTGTAAACTATCGCTATATAAAGATAACATAGGGAATTGGCGTTGGGCAGTCACATCTTTTTTTTGTGATATATATGTACAATATTTCATGCTTTTCTCTCCTTCCTTTAACTCGCTTAAAGCACAAAGTTCTATCGCAACTAACATTAAATCTTTGAACATGACTTCAAAGCCTTCAGGGAACTCCACGATATTTCTTTACTTCTTCTCCGAATATTGAATACTATACTCCACCGTCCTCTTAATTCCGTTATTCGCATCGTTCTGCCCGCCGGCCAAAATACTGTCTTCACTTCCAGCACTGGAGTTGTTTCGCCGGATAGTCGCCATGTGGATGCCGTTAGACTTCGCACCAGGTTCCACCCATTCATCTGCGAGTGGTATTTGACTTCTTCCTCCCGTACCTCTCGAACCTCTTGACTTCGAACCGTAGCCATTCGAATCGTAGCCAGGGGTGCCGTATCTATTGGCTGAGTTTTTGCTGCCGAGTGCTGGGAATAATTTGACAACTAGTTGCCGCAGAGTTGGTAAGCATGCGCAAAGAATAGCCACGTTTGGTTCAATGATCGTCCACATCACATTCGCGATGTCGTATGTGTTGTCGCTAGAGGTAGCAAATACATCGAGGGTTGTGACTCGGAGGCATGAGGTAATGACGACGAAAACACCAATGGCGAATACGGCCATTAGAGCGATTTTCTGCGGCCGAGGAACCTCTAGCTGATAGACCAGGGGCATGGGAAGCAGAAGAATAATAACATCGGTAGCGATCGAAAATCCAGCGTTGGCGAACCAAAACGTAGCAAGGTTAATACAAGTTCCTTTCTGGGCCTTGTCGAAGGCTTTGACAACCGGGTTGCACTGGAAGATCGTCGCGACCATAGAAGATATGCAGTAAATAATGACACAAGCAAGGAGGCCCCTGCAAGTCCATCTAATCCAACGAACGATTTCAAATAGACGCAAATAGAGCAGTAGAATGGAGCATTTGGTGAGATTGATTGCCGCTTTGTAGGTGACTTGGGACATATACAGGTACTATCCGCTCCATCCATGTTAGATAGCCAAAAAACAGTACATGACTGGAACAAACTCTGAGTAAAACGTACTTTTAGTGTTTCGATCTGGTTCTGATGTTCTATATAGAGAAAATGCCGACCCATGCCGTAATGGCAGCCTGCATGAGTTATTAGCATCGAGGTGGAACTTAGCTGGCGATTTAATGACTTACATGTCATCAAAAATACACTGGTAAGAATCGCAAATATCTACAAAAAGAAATGAGAGAAATTCAATCGTTAGCATACGAATAGTGGGCAGGAAATCCGATCTAGAGATGTTTACCAAGGCCGCCATAGCAGTCCAATCATCAGCCCCCATCTTCCCGCCCTGCCTCAGCCGAGCCCATACTCGCAATGCAACGACAACAGGGCTTATAACCAGAAAAATGATTGCAGGTATGTATACCAAATGAGAGTCATTATCATTTGGATTGGGTCGTGGCGCCTGTGGAGTGGTCATGCTGGACTCCGCTGTTTCTGGCTTGACTGCTCCAGTATGTGTCGACGGAAATGTGAAAATTTTGGAAAATCAAAATCAAATTCCAAGCCTGGGGGAGGGTGGCCACTCTTGCCTCGTTATAATAATAACAAGTACCGCTGTCTAATACTGACTTGCACTCTGGAGAGGGTTGCACTTGACTTCAGCTGCCGAATGGCCACTACTACTACTTACGAAGCGTCAAACCAATGCAGGGACAAGGCTCTGGGAACCCTTCCTACATTCTCGTACTTGGGTCCTTCATGCCACAGTTGCCTGCTTACTGGCTACATACAGACGCACATGGGTGTAAGACGTTGAATCAAATCAAAATAACATCAAACCTCGCGGGAGCCGGCGCAGGGGTGGCCTTTAGTCCGTATTTGATGCCACCGTGATTGCATTGACTGGGCCCCAGCTCCTTTTTTATTTCAAGAGCCTGCGATGGACTGATTGATTGTGCCTGTCGTTGCCTGGTGCAGCTCTTTCCACAGGAATTCGATTCCATCGGCAGGCCTTCCGAATAGCTGTCTGTATTGATTTTACCTAGCGCCATTTCGCGCAACCGTCTTGACCATTCGCCCCATTGGTCCGCGTCTCGCTTCCGGTGGCGTTGCAAGGGTGGAAGTGAAAACTTTGGCCGATCCATGTGAGAAATAAGATTGCTGAAGAAAAGCGGTCTTCCCCCTGTCGTACCCACTCTGATGCATGTCTGCTGTTGGCTCTAGGTCTGTGAACTGTTGGCCGTCAGGTTATCATGCAAAAGTTCTGCAGCACAAAAAAAATTCTCATCCAGGGCCTGATGCTACCTCGTCTAGAAGTTGTTCAACTCCCCCTGCAGAGCGATTTTGGGCGTGTTTGGGATGGCTAAAGCCACAGTTCGGCGCCAGAGGTTCACGGCTGCCAGTGTACAGATACTTGTTACCCGGCGCCGATCCACAAGTTCGCGGCTGTCCGGGATCAACACTAAGCAGACAGATCTATCTGGGGAATTGCGTATGAGTAGGACTACATCGAGATTGTGAACAGCGAAGAGGGTCAATAGTGGGCAAACCCAATTGACGGTTAATAGCACCCAATCCAAGTGGGGAACTGGTAGAATTTAGCACGAGGCTAGCTTCCTCTTGCTGCGCTTTATAAGACGTCCCTCCTGTTTGTCGGAGTCGTTCCATGGCATCTACCGTAGGTAGTACTTGTAGATGCTCCTTCGAGTGCATCGTCCGGCTCGGCAGAACAAATCAGGCCATGCTCCCTTACTCAATTCGCCACGTTACATCGGCTGTGCTTCATAGGCATATGCTCTACTCTATCTGTAATGAGTTACGCCGAAACCCACAAGCTTTTAGCTGATTGGGGCAAAGGCAAGAGCAGCGTACGCATGTGCTCACAGCTGTTGTCCGGGTTCTTCATTTTCACTGCTCTCCATTGGGGGCCGGCCGACCATGGGCCGGGGCTTCCCCTGCGTAATAAGAAAAAAATATTGAATATGCTATCTGTTTCTGGACTTCCCACCATGATGGTACGGGGAAGCTAAATCTGCGGCCTAGCTCTAGTTGGCTCGTCTGTGTCGAGACTCTTGGTCCCGTCTCGGCACTCCCTACTCTGCTACAGCAGTACGGCTCGTATGCAAGACGGAACTCAGTCCTCAATGTCAAACAGCTGCATTGCTCAACGGGGCTCGTCGTTTATTAGCCGACTGAAGACACAGCTTCGCTAAACACTACCCCGGGCCATGCGATCCGTATCTGCAGGCAGAGCCTGTTCTTAATCACCCGTCTTGTTTCCTTTTTATACATCCTTCTTTCGTAGCGCCCACATTGTAGATGTCTCACTTGCATTCTTGCCAAAGCCAATGTCACACAACGTGACCATTTAGTGTTCTTACACAACTACTCATTTGTTCCTTTCCAGATTCTTTACCCTTTTTTCTTCTTTTGCCCCTGCCTCCTATAGTATCCCAATTACCACCTGCTTTGGGACCATATATATTACCATATCAGGGTTACCACAACGTTTACAATATGGCGACGGCCGATGAGAAGATGCCCGTTGAGACGGGTGAGCAGGCTCTCCCGCAGACGCCTCAAAAAAGCAGCGAATACTCCTCGGATTCCCCAATTGATCCCAAGGCCGAGAGTAGGCTGGTTACGAAACTGGACATCATCATATTCCCTACTTTCTTTGTAATATACATGATGTCTTTTTTGGATCGTATCAATATCAGCAACGCTCGTATTCAGGGAATGGTCGCTGAACTTGATCTCGTCGGAAATCGATTCAATGTCGCGCTTTTTGTAAGCTTGGAACAAATGACGGCGCGTTATATTACAGAAGCTAACTCGTCCAGATTTACTACATCTCTTATATTCTTCTTGAAGTACCTTCTAACATGATTATCAAAAGATTTCGGCCTTCCCTGTACCTGTCTTCTTTGATGTTTTGCTGGGGTATTATCAACATGTGCATGGGATTTGTCCATTCCTATGGTGCACTCCTTGGACTTCGATTTTTGCTCGGTATTTTCGAAGCCGGTCTCCTACCTGGTATCATCTATGTTACATCGCAGTATTATAAGCGACATGAGTATCAAAAACGCATGTCTTTCTTCTTCTGCAGCACCGTCGTCGCAGGTGCATTTGGCGGATTATTGGCTTATGCCATTGCCCACCTCGGTGGCAAGCACGGGTATGCCGCTTGGCGCTGGATCTTCATCATTGAAGGCGCCATTACCTCAACAATCGCCATCATTGCTTCGTTTCTTATCATCGACTGGCCGGAGCAGACCAAATATCTTAATGCAGAAGAGAAAGAGCTGCTTCGCCGTCGTCTTGCAACCGATGTCGATGACTCGTGCCGCATGGATGTCCTCAACAAAGCTTCGCTGAAGCTCATCTTGTCAGATTATAAGATTTGGCTTGGAGCTTTGGTTTACTTGGGAGTCGGTGTCCCTGGTCTGTCTGGAACCTTCTTCCTCCCCACTATTCTGCTAGAATTCGACTGGGTGGCTGAAGAGGCACAAGTCCGCACTATCCCTGTCTACGTCTTTGCAGCCGGCATGATGATCATTGGTGCCTGGGCCTCTGATAGACTCAAGCACCGCTATAGTTTTTTTGTTTTCGGAACCGCCCTGGTAACTATTGGATATGGAATGCTTCTTGCCCAAGTTGGAAAATCTCGAGACTACAAGTTCGGTGCCGTCTTCCTCGTCTTCGGTGGCGCCTACATGGTCACGCCCATGGCCCTTGCATGGCTGCAGAATAATTTATCTGGCCAATGGAAGCGCGCATTCGGTTCGTCAATTCAAGTCACAATTGGCAATATTGCGGGCATCATTGGAAGCAACATTTTCCTCGTCAGCGAGGCCCCCACATATAAGACTGGCTATGGTGTTGCTCTTGCCTGCATGTGGGTTGGATTAATCGCGGCAACTCTTATGTTCTTGCTCATGTGGCGTGAAAATAAGAAGCGTGATGCCGGCGAGCGGGATGATAGACTGAACCTTCCCGACGATGTAAAGAATAACCTGGGTGATGCATATCCCACCTTCCGGTTTACTCTTTAAGAGATTATCCTTATCCTGCGGTTCATCCGCTTTTCGTTGTATGACTCTTCAGGCCCCCTCTCATACCCTAACCTAGCTATTTTAATACGTGTTCTATACGCCGTGATATTAACGATTTCGCGGTAAAGAAACATTCAGATCAGACTAATATATAGAAAACAGAGTGATTCAAATATACAAAGTAATTATACATGCTTGTTTGTTTCCATATCTGAAGAATCAATCAGTCAATAGTTATATAAGTGAATATATGCGGCGGAAGCGCTCTTGATGCGTCAAAAGCTAAAGGCACTACGGGATTAGAAGTGAGTAGATACGCATGCAAGCAGCATCTGCAGAGTAGTATCACCATCCAGAATCTTCGAGTGTTTGAAGACATTCCATTTGCGGTCGGCCCGTTGTGTGTGGTGGATACACAATACTAGTACCTAGTACTAGTAGTATTGATATCCATATGTAGGATTACGGAATACGGAACAGTGTAATACTGTGGTGTTGCTTTGCTTTTGCGGGCCCATTAGCTAGATTTATCAACCAGGTACGCGGCACCAAGAAATGACGATACTGTTGGCACTACAAATGGAGTTAACGAAACGGCGTAGGGCATGTACAGATGGCATGGGAATATGGGCTTGAATTTCTGAGGCTAGAATGATTGATTAGTAGCCATGCGGCCACGCCGGCGAAAACCGCATCGGCCGTGTCGGCTATTAACATACAATTGTAGCTAGTATGTATTAGTGCTGCAACTTCACTAGGACAAGAGAACTGGCACAGGCTGAGCAGTTCAATAATAACAGCGAGGCTAACCTTGAACAGCTGATGATACCATACTCCCCCGACGAACCATGGTAACCATAAATTTATGAATGTCGCATATATGCAAATCCATGCAGCGGGGCCATGAGCCCTGTAACTATTGAGACTATTGAGACCGATGCTGGGGTCTCTCCTCGTAAAGTCGCCTGTCAGGATTTGCAAGTGAGACCCAGACTGTTATTACTAGCTATTACTCGATACGATGCTGGAGGAGAAGGCCAGGGTATGCATTGGTACTCCATACAAACGACAGAGTAGGGATTCGCTAATCAATGGGGCTTGATCGCGTCCACTGGAAGGATCGGTTTATGCGGCCTAGCGATAGTTGAGGCCCCATAGTCACATTCTTTTAAACAGGGGCACAGCGCACGACGCGGAGCAGAAGCTCTTTGCCGGTTAGTTCTCCTAAGACGCAAAACAATCATAGTCTCACTCTGCTGCATGCTGTCCGACTCGTCAGCAAGAACATACTCACTTGTAGGGTTCGTAAGAAGGCCCAGTATGTATTCGACATCTTTCGCATTCTTTGAAGCAATATGGGACGCAGGGGTCACCCATTGTTTCGTCAACTTGGGGTCAGATCATCCAGGTATGATTGAGGCCATGGTGAAGGGCCAGCGAGAGAGGCAAGGAAAATTTCCGCGTATTATTACGTGCCCTAGCGAGGTATCATCCTTCCCTACATAGAGCCTAGCTTCTTGTAAACCGGCTGCTGATAATAGTTGACGTGGACAGATGGTGGCCATGTCCATGGCAGACGGCTACGCCCGATTAACTGGAAAGCCACAGTGTGTTATTGTCCATGTCGATGTTGGAACACAGGCCCTCGGTGTGGCGGTTCACAATGCCTCAAGTGGCCATGCCCCTGTCCTCATCTTTGCTGGAATGTCCCCTTTTACTCAGGAGGGTGAGCTGCTCGGCTCCCGCACCGAGTTTATCCACTGGTTACAAGATGTCCCTGATCAAAAGGCTATTCTTGGCCAATATTGCCGGTACACAGCTGAGATTAAAACAGGCGTCAATGTCAAGCAAATGGTTAACCGAGCGTTGCAATTTTCCAAAACCGCTCCGCAGGGTCCAGTATACCTTTGTGCGGCTAGAGAGGTCATGGAGGCAGAGATCAGCCCTTACTCTATTCAGCAAGAATTTTGGAATTCTGTCGAATTAGGCGGCCTTCCTTCAAATGCTGCAAGCAACATTGCTCAAGCGTTGGCCAATGCTAAGAGGCCACTGGTTGTGACCGGCTATTCGGGTCGAAATCATGGTATTCCAAGTGCTTTGGTCGAGTTAGCAGATATTATCAAGGCCCTACGTGTGCTTGACTCCGGGGCAAGCGACCTGTGTTTTCCGGGTGACCATCCAGCCTGGCTAGGAGTTAAACAAGGAGCTGATGAGTCTATTCCGGAAGCAGACGTTATACTGGTTCTAGACTGCGACGTGCCATGGATCCCAACGCGGTGCAAGCCTAATCCGGATGCAAAGATATATCACATTGATGCCGACCCCTTAAAACAACGGATGCCTTTGCACTATATTCCATCCAATGCTCGATACCTGGCAGATGGACTAAATTCTATTGAGCAAATCCTTCAAAATCTCAAGACAGGCGAAGCAGCCGGGATCCTCGCGACAAAAGACCAGGCCACAGCCGAAGAAGCGCGTCGTAGCTCTTATGCTGCCAAGATTGAACGCATCACTGAAGCGGCACAACCGTTCCCTGATGGCAGTTTTGGAACGGGCCATCTGAGTAAAGTGCTTCGAACTGTTTGCCCAGTAGACACAATATGGGCTGTGGAGGCAGTGACCAACACTGGCTTTATTCACGATAACGTAAGACCGACAAAACCAGGCTCATGGATCAATTGCGGAGGTGGTGGTCTTGGCTGGTCCGGCGGTGGTGCTCTGGGCATTAAACTGGCCACTGATGCTGAAGGAAGGGGGAAGTTTGTATGCCAAATTGTGGGAGATGGAACGTATCTCTTCTCCATGCCTTCGAGCGTATATTGGATATCTAAACGGTATAATATTCCGATTTTAACAATTGTTCTGAACAACAATGGTAAGTTCTATGTATTTGGCCCCGTACGTCTTAGAAAGGCATGTACTAATTTGCATAGGATGGAATGCGCCGAGGAAATCGTACATGTTGATTCATCCCGACGGTGAAGCCGCCCAGGTAACCAACGAAGAAATGAATATTTCATTTAATCCAACACCTGACTATGCTGGTATTGCAGCAGCAGCTGGCGCAGGCGATATTTGCGCACTGAAAGTGACGAACGCTAACCAACTCGAAAGTATTCTGAGAGATGCTGTAGCCAAAGTGAAGGCTGGACAAACAACTGTGGTAGATTGCAAAGTTGTACCAGACTGTTAGAGTTAAACACTATATTAAATCAAAATGAAAACAATATTGGATAGTATTTATATGAAGTAGTCTTTGAAGAGGCTTGATATAGTTTTAGGGCCTCCTCGCTGATACTTGTGATCTTACGCAAAGCCCAATGCGATATGACCAAGTTCGGTAGTTTATAGAACTTAACCTGTCTTAACATCTTAACATCTCTTTTGCTGTATATGGCTAACCATTCAAGAGCCCTTATTTACTCTTTCGTGAAAGACATCACCATGACATACTGCGCCCCTGGCAGTGAGATCTTGGGCACGCACGCCCTCAAAATCGTAACAGTCGGCATGGTAGTGAAGAACTTCAACAGCCTATTAACATTGAAGTGGACAATTTCTAAATACTTTACTTATACGTTATGAGTGAATCATTAGGATGATGCATTCAATTCTTAGTCCGGATAAAGTTGGATCATTGGCTTATGCTTCTGACCAAGGACAGCGTTTGCGACGCGAAAATGAGTACGTCAATTGAGAAGTGGAAAGCTACTGATACCAAAATCCAGCTCATTATAGTCATACAAACTACAAGGTAGTAATAATGCGTCCGCTTGATCATAATACCTTGGCCATTCCCGATTAATCCCAGTGATAGGTCCCTTTGTCTGACTCTTTAGGATAATGCGCTTAATATATGGCTCCCGCCCAATTGGTGACCGAGCAGTCGGTCTCGCTGCAAACATAGCAAACCATTTGTGTTTCTCTTTATAATAAAACTCTACTCTTTGTGCATTATTTGACATATTATATCTGTTTCCTACATTGTATATGCAACACTAGTAACATTGGCTACAGCTATTCGACAGTCGTATCTCTGTTTATAGTGACCCTCCTTCCGTTCTGTTTTTAGCTAAGTCAAAATATGTGCCACATGAACGAGGAGAGCGTATTCAGTCAATTGGTGAATGTATTTACCTTCAAATATGCTTAAGCTTTCGCCCATAGTTTGCCTTTTGCCAAATATAATCTTGAGGCCCCGTAAAAAATACTTCCCGTGGCTAGCATGACCCCAGTGAAGATTTGTAATTTCCAATAACTCCCATTTGCAGCCGTAATCAGAGCACCTCCGATAGGACTTCCTGTCAATGCTGCGACTGACATGAAAGCATACATGGTCCCAGATCTCAGGCCAATCTCATGTATATCTGATATCTGAGCCACCAATGCGGGACTTATTGCCGTATAAGTTCCACTGCTGAATCCAAATAGAGAAGCAAAAGCCATGGTAGCTGCATTAGAATGGCTAGGAAGCCATAGAGCGAATACTAGAGTGGTAGACAAGCAGGCGGCGCAAAGCGATACATTGAAGTTTCCCACCTTGTCGGCTATATACCCTGGAAGAATACGACCAATACCGCTAGAACCCATCAACGGCAGATTAGCATAGAGAACAAAGTTTCAGACCCATACGACACGCATTGATGTGACCTACCTTGCTCCATTAAACATAGAGACTAGATATCCAGCAAGTTGTGGCGACATGCCTAGGCTTCTTCCGTACGTTACTAAGAAGGTGATAGGTATAAACATGCCCATTGAGTAGAAAAAGCCAGCAATGGCCGTTAATAGAAATGGAATGTCTTTAAATGAATTTATCAAGGCTCCAGCATCGTAGTTTTTTGGCTGTGGACGTAGGCGTGATTGAACAGTCAGGTTCGTTATGATAAGCAACCCCAGCATAAGAAAGGCACATATTCGCATCGTCCAGCCGAAACCGATAACAGGCATGAGTCGATTTACCATGATGGGCATTACGACTCCGCCCATGCTGGATCCACTGGCCACAATACCCATCGCCAAAGCGCGCTTCTTCTGAAACCATGTTGTAGTACAGCTAAAAGACGGGTATAAAACCATGGCTGCTCCAACTGGACTGCATATTGATTGAGATAAAATGAATTGGTAATATTTCGAAGAGATGGATGCCATCATGAGACCGAATATGTGGATAGCAGTGCCAAAAAGCAAGAGAATCTTAGGACCGTAATGGTCAAATAGATGCCCTACAAAAGGCCCCTGTGATAAAGTAAGAAATTGGGTCTATTCAGATTCGAGAAAATGTTCCAATTACCGCGATAAAGATCGTAAACATGGATAATGACGGAATCCAAGATACCGTACCTGGCGACAATGATGCAAGCTGATGAGTCTCGTAATATTCTTGGAAAATGCCAACACCTATGAGAGTCAGCTTTTACAAGAATACGATGTTTCTATGCCATGATGGATATGTCGTACAATTCGTCCAACCAAAGGATACAAATAGACCGAAAAATGCGCCAAAAACAACGAGCCATGCTCGCAAGCCTCCATCTGGGAATGACTCAGAGTCGCTAAATTTTTCACCCAAGTCATGTCGCTTGGGAACAGGTATAGAACGAACACGACTTTCGCCTTTGATATCCATCGCACAATTTAGCTTCTTGAGTATACGACGCAAAAAAATGACGGGTTTTGCCCATTGAAATTTTGATCTTTATGGATTGCAGAATTTTTTTTGTCAAGGGCCAGTCTTCAATAAATACGATGCACAAATCATTCGCGCCCTTTGAAGATTTCGGAGGTCCGAATGCCCTGACTAGTCCGATCGCGGGATATTCAGTCGTGTCGGTGTGCAGAGCGCTCTGTGCGAACGAAGCAAGGGCTTTTGGAAAAAAAAAAAGTAATATTTCATCTGTTCAATATTGTTCCCCCCTTATATCATTCTTTCTTCCATTTTACAAGTGGGAAGGATGTCCCTAGCAATCACTAGGATCTGACTAACTTCACAGCCAGCATTTCCAAAATGCGCGCTCTATGAAACACGCAGTAGTTATTAGCGGTATGAGGCGTGATTGTTTCAGATAAACAAATGAAGTGATATATTTGGCAAGCTTCATTCTTATAGCCTTTAAGAATATGACAACTTCAGAGCATTACTTTGTAAAGACTGTTGGCATGATGGGAGTGGGCAGGTTTTTTGCCAAAGTGAGCGAAGAAAACATAACTTAGGGGATGCTCTATTCTAATTTCCATCTATTTACGTGCCTTAAACCCAATTACATGGCGATATATTACTTACAAAGTATTTGCGCAGATTGATCTTTTTTTATACGCAGCCTGCAACACTGTAAATAACTTGAGCCGCACACCACTGCAGCTATGAGTGTAGGGATTAGGCTGAAACTTTACCAAGCGACAGAGCTTCGGGATGTTTACTATAGTGATAGATTACACGATATAAATTGGCATTTTATAACTTCTGAGTACTCTTAGACTTGGTTTTGTGAGGTGTGGTGTGGATAGGGTGCATGTACGGTTTAGCCGCTGATTGACCTAAGTTTGATTGATGCGGAAAAATAAGAGAAAGGAATTAGCAGACTATTAACAGCTCCTTTTCTATACAAATTTCATCATACATGTACACCTGTCTATCTGCTCCGCTAAACGAGCCCTGGGATAAGCCAAGAGAGACTTTGCAATAGGCAGCTATTATACACAGTGAATAATGAAAGCTGAAGTCTAGATCAAGTGTGCAATGCGTTATACGGGTGAACATACCGTTAAGAAGCTCTTGATCTGTAAAATTAAAAAGCAATATTTATAAGAGAAGAGCGAACTTTTTGAAGAACTATCAATAAGTCTACGGGGTCTGAAGCTATATTTTAAGGATGTATTTATATTTAATCTCAAACATCGGCTCTTTTTCGACAAGCGATGGAATTCAGAGTACTTTTCTCTGGTGCGGTGTTACCATTACAGTTCCACTTAGACGTCTGATGCATGATTTAGGGGGCAGTGTAGCCACCATCAACAATAAAATCAGCCCCAGTTGCATAAGAAGAGGCATCGGAGGCCAGGTATAGGTAAATTCCCTGCATCTCTACCGTCTCTCCAAAACGTCTAAAACTGTTAACTAGGTGTCTCTATGGTAGGATTTGAAGTATCTACTTACCCCATAGGAATCTTATCTTTAATTGAATTCATAACTTCTTCAGCCACAGACCCAGACAAGCCGGTGTTAACATATCCCGGGGAGACGCTATTAACTCTGGCAAACCCAAGCCATTCGATGGCAAGAGATTTACCTTTACCAAAATAGTTTAGTGTAAGATATCGCTTCGGAGGTAAATTGGAGCGTGGGCCAACTTACAAAAGTGAATAATATGCGCTTTTGAAGCGTTATACGCCGCCTGGCGTCGAGGAATATTTACAATGTGTCCAGACATGCTGGCGGTGGCGATGAAGCTGCCACTGGAAAAATTACCCAATTTTGCTCCATCTATAGTTGTTCCTTCCTTCTTTTGTCTCCGAAAGTGCTTGCCAGCGGCACGTGCACAATAGACTACTCCGTCAACATTGATTTTCATGAGATTATGGTATCTCTCAATGTCTGCGTCAACAAATGTTTCATCGCCCCAAGAAGCGCCAGAGTTGGCGACAAATACATCAAGGCGGCCGTCGAATTCTTTGATAACCTTCTCCATCGCTATTTCTACTTCATCGCAGGATGTAACGTTGACTTTATACGCTCTGCCTGCTCAGTAACATGATTAGTACAAGACAGTTGCTTTGAATCGGTGGAATAAGAAAAACGGGTTTTTTTTTCTTCTTCTTCGGGCTCGTCTTTGTTACATTTGACATTAAAGGCTCTCTCAATGCCTACTGCCTTGTCAATAGCCTCTTCATTTGAGTTATACCAAATAGCCACATTGGCACCCGCTTCGGCGAATGCTTTGGCAGCGGCAAGACCAATCCCTCCTCCTGCGCCTGATATGATTGCTGTCTTGCCTTTGAGGGAGAAGAGAGACATCACCCCGTTATCCGCAGGGGGCGTCGTGTTGTTACGCCGGAAGACGCCATTTTGGATACTTTCGGTCATTCTAGGCCACTTGGGTAATGTTGATATTATGATAGCTATTGATAAATCCGAAATGACATTGATGCAAGGTCGATGGCATTGAAGTGTCTGGATGAGTTATTATTTTAATAGTGCTTCTACTACTTCGCCGCGCCTAATGCGAAACCAGTTTAAAGGCTTAATAGTTACTCCACCAGACGCTTCCGACTTCGCATTGAACTGGTCTTGACATTGTGTTCTGCCCCAGAGGTGGAACGATTAGTGAACGCAGATGGTGGCCGATTTCACATACTAATGAGTATTGAGCTGAGAAGAGATCAACAACCCCCACCAACCCCCACCTATTAACGGCAAACCCCCTCTCGATTTAGGAGCCTTCAGTGGCGGCCACCAATCCCCTCCCGGCCTTTTTTGCACGGAGTCATAGCTGAAGCTTCGGCATTTATCTTTACTATGCCATTCCGCTCTCCAACATAGTTTAAAATTGATTGGTGCGGCGCATAGTACTATCCAGAGACTCTACCATCCCCTGAGAAAATCTGGCTGGGCGAGGGTTCAAGAGTCGAGAAAGTGCGGGGTAGAGTAGTAGCCTACAAAGGATGTTTGCCTTTCGTTTCTGGCTAGGAGCTTTCCTGTCTGTAATTCTGGATGGGAAAAGGGAAGAAAAGGAGAGAACATGAATCACACACATACTGTAGTGATTTTTGAGGGTTTATTATTATAAATCATATTATATAAGGTAGCCTTCATAGCTTCACGTGCTTTTTTTGTTTAAGCTGAAATCCCGGGTCGCGAGACTCGTTCGTATTCTAGGCACGCACATGGCGATTAGGTAAAATTAGCCTAGCGTTGTTTGCTACATATTAAAGTCTTCCTGTTGCCTAGCCCCTGGCGATACGCGCCCAGTTCAAGCAACACTTTACAACAACAATCATGATGGGCAACGCAGAATTCGGGCTTTCCGAAGAGGAAATTAACGGGTTCAAAGCATGGGTTCAGTCCCAAAATAAAAGGCCTTACATGTGGGATGCTCGACAATGGTTCCGTGACTCCTATCACAACAATGATGAGCCAGATGCCTCACTAGACAAGACTCTGGGCTCACTCATTGACGAGGCCATCGAAGATGCTGTCAATGAAATGAAAATTCGCAACAAGGTAGTTTTAATTTTTGTTCATTGTTTTGATGTCGCTACCCTCAACATTCATTAATAAATGCATGTTGACGATGACTATAGGTATTGTCACATCTCAAAATTCCTGGTTTAGGTCTTCCGTTACTGTATATGCCGCCCGAAGACAAGCGATTTCCTGTCTTGATAGGTTCTGAAGGCTATGACTGGAAAGCTGCAACACTTCTGATACGAGAAGTTTGTATGTTAAAGTTTGTAGAGGAGATCACAAACAAGGCTCAGTGGTGGGAAAAAGTTTTCAATCCTCAAATTGCCAAAAAGTGGACACAAGAGACATTAGAAATGAATTGGAAAGAATATCGAAGTTACGCAGATTTCACTCCCGCAATGGCAGAAGCTGTGAGTTTTACATCCGTAATGCCAAGAGAACACCTAAATGACAGAAAAAACCACTAGTGCATTCGCGAATTGCGAATTAAAGCGGATTTATTTATAAAGACTGGACTTATTCCTATATTTGACTATTCTTCTTGTGTCATCAAATCCGATAGCCTTGTCCCCGAGACCTTACGAGATGATCTTCGGGCGGCAGTTGCAAAACTTGAGAATGTTCCTGATGGAGAAAAAGATTGGCATCCAGGTAGCACCCGCAAGGTTCTCGACCTTGTACACCCCTCTCTGTGGCCATTCATCTATGGCCGTACTCCCGTACTACTTGACAAACGAATTAATGTTACGGACGCTTTGAGCCACTGTGGTGTTGGAACTATCCTTCCGGCTCCAAAGCCAATCGAAATGGCTGATCCTAAGCGGTCTTCGTCAGCACCTTATCAGCTATCTATGCCTTCTCTTTCACACAAATTCCAATGGCTGCCATGTGACGTTGTACTTGATGGCCAGTCTGCCAAAATCGACAGCTATATCAATAACTTGCATCCAGTGGATCATGCAAGCTTATACCCTATTATTGAACGCTTCATCGAGAAGTCGTTATCGGCATGGGATATTATATACCGATGGCCTACAGAGTTTGAAACTCAGCGCTTGACAACGACCCAGGCGCGCGAAGAGTGTACAACTAATGAAATTTGTCAACATAGAGGTTGCAAGCCGTGGAATCGTCCACTTGACGAAGGTGAGCCATGGCGCGATGATAGGGAGCCTTACACAGCAGAGTATCGGGACTCTGAACGTTTTAAGCGCGATATGGAGTGGATGGTTGAAACGCACAAGCTCAATCTGCCAGAACCTGTGTCTGACGATGATAGCCACATTCGGTTAAAGGCATCTGACGTCAAATCGAGCGGCTTCTTCAACGGAGCATCTCGTATCCAAGTTATCGTCAAGTTGGCTAATGTTCACCTCAATCCCGAAGACCCCGAATTTAAATTTGAGGTATCGAGAGAGCTTGCTGATTGGTATATGACCCCTCTCAACAAAGATGCCAGCGATCTAGATTTAGAGGGATCTTCTTACAAGCCGGGCACCTCTGAGGCTTCTACATCGGATTCCGATATTTCGTCAAACCCGAGACGATCATTGTCCCTAAACCTTTCCGATTATCATGACTTATATATGAACAACGATCCTACTGAGTTTGAAGGCGGATCATGGCACACAGAGGGAATGTTAAATGAGCATATCTGCGCAACCGCGCTTTTCTATTACGATTCCGAAAATATTACCGACTGTCATCTTGACTTTCGTACGCCTGCGGATCGTGAGGAGCTTGTTGTAAATCTCGGTTACGAACAAGACCAACATTATCCGATCGAGCGCACTTTCGCTATCCCAAATGCCAACCGCGACAGGTTACAAAACATTGGCGGCGTTCTCACCACGAACAGCCCTTCTACAGGAGATGCTGATACTCGAGCTGTTTTCTTTCCGAACCTTCTGCAACATCGGGTTTCTTCATTTCGCCTTAAGGACTCAACGCGGCCAGGCCACCGCAAAATTCTAGCTCTCTTCCTCGTGGATCCAGCAATTCCTATTATTTCCACAGCCAATGTACCACCACAGCAGCGGAACTGGTGGTCTCGCGAATCTGGTGTTGAAGAAGCTCTTGCTAATCGGCTACCGAATGAACTGGCCAACGTCGTTCTTGAAGATGCGGTAGGACTTCCGATCAGCTTGAATGAAGCCAAAAGCATCCGGCTGGACCTAATGGAAGAAAGATCGATAAAAAAAGACGATATGGATAGAGATCTACAAAATTACACCTGGAACTTTTGTGAACATTGATGGTGTTGACTTTTACCAGAGGGATTCTAACTATGTATCTTTGACTTATGACCAGGGGTGGAAGATTGGGTATAGCCGTATTGATAGAAGTCTAGGCTGTAACTAATTTGTTACTTTTTGCTACTTTCAAAAAGTCAAAATTTCGTTGTGTATTTGGTATGGCGCTGTCCTCTAGTTCCATAAGTCCTGTTACATATTTGAAAAAGTAACATGACTATCAGCATCAGCATGGATGAACCAGCTACCTTTTCTTTGAAACACATCCACTTGGTTTAATCATAATGAGTAATAATGTTCAGCGATATGATGCCATAACACCATTATGACGGAATGACGGAATGAATAATACTCTTTCTGTCTTACTCCAAAAGTCTCCGCCCAACAACCTTCATACTCGGCAATTTATTTGAGTAATCCTTTGAGGCAGAGTTCCCAAACTCAACCTTCACCTCGTTGATGGCAATCTCAACTAAATTATGCGTTGATATATCCACCCATTTAACTAGAGAAATTATATCTTCACCAGTAGGCACACGAGTCTTTGAGCGAGTGTATCGGGATGATGGCCTGATTATCACCGAAGTGGTGATGGCGTAACATTTGCTAGCTCTATGTGTCGCTTCACACTGGTGTACACTAAAATTCACTTCCAATATGACTACATATGTTAAGCAACCTGAATCAAAGCTATTATTTGAGATGATATCTCGTTGCCCTTTTGTTTGTCGCAAGGCGATGCGCCAATTGTGAAATTCCGATGGATCTCCCTTTATAAGCTCTTGAGCCATATCCTTCTTACAAAGTATTCGAGAAATAGCTGAAAGAACACACGAAAGAGGTTTTTGGACTTGACAACCAATTTTCTTTTGCCAAATCACATTAGTAACGAAAAGGAAAATGGTCAACCTTGCCTACTCCGAGACTGGGCAGAAGTCATAGTAGCCATCGACATGGTTACCCCACCATGAGGGAAAGGGTACAGAGCGACCGCCGGCCCCAAATACTGCAAAAGATAGAATGAAAAGTGCAGTAAGACTAGCACCATCAAAGGCACCAGTAATAAGGTATGAGTAATCTTTGAAGATACGAGGTCGATAGTTTCGGAGGTAAAACTGAGTGAAAAACCCGGCGAGAAGCTGACTCAAGATAACACAAGTCTGGGACGCATTGTACGGTATGAATCCCGCATATTGAATAAACTGGGCCATATTGATATCTGAAGTGGAAAAGTTTCGGATTTTGGGGACGAACTGCAGAAAAAGAAAGGGGCCGATTAAGAGTCGTTCATGGACTGGTAGGCACGATGAGACTTACATATGCAAATATACGATGAAGAACAACTACTGCAGCGCCGATAGCCAGACCGACAGATACCATTTCGTATTCTGCACCAGCCTTATAAAGATATTTTGCGAGGGCCCAAGAGGTCGCATTGGTGTTGTATGATTGAATAGTCGCACCACTCCATGAAGCGTTTCCATTACCGTCTACAAGAAGGTCGCGGTTGCCATTGACGATAGTGATCATGATGGCGTAATTGACAAAACCGCCCAAGACAGTGCCGTATATTTGTGTCGCAAACATGACTCGAGGAGGAATTTTGACTATATGGATGCATTAATATTTCTAGTTGCGCATTATAAGAAATAATACATACGATATTCCCCCATTTTGAGGTCATTGCATAAGTTGACACAATTCACAATAACGTTATGTGACCAAGCAGCAAAATACATGTTGCCAACGGGGCGGCCCGGAAGCATCAGGCCAGCTAACATCTTGGAAAGATTATTGGTAGCAATGCCGTTACCATAACGTGAATAGAGGATGGTGCTCTGGCAAGTGTGTTAGATCGCTCAACTTATAGTCTCTTATGATAAACACTTACAAAGGGCGCGATAAAGATTCCAAGGATTAGCGATACGATATAAGCCCACACAGGAAGCGTAATGTTTTCTTTGATCACAACGACAAGGCCGAGGACAAAGCTGAAAACAAGTACTGATATGTACCACCACCATGGTGTTTCCTTGTAATTCTCAGACATGTGTGCATGATGGCGGTCGTCGTATCGTCCGTTCTTTGCGCTCTTGTATGCCCTTTTGATATCTCCACCCCAGAATAGACAGCAATGTGCAACTAGGGCTCCTATCTAAATAGTTGTTAACAAATTTGGGTCATAATCTTGGTGTGTGGTACATGGATACTCACTGCTGCATTTGCCATGAACATTGCGTATGCGAAGCTTCCTGTAAGCCTAGGGATGCCATATTTCTGCAAAGCGCTTTCATCAAGCACGCCACCAGAAAACACTTTAGAAATAGGATACTTGGTACCATTTTCAGATCGGAGCTGCGTAGACATGAATGGCTGCGATTTTGCATTCCAAGCATTGCTATAATAAATGGCGATCATCACAATGTAGCAAACGATATATCCAAGTGCGGAATGAGCTTGCAGCGTCAAGGGCAAAGAAGTATTGATAGATGTGATCTAATGAAGTACGTCAGTTTAGTCTGCTAATTTAATTAGCATCTCAATCAACAGGTGCTCACTTACGTATTGCCAATCGAAAGAAAGACTAAAAATCCCTAGTCCTTCGTTGTTAAGCGAGCCACCGAAAAGATTTGTAAGAACGGCTGCTTTTGAGCCAGTTGCACGCATGGCTGCTAAGCATGGAATAGAAACGGAATTTAGGAACGGAAAAATGTAAGCCGGGAAGAATTCGTAAAAGAACATGCCGACGAAGCTGTACCAGAAAACCCGAAGTGGTTTAGAGCCTTTCAAGCTTTGCCAGTGAAGTCCTTGAAGTGTCTTGACTGTCGGAAGGGTGCTCCAGTATACCGCTTCCACGTGCCAGACTGCAATAGGACGCAGCATGCCACAGATGCCATAGCCAAATAATCCAATCGAAATTGTGCTTAAGATAACAGTTGATGCAGTCAAGGGTAGGTTGTAAAATAGATTTTGTGCGGTGAAAACGGTGATACTGGCAGAGGCATTTGAAGCAGATGTGGCTGTAATGGCACATACAGCATGCTCTTTAAGATTCCAAGGGCCAGGATTGATGAAAGAGACAACGGATATCCAGAATGGAATTTTTTCTTGGCCTTTTTTGCCTGCCCATCGTGCCTTTAGTCGATCGCCACGGGGAAGGAACGCAGCCCACGCATTGCCTGCAAAATAGGCGATGAGGACGATAAAGGTTCCTGAGATTGTTACTGACGTTGGCTTGAACTAAATTGTGTGTCAGATTATTCTCAATATATATGTAGAGCACTTGCCAATGCAAAGTTACTCACCTGGTAGATCTGGCTCATGATAGCTTGAAAAGCAGAAAGGCAAGTAGCTAAAAAGAGGCTTCGGAAAGTCACGGACGGTTCATGATCATCTCGTAGTGGCAGTAGATGGGCAGCTGCATCAGCGCCGGTAATGATAATAACATCGTCGCTGGCATTGTCTTGGCCACTATTGTCGTCGTAGTCGTCACTATCGATGGGAACAGTGCTGCTTCCGCCTTTAACCTTCTCGTTTTTCTCAAAATCTATGTTGCCACCAGAAGGAACTCCCTCATCGGAAATATTATGTCTGACTGCCTTGTTCTCAGTAACAACAGTATCATCTGGCATTGACGCCGCCATCTTGGCATAAATCAGCATTCACGCAGGTAGTGAAGACGCTGCATCATAACGAAAAAGAAAAGGGAGATAAAAATGGCTGGCATTTTGGCAGAGTCTATTTCTATAAGCATTTTCATTTTTTTCTCCTCGGTATTCTGAATCACGATATACTAGGAACGTGATAGTGTGAAGCGATAACATACGTTTGAATTGTTATGGAATTACCAGGACGGTGGTGTAATACTGGTGAGACGTTATGCAATCAATAGATCAGGTATTTTAGAGTGGCAACTAAAGACCAGCTACTGTTGTTCTGGGAGGGACTTTTGAAAATATGCACGAAAATGGCACGGACTTTCCGCCTGTGGTTAGTCTCGATTCCATACGACTGGAAAAGTTCCCGAGGCTAGCTTGTAGATTAAGTTAATGTAGACGTTCTAGATTATATCGCAGAGCGACAAGAATGGCGAGCCTTCCATACAAAATTTATCAAACTTCTCATAAATTGCGCATACATTGAAATTACTTACTAGATATCATCTTACATAGCGCTTCACTTGCCCCGAAAAGAGACAACAAGTCCAGTAGTACGCTCCGCCACGCTTCAAGAAAATCAGGCGAAGATATATGGGTAATGGTCTTACAATATATAGGTACTGCATTTCTAGCACTTTGACTCATCCATATAAATTAGCATAAAAGTGCAGTAAAATGCATGTTAATCTTCATATATGGGATTTTCCTGTTGGCTCTGGCTTGCATCTGTAGAAGGATAAAGCAGACGAGTCACATGGAACAATTGTTATTTGCAATCGAATAGGCACCTTTCCTGGACCCTTTTTTTCCCTGCATTGAGAAAGCGACCTGCGGGTATTTTAAATATCAGTAGTATGTACGGCGAATAACTTAGAAGGTTACATTTATCCACAGCTGTTTCGGCGTTTTGGGGGTCACCTTGCCACCCATGTCACGTTCAAAAGCAACTGTAGTAGTATCCAGTACGAATATCCCCGAACACCTGACCGGCTTTGTCTATCACCTTATCAAGAATATTGAGCTAATACTTAGACGCTAGAGCCACCCTCTATGAATATGTGTTATGTGATCGGTGCACAAAATAAACACTTTGTGGGTAATGTTGGCTCACATCTTACTCAATAAACCGGATTTATATCTGTCTAGACGTAATATAGTACGATATAAATCACTTTAGACGCCAGGGTGTCATTTTACTTACTAGACTGATTACGTTGGGGAATTCAAATAGCTATACTAGAGTTTGAGCACATATATGCAAGCTAAAGAATATAGATATAAGCAAAATAAAGACCAGTGGTTAGTATAATTCTCAGGCTGGGAGAATATAAAACATTCTGATTTCCAAAACATTGATAGAGGAAAACAATTTCTTCTGCTATGTAGAGTATAATGGTCACCGCTATTAAATTTCAACGCCAGGGGGAAGATGCATAAAATATTCAAATGCATTTGACAAATATTTGTGTCAATTGTTTCGTGTGTTGGGTATCTAATACACTAGGAGCCATCGCTAAATTTGCTCTTCATACGATGTGCAGGATGTCGGATGAAATACATGCTATTTTTTGTACCTTATGCTTTTGGCTTGCGGCCGTTAGCTAGCTACAAGCATGTGTTTCCTTTTATTATAAGGTCTGCTATATATACATTTCAGCATATAGATACGTGTTGTAGCAATAGTACCTACTCTCGTATAGCTGTTTTTAACTTGCTGACTATGTATGGTGCCCACTATTATAATAATATACTAGTCGCTAGTCGTGTTTCTTGGCAAATGATGCCATTCTTAGCGTGGAGAAAAGAAGTTTAGCTCAAAATTAGGAACGTTGGCAAGGTTGGCCAAAACTCCGATTCTATGCAGAGCTCCTGTTTAGCCGTCCGACCATTTCCGTAAAGCCACCAGGGTTATATGTAATGAAGAGTATCATCTTGCGTGAAAAAAAAAAGTGTTATCATTTGAGGAAATATGTTTAAGGCTCTACAAATTATGCATGCGGCAGCATAATTCACTATATCTTTGGCGTTTTGCCAACATGTATTTTGGAACGCGGGTGGCTCATGACATACCTTTCTAACAGCTACTAGGTGTCAACAGAGCTACTCTAATAACTCTGATGTGAAGCCATTATGTGCCATTATGTGTATATGATTTGGACGGACTCTCCCCGCAGATATACGAACCATTAAGCTAATTATACTTTTTTTTTTTTCCGTTTCCTAGGTCCCTTCGACTTTCCATAAATAATAAAATATTTTATCGTATGTTTACGAGAAAATACCTGAGCCATCGCGCTACGAGTGCACGCGGCGGGCGGCGCCGTTGCACCGGCTCTCTGCTTTCACCACGCCTGTTCGGCGCATATCGCCGAATACATGGAGGTTGAGGTAAAAATCGAGTATTTAACGCCCAGTTTCCCATTAATAGTTGCCTAATACTGCAGTTCCTCCTCTCACTCTAACAAGATTAATAAAAAAAAAAGATGGAATCTAAAGAGACAGAATCTGGCGTTTTGACTGCGCTGGCAAGGAAAATGCGTCTTTCCGCCACTTTAGCAATAAACGAGCTTGTTCATCGGCGCACAGCTAAAGGTTACAAAGTTGTGCACCTGGGATTTGGCGAGGCTACTTTTCCTATTCAGCGCAATGTAGCTGCAGCTCACAGGAACGCCAGCGATATCACTAGTTACCTTCCAGTTGCAGGGTTGCCCGAATTACAAGAGGTTCGTATTTTGATGCCATATGCTAATATTAACGAGGATACTAACTCCTGGGGTAGGCTATTGCCAAATTCCAATCTCGGCGTCTAAAGAATAACATTCAGCCCGACCAAGTTGTCGTGGCCCCAGGATCCAAGCCATTGCTATTCGCACTTTTTGACCTTCTACAAGGAGACGTTTTACTGCCGCGACCGTCGTGGGTCAGTTACGAGCCTCAGATTATCCATGCAGGAAAGCAAATCTTCTGGGTAGAAACAGATAAAGACGATCGTCATACTATCACAGGTGCGAAGCTATATTTCCATAACTTACTTTACAGGCAATTAAGCTAACAGCTTACAAAGAGGCGTCTCTGCAATCGGCGTTTTCAAGCGCAGTCAAAGAAGGTGGCAATCCTCGAATTATGCTTATAAACAGTCCTTCCAATCCCACTGGTCAGGCTTTCAATAAGCGTGATGTAGAGACCATCAGCGCCTTTTGCAGAAGCCATGATATTACTCTCATCAGTGATGAGATATATTCTGACATAAGCTTCTCTGAAGAAAGCAGTGCAACTCCATGCTCAGGGTCGCGATTTAACATTGGCCACAAAATTTTGACTGGTGGACTTTCAAAGGTAACATTCCTCCTTTGTTATAATCTCTAATTAGCTGACCGTTAACTACCTTTATATAGACTTATTCTGCTGGAGGATGGAGGGTTGGCTATGCCATCTTTCCTGCAAACGACTTTGGAGCGAGGGTACAATCGGCAGTCTTGGCATATGCGTCTGAGTGCTGGTCTGCCGCCTCAGCACCCGCCCAAAAAGCCGCTGCCGTAGCGTTCGATACTAGTCCAGAAATGGATTTGTATCGTAGCCAGGTTGTGTCATTACACAAGCGATGCACGTTGGCGTTGTATCAAGCTTTACGTCAATGTGGCCTCGCAGTTGCAGAACCAAAGGGTGCCTTTTATGTTTATCCATCGTTTCATCCATTTTCGAAACAGCTTGAAGCTCGTGGAATTTGGTCTAGCCAAGAGTTATCCCGGTGGCTTATTGAAGAGTGTGGTGTCGCAGCCCTTCCAGGTTCGGCATTTGGCGAGGACGATGCTGGGCCCATTGGTGGTCGATATCGCCTGAGGATGGCCACAAGCTACCTGTATTTCCATGACCAGATTGAAAGATATGAACATGGATATCATCTTCTAGATTTAGCTTCGGATGCGAATAATGTTCTAAATCTACCTTTGCTAGATGAAGCCATACAGGCCATACAAAACGCCGTGGCAAAGCTTAGAATAGAGCTATAGATATGTCAATTAAGAAACATACCGCGTGCTTAAGAATAGTTCTAAATCATTAATAATTAGCTCATCGTACAAACTCCANGGGGGGGGGCTTACTAGAGGATATTAGAAGATGTCTTTCCCGGATCTATATCAGCCGCCATATTCATTTCATTGGGAAACATATTCCAAAATGTTTCTGTTGGGTCTTGGCCCAAAAAATCCCTGAACATTTCGAAATAATCATATTCTTCCCTAAAGCTCATACTAGAATATGATGTGTCCATGTTAAGACCTTGTTCTGTCTCTAAGTCATTCTCTATATTTGTCGCGGATGCAGAGCTTTCAGGGCAAATAGTCCCAGCTTGTGAAGTCATAGTTGAAGATACTAATTTAAGAGTATCATTTGCAAGAAGCTCATACTGAGAATCCAATTTTGACATCAATTCTTCTTCTTGGAGTCGTTCATTCATAATGGCGAGACAGATAGAACAATTTCTAACCCAAGACTGAAGATCAATCAACAAGAAAGATGCTTCGACATGCGATAGTAACTGATGAAGACCGGTTCTAACTGTTACGACCATGGTCAAGCCCGCGAATAAGACTCCTTGAACTAGCATCCAAGGCAATGGTATTTTGTTGAGGCGAAGAATTGTAAGAACGTCGTCAATATAGCTCCCAGCGGAGGTAATACATCGCTCCAGAGACTGAGCAGAGGGATGTGGGCAAAGCGGACTTGGTCGGTGCAAGACAAAAGTTGTGCCATGATAAAGGCGATTCCAGTAGCTTTAATTGAGTCAGCACATATAAAGATATTCAGCAAGGTTATTTTGACGAACCTATATGGGTATGCTACCTCGTACTGGGAATCGACTGGTATATTGACTTGCCACTCGTCAAGATCTCTTTGTAAATCCAAGATCAGCAGCTGCTTCTTTTCGACTGACATTTTTCGAGTACTGTTGGTGATGCCGTAAATTTGAGCCACAATTCGACTTTGTATCTGTCGATGCCGCACATGATGTAGACTGGATAAATTTTCATTTGTGGATTTTGGTAGCGTACTAGCGATATGATCATCTCCAATCGACGAAGGGCGCCCAAGATTATAAGCGAGACTAATCTCAATCGCATATATGGTCCAGAAGACGCGATTCCGTTGGTCCTTGGCCTCATCTGAGAGATCACTTGCCTCAGGAGTACAATGCAAACCTATTTCTACAGCCATCTACAAAACGTCAGCAACGATATTGAATAGGTTCTCAACAAGAAAGAAAGATTCGGTGATGCATACCCTCATTGTAAAGCCAGCTAGCTGCCATTGGCTCGATCCAATAGGTCCAAAAGAGCTATAAATTGAAATCAAGAGAAATACTCTGATGAATCCAACACTCGGACGCAATATATGAGAATTATAGTCTATCAACTGCAAAACTCGTGTGCAAAGAGATGTCGGTGATGGCCTCCCAACCGAAAAGTCCAGTAAAGCTTTTTGGCCAGATTGTTTGCATATTTGCTGAATTGTATTTGAAGTATTAATTGCCCCAAGCGCCATTACCATGTAAAATGTCATCAGCGATATATTTTTCTCAAAGTCGCCTTGGCGTAGCTGTGAATCATCCTTCCCAATATCTTCAGTATACCTACTTATTAGCAAATCCAGATCATCAGAATTCAGAATAGGATAGAGAGGCAGTATCCACATCTTATATGACAGGAGAAACAGATTGATGTCGCTGGAAGAGAGTCTGCTCGGCTTATCGGCTGATTTATGTCCTTCTTCTCTCCTAGCGTCTGCTTGCTGGGAACTGAGTGAGGTGTTCCAAAGGCCCTTTGCGGAGAGACAAGATCTCGCGAGCGCACTGGCGTATGCAGCGAAGAAAGCGCCGCTTGAAGGGCCAAGATATTTCATTTCACCAGTAGCATTTAAAGTTAAAATTCCCATATCTGTGGAGTCGCCAGCTGGCGTTGAGGGGGCTTGTTTTTCTTGCGTATGGGTGCTGTGTGGAATAATTCCTGGGCTTAACGTGGGCCCTTCAGCAAAATCACGACCTTCTGACCTGAGAGAACCCCCAGTTGGCACATCCTTGCATTGGATGCGGAAATGTCGATATATCTCATCTTCAAGCCAAGAAGCCCTTTGCCTAAAATATTTAAGTTCCCTTCTATTAATCAGCGCTCAATTTCTTTGAAAGCTAATAAGCAGTTACGTACGCTAAACTATCGCTTTTCCTATGCCTGGTGTACGGTTCGCAGGTAGTTTTCGCTTTCCCGCATGATAGGCAATTTGGGTAGCCAGAACACTTTTTTTTTTTTTTTTTTTTTTAGCATCTCTATTTATCGACGTTTCATTTCTTCTGAAGATTTGCTGCCTTGCTTTATCCTACCTTTGTTTTTTTACGGTGGCAGCGAACGCACGCCCTTGCGGTATTGGTCGCCATGTAGTGAGACTGGCCGTGGCCCAAGCCAGCGGCTGCATATGGGTAGGGTCGCTAGGGTCCTGCAACGTTGGCTGTAACTGAGACTGTTCACCCGTTCCGTAAAAGAATGCCTAGCCATCACCGGCGAATGGCGATAAAAGGACAAAAAGCACGATCGCATGGTAGACGCCTCCGAGGTTTTCGAAAGAGAGAGGTGGGCCCCGGAGATTTTTCGCCGAAGCTATATTCTCCACAGAACTACAGCCCGCTAAATTATCCAACTATATAGCTGCCCCCAACGTGCTTTTCGCTCGGTGGAACGCTCTATTCGCATGCTGTGTACAGTTTCGGCAGCTTCTGACAGCTTTTTATAGCATGGTCAAAGCTTAATGCATGGTATTGACGCGCTGCGTTTTGGAAAAAAAAAAAAAAAAAAAAAAAAAAAGAGGGAGATGCTTGTTATTTATATTATGATACCAAAATATCTTAAGTTTACGCCTGTGAACATCGCCGATTCCGCTGGTCGGTATAACTCTTGGACGAGTTTGAAGAAGAACACTTCGTCGGGCAACTTCCGTTGTAGGAGCATGATACAACTTAGAGACAAATAGACCACATAGTAGTAACGACACTTGTACTACATCCTTGCCTCTATTGTAACTGCTAGCGGCGAGTAATAAACTTTGGGCAAACGATCCTTCGCGAGTGGCGATTAGCAGCTTCAGCTACTACCGTGGCCATACAGTAGCCGTGATAGGTACTCTGCTATGCCATTAATCCTGCGAGGTAACAAAACCACAAAATCTGATTCATGATCGTGAATAGGTATTTACTGATACCAGATGTTGAGTTGGGACGACTCTACAGGTCCGATTTCGCTTTGTATACTGCTGGGTGGGGTTGCATGGAGGCGCGGAATAAGATCCTGAGGGCGGAGCCGATAATCACATTGTAGCCACGCAATAGGGAATAACGATAGGCCATTGCACGCACTGGGATCAAAGAATATGTACACGTACTGACCTGCAGATGCCATTTTCGATATGAATTGAGGCTAAGGGTCTCTCTTTTTATTTCTTCCGCCAGTAACTGCCAGATTGAGTCACGCTCGCATCGGAACTCGAGTGCCGATACTGACTCTTGTACTCTTCCTCAATGCACATCGATGGCCATAAATCGCAGGGATCGGCAGCTAGAATCCGGGGTTAAGATGGAGTCGATGATGTCTCCCTGCCCATGTCTGAGACTCAACCCCGCAAACGGACACTCCCATAAAATCTGAGCGTTCGCGACGCTTTGCTGGCAGAACATTCCACGCCACTCATTGTTGGCAACCACAAGAAAGAGCAATGCAGTTTCTAAAGGCAAAGGCAAAGCGATCGCAACCACAAGACGTGACCCTGACCATGGAGGCGGGTAATGTCGAAAAAGGGCTTCCGCCTGTCCAACATGAAGACGTCGTCGAACAGCAGCATGTTATCGACGCCGAATTGGAGCGACGCGTTGTCCGAAAAACGGACAGGAATCTGGTTCCGTTAGTGATGGCTCTTTGTACGTTGCATCGCACCTGTAACACCACCTGCAGCTAACTTGTTTTTGGGGGAGGGGGTAGATCTCCTCGCATTTCTTGATCGATCAAATGTCGGGTATGTATTCGCCCTAATTAACTAAGTGCAAGGCTGTGTTCTAAAGCAAATATAAAAGGAATGCTCGTATTGCCGGCATGAGCCAGGATCTCAATCTAATCGGAGATCGTTACGATTGGCTGCTCACAATATTTTATATTCCATACATTATATTTGAGTTCCTCGGCATCATGTGGAAAATCGTACCGCCGCATTTATGGGCTACTATCGTTGTTTTTACATGGTACAGACCCAAATTGAGCAACCATCGCCATCATGCAATACTAACAGGGTTGGAATTAGGGGCATCGTAGCGACCCTCCAATCGGTCACCCAAACTTGGGGGGGCGAGATGGCTCTAAGATTTCTGATGGGGGCCGCTGAGGCTGGGTACGGGCCTGGAATACCATTTCTACTTTCCTTCTTCTATCTGCGTCATGAAGTCGGCTTCCGCTGCGGAGTATTTCTCTCTGCCGCTCCCCTTGCTAACACGTTTGCGGGAGCTCTGGCGTATGGAATTACCTCGGGGCATCCTTCCATTGCGAAATGGAGAGTGCTGTTCCTAGTTGAAGGCTTACCAACCATTATAATGGCTGTTGTAGCTTTCTTCTATCTCCCCGATTCTCCTGAGAAGGCGAAATTTTTGGATGAAGACGAACGGAGAGTAGCTAATGCTCGAAGCGTCCGACAAGCGGGCTCTGCAGAAAGAATAGGCAGCGTTGACTGGATGGATTTTTTGAGAGGCCTTATTGACGTAAAGGCTTGGTTTACAGGCGTAAGAAGATTCTCTGATGGTTGGAAAAAGTCTGTGCTGACGGTTCCTATAGCTCATGTATTTCAGCTGCAATGTCAGCTTCGCCTCTCTCCCTGTCTTTCTGCCGACGATTCTCTCAGAAATGGGATTCTCTGACGTAGATGCTCAAGGATTAACGGCCCCTCCTTTCTTCCTCTCCTTTCTTGTTACTCTTGCTACGCCTTACATCGCCGATAGAACTCAGCAGCGTGGTATTATGCTGATTATTCTCACCTTAATTGGCGGGGTGGGATACGTTATCCTAGCAACTGCAAAGTCTGTTGGAGCACGCTACTTCGGTGTATTTATGGCTGCTGGGGGCATATTTCCCTCTATTGCCAATATTCTGCCGTGGGTATTAAGTAAGTGTCCCCTAAGACATGGTGTTTCATCCCATTTCTACCAGCTAATGTGTCGTAGATAATCAGGGAAGCGATACACGTCGAGGAGCGGGCATTGTTCTTCTCAATGTCATCGGACAATGTGGTCCATTGCTAGGCACGCGACTATATCCGACCAAGGAAGGACCTTTCTATATAAAGGGACAATCAGTTTGTGCCGCATTTATGTTCTTTACCACGCTGCTAGTAGTTGGTTTACGTATTTTCCTTGTCAGAGAGAACAAGAAATTGGACCAGAAATATGGCACTATAGAGGAACAGAAAGCGAGGCTTGTTGAAGCACGGGAGAGAGGCGAAGAAACTGTTCAGGCTAAGGCCATAGAAAATTACGGGCCAATGTTTAGATACGTGCTATAGTTTCCATTAATGGTACCAAATATGTAGCTAGACAGCTATTAATGAGAGAAGCCATCCATCTCTTACTATAAACGGCTTTGAGTATCACTGCTCATCTATATATCACACATACACACACGCACATATATACATATACATATGCATAAATCATAAGCTTTAGGAAGAGGCTAGTGACTATTTCTTTCATTTGCAAATTGCTGTAAATTCGTGATTACGTACCATCTAAAGCTCTGTAGGAAACTACAAATTGATTTGCATAGTTTCTAGTAAACCCTTGATAAGCGCAGTAGTTGTGACTCTCCTTCTGTGAGCCAAGCAGAGTATGATTGTGACACTCTGGTAGAGTTACCCTTCCAAATATCTGTAAAAGTCCAAGTTGACCCAGAGATGCCCAAATCCTTTAAAGATACAGTTACTTTCTGCGAAGCGTAAAGCTGGGTTCCAAAACCTCCGTACCCCTGGTCTGGTCCATAGTTTACAATGAGCACATAAGCCTCTTTGTGGTTGTCTGACGGACCTCCAATCCAGGCTTGGAGCTGCTTTGCAGCATTGCTTCCTGTGCCAGGGTTGCGGGGCTGCATGGGGTATTGAGCAAAGAAATTTGCAGCAGCAACGGATTGGCTGCTAGTGGTCAGCTTAAGACCCAGTGCATCGACTTGCTGCATGTCGCCGCCAATGACAAGGTTAGCGGCTGCTCCCAGCCAGTGATTCATAACAGTAGTTCTAATAGTATCATTGACACCTGCGAGATGCTCTGGATTGACCGTGAATAATGCGTCCATATCGGGATATATTGTGATTGGAACATTTCGCTGTGCCTGAAGACCGATATATTGTCGATAGTTCTCAATTGCGCGCTGACCGACCTGCCAAGCCATCAATGTGTTTGTGCCGTAGTTATCCAAGTCCTGGTCTGTTCGCATAGATTCAGCGAGGCCGCTCCATACTGGCAACCAGGTCTCATTACGGCAAAGCTTCCATGAAACATCAAGGCGAATGTGCTTCCCTGATTTTTGAATGGCCTTCTTATAGGCACGCACAGCATCCGAGCTATCGCAAGCAAGATTGGCGCCGTTTGAGGGGCTGCCAGGAGTCACAAAGTCCAGTTTAAGCATATCAACGCCCCATGACGCCCACTGCTCTACAACCGAGTCATGCCACTGCTGAACACCGTCCTTGCTGAAATCAAAGTCACAATTAATCTGGTCATTATTGCCGTTCAAGACATCGGCGATTTTGATGTTTGTGCCCAGAATCGTCTGGTTATGAGCAACGCATGGAACTCCAGGCGTAATGTAAACTCCTAGTTTTAGGCCTTTGCTGTGGAGCCATGACCCTAACTGCGGGAGGTTAAAGCGTGTAGAGTTGTAGATGATACGACCATGGTTATCAACAGCGCTAAAGGCTTGCCAGCCAGAATCAAGACTGCAAAGGTCATATCCAGCAGCTTTGAATTCAGGTCGCGCAAGCACACCGCACTGAGTCTCAACGAACTTTTGGGTGTAATACAAGCCAGACTGCCCAGCAAAGGATGGCACCACTGCAGAACCGTTCTGTAATGCCTGGACTCCGTATGTATTCCAACCTCGGGCGGAGGATTTGAACCCATTTGGCGTCTTTGCAGTCTTTAGGATTTTCAAGGGGCCGCCAGAGGTGATATCTGGCTCCGGATAGCATTCTGATAGAGGAGAGTCACGATTCTGGATACAGAATGGCGCCGGATGGGTTTTGACAACGTCTGTGCGACTGGGATCATTGGTGTAGCAAGCATCCTCGGCTGCAGCCCAATACCACTGATTATCGCTGTAGCCCCACGTGGCAGTTGTTGTACCACTAAGCAGGCAAAGCTCGCGGATGTCCTGGAAAGCAATGACAGCGTCGTTATTCTGGCTCCCCGCGGCAGCCCCCAAGTTGGCCTGTTGCTGCATGAACAGATTTCCCTTGCCATCGTCGCAGTTCACCAAGCTTGCGTTGGCCTCGAATTTAGCGGCGCAGTCTATAAACGCATTGTAGCATTCCAAAGTGAAATTGAGAGTTCCGGGGGTATATAGATTACCACCACAGGAAGTTTGAGCGACCACAGGGCGAAACAGGAGGAGCCCTGCCATCGAGGCAATAAGTGTGGTAGCAGGGGCCATTGTGCTGAGAAACAATTCTAAGCCCATAAGCCTCTTCTTTGTCTTCTGCTTGACAAAAAAGTGTTGCACCCACGAAAACGTCCACGGCTCCTATATATGTGTGTGTATTTCCTTGGATCTTTTGAAGCCAGCCCCTGCCGACATTCGACATTCATGTTGTCAGCTCGGCAGAGATTGCTGCGCTTGCGGTGAAATTTCCGGGGCACACAAGGGCCTAGAACTTGGAGAGCTCACCTGCAAGCTATCTCCAGGAAGCACAGTTATTATCCGAGGGCTATTTATTCAATGACCAATTTACTAGCCGGATAAGCACGTCGAGCCTTTAAACCTTAGATACTTCATGACCACCTCACGTCAATTCCGCGGTTGAATTCATGTGGAGTTAAATCTCATCATTACGAGCCTTTTGACCGGAATCTGGGGAAGCTGGGGTTGTGGAGAGAGGCCGCGGACGATTGCTCGGTGCATCCTTCGGGGCGCCAACTGTCACTGTCAGTGGGCTAGACTCTCCCCGCAGAGAATTAGCGGCCTAAATTTGCGCCAAATGACACGACATAAAGCGTAATGACCTAAAGAGTGAAAGCTTAGGCCTGGTTGTTAATGCAAAGTATTGCTTAAGAACATTCGATGGCTGTATGCTGCATTGCTAATTAACTGTTCAAAACACGGCCCCCTGACTAGTAATTAAAAACACGATATGCCATGTGTAATCTGAGTTAACATTTCCTGCGTGGAGAGTTCCATACGATATGGAAAAACACTTGCAGTATATTTTCGTAATTGGAATGCAATGATCATATAGTGGCAGCGCAAAGTCTTGACGATATGGCTCTTGGACGTTTCTGGTAAATCAAGTAAACCTTGGTGTGGATATATCAGACTTAGGGGTAAAAGCGAATTGTCATCCTTACTGACTTGGACTAATCAGCTTCGTTATCTTAATAAACACTGCATGGACTCCGTAATTCGCAATTCGCATAAATCTTGGAATGAGATTGAGGAGTCGCTGTCAGCCTTAGTTGAAGGTGGATATGCCCGCTTTTGGCCTGCTGGTGGAAGAATTTGCGTGTTATCTGTTAGCTGGAAATATTTAACCGCCCAACAGCTCGGTTATGATTGATGCAGCAAGAAATAGTAACTTCTCTAATTTTTCCCTCTGTAATAGGCCTTGGGTAGAAATGAACAATGATGTACAATATATTACTCAAGCATTGGCCAAAATTGCTGGTGCCGACTGAATCATTAAAGCTGATTGTAATAAACTATATTGCATTCGTTTATTTGTTTGTGTCTGGCTGACTGTGGCTCAGCTGAAATCACTATATGGGCCATACAGCTAAACTAAATGCTATAGGCTCAAAATTGATATTTGTGACTACCAAGGTCCGCTTTTTTCTTTCTGTGTTTTTAACGGCACAATGTGCTGCGGGATTGCAGCGATGCAACTTATAGGGTAGCTTCCGGAAGTGGCGTGCGAATTTAATGGACATGAAAGTGTCAATTCTTTTAGGCTTTGGCTTGCCGACGCTAGAATTTTAACGACCCCAAAAGCTTGCTGTCATACCTAAATATTCCAATCCTATTAACTTTAGGTTAAAAGAACAACTATTATTTCGGCTCTAGCCAAGACTTTAGAGAACTTAATTGCAATTGGATATACAGGACAAGGCAAGGCTCGTTAGCCGCTCATATGACTAAAGGAAGTTAAGAATAAAGTGTATATGCTGGTAGAGATTGGGCTGATAATGGAGCTGACGGAGAAATCATAAAAGCTATGGCCTACAAATTGCGATATTCGACACGGGAGAAGCCACCGTATGGGCATTGAAGCTGTAAAGAGAGATAACAGACCATAAGCGAGATCATATAAAGATAATGACGTGACTCATAACGCTGTTAGATATAGGCTATATAAATGGGCGCAATGCATTGCTGAATCTCCAGCCTTATGGAAAGCAACAAGTAGTCATGTCAGCTGTAATTAGGGCAGAGGCACATGATACGTATATATGTGTGTTTTAGTATATATCGATAACTGCTTTGTGGCAATTTATTAAACGTAAATATCCCACCAATGAGCACTCTGGAACTGCTAGACTGCTAGATAAAAGGGGAAGGATGATTTTGCTATTCTATGCGTACTTTGAGATGTGATAAAATATTTGCGGTACCTAGCCGATTTGTATGACTCAATGATCAGCCAAGCACAACGCTACGGCCAAGAAAGAAGTCCGAAGTGCGACCTGGAAAAACTCAAAATGCGACAAGCTATATGCTAAAATAGCTGAAATGCATCGCTGTCGGAGCTGCTCGGCCTGCGACCTCTAAGACAGCAGATTTCTAATTAAATATCTGCTTACGAAGTAGACTAAATGTCTAGATCATTTGGCTTCCCATGTAGAAAACAATGACACTGAGGATTGAGAAGTCTAACTGCATTAGAGTTGGCATATCGCTGCTGAGCTTCCATTCCAATTGTCGACTGGCGGAAGTATTAAGTATCATAACAGGTCAGCGGTCAGCTGAGAGAAGAGAAATTAGGTTATCTCTTACGGATTTATACCAACGCTTGGTAAACTATACAGATTTATGGACCTGTAGAAGAACCCTCCCTGTCCCAAGATGGACCCAGTTTAGGAGATGGTTACTTGAAGTTGACAGCAGATACGAAAAAGACTCGGATGCTAGGATTAAATGAGCATTATTCGGCACTGAGTAATGTTGCTATAAAAAGTGGGTATGCTGCCCTCAAATATGACTCAAATGGCATTCAATTTAATTCATAATATACAACCACTTCTTCGTTAACCGAAGCCAAAAAGTGCTTCAATTTAAATTTCTAGTCAAACCATGTCTTTGAAGCCTACTCTTGTGTTCGTGCCTGGTGCATGGCATAGCGCTGATACATGGGGCAAAGTTACGGCCGAGCTGGAACCTCAAGACTATAAGTCAATTTGTATCACTCTCCCTTCAACTCTTTCAGATCCAAGAAAGGGCATAGCGGATGATATCGATGAGGCAAGAAAGGCAATTTTAGCTGAAACAATGCAAGGTCGCGATGTTGTCGTTGTGGTACACTCGTATGGTGGAATGGTGGGCCCAAGCGCTATTAGAGGTCTTACTAAGGCTACAAATGAAAGACCCGGACGTGTCACTGGCATTGCAATGGTGGCAACTGGTTATTGTATGACAGGCATTGGCTTCCTTGAAGGTATTGGGGGATCTCCGCCGCCATTTTGGAAAGCAGATGCACAGAAAGGATACGCTACGCTTGTTGTTGATACAAGAGAATTGTTTTATCACGACCTCCCGGAAGACGAGGGCAACTACTGGGTTAGCCGACTTTTAAACCACTCATTGAAATCTCTCACAGACAGTGGAGAGCGTGTTTACTCAGGTTGGAAAGATGTTCCAACTCGATACTTGGTTACGACAGATGACAAGACTTTTCCTACCGAAGTTCAATTTGGTATTGGTCAAGGTGCTAAAGAGCAAGGAGCAGAAGTTGTTATTGAACAAATCCATACCAGCCACTCACCAATGCTCAGCAAGCCAAAAGAAACAGCTGAGTTTATCGTGAGAGCAGTGGAATCTTTTACTAAATGAGTGGACATAAATATATATTGATGGTTATTGGGTAGGAAGAACTTGTATACACACACAATCTCTTCTCTGATCAGTCTTTGCTTAGCTTCAACTCTATACATAGGCCATATATTTTCCTTTTTGGCATGATACTAATTCTTAGAACTCAATATGTATTGAGGATATATATATTCTAAGTATTGTCTGATAGAACGACTTATGATATAAAAAGAAAAAAAAAGGGAATGACAATTTTCATTGCCAAACTAAGTCGGTACGCCAGAGATATTCGGTTCAATGCTATTCAAAAAAGTTATCCAGTTTCTTCTTCTTCATTTTGAGGTACCGATAGAAGTGGAGATTTAAGATATAGGTGGATTTTCATTGGAGGCATCTAATATATTGAAGTGTTGTCTCATTCATGTATGAAGCTTGTGAGATTACAACACATCATGGCGTCTGATCACTTATGCTATGCACAATCTGCTTGTTTCCCGATAGGCAACAAGTTACAAACAGCCATAGAAGAGCAAATAGTGTGTCAAGAAAAGGCGTTTCATATAAAAGGATGGAAACAAGAAGTTTAATGAGTCGAGGATTAGATAAACAAAGATAGATTCGTTCATTCTTAGTTAGGCAAATTTAAAGAACGTATCGACTATAGATTGTTAGCATCAATATATGAGATCTTATGTCATTGCGTCTTTACTCACAATTTGAGATTTTCTCTGTCTGTTAAATCCAACTGATTAGCGTCCACTTCATGGATAACTTTACTTCCGTCAGTATTTGTGGTTTCTACAAAACCGTTACTCGTTACAAGATTTTCCGCTTCTAGTTTGTCACGGCGTTTATTCTCGCGCCATAAGTAGAATCGAAGGACACCAATAACAACTGAAGGAAGAATCGCAGAGAACTAAAATGTGTCAGCTGCTACAATGGCGATATGGGCGTATTCCTACTTACGATCAATAAAATGACCCACGTGGGTTTATATCGAGGTTTCCATCGTGGCTCAAAAAGCTGAGGTGAAATAATGTTTCCTAATCCGTATCCTATATGATAGAGAGCAATAACAGTGGTCTTCTTTGTGTGACCAGCTGAAGCATTTGCCGCCCATATCATAACAACAGCATACGGCACACCAGTTGTATATCGTAGCCAAACGCCAACTATTAGGCCCCAACGGTTGGACCACGGGAGAGCTGTACATTGCGATGGTAAGACACATTTCGGAAAAGCTTTTTAAGGAATGACAGACTTACTTAATAGCAGAATACTGGATATTACAGCAGGTACATATGCAACAAGTGATATCCAAGCTCGAGCATTCTAAATAGCCTGTTAGAATAAAACATGGAAGACTATTGTAAGCAACCTACCCGAGTTTTGTATAGCGTAATTGCGGCTAATGAGAGCGTAAAAAAGGCTATGACGCCAGATACAGTGCTAAGCAGCGTTGTTTGGAAGACAGTAAACCCAAACGAGTTGATAATCAGCGAGGTCTGGTTGTTAATTCCGTTTCCCATCTCTTGAGATAAGGCATGCAAGGCAAATAGCCATGTTTTAGGGTCCCTGATTGCTTCGATGAATCTATAACGAAAAGGTTAATAGATGTAAGAGCTGAGGCAATCGGTCTCTCTCACTGATGTTTTTTGAAGTGTTTATTTTCAATGCCAGAGTTATTTTCCTTTATCCTTAAAACTGCCTCGGCCCGTTCCTCGTGTGTGAGAAAATTCGCATGGAGTGGGCTGTCAGGAAAGAGTAGATACACAAAAATGCCGAAAATAATGGTTACCACACCAGTGATAACTATCAATACCAAGTTAGCAGCTTGTTCTTAATACGTCAAGTGGAATGTGTACCCATAAGCCATTTCCAGGGGTGAAATGATCCTGTCTTAATCCATAAGACTCCATATGAAAGAAAGCCAGAAGTAATTGGACTGGAATTGCCAATAGACCACATGACTGACACCATAATGACTTGCTCCTGATATGTGAAAAACATGGACATGGAGAGCAAAAACGCAGGGACCATACAAGCTTCGCTCAGACCTAGAAGGAAGCGGACAACGAAGAGTGATGCAAAGTTGTTACAAGGAATATGTAGCAATGTTATACCACCCCTGAAAACGTCAATACCAAAGCTTTTTCGCGAGTTGTAGATGAAGAAAACTTAGCCCTACGCACCATATTATGAGATTCCCAGATAACCATTTGGCAACAGGGAAGCGTTGAAGAGCCCAGTTTTGTGGCCATTCAGCTACCGCGTAGCCGAAATAAAATATTGATGAGAGCCGATTATATTGATTTGCATTCAAATGTGCATCTTCAAGGATACCTAGTATAGCTGAGCTTCCTAGCTATACATAAATAATCATCTTGTATATTAGCAATCTCACAGCGGCCATTTAGATATCACTAACATACTGTTTGTTTATCGACATACATCAGGTGATACCCGATGCAAAGGAACGGAAGTATCCTCCAGAGGCATTTGTTACGAATTCTCCGGCCTTCTTCCGGCGTGGGATCTGACACATGTACCGTAGAAAAGAGCTTGTAGCTCTCATCAACTAAGCGATCGGATAGTCTGAGCTTGGGCCCGGTCGAATTGCCCGCAGCTTGGGAATCTGGCTGCGAGTGTGTCGTTTCCTCATAGTCAGTTTTTAACGACATGGTTTCCGTGAATATTTGATGAGATGACGATAACTAGCATATGAATCAAATCTTCTATTTAATACTTGCTTCAGGAATGCTCTTCATGTAAGTTTTAACTTGTGGCCCCGTATTCTAAGACATGGCGCAATTGTAACGGTGTTGATCGTCATCAATAAAGATCAATGTCTACCCTTTCCCAATAAGACCAAGGCAGTCATAAAAAACGCGCCCACAGTAGACATGATATGGACCTCACTTACACTGGCGAATTGCAGAAAGTTACCCACTGAAAAGGTTCAACATCAACACCAGAGAGAAGTGCAAGATATTTACTGCTGACCCAGAATTCGAAATTGGTAAAAATGCCCGGCCTTGCGTCATGGTCGTGTAGTTGACGTGCTTATGTTAGGCCTATCATACCTTTTAATATTAACGTATCAGCCCACTTCCGGTTAAACTCTTACATATCTTTCTGCCTTTGCATCCATAGTATATCCCGACGATTAATTTATCTCAGCATTGCTCGATCACAGATTAGAAATTCGCCTGGTATGATGGGGCTAACTCTCTGCCGGGTATAAAATAGTGTATCGCGTTTGCACATCGCTGATCATTTCATCGACTACCAATCTTCACTCTTTGAGAGGAGGGGAAAAAAAAGAAGTAAAGGTAGGAAAATGGCAAGCAATCAAAAGCCCCTCCGCATTTTGATTGCAGGCGCGGGTATTGCGGGGTTAGCAACCGCTATATCGCTTGTGCGTATATCCGGGATCGTGAATCTAGATATCCAGCTATATGAGCAAGCCACAGAGCTGCGAGAGATTGGAGCCAGCATTGCCCTTAGTCCTAATGTAAGCATTTTGAGAGCATTGCAACGCGTTTGTTCGTGTCTATGTTTTACTAATTGATAGGATGTAGGGCTTGCGGACGCTAGAAAAACTTGGTATTGACGAGGCTTTAGGCGATGAGATTGGGTTCAGAGGACCAAGTGGAATACCTCAAATATACAGGTGCGATATCTCAAAAAATGAAACTGCAGATTGTAGAATTCGCTAACAGTATCATATCAAAGGCATTGGAAGACGAATCAGGTAGTATCAGTAGATACTTTTGCCAATGTTCCTGATCGTCGCCACCAGACGGCGAGATTCCACAGAGGACATATCCATACCGCCTTGTTTGAGCATGTCCCTAAAGAATGGATTCATCTCAAAAAGAAAATATCTCGCGCAGAAAGTAATAATGATGGTGTGGTGCTCCATTTTGAGGATGGCTCCAGTGCCTATGGGGACATTTTAATAGGAGCAGATGGAATTCGATCAGTGAGTTTCTGTGTTCAATCTGTATTCAACTGTAAAACACTAACATTAAGTGCTAGCAAGTCAGAGCTTCCTTTTTTCCTGATTATAAACTGCGATTCAGTGGGAAAGTATTTATGAGATCTACATTTGACGCATCTCTAGTGGAGGGCAAAGTTCCCGACTTGCCAGCTGATGCTGCCCACTGGGTTAGCTGACCCATCTCGTTTTAAGGATCAGTCTGCTGACAACTTCCTAGTGGGGAACAACAGACTCCTTCTTTTCTTCTAGACTTGGTATTTTCACGCCCAACGTTCTTATCTGCCAGGTATGCGAAATATAACTGACCATTGAAAGGCAGGGGATTATATACAGTTGTTGGTGCATATGACGACGGGCGTAGTGCAGAAGAGTTGGAAAAGTCTATTACGTGGGACCAAGTCGGTAATGTCCAATTCTTGAGAGAAAAATACAAAGTACGAATTTCTTCCTGATATTGATGCCTTCCTCAGCTAACGATTCATAAGGACTGGCATCCTGTTATTAAAGCTCTAACAGAACTGACGCCCTACGCTCGCCTTTACCCCAATTATGCTGGAGAATCTCTCCAGACGTGGGTGCCAGTTGCACGAGTCACCCTAGTAGGCGATGCGGCGCACACTCATGGAGGCTCGTTTGCTGCAGGTGGCTCACTAGCTCTCGATGATTCTCTTGCCCTTGGGTTAGCCTTCAAACATGCTTTCCCTTATGGTGGCTTTTCATTTCCGCAAGAAAATATTCAACAGGCATTGGCACTCTATGACCAAACACGAAGACCTCACACGGCACGTTTATTGAGCATTGTTCACAGCTTGATGAATCGTAAAGTTCCAACTTTTGCGACGCCGGAAGAGGAAGACGAAGCTCTCAGAACAAGAATGAAGAGCAGACCTGATCTCTTGTGGCTATCCGAGCATGACGTTGAAGAAGCGTTTAATCAAGTGGTAGGAGAGAGTGAGAAACGCAATTTAGAAGCTCAGCGCACGAAGGGGGCCGCGCAACTGTGCCACGGGGCAGAGAATGCTGTTGCATCACCTACCTTTGAAAGCAAGCTATAGCTTTCAATAGGCTGAGAAAGTAACCTGGTAGATTGTACAATAAAATATCTATGTAGAAAAGCGTTACGGAAGAATGCTAATATGCGCACACGACAAATGTATTCATGTGAACATGCGTTTGCTATTGCCATATTCTCAATTTAAAACGTTGCTTGATATGAAGGACAATTTGTTCATGGCTGAGGAGTTTTTCTCGGCTACTGTATTTCGAATTTCGAGGTTGTATGGTGGTCTAACAAATGGCACATTGAAGAATGAATCGTGTTGTGAGACCTTGCTATAATTGTTCCCTTTCTATGTACTCTCTCATGATTCGTACAGCGTAGAGACGTCTCTACGATGTTCCACTGCGTAAGCCTCACACATGGCTAGACTCGAATCCATGTACGCCGCATTTCTGCGTAAATGAGCTACAAAATATAAGGACATAGAGCAGAAGAAGTTATATAATCGTCTATCAGAACTAATCGTCTCACACATCGGCCGAAATTAAATATGGCTCGGCTGTCGTATTAGTAACCCCGTCTGTGGCTGGGCGCAGATGGCAGATTTTAAGAATACATCGCCCGAGTAACTTCAGACTGCTCTCATACTGACCGGTAGACAAGTTGTCTCGTATCCTATTAACTGCAGAGTAAAATGAAGATATGTATATTTTACCAAGATACGGTCTCCAAATTGTCGAAGAGAAATGAGGTAGCTCTCCCGTAGGAAGCTGTAGTTGGCAGGGTGGCCGATAAAGCTAACAGTACCTCTTCATCCCCGATTTAAGTGTCATCTCCTGTTACAAATTGGAAGAGAATACATTGTTTTTACGTATTGCCGCACTGTCTCCGGTTACATTCGACATGTAAAGAAAGTCCGATTATGAGCTTTATGATACCAGAGCTAAGAAGAAAGAATGGCCAGGAAAAATTTAACATTGTAAACGTATCATATATGTAGTTAATCGCTTATAGTTTATGCACATCCGCATCAGTCTCCATCTTTCCCCTCTATTGTCATACTGCTATGTACATGGAAATTCCGTTGGGTCGAGTATGCACAGCTATGAAGCCGACAGTGGATGTCAGGCTGCCATTGCAACCGATCTGATCCAGCTGCAGTTGAAGACTATGGACTCAGCCAATGAAATATCACAAGGCAATAGCTTTGTTATGGCAGAAGAACTTTCCTATAAATGCCTTTCCTATGAATGCGAAATAGAAACAAAAAGATCTGGACTTTTCCAATCAGAGCGGGGGCGAGGCGAAATTCTCTTCCGTCGAGATGCTGCTCATGGGTCTCATGGGTATTAATCACCTGTTAATCAACCTATACCATTGGTAAACATAGGCATCTACACAGGACTGGCTTTCCAATTCCCGTAGGACTTGTGCGTCATATTTATTAACTATCTCTTCATCTGATTTTGGATCTCGAATCCACGGAAGATAACCCCTTAATTAATAGCGTAGCAGCGAAGGTTTATGCAAGTATATGCTTGACTGGCAAGTGCATTTGTAAGGTGCATCGGTGCTGAGAAAAGCTGGGGGGCAAACGAATTGCAAAAATTGCGGTGGCGCTACGGCAATCCATCACGGCAATACGAATTGGCACTAAAGGAGGATAACATGGAGCTACTAGTCAATGAAGAAGTATTTAGTAAACGTAGACCTAGCAAGAGCCCCGGCTAACAAGACTCGGATGATTGTTTACCAGGCGCCATATTAGTTTCGATTTGCAGTCACTACTAGTATGCTCTATTCTACATACGTGAGCAGTTGCTGGTACCGCAAGAGGACAACTAGGGGGCTACCATCGCATTCTCTTGGACAAAAGATCTTATCAGAAAGCTGCCTTGCAACTGAATTGCTTGATTAAGCATGCTGCATTATTTTAGCTGCTGTCACCCCCTACAACATATTGTCAGAATATATGCGTTCTGAAGGAGAAAATTCTAAAAATCCCCCCCACACACACACTCCCTCTCCCGCTTCCCCACAAAAGAAAAAAAAAACCGATATCTTGGGTTTCTGAGTCTGGATCCAGCGTCGAAAATGGGGATATGCATGGCACTAACATTATTAGCCAATATCACAATTTGCCGGTGTCGGTTGCTCGGAACCAATCTAACAATGTACCATCGTTATAAATCAGTTTGGTTATGTACTTTATGATCTGGGACACGCATACCCGCTTCAATACTACTTTACGCAAGATGAATCGACATGACATAATGAAATCAGTGATAAATATTCACCCTAGTTCTTCTATGGCACGCAACGGGCTCCCATTTCATCAATCTGGCTGTCAGCGCATAAATCTCCATGTTAATTTGGGTACCTGATTAAACTACATCTTGCCATTATCTGCGTATTGCGTTTACCAAAAAGAGGGTTCAGGACTTACTTGGTACCGAGAAAGATATACTCTCTCCCAGGCATATTTGGTATGCAGTCTTCTCATCGAGTTTACGATCCGGACAAAGCAGAGGGCCATTTCCAATGAAATAGATTGTAATATCACCATGATATGAATCTGATCTCGATTGATATATAAAGAAACTCAGAACAAATCCCAATGTACAAATTTTCTGTCTAAAATTTAGTACAAATCAAAATTACTCATGAATACAGTCAATATAGCTAATAATAACATGTCTAAGGCATAATAGTAGTCCAGCCTGTCTTCCATAGATATAGTCTTAAAGATGACCATGACATTGCCTGCTGAGAAAAGCGTGTTAGGTGTAGCGGGAGCCGCTAGATAAAAAGAGAGATTTACAACTTGAAGTGCCTTCTACAAGCATTTAGATAAAATAGGCAGTAACGTGCGTCTCAGATTTTATCAGCGAATCTCTTGAGCACACAGTGTATGTGGTAATCAGACGCTTAGCATCAACCTACCAATTTCTGAAGCTTTCAAACACGCCTTCAAAATACAGAGCGCCCCTGATTCATGTTCCCTAGCATCATAATACCCGGCAGGTGGCAATAACATAATGCGGGGATAACCAGATGTCGGCTCGCGTATTACGGGGCACCCAGAAACCAATTTGCGCTAACGATTGGTAAATCTGGGGGCGGATCAGCGTAGAACTTGCGTAACCAATGGTGCATGGGCTATTTGTAGTATAGTCTCGGGTGATGGAGTACAGATACCGTGCCTTATTGCCGATTAATGGTGGCTTATGATCTAAATACCCATGCCGCCGGCCAGTTTAATGACCGGCTAAGCATCTAGAGGATGTACACACATCGTTGGCTCAAGTTACGGCTATGGGGAATTATTTCTTGGAATTCCATTGGTCGACTCGCTGCATTACTCGTAATAAGAGGTACCCTTGCCGTCCATCCATCTTTTATATAAAGGGTGTCTCTGTGCTTAAGATTATTCCATTTTATGTGTTCTAGCTTTGATTCTGTGCATAGGCAGTCTTGACTGTCTCCTTCGAGCTGTCCATCATGAGCCAGATATTAGGAGACCGCTCTCTACAGGATATTGAGAATGAGCTCGATATTACGATCTATCCCGGGACTGAGGTGATGGCAGATGTTGGATCTCACCATTTCATTAAATCCGGCGATAGTAAAGATGAGGGTCGCGTACTTGTTCCCCAGCCTTCCGATGACCCTCTCGATCCTCTGAACTGGACTGCGCTATGGAAAATCACGACTTTGCTTTGTGTTAGCTTTGTGTCTATCAGTCAGAATCTTGGTCCTCTTGCAAATGCGCCTCTATTCGGTCAGTATCTCAAATTAATTACATAGCTTTCTGACGCCTAATATTTTTCTTTTCCTCTCCGGATAGGATTATATATGCAGGAGTGGAACATTGAGCTGGCTGATGCTGTTCAGACGACTGGTGAGTTTTCGCTAATGATAGTGACCCGTCATTCATTCTACAATCCACTACTAATCACAGACTTTAGCTGTGACAATCCTGATACTTGGCTTCAGCAATTTAGTATGGATTCCGATATCGACATGCTTCGGCAGAAGGCCAGCTCTTATTTTCAGCACTCTAGTATGTACGGTCTCTTCAATTTGGAGAGTGCGGGCTACTAGTTATAAATCATTTCTTGGAGCAGCAGCGTAAGATTCACCTTCAGTGCATATAGCGCCACTATAATACAGAAGATCAAAGATATTAACGTTTTGCTAGCCTCAACGGTTTCGGCGCTGGCCCCTGCGAAAGTATGATGCCACAAATAATTTCTGACATTATTTTCCTTCACGATCGGGGTAAATACCAGACATTATACTTTACAATTTACTTTGGATCGCTTGCTGTTCGTATGTAGGCTCTCTGTACATGATAAATCGCTAACATTTGATAGATTGGCCCTATTATAGCTGGCAGTATGGCTGAACGTTTTGGGTGGAGGAGCTTCTGGTGGTTTAACACAGGCCTTCTCATTTTCACTCTGGTTCTCAATATTGGGCTACTTCCAGAAACACGGTTTGCTCGAAAAACACAAACCAAAACGTTTTCGGAGCCGGCTGCGCCTATTGAGTCACCAGAATTAAAGAGCAGTTCTGTTATAGATCACTCGGAGAACGTTTCTAACCAGCAACCTCAGGATCATTGGCTATCGCGAGGACGCCCATCTCTCAAGCAATTCAGTCCTTGGGGCTCATATCATGGGAATATTTTGCAAGAATTATGGCTTCCGTGGTACCTTCTGGTCTTCCCTATCGTCGAATTTGCTGCTTTTGTTGTTTCTTTTTCCGCGTCTGGCTTTCTATTGGCTAACCTAACCCAACAACAATTTTTTGGAGCACCGCCTTATAACTTCTCAACTGAACAGGTCGGATTTACCAATTTCGCTATTTTTGTTGGCGAGATGATTGGATTATTGACGTCTGGTCCACTGTCAGACTGGGTTGCAGGTTACTTTACCAAGCGCAATCGAGGCATTAGGGAGCCCGAAATGAGACTAATCGCCATGATTCCATACACCTTAATCATGATGATTGGCCTTATTGTGGTTGGCGTGGGTTATAGTCGCTTATGGTCGTGGCAGGTCATTGTCATTGTCGGGTATACTTTGCTCGGAATGCAAGTAACAAGTTTGCCGAGCATAGCGTCAACTTACGCCGTTGACAGCTATAAACCAGCCACGGGTGCTATTTTTGTTGCAATTACTATGTAAGTCAAGATATTCATATCATCATGGTTCTCTTTTTTTAGCTAACGGTTAATACAAGTAACAAGAACGTGTGGGGCTATGGGTTTGGCAAATTTATCACGCCCTGGACAATTGATGCTGGTTATCTCGCGCCTATTATGGCACTAATGGCCTTAATTACATTGGTCTGCGGTTTTGGTTTCTTCTTTTGGGTTTTTGGAAAGTCTATTCGAGGCAGATCAAAGGACTCGTTTCTACACCAACTGGACAGCTAGAATCTGAGCATGCAACACATTAATTGGACGAATTTGCAACCAGAGACATATATTGCTACTTATTGGTTGAGTTTTTGTGGGTAGCTATAACGGCTGGTAAATTGGACTTGATTGCTTATAAAACAACCTGTTCCGGCGCTTAGAACAAACTCTGTAAAATTCTGAAATATAATCTTCTCAACGCTGTTTTAGCACAATTCTCTCGTCTCCAAAGACAACTGTCGTCATAGTATATAAAACTTTTGACAACAACCATCCATGATGAGATTCAAAGTTCAACAACGGATCGAGCAGAGGGTAAAGGAATAGCGTTCAAATCCAATGAATCTGCCGATCTTGGAAAACATCTGTTTTTGTCGGAGTTATCTCATCAAACAAAGAAGCCTTGATAAAGAATGTTCCCGCCATACTTTCCAACTGGCTGTAGAGAGGGCTGTGAAATCGATATCGGATCAGTATGACTTCCCATGTCATTGTTAACAGAATGATATGTCGGACCTCCCACACATTTGGCAAAATGTTCTCTTATTAATGAATACGAATTAGTGGATATTTAACTGATCTGAAATTAAAATTAATAGACGCACCCTCACAGTGGCTTTGGATATCGTGTTCACGTCAATATACTGCTCTCTTGAATCATGGGAATCCTGAACCGTCACTTCGTCTTCGCTAAGAATATAATTAATCGAGAAAGCTGTTTCATTGTTAGTCAAGTGAAGCACAGTTAATGGTGAAGTCAAGAGTACGTCCACCGGCACGACGACAGTTCAAGCTGGAAGATTCATTAACATACAGTGCCGCAATACTCACGCAATATCTTACCAATGGCACGCATAAGTCATAGAAGGGGTTACAGCGAGTGTGACAGTTACAGAACCACAATTGCAAGTGCCACTATAGGAAGCCATATTGAGAATTGCGATTTGATTCTTGATTGATTAGAAAGCCTACTGAACAATAAGTCTTTTGAGGTGCATTGATAGTCACGTAACAGCGATATTTATAGTACAACCTCCAGATTTTGGCGCCGTACATTACGGAAGATGCCGATTCCGATGTAACAATTCAGCCGAGGGTGCTTGCTTTTGCCACTACAAACATCTTCTTTCCACAACGCGTGGAGTGCAATTAAGGTACCAGTTCGTATTGGAAAGATCACCTCTTTTCACCCATCTAACGATAATAATAAGAGGCCCAAATGCTTTAACATTATATTTTATTTCTTCATTATGTGGCGTTTATATTAACGCTACTGCCTGAATTGGGTCAAAAAAATAAAGATTGTCCTCTAACATTCATAGAGAATAGCCTCTCTTGCAGTTGTATTACACAGAGTCACATCCATGAATATTTGTTTTACAGCTTCATAACCCATTTTCATCCATTGAAAACAACCCGATGAAATAATCAATTATATGCGTGCTATTTGTGTCGCATTTTGTATTTATTGGTTAGTATATTTTGGGAAAAACTATACTTGTCACATAGAGGATGGGAGGTATGATTGCATGGGGTTTTCCTTGATGGGTATGAACGATGTAAGGCAAGTGGGAGCATATCATAAAATGGTATTACGGCCACATGTACTCTAACGATTTTCTATTCAATAGCAAGGAGGTATAAAATATTTAATAGATAGTTTAGAATCTAGTAGGAAATATAACAAAGATGAGAAAATCCTGCGATGCTTGTGGCAGTACTTCTGCTCAGTAGTTAAATCGATATCGACTAGCCGGTGGACCGAAAGCTGAAGTGAAATTTCGTAGTACCTGTGACAATGCCCTTAGTGTTTTTAATTGTAGGATGGTGATATGCGTCTAGATTCTTTTTACTTTCTTGTTTGCAAATCTTCATCCGCTCCAAGATTTCAGCAACTGCTGCATAAAGGATATCCAAGTTGCCATCTTCAACCTTTACCGCGATGCCAACAGCGCCAACAGCACCCATTTTTCGCGATATCTCAGATTCACGCATACCAACGCCATAACAACCGTCTGCGCCGACTTTGCCAATGAGCGATCCCTGGAAAGCTTCCATGAGAAGAGTACAAAACCGACCCTCACCACCAACCATTTCAGGCATTTGAGACATGGCGTTAAATATTTGGCCCATGCGCTGCGTTCTGGCATCGATGCTATCACCGCTCGCGGAAGCGTCAGATGCCCGAGCGAAGGAAGCATACAGCTTAGCAAGGCAAGAGAGCGGAAGCGCCGGTGCTGGCATGTTACATCCGTCAACCCCCCACTTGACTTCTTCTTCGCTCAGGCCGGACAGTTCTTCCACAACTTCCCTGACTCTTGCTTGAATTGGATGCGTCAACAAGTGGTAGTCATTTGATGAAACGGCCAGAGCTCTGGCTCCTGCTAGCATACCCGCGTGTTTGCCAGAGCAGTTGTTGTGGATCCCTGTAGGTTCAAAATCGCGCTTTATCCATTCGCGGTTTACGGCTGGGTTGAGAGCTGGATGGCCACCGCACTGTAGTTGGTCTTCAGTGTGCTGTGATTTAGCCAGCATACTCCGAGCCCGCGCAATATGTCGATCCTCGCTGCTGTGTGAGGCGCACATGAGGGCCAGATCAGCATTATCAAAACCAAACTTCTCAAGCGCACCAGTTTCTACGACTGCCAGCGCTTGAGCAGGCTTAGCAGCTGAACGCAACAAGGTAATACGTGAGGGATCCCCTAGGCTAAATAAAAGCTTTCCCGTGGAATCAACGATGGCAGCATGAACAAAGTGTCTGTTCTCAATAATGCCGTTTCTGTCGATAATGACATAGCTGTCATTGTAAGAAGATATCGTCATGTTGAAAGACTGACTTTGCGTGATCTTCAAGAACTTTAGGAGTTTGTAAACTGGTTATGCATGCATTGTCGTGGTCGCTTGGAAGAGCAGACAAAATTTTGATTGCGCGACCCACATGTTTGGAGGGCGCTACTCTTCAGATTTTCCTACTGCTAGTATGACATCGTGGGTAGTGCAACAATATTCTGATTGCCAGCTTGCTACGTGTACATAATCTGTCAATGAACATTGCACCAGAACTGAATATGTATTTTGTTGACTTTAGATTCATGAAATATGTTCCCCACTGCTGAAAACAATTTTCACGAACGGCTCTATCTTAATGACCTGCAACGAACTACCCATTAGGCTAATAAATAACTATAGAGTATCCTAAGAACGAGCAAATGGCTCTCTCACTTTTTTTCCCTCAAGAAACTCGCCTTTGTTTACTCTGGCACAATGATCAATCTAGTACCATGGTTTTCGCCGTTCTTCCAAAATCCTCCAGGCCTCCCCAGTTTTGTCTAATCCCCCAACAGTTGTAACAGGGATGGATTTGAGCTGTTTCTGTTCCAAAGCGGTCTCTAAATAATTCCACCAAAACCACTTGGTAAACTCACGATTCTTTTCGTCCAAGTAGTCATCAATATATTGGACAAAATGCCCAGTGACATGTTCGGGCAATTTTACTCCCGCTCGGACTCCCATTGTAGTTAAAAACGAGCCTCCTCCTAAAGCGGCTAAAATTTTACCGATCTTAACCTGGTCTTCAGCGGAATCAGCCGCTGCGAAAACAGCCTTGAACGGACCCAATGAAGAGGCTGTAGTGACAACATCCACTGCTGTACGGTTTACGAAATGAGTGACTCCAAATCGCGCTGCTAGCTCTTGATGGCGTCCAGATGCGACGCCAACAACTTCGTAGCCAGCTTGTCTTGCCAGCTGTGCAGCAAATATTCCCATCGACGACGACAGTCCCCAAATGAGAATCTTTTCTCCTGTCGAAATAGCACTTGGCATCTGCGGCTTGTTTAAATGGAGATGAAGGACTAGAGCACTCATTGCTGCATAAGAAGTCGCAAGATTCGCAGCTTCATCAAATGGCACATCACCAATCTGGGGTATATAGCTATTAGCATTCGCATCATTTTTTGTCCTTTTACAACGGACGTATCTTTGAAGCCAGATTTTCCGGGGCGAGGCAATATTTTTGATAGGCCCCAAAGCGACTATCATTTCGCAGGACGCCCGTAGTGTTTGTCAAGATGCGATCACCCGGCTGGAAGCGAGTCACTCCCGGACCCGTCTTTTTAACGATGCCAGAGGCAGACACTGATAATTTTTAGGAATGAAGCGAAAATAGGAAATCATATGGACACTAACGGCCAATAATTGTTGGATATTTGAGTGAGATTGGAATGAGGCCCTCTTGCATTTTCCATTCTCCAGGTTGAACTGCTACGGCTTTCACCTTGGTCCCCAAATTAGTATCACTCTATAAAGCCAGTAGCTCACATATCGGAGCCTAAGCGAACCTGTATCAACATTTCCCCTTCTCCAGGGTCGTATAAATCTCCGGAGCCAAGCTTGCGTCGCTCTTCAACTCCAAAAAGCCAGTAACCCACATTAGCCATTTTGTATCTGTGTATGTATGTATGTATGTATGTATGTATGTATGTATTATTATTATTATTATTATTATTATTATTATTATTATTATTATTTTTCACTTGAAGTAGGTGGTTTTTATGATTCAGCGTAATACTTCCAGAGATGTGAAATAATTCTATTAGTTTACATTGATATTTATATATTGTTTCTCGCAACCGCTCAATTTAGTCTAGGAATACTTTTATTATACCAACAGGTGAACATGTATCATTTGTCATTTATTACCCAATCTTGCTAGCGATAAGGATTTCTGGCTGGCTTTCCAATAAATTCTCTTAAGTTACCTTAATTGGTGGCTTTGCTCAATTGGTGTAATTCCGATTCTAACGCCATTTTGGGATTTGTAATCGACGCTCGTAGTTGCACACACCGCATGCATGTACACCTTAGGTGTAGTAATTCAAATTTAATTGGAGTAAAAAAACATATCCGTCTCCACAAAGGGCTATGGAATCAATTTAGCAGCTTGATCTACTAATGATTAGAAAGCAAGTTAGCTGGCGTTCTCTGAATGATTCAAGACATTTGTGTGGAAAACTGCAATTTATTTGGGTGGAATAGTGGCGTTACGTTGTGGAAATACGAAGATTTGGCTTATTGGCTTAAAATAAACAGATAAAGCCTTAACTAAGGAGCTATACCCCTTGATTATGTGAAATTCTTTGTTATGCCATGATAGAGCGTTTTCTTTCCTAGATGTAAAGGCCAACACCCCTCATCGGCCCCATCGGCATGGCGGGGCAATAAAGCTAAGCATAATCGAGCAAGAAGCGAGCAACTGTAATGCTGATAAATTTGTGACTTTTGGTCTTGGTTTCGAATATCTCAAAAACTTCCATTAATGAACTTACTACTGAATCTTCCTATCTAATTTTTCTTGGATATCCTACGAAGATATAAAGTGTGGCGCATTTAGGAAGAGGCCCATGAGGATACCACCGAGAGTACCTGCGACGGGAATAGTCATGATCCAAGAAAATAGCAGAAGTCCAACTCGCTGGAAGTTAACAGCTTGCAAGGAACCGTTGCAGAGACCAACTCCGACTGTTGCGCCAGTGATACACATAGACGTAGAGACAGGCAGAGAGTACTGAGAAAAGACAAGAACAGTAATAGCAGCGCCCATTTCCATGGAACAACCTCTAGAAGGAGAGTGATAGGTGATCTTATTGCCCATGACTATTTCACGACATTAACAGCTGATATTAAGTAAAGAATGGATGGTACAGTGATATTTACCTTTCATAATGTTATACCCATAGGTGATGAGACCAATCGATATCATGGCAGCCAAGACAGCTAACTGCCAAACGGGGACAGGGGCTTTTGCCGCAGCGGCGTTACCAGTTCTCCAAGCAGAGTATATGACAGCCCAAGGCCCGACGGAGTTGCCAATATCATTAGCACCATGGGCAAAAGAAGCAGTGCATGCTGTCAAAACTTGAATGAACGAGTACGTGTGCTCAACTTCGTTTGGATATTTCTCAGCATTGGCGTACACCCGTTTCATGCGATCACCATCAGGGGTTCCCTCAGTACCAGTCTGGGCGGCATGTATATCGTAATAGAGACCGTAGAGGGCACCACAAACAACCATGGCTGGGATGCGCTTTGCCAAGATTCTGACGTTATGCCACTCGTAAACTTGGCCTGGGCCCATGGGGTTGTCGCGAAGTGTGCGCATAGCCCAGCCAATTGGTCCTCGGCTTTTGTAAAGGCGGGAATTGAATTTGGCTTCATTGGCCTGCGTATGCTCTTCGTGACTGAGAGTATTGGCCTCAACAATTGAAAGGTTTTTTTCGGCCGGAATGGAAGTGGCAGTGATACCGTCGCCATCAGTCTTCTTCGGCGACTCGCTATCGAGTGACTCGGTCTGTAACGAGCGACTAGATTCATGAACGTGCTCTTCCTCTTGAATAACAGCATAGTTGGGGACGGCAGCAGATTCAGCATCTGCAGGAGCTGGGCGATTCCAGAGGAGAGGACCGAGAATGAACATCCACCACTTGATAGTATAGTCTTTCTTCAGAATTTTAGCGCGCGCAAAAGGGACAAAGAAGAGAGCAGATAGAAGACAAACGCCTCCACCGGTGCCCATAGTGACAGCAGCAATGTACCATGCGGGTTTCTTGCCTAGACCGAGATTGGGAGAACCCTTGTAGACAATGGACAGAGTGCAGATTGTACCAGCAATGAGAAAGAAGAATGGAGAGGTATATACGGCCCATTTAGCAGGACTCTTCCTAACATGGACAACAAACTTGATCAAAAGGAAAATACTGGCAGCGAAGCCTCCAGCAATTGCAGGGGCCATTCCCAGCCCAGCGAAGATGGCACCAAGTCCCTTGCCATTGTTCCATCCCCACTGGACTTGTCCTGCGCCTACTGTTGCAACGCCGACGCCAGCAACAGCAGAGATGAGCGAGTAGGTGGAGGAAACATGAGCAGAATGGCGAGTGCACCACATAACCCAAGAGGATGCAGCGGCAAGGGCACATGTAAAGGCGAGCATCTGGACACCGGCGTTGCCCTGGAAAGCAACGTTTGGAATAATACCGTTCTTTATAGTATCTGCAGTTCGGGCACCGACAGTAATGGCACCTAGCATTTCGAAGACGGTTCCGAGAACCATAGCTTGTCGGTAGGAGATCGATCTTGAGGAGACACTGGTAGCCCAAGAGTTGGCAACATCATCTGAAAGAGACAATAAATGTGAGCATCATATTGCTTCATACATTCATTCAATAAAAGGATGATGAAGCTGAATGTTTAAAAACGCACTTGCACCGTTGTTATAGGCATCTAGCATAGCAAATAAAGTGCCAATGGCAAAGATGTAGTCGTATTGATGGAGCACCATTGTGATGGATAAGTGTCTAGGCAGCTCTGCAGGGTAATTCGACTGATCTTTGGAGGGTTGGAATGTCGTCTGAAAAGGAGCCGAGATGGGATCTCAGGCCAGTCGCACAGGAAGTTTCCCAGATATATACAATTCTTCTATATGAGCGTCCTGCCTGCACGTGTGCATCTAGTAACTGAAGGACAGCCACAACACAAGGTACCAGAATTGTTAGGTTTCGGTCCAACTTTATGGCTATTCGCGTGCTTCATAAGCGCCATTGAATTGTAGGGCTTATGAGAAGAAAATAAGAATAAAGTGGAGTACCATATTGCGGTCTTTTCCACTTATGACACCGAAATCTCCAAATGAATACGAATATCGGAGAGAAATATAATTTAAATCGGCGTATAGCCATACGATTCTCTTAGACCTGTGGCAATAGTTGCTTCGCAGATGTATTTGTGGAACCTTACACCGTTCAAACGGGCGACGTCGTTGAATGAGACTACCTCCGGTATAGATATTAAGAACCGTCTGTCTTCCTATCAAATCTTTAAAAATATACACGTGGGTTCAAGCAAGACGCCGTAACGGTAGATCGATATAGGCCCCAGACCCACTAAATAGGTATACTACTTCGGCCAAGAGATTCCTGAAGCGGCCACATAGCCGCCATATCTCAAAGTTGGACGGTGTGGCGCGTGAATGCCCAGGGAACCGAGTAAGATCAATCACCCAGTAGAAGATTAAGATGGCAACTGGGTGTAAATCAGAAATCTACATCGCTCGGATATTTGGATTGATACAGCATGTGCTCTCTAGGTTGAGCTTCGTGCGTACATGAGAAAATGCTACGAAGAAAAAGGTTGTAGGGGTACTAGCAAGAAAAGATTAATCGCGTAGAGCACGTGCTCGGACACTTCAAGGAAAAGATTTCGTGCGTTGGCTTTGCTAAGCTTGGCAAGCCATTGAGCTAAACCACAGCAAGGTTAACTACTGGGGAACCGCTGCATAAACTTAATAATTAAGCTTGGCGGAATATCTAACGCTAGCTATTTCCAGATCCCTTCCCTTGAAGTGGCGGCCCTTACATGAGTGAGTTTTTGTAGGTATGCCGAGTTACGGCTAGATTTAAAGGCATCTCTATGGAACTAGCGGCAGGAAACGATTCAGGATCCTTTGCACAACCTGCGGATCAGCGTAAAACTAAAACCTCTTGATGCCAATGGCTGCCTAGCATCTGCCAAGGACTTATTTTCTAGCCATGCCGCAGCACGTGCTACGGCTCGGTGCCCAGAAGGTGATGAATGGCGCCGCCCAGAATACTCTGCCTCAGCTAGTGCTGTAGCCAAGAAACTAGGGGTTATCAACCCAACAGCTCATCCATTTCTGCGGTAAATTTCACCGGTGCTTGCTTTTTCGTTAAATAACACCACTGAAATGCTTATGGGACAACAAATATCACATGAACAGGCTTATCACAGCGCTTCTCTCACGCACGTGTCACCTCAAAGAAGGGCCTAGTATACATGTTACTTTTCGAAGTCTCAACTATTGTGGCAGTGATTCTGGTCACTCTTTCAGTTACTAAATTTCCATAATAAAGCAGGCTCTAAAGGAGCTTGAATATTATTATTGTTATTATACGAACACCGCTTGAATGTCAATCTTTAGCAATGTATGATCATTCTGGAGCCTTTAATACGGAGAATGCCCCTTGCAATGCAAGTCAAGTATCTTTCAAGCAGGTTTTTCCTTTCTCTATATTTGGTAAAGGCATAATTGCTGTTCCAAACAGCAGCCTCGACCTACTGAAAAGTCTCTCGAGATAACCGTGGACGATATAAAGATCCTTGAAGAAAGTCTTCGTCCCTTCCGGAGTGTTGTCAGTGATTTTACTCTACCATCGCTCCGTACGCTCACGAGGCATATAGATGTCTGGAGAACCTCATTAGCCCCTCATTTTCCAGTAATACACTTTCCTACATTTCAAGTAGGGCATTGCATTCCTGAACTCATTCTAGCCATGGCGGCGCTCGGTGCAGTACAGACATTGGAAGAGAATGTTTCCAAGAAGCTATATCGGGCTGCTAGAGCCATCGCCTGGCAGAAGTTGAAGGTGGATAACCTGAACTTAGAAGTTTGTGTTTGAGTTGTATATTTTGTGGAATGCCAGGTACTAACCCCTATTAAAAGTTTAAAACTACATCAAGATCAGATACCATTAGCCGGAGTCTGAAGTTGCAGTCAGCTCAGACCCTGCTTTTTCTCCTTATATATTCAAGCTGGGCTCGTAATGCCTCTGTTGTTGTTGAAGGGTTCGAGCTACATTCGCCCTTGGTACAATATATGCAGGCAAGTGGGTTTGCCGAATACGACAGCACTATGGAGCAAAGCTGGATTGAATGGTCATTATATGAATCCGAACGTCGAACTAAATTCCTTTCATTTTGCTTCCTCAACATTCACACTTTAATATATAATCGCCCACCATCTCTGCTCGCTAGAGAAATTCAACTTCGCCTTCCCTGTTCAACAAAGGAGTGGGAAATCACAAATGAGCTAGATTGGGCAGCAACTCGTCAAGCGTACATATGCAATATAATCAGCTTCCAAGATGCACTTGAGCGTCTTGTGGACCCCAAGGCAGTCAACCGAGAAACCTTGCCTTGCCCTTTTAGCAATTTGATATTGCTTCACGGAGTCTTACAACGCATTTATTTACTGCGTCAACTATCATTTGGACACAATCTGAGTGATCATGAAATAGACAACATTCAGTACGTTGGAGCAAACAATGATGCGTCCTTAACGATCTACAAACACGAGTTGGAGAGCAAGTACCTTAGTATTAACTCGATCACAGTTCAGCACTCTCCAAATGGGCTAGAATTTGGCAGCGCGCATCAGGGTCAGATTTACACCCCAGCAGCGAACATGGACCCATTCCTTTCACCTCTGTTGCTTTCCTCACTCTAGCGTATGTCCGAACCCATCTAGACATAGGCCCTAAAATGTGGTTGGCAACACGCGACCCAGCAACTGTGGCGCTGGCGCTGTTTTCAATCGCCCCTCCGCGACGCCATTCAAATCTAACAAGCGTTTTACTGTACACAATTCACGCACTAAGCCTGCCAGTAGCTTTTGGCATTGACCATGTGGCTAGAAGTCAGTCAATTCTATGGTGCTGTCAGCATGCAGCATGCGCCCTTGAGAGTGCAGTTTTCCTCTCCAAGTGGCTAGAGAATATTACCATCTATCAGATGGCAAATGCTCTAGAGCGTGAGTTCCTCTTTGGTTCAGCCTCCGCACTACATGAGGTTCTCCCCATACGCTTTCCGCATTTCAGCCCTAATCACTCGAGCACAGTCTACGAACGACATATACTCTCGTCGATTGAATCTGTCATCAAAGAAGCACTTGATTCTGGGGATTGGGGAGATGCAGATACATCATCCTGGTGCCAAGGTCCCCGCCAAATGAGTATAGCCGTGTTGAAAATCTGGTCGAAAGTATTCAGCGAAAAGTCCTCATGGGCGATCACAGAGCACGTTGGCGAATGTCTAAATGAATATTTGAAGATCTATGAGAACTCTAGTCAGTACCTAACATAATCTAATCTACAAGTCTTGCCCATTTAAGTAGGTTTTGGCGGCGTCTCAAGTTCAGACTGGTTCCCTTATTCTGGGTCGATGCAAATCTTCCCAATATGCTGACCTTCGGATAAATACTTATAGGCAGCCTTCACACCTTCCTCTGTAAATGGGAACGCCTTTTCCACTGGAATATCTAAGTTGTGAGACCCAACAAAACGTACGCATTCCTCAAGCAACTGCTTTGACCCGACATTGATTCCCCGAACGACGCATCCTTTGGAAAGTGCAAGACCAGCTACATCCGGCATTTCTTCCTGCTTAGCGGGGGATAAGAAACCTATGACAGATATCACGCCACCAAATGCAACAGATTCAATACTTTGTTTAATTGTCCCGGACCCGCCGTTTTCGAAAATGTGATCAACCCCGTTTCCTTGGGTAATTCTCTGCACTTCTTTAGCCCATTCGGGATAAGTTTTGTAGTTGATAGTGTAGTCGGCGCCGAATTTTTCCTTTACATAGGCCAACTTTTCGTCACTGGACGAGGTTCTAATCATCATTTCTTAGCATTTTACCATAACATTGAGCAGGTCGAAGAAGTCTTACATGATTGTCTTTGCTCCTGCTGCTTTAGCCAAGACCAATCCAGTGATAGAAACACCGCCCGTGCCTTTATGCCGTTCAGTCAAATCAATTTGGGCACTTCCTAAAGTATGGTATGCTCACCTTGGAATAATACCGTCTACCCTAGCTTCAAAGGAACATTTCCATAAAGAGAATTCCAAGCAGTTGTGCCAGTGCAGACAAGTGCAGCCCACTGGGAAGCCTTTAAGGAAGACGCTTTAGGGACTTTTATTATAGAGTTGGCATTGATGGTAAGGTAATTCCGAAGAACACCGTCCACAGGGCCTCCTAAACCACCATTCCAGTCCTTCATCGGCCCGTATAAATGGACCGGGTTAAAATTTGCAATAACCAAGTCACCTATAGTAAACCCTTGGACATTGGGTCCGATTTCAACAATTTCCCCAGCAGCATCCGAAACAGGGATTACATTGCCTTTAACGGGGAACGGATAATTTGAGGTAGCAATGGCTATATCCCTATAATTTAGCGCAACACTGTGAATCTTGATAAGGACCTCATGTGCTGCAGCCTTTGGAATCTCCTCCTCAACCTTGGTAAGATCGACAATGTTCTTTCTGCTGTTTAGACGAAAAACTGTTTGTGTGGAAGCCATGTTGTAAGCCTGTGCTAATGGAGTGAGTATGAATTTATCAGTGAAGGTAAGCAAATATAATAAGACACGACAGGCAAATATAATGCTCACATGGGGGTTAGGTTTTATAACATATTAGGGAAAATGGCATGAATCAGCACTGTCCATCAAAAAAGCATGCCTAACATTAATTAGCATTGGTAGTATTAAGATAATTGGTAAGGTTAAAGGTACGGGAGTTGGAGCTGTTGGGGTCATTTACTGTTGGAGCTGTTGGAGCTGTGGGTGCTATCGGAGCTGTTGGAGCTGTTGGAGCTGTTGCAGCTGTTGGAGCTGTTGGAGCTGTTGGAGCTGTTGGAGCTGTTGGAGTTGGAGCTGTCGGAGCTAATAAGTATTCAGGAAAATAAAATCCAGAGCTTTTAACTATGATTTGAGACTATTAATATAATATTGCGAATTTTAAGTACAGCTAATAAATATATGACTAGGGCCTAATATTTGTAATTGTAGAAATAAGCTTACAAGTTACCAAGTAAATATCATAGGATCAGCTGGATTGGCTGGATCACCTGCATTAAACTTCAAGCTTGCTTTTTAAATTGACAAAATTTGTCGATCTTTTGTACCAGCACCTTACTTATTGCTTCAAATATGGTAGTTGGCTATTCGCTATAAGAGTTCCTCAGCTTCAAGCGCGCTCAGCCACTATCGCAGCTCCCTACTCACCTTCAGCAGATCATTGCCACAGCCAATATCCAGCGTTAGGGAGTGTAACCTCCCCCACAGACTGCATGAACCACTAATAAAAACCATCGAGAATTTTTTCAGATAAATATGGTTCATGCATTCTCCAAATAATACCTAATCCAGGGTATTTGATAATACATCTCGGAAGTGTCGATATTCTGGCCATAAGGAGGTCCAGGGTAATTTGCACGGAAACAATAAAACATGCCACCGTCGGGAGATTGCTGGAGATATTTCTTAACTTCCCCGCGATTCTCAGGGTCTTCGATTATACGGATGACATGGTCCACGTCCCAAGGGTCACCAGAATTATGGTTAATAAACCTTACCGAGAACTTGGAAATTATGTTGCCCTTTGTCGTAGTGGATGCGATGCATCATAGTGCCCATAATTAAGTTGTTGAAGATAACGAGACTCGCAACACTGCCGGGATAGTATCAGGCAAGTTTTTGTACAATATTACCGCCGATATCACTGCCAGCAAAGACGACCTTGTTGAATTTCAGATGATCTAGAAGTGCCACCATGTCTCTGGCCATTGCGTGGCGTTCATAGGCATTCTCATATAATAGGACGTCGCTCGGCGGATACTCCCGAACTGTTGGGAGAATAACAGTAGAGACGGCTTATCCAGTATTTAAGTAGGCGTATTTAATATCTAAAAAAGTAAAAATTATCTTATTATAGCTAATATATATATTAATTTAAGTATAATTAGAAATTAAAATAAATAACTTAAAGTATATATATATAAAGTAAGAATATTAAAGACTAATATATATAATTAATAAACACTATATTATATAAAATAAGGAATGTATTATAATAAATAAGTGCTATAATATAGTATATAAATATTATATTAATCAATATGTATTATAACATATAGATAAGTACTGCGTTATTGTATATGTAGGTAAGCGCTGTAATATAGTGGATAAGTGCTGTAATACAGTGGGCAAGTGCTGTATTATAGTGGAAAGCCTTCTAATACAGTATCTAAAAGTATAAGAACTTCTTTCTACAAGCTTCGCTTTTTTGGACACAAAAGACGCCGGCTTGAATACTGGATAGGCCGTCCCTAACAGTATGATCTTTAGAAAAGCCATCAATCTGCTGGGACCAGGTTATTTCATTATCTGGATGGCCGTGAACGAAAACTCATACTGGACCGTGCCCATACTGGTGATATTGAATTTTAACACCATTATTTTAGTAAAATAAGAGTTTTCGCTAATGGGCATTGTTATTTTAATTATATTTGCTGTTGAAGTTAATTTGCGGGTATTATACGAAAGTTGATCTAGAACCTGTTGAAGATCTGTCAGGTTACAAGTGATTTAAGGAGGGCAAGACAGTTGTTTTATATCAACTACGAACATTGACATAAACTTGTAGAAACAAGTTCCGCTAAGGACTGAGCGACACTATTTAAAAAAGACTTTGCCAAAGTACTGGGTCTCCAAGAAAATGAAATATAAGATTGACGAATGGGGTTTGCATATGAGGATTGTATTTAACGTTTGCGTGGAGCTAGAACCGGCCATTGGTCGATAGTGTCTCAATTGCTTCTCGGTATCTTAATATTAAATTGACATACCCAAAGCATCCGAAATCTTCATTCGTTCCTATTATACCAAGTGCTCTTTCAAAAATAGAAAGTAAATTTGTACTATATATAATAAATTTAGATGCAGGGCTGTATTACCTCCGTAATTAATGTTCTTGGAGATGCATAGTCAATAGCTGTTTATTTTTTTTTTTTTTTTTTTTTTTTTTTTTTTTTTTTTTTTTTTGCGTTGTTAAACCTAGCGATATGGGCGATAAAAGGGTATATTTGCCCTTCTATTGGAAGCAAAGTAGCAATATAAATACATATATTTGTACACGTATGTATAATAATATTAGTAATAACCTAGGAACCCTAGAGAGGTTAAACAGGAAGATTTATTTGACTATATAGGCCGCCTGACCCGCAAATAACCTCATGACTTTGCAAAAATTAGAATACTCAATATACATGATCACTTCTCCCGCATACTTCTATGGCTAGCGTATCTTCGCCTCGCGATTCCCTCCAGCGGTTCGTTGATGCAAGAAGTCTAGAACAGCCTTTGAGCAAAAACCCCTATTTTCTGACAAATCCTTCACTCACTTCCCACCCGTGGACCGTCCATGGCTCACCCCAGACCATACAACCGCGTTGCTCTCCGTCAACAAACCCTTCGTACAAACTCTTCGCTAGATCGAGTTGAAGGGCGTGAGCATCGTATTGTTTATAAAGGCGGATCAGATTATCCCGCATCACAGGGCATGGGAATATGTCTATCCAGTACTCGTGAGGCGTAGATTTCTGTAAAGTAGTGGGTAAAAGCTCTGGTGGGACGCAACTAGGCGGATCTATGGCTAAGCTTGGAAGGTTTGCTAGATTTCCACAATACAATCAGGTCATGAGACAGGGTGCCTAGTGGATATCACTATCTAAGTCATGTATTAAATACCTACAGTAGTTAAAACCCTAGTTCTTATATAATATAATATATATTTAAGTATAATAAATTATAAGCCTGGAAGCCTTAATATAATTAAATAATTTTAATTAATTTTAAATAAACTTTTAATTAATTAATTAAGTATTTACTTTAATTAACTTTAAATTAATTAATTTAAAAATAAATTTAAATTTTTTTATATTTATATAATATTAATAATATAATTATATTATATTTAAAATACTATATAATTTAAATATTTTAATATTAAAATACTTTATTAAAAATTTTTAATTTTTTATTAAATTAATATTTTTTTAAAAATTAAAATAATATATTAATA